AGACCCTGTGCCTTGTTATTGTAAGCGTCGAAAATAGGCCGCTCAAGCAAGAGGCCCAAACCAGGCGCTTTAGGAATAGCAATGCGCTCAGGGCCATAGGTCTCAGTGATGCGATCTGGATGGCAGCCCGAGCGGACAACCATCGTAGCCATGGCAACCATCTTGCGGATCTGGTGCATCATGAAACTCTGTCCGTGGACCTTCAGGCTGAGCCATTCCGTGCCATTGATAATAATCGGCGTGGTGTTCACCTTGAATGACTTGATGTGTCGTTTCGCCGAGGGATCCTTGTGCGTCTTCTGGATCGTGTAGTTGTGGAAGTTCTTCGTGCCTTCGTAGCGGTTAAGACATTCTTGCAGGCGCGCTATGCGTGAAGCGGGCGCACGGTAAGCTCGTTTCGCGGTGAGGTATGCTGCTTTGATGGACTTGATGGCGTCGGTGATGGCCTTTTGGCGGGGGTCCATGACGAAGGGCTTTTGGGCCTCTGCGTCGGCCGATTGCTCGGTCACGGGTTGTTCGCTAGTCTCCTGCTGCACGGGTTCCTCGGCTGGCGCCGAAGGAACTCCCTTCTCTTCCGAGGGTTGAAGTGCCTCGCGAGAGTCGTCCTGGTAGAGAGACTTTTCGACGATGCTGCGGATGTCTTCCGGCAGGGTTTCTAATATCGGCTTGATGTACTTCTCATCGACGTCTTCCCAATAGCTTGCGACCTCTTCCTGTCGAGCTTTGACGGCATCCAACTCGCCTGCCTTGTCGGCAAGCTCGACGATCTTCTTTCCAAGATAGGTGCTCGGGTGAGGTGGTACGAGACAGTGACTCGGCATCAAATATTCGTATACTCGCGAATCGCACATCTGGTAGCAGCTGAAACTTTTGCTGGTCACTTCGTAGCCCCAGACACGGATTTGGGGGCTGAGCTCGGCGTTGATTTTCTGGATGATATCCTCATCTTCGACGATCATCTTTAGCGATACAACATTACCAGCTGCGTGGACACCCTTGTCTGTGCGGGCACAACGGACGAAGGAAGATTTCTTGGGATCCGCCGCATTCGCTTTGGAAACCGCGCCGACGTTGACAAGGGCCGTGAATAGATCACCTTCAATAGTGCGTTGCTGCTCGTTTCTATATAAAACTGGTCAGTACAAGGAATGACGATATACTGAACAAGGAAATACTCACAGCTGCATCCCAGAGTATCCAGTCCCCGAGTATCCCATCAGAAGCGCAACCTTCTTTTCGGGGCGGCGCTCTTCGCTGTCGATCTCCTCCTTGGAGAATTGGGTCGCGTAGATCGGCAAGTTAACCTCTTCGCCGTTCTCGATCTTGCGACGCTTGACTTCGGCCTTCTCTTCATGACGCTGTCGCTTATCTATAGCTTGGCGACTTAATTAGTTAGCCGATAATGCGAAGAATGGGAGGTTACAATTGATGCGACATACCTCCATTCCGCTCGCCCCATATCGCGGTTCTTACGCCTTCCACCACCTCCGCCTCCTGTTCCTTTGTTGTCGGCCATTGTATCCGTTGGAAGATCTCTGATAGCTCCGCACGAGGTGCAGATGGGTCGCGCCAGAAAGAACGGTAAAATTGACGACTAACAGCGTGGTCCCGGGTGTTTCGGGGGATCGATCGAATCAGAATTGAGTTTCTGAGTGCAGTTAGAATCCCAGAAAGATTCCGCTGGCGAATGATCGAGGCACGCATGAAATCAATGTTTCGGGGAAATTTGCCCTTTGACTCCGCGCGGTTCATCTTTTCCTGATATTGGCACTAAGCCTATAATAGCCTAGTGTCTAGACAATCCCCACTAACCATCTTTGGCTAGTCTTCTGCCTGAGGAATCAACTTTGCATGTGACGTGAAGCTCTGGACTTTGATTGCAACGCTCATTGTTCACTCATTCAACTAGGTCGGCGTTGCCTGTCGCTCAACTCACTCTCACTTCTGTCGTGGACCCCTTCACTCCTTTTGCTGCCTTTGATCGAAGCATGCTCGTCTTGTCCACTATCTGAAAACTGCGACTTCTCGCCTTGCGCCCCAGTTGAATTCTCTCCCAGCTTTCCTCCGGACTATCGTCTTTTGCTCAGAGCCTCTACAACCATGGATCTTTCAAAGACGCTTATCCGAACTGTGGCGCGCGCCTTTTATGAGACCCGTCACATCTTAGTCGTCGACGCGCTCTTCCTACATTCAGTGTATGATGAGAGTTGATCTCTGTTGATTGGTCACTTTGCTGACCAGCTACAGCCTTCACGCTGAGGATCTCGCTTTTCTGATGGGAATGCAACAGAAAGATCTTCGCAAGCTTTGCGCCAAGCTTCGGGAGGATCGCTTGATCGGAGTGTATGTCACTTTTCCCTGATATGGTCTACAACAAAGGTGGAAACGCGAAGCTGATCTAGTTCTATTTTGACTATAGGAGCACGCGCGCCGAGATACGTGATGGGTCCACTCGCCCAGTCAACCGCGAATACTACTACATCCCCCTACACCCGGTTGTCGATGCGATCAAGTACAAAGTCTCCAAGTTGACAGCCATTATCAAAGCGCAGTATACACCGAGTGAGGAGCGCAAGGAATACATATGCCTGCGATGCAAATCCGAGTGGACTGAACTGGACGTACTGAGTCTGGTCTCAGAAGAAGGGTTCGAATGTCAAAATTGCAGCGCCATCCTGGAGCGGACGGAGGATGTGAAGGGCGCAGAAGGGATGGACAGCACGGGTCACGAGAAAAATAGCAAGCTTATGGCACAGCTCGACAACATGCTCAAACTACTCAAGCAGATTGATGCGGTTGAAATCCCGCCGAATGACTTTGAAACAGCGTGGGATCACAAGGTGGAGGTTATCCGGAACCAGCACACACACCCTGTCCGCGCCGCGATTGCTGTTCCGCCTAAGCCCCAGGATATCACACGTCCCAATGCCAAAACGGATGCCGCTGCACTGGAGATCTCTCTCACCTCAAGTGAAGAGAAGAGTGCCGCCGAGCAGGCCGATGAGGCCGCTCGTAAAGCAGCGCTCGAAAAGCAAAACGCGCTCCCGGTTTGGCACACACATTCTACCGTCAATGCAACCCAGGTTGGTTCTCAGATCAAGACCGACGTGGGCACTGTCGTGAAACCCGAGCTTGCGGATGAGGATCAAAAACCCAGTGTGGATGCCTTGGACGACAAAGTTGCCGCTTACTACGCTGAAATGGAAAGGGAGCAGGCACTGCAGGCTCAAGCAGATGCCAGCAGCGCAGACGAAGACTCAGACGAGGAAGACTTTGAGGATGTTGAGGGAATCTCCGGTCCAAGCGGACCAGCTACGCCCGCCATTGCCGCGCCTGCCACATCTTCCGGGGCGCTGGCATCAAGCGTGAACATGAACCGGCCTCCAGTGTCCCTCCATCATCCACTGGGACTCCTTCCACCCCTGCCGACGATGGGCCTGTGGCAAAGAAAATCAAGGTCGAGCCCGATATCAAGCCTGATCCTGATGCCAAAATTGAGGCCGAGGTCAAGAAGGAGGCCGAGGAATCTGATGAGGACGATGAGGAATTTGAAGATGTATAATGAAACTATTTAAAAACGCCAATATTGGCGCTGGCGCCGAATAATCCTGGCAGACTGGACAGCTCTGGAGGCTTGCAAACCATCGAAATCGCTCATAAAGCCATAGAATTGCTTTTTATTCAAACATCAAAGCTCCAGCAAAGTGTATTAACAAATATGATTGCGAACAGCACAGAAAATGAAGCGACAAGCAAATACACACTAAATTCTAGCTTTCATAAAATCCTGATAGTACAACTTCATGATTCGTCTCATCACTCTCAGCAATGTGGTTCATCACGGTGTAGACGTCTTCCGTTCGACTTTGCAACTCTCCAAAATCGACCTTTGTGAACAATTGCAGCTCTCTACAGCTTTCCACCAACGTATGCCAGTTGAGAGCGACAGTCTTGTCCTCGTAAATTTGGAAAGAGGAGCCAAACACGCTATCATGTCGGTCATATTGGACATCAGTCCAACACTGGCCACTATGACAGTCTGTGAATCCCTCTTGGGGATCTTTAGATATTCATATAGAAAATCGAATCATGCGAAGAGTATCGCCACTTGAACTTCCTTGAGAAGCATAATATCAAAGACTTGGTACACTTCCCAGCTCGCCGCTAAAGAGCTTTGATAATTTTCGTTTGAAAGAAGATCGGGATCGGTGAGGAACTCTTTGCTACCAGACAAAAGCTGCATAGGAGGTCCGACAATAACATGGAATACGGACATCAAGTTTAGGTGATGCATTCCCGTAAACCACTTGGTGCTAAGTGTAGCGGGTGGATCAAGTGCATTTTCATTCCAGGAATCTTCGGCGTTTATATCGGCGAGCGTGGGGTTGCACTGGCGCGATTTTGTGAGAGTCAACAGAAACGACTGATTGGAGGGCTATTGGCGTATCATAGTGAGGAAATTTCCAGGTTAGAGAGCCCTATGTTTAAATCCAGTGGATATTTCTAACGAAGGGGATCCAGGGTAAACAAGCGGGCGGAGAAGAAGTGCTCGTTGATGCCTTTAAGATAATCTTGGGCTGGCTGCAACATAAAGAAGCCAAGCAGATCCTAGATCGTGGATATGTAAGTAACCCTTGCGGTGCTCGCCGGATATTACTACCTCTACAGGGTAAAGAACAATCTCTCACAATTTGGCCAAATATGAGATTCTCCTCGATTTAGACACCCCAGGAGTCATGGCGATGCTTTTATGCAGAGGGGGTCAGCCGGATACAATTTCAATCGAGCTCGGAGTTTCTTATATTTCGTTCAAACTATATATTTGGAGTCTTGTCTTTCCGTCGTTTGGCTTCACTGGCATAGAACAAAAGTCCCAGTAAGACACGATGGCGACTATACTATTTTGCCTGTTTCTACTAGCAGCTGCTTGTCTTTATGGCTTAGGTCGAGTTGTATACAATATATTCTTCCACCCACTGCGAAACTTCCCCGGGCCTTGGATGGCTGGAGCCACGTCGAGTTGGAAAGCATATAAAGAAGTCATCAAGGAAGAGTCGGCAGTTCATGAGCTCTTTCATCTCCATAAGAAATATGGTATGATAAAATTGGGACCATGAGACATTTCCTTCTAACATATCTAATAGGTGATATTGTCCGCGTTTCCCCAAACGAAGTGAGTTCTTAGAACATCAGTCAGCACTTCCCTTATAAGGCACAAATAAGTCACTCACCTCTCACAGCTCCATTTTGGAAGCCCAGATGCGTTCCACGATATCTACCATAGCAGCAAAAGGTGGGACAAGGACACGGGTCTTTACCGAACCCCCGGGGTTTTCATCCGGGTCATTCACATTCTTGAAGTATGCTCAGGCAAAAGAACGACGCGAGGTGATTCTTCCAATTTTCTCCAAGAAAGCCATCAATAGTCTTGAGCATCTCGTCTGGCGAAACGTGGGTAGTATATTGCTTTGCTTCTTTTTGCCTATCGCTAAATCACCGGTTCCTAGGCGAATCGGCTTGCATCTTCCATCGCCAAAACGAATGCATCAAAAAAGTCCGTCGACCTACTCTACGCATTCCGGTCTTACACGCTCGATACCATAATGTGCTTCACATTCGGTAATTGCGTAAACGCCCTCGATGCGCCAGCATTCAGCGACCCTCTGATTCTAGCCATGGATGCCAGCCTTCGTATGCTGCCTCTAATGAAGAACTTCCCTATAATCCGAGATCTCATCTTCGCTATACCACCAAGCCTGGTCATGCGTCTCATTCCCAACTCCCAGAATCTAGCCCCGCGGCTATACCAGGTCCGGGATCTCGTCCAGCAACAGCTTCAAGTTGTCCTAAACTGCCCTTCAAAGCTCGATACCGTACCTCACCAGACGCTCTTCCACCGAATGCTCGATCCAGAATCATACCGGAGCAAACAGGTCCTAAATATGACAGAGCTACACGACGAGGGCTTCACACTCATCTTCGCGGGTGCCAATACGGTAGCCGACACACTGCTCATGGGCCACTGGCACTTAATGCAAAACCAAGCCCTGCTAACACAATTACGGACCGAGATCCTGACCGTCTGGCCAGATGAAAAGCAGCCATCCCTAGCAGACCTCGAGACTCTACCTCTGCTGACAGCAACTATCAAAGAATCCCTCCGCTTTATCCCGTCCGGCGTATCCCTAACACGAGTCGTGCCACCAGGAGGCGCAGTAATAGGGGGAAAACAGATTCCCGGCGGGACGGTGGTTGGGATGGCTATTTTGCACGTGCATCAGAGCGCGGATGTGTGGGGTGCGGATGCGCTTGTGTTCCGGCCGGAACGGTGGCTGGAGAGCGCGGAGCAGGCAAATGCCCGGAACGGGAAGAGTGAGTTGGATCACTGGCTCGTTGCGTTTAGTCGGGGGCCGCGCATGTGCTTTGGGATGAACTTAGCCTGGGCGGAGATGTATATTGCTTTTGCTACTATGATTCGCCATTTTGACTTGGCTATTGATGGTACCACGGCGGAGGATATGCAATGGCGGGAATGTATTGCGGCTTACTATCCCAAAAGGCATTTGCATGCGTGGTGTCGTCCGGTTGGGTCTGGGGAGGTGATGTGAAGAGGTGTGGTTTATATAGCTTTAGGGTATGAGGCACGCATTTGGGTGTCCCTAGACAAGCAAGGATTATGCGTCGGGCTCAGGAAGTTGGACATTGTAGCAGAGGGATTGACAATAAATAGTATTTCACGTACACGAAGACCAATATTGGCTTTAGGACATAGGCTGTATTTAAAGGCTTGACCCGATTCTCCTTAAACATCGGCCTTGTGGTTAACCTTGGAGCCAGGGTATGTGTGTACCATGTAGTATCTCTATCTATAACTTGTAACAATTGTCTGTACATGCAACTGGGAGTGTCATACATGGCCAGATGTCCCAGAACTAGTGACTACATACATATGTACGTGTACTGTATTTAAGTACCTTTTGTATAGAGCTGCCGTATAAAACATACCTGATCCTTACAGTTTGCTACATGTATCTTGGTACCTAGTGGAGTGGCGGGATACGTCCATTGCTTGATATCAGGAGACTAGGTGGTCCATTATCTAGCACCATTGGTCTCCCGTTGCTTCTCTTCTTTGTCTCTAGCATTGAATGGCAGGTCCTTACTCGACTATTTGTCCATGTCGTAACTCCATCTTATGGGATCGATCCAGGCATCGTGCCCCAACATAATAACACACTTCGCAGATGTCGAAATTCGCTCCATCACAAGTATCACAGTGGTAGAAAGCCTCACCCTCCAAAACGTAAGCCATACAGACATCACAGCATATTGTCGTGTTCCTCTGAGAGGTAGGTTCGACCATTGACTCAACTGTCACTTGAGATCTTGTCTCAGAGAATGTCTCTAGGACTTTCACAGTATCAAATTTCTTTCGCATTATAGCATCAGACAGTGCTGTACGACCAAATTCATCCTGAGCCTCGCAATCCACGCCATCACTTTTAAGGAGCGCGGAAACTGATAATAAATTACCGAGGGCTGTAGCAACATGTAATGGGGTTCGGCCATATCGATCAGGTTGATGGACGTTCCTGATCTTGGTCGAAGTAAAAAGATCAGTCAGATAGGCATATGTGTTTTCCGAGGCTGCGTGGAAAACTACACCACGACCAAGATTGTCCTCGGTGTTGATATCAGCGCCATTCTCGAGGAGAAGCTGAATCACTTAATCACTTCTGTACTCCTATTGCCTGCTGCCAGGCTGAGTGCGGTTCGACCCTCGTGGTCTTTGATTTCCAATTCAACACCCCGCTTCAGCAAGAGTTGCATTACCGACTTCGCGTTTGACTCTGTTGCGCATATGAGTGGTGTCTGGCCCCCGCGATCCCGAGTATTGGGGTCAGCACCTCTGTCCAGGAGAAGCTGAACTATGGGAACATCCCCAATCTTCGCTGCTTCCGATAGGAAGGCATTCAATTCAATATGTTGGGGATCATCATCCACGTCCCAGTCAAGAAAGAGCCGCACCATATCTAAATGGCCCTTTTCAGCGGCGAAATATAATGGAGTGCGACCACCCTTATCTTTCTGGTACGCGCTAAGCCCTCGCATCAAAAGAAGACGGGCAATCTTCTCTGATCCACCGATGGCTGAAGCATGAAGTAGTGACAGTCCAGTGAAGGCGCTCTGTTGCAAATCACAATTTTCTTCGAGTAGTAACTGCACTGCTCGTTCGTGGCCCTTCTCCACAGCTGAGAAAAGGGGTGTTGTGCCAGCGTCATCTTCGATGTTCGGATCCGCGCCATTTGCCAGTAGGAACGTTATAGCATCTCGGCGGTCATATCCTGCTGCCCATAATAAAGGTGTCCTTCCAATAACATCCACGCAGTCCACCGAATTGCCAAGTGAAATCAACGTCTGGGCCACATCAAGCAACTCAAAGTAAGCCGCAAGATGTAGACCCATCATACCCCGTCGTGAATCGTAAAATGGCATATTAAATGAGAATTCGGCCGAAGCATACCACGCGAACTGCATACAGGAGTCGACTTTTGATCTGTCTGGCAGTAGTGCAATGATAGCTTCGCTTATAGGCTGTTCGCCGTCCGCTTCGCACTCCCGGACGTGACTACCCCAGAAATTAGCTGCGTAAGGTGCAAAAGGATAGCGATACAGGCGTGATTCGAAATCTTCCGGTGCTCGGCAATGTCCTGCTATGAAAGTATCAAATGACAAATATGCCACGCAGATGCTGCCAATATAATAGTTCGCCTTCGGGAACCAAGTTGACTGATTGCGCTGGAAAAATTCCTGGGTTGTATAATGCACCAGTCGAATGACATTGCTTTCCTCGTCGATTGTCACCAAGCCAGCACAGACCGAGACCACGTCAATTAGATCGGGGACATTATCCTCGTCAAAAACTGACTCGTCTATTTCGACCGCTAGTGCAGTTTGCAGCTCCACCGTGGTAAGCGGTCTCTTAGCACAAGTGATCCATGCGAGAACTTGCATGGCCAATTCTGCTTGGTCAGACACCTGTCCCTGAATTCGTTTCATCGCATCGCTATAGGCGGAATCGTATTGCTTTGTACTTGATGAAATGTCTTTTAATGCGGATCTGATTGCTTTAGGTGATCTTTTTCCAACCAAGGAGTTAAGGTAAAGCTGGGCGAGCAGAAACCTAGATCCTTATGTTAGAGAACTGCCAATAGTACGTAAATATTCTTTAGTAAAAGGTATGTATATACTCACATCCCATCCACCGCTCTGGTTATCTCCGTCGAAATCTCCGTTTGCAATTCCGGATTCCCGCGAAACAAATGGGAGCATTGCCAAATTTCCCCGAAGATACCGCATGACATCTGCCGTGCTAGCACGGATTTCAAGGGCGGGCTTGCCTTTGAATCTTTCAGTTATTTCGGGAATAAACCGGGAAGTGGCGAGAAGGTTTATGCTGCCACCATCCTGAAGTTCGAACATTGCATCCAAGAGACTTGTTCGCGATCCATCATCCATCCGGCATTCATCCAAAGCGTCAATTACAATATAGACTTTTGCAAAGTCGCTCGAATTTGAGACTGCTTGGATGGTTTTGGAGATTTCGCCTATGGAAGGCCGTGTTCCTTTAGCCGTATGCTTAGTATACATCTCTTGGATGCTACTAGGCAACGATGACTGTGACTGAGCCAATTGTTTCAAAAGATTGATAACAATTCAGCAACGCTTTGTTCACCGTGTCGCATAAAGCTGCAGTAGAGGTATGCAATAGCAACCTCGCCCCCACTTCCAAATTGATCGTAGAGCTCATCAACCACGATAGACGCTAGAATAGTTTTTCCCGGCACCTGGAATGCCAGGACAGAAGAGCGTCTGCTTTGAACCGGAGATCCAGCTTTTGAACTCGGATGTGTCTAGAAACCACTGCCCAGTACCTTCCTCGCGTCGACTAATGTAGTCACTTTGCTGGGTGGCATAGTTTGATGACGAGAGCCAATCAAGGACTTTCTGGCGCGCTTCCTCGTCTTGATGCTTCACCAGTTTCCCAACGCCGCGTTTCATTAGTTGTGCATTGTACGCAGTCAGGAGTGCGATATTAGTGCTAATTCGAAGGCGGAGTTCCTGGACATCGCTTGGTTCCCACTTCAGGCGTTTCCACGCCCGCTTCGCTATGTTTCGTTTTCCATCATTTGTTTTCGACAGCTCTGTGTAGTCCTCAATTCTCCTTGAAACTTCGGCAAGGACCTCGTGGCAACCGGCTAACAATTCGTTTAACTCAGTCTGTTGCTCGCTGCTAAGCTCCTTCGCGGATATGTCGGTATCTACATCTTGCAGTACGAGCGACAGGCTTCTGACCCTGTTAACAATTTTTTTAGTACATCAGGTACAACATATTGAGTGAGGGAAGGTCTAATCTAGGATCAACCTACTCATTGGAAATGCTCTCGAATTGAGCAGGTGCTCCGACGAATGCTTTCCGAATCTCCAGGGAGAGTTTGATAACTGCGAGGAAGTCCCCGACACCGAACCCAAAGCTCATTTTGACAATCAATAGAGAAACCCAGAGGGTGCATTGTTAATGGTTGGAGAGCTTAAGAAACGAAAATAAAACAGCTGGCTCAGCCCCACAGGCGGGGTTAGGTCGACATGCAGCAGCACGCAATCTGGCCCAAACACGATGGGCTGACCATGCTAGATATTAAAACCAGCCTCCAATTTGAGTGCTGGCTTCATCGTGCGGATTCCAAATAAATTGACTGCGGCCAGACATGTCGCTTGGTTGCTACTTGCTGCATTCCACTGTTCAGCAGCATCATAGTCACGCTCGTGTGGGCACCGATCTTGCTGTGATATGATGAGCAGCTTGGGAAATCGATAAAGTCTTGATGGAGAGCCTTTTTGCTGACTGTGAGACTGATAAGGATGATTTCAGATACCCAACAAGAGTAGCCGATAAGCCGTGGCCTTGGCTGAGCTGATGGACGGACATACCTGCAGAAAGATAGAAGTAGTGTACTACCAGACGAAAGACTAGATGGGGAGAAAGGACAGAGTTGTATTTGCTCTGTCTACAAGGAGCAGAGAGATAGAGAAAGAGAAGAAGAATTAAACAAACCTTGGCACAAACAAGCAGGAGCTAGCTAATATAGCCATATGGAGCCTGGCAAATTAGGCACCTGCCGGTGGCCTGTCCCAACCTACCTTGGAAGGGTAGTGCGGGAGAGATATGCCCCCAGAACTACCTAGGTATGTACTTAGTTAACCATTAGTTATCCTGGGCTGAGGCCTGATCCACCAGGGCAACCACACACCCCAATCTCAACAAATAGTAAAGATATTCTTCCAGCCACTACTGCCATGGGATATCTAATACAGCCCATGAAGACAAAGAGAGCACTCGCAAAAATGCTTCGGTGTAACCATATATTCGTTAATCGTACTCTAGAAAAAGCATACGTATATCTGAACCCCCAAAAGTCACAAATAAATCACATGCCAGCTTAGACAGTGACCCTGTTAGCCTTCAGATACTCATAATCCGGCATAGAATCTCTCGTAGCCTTCTCAATCAACTCGGTAACCTCATCCCCAAACTCGACACGCCACTTAGCAACCTCCGCATCAATATCAACCGACGCCGGAGCCTTATTCTTAACAACACCAGTCGACTCCTCCAAAGTCGACAACATGATAGAAGCAGCAGCCTTATGAAACGCCACCTCCTCAGGCGTCTCCGCGTTCGCAGTCTCAGCCGCCCAGTTCTCAGACTTCTTCTCAGCACCATTCCACTCAAACTGCATGAATGAAGTGTCAAGACCAGCCTTCTCACAGAACTTCACCACAGCACCGGGGTTATGGATGACATCATTAGCATCGATAACCAAAGGCGTGACAGACTCATCGGGCTGCTCACGACACCAGTCAAACAGCATCCGCGTCCACTCCATGCTCATGTTCGTAAACGATGCACCCCTCATACCGTCGTCATCAATGAAGCCAGCCTTGGACAGCTTCTGCATAGCGCGGTACATGGACGGCCAGGCCAGTGCCGGGTGACGGATGATGAAGGCAATCCGCCAGGTGCGCAGGTACTCGTCCGGCATGATGGTCTTGTTCTTGGCCGAGAAGGTCGCCGAGGACCCGTAGCGTTCAGGCATAGATACCTGGAAATCTCTGTGATATTCAGGTGTGGTGCCGTCATTGTTCGCAAAGAAGCACGGGTTAACCAGCCAGAAAGCGTGTTCTTTGGTGAACATTATCTTGTTCTCGGCGCGGGCTCGGGCAGAGTACTCCTCTAATCTGTCGAAGCACTTCTGCACGACGGCTTTGGTTTCGCTCTTCACCTCTGCGGTCCATTGGTCTAGCGGCTTGTCGAGGCGACCGTCCCTGCCGGCTGCCATGAAGGCATCGTAGAAGAAGTAGCCGCCCTTTGGGCTGGTGAGGACATTTGGTTGATTGGGGATGTTGAGGATCTTCAGGAGAAGATTCGAGGCAGTGCGCGGTACACTGACGAGGAGGATTCGGTGGGGTTCATTATTTCCAGGGGTGGTAGTGGCAGCCATGGTGGATGGGCTTTTTGGTTTCTTGGTTGAGATATGTATATAGAGTGGATGTGGCTGAATGATAATTAAGCTTAACTTGCTGCGATACAATGAGCGTGAGAAGAGATGGCTATATTCTGGAGCCGGATGGCGTGATCCCGAGTTAAATAGATCCGACTCTTCCCTCTTCTGTCCAGGCGCAGGATCAGCGCTCTTTCATCTAAAATTTTTTGGCCCCTCTTTACGGGGCTGTACTTTACGCATTTACGCATGTAAGTGGGTCGAATTTCTCACGTCTGTGTGGAATTTTGGTTAAATTCCGAGGGGGGGGGGGAACACCATGGGGGGATATTTCCTAATGGGATCGGATGCGGTTGATACCGCATCCGATCGGCCTTTGTCGCTGTTTGTCAACGCCGAGGGGGCGTCTGCGATGAGATTCTTAATTGGACGGCAGTAGTGATCGGCAAACGAAGCTCTTAGAAAGCTGCAGTGGTACGATGCATGTTTCGCATCTCGGCCTTCGCTTCGGAGGATATGATCCGGTGAATACCGGTCCACATGGTTAAGTCCGTGATCTTTTTGCCTTTATTATGCGCATACGTTATGCATGACTGTCAGACTCAGACATATGTACGTATGGAATGAAGGCGGGGTACGGGAAGTGGATCAGCGAGATTCAACGAATTGGAGAATATTTTGGATTCATAAGGTTGGTCCTGACAGCTCCGGTGTCACGAGGGCTTAGTCGAAGATAAACACAGCTAGATATTGAGAGGTGGAACACATCGCCAATCACCTGGTATCTCTGACTTCCAAGGTTATTTTGCAGAGACATTAAACTAACACACCAAAGCATACACTTCCGCGAGATATATTAAGCGAAATCAGATTGTACTCAACGTACCCTTTCACCGGGGGAGAAATCAGAATCACTGCTCTCCTCCTCCGCCTTAGCAAGACTCTGCTCCTTCGTAAGTGTCGGGTTGCGAATAACTAGCGCGAAGGCAATCAAAGGGACTGTCAGGCAGATACCCGTGATGCATAGCAGACGCTGCGTCTTCTGATAGGCGAGAATGACGTTGTCGCGGTCAGGCGTACCCACCGGATTGACCGCTGCAAAATCGAGAGGCTTGGCGTAGACATAAGCAGCGAGAGTTTCATTGCCGAGTCTATAGTTTAGTTCAGAAGGCAGCACTTGGTTCCAGATTGCGCCGGAGATTGTGTTTCCCAGTGCGCTACCGATGTTATAGGCGGCGAGATAAAGACCAGTTATCACAGCGAGGTCTATCAGATTGTTAGCTATTGACTTGTTTGTTTGGTTGGCCGAATTCTGTTGAATACTTACGTTCGTGCTTAGATGCGACCTGGATACTGGCTTGAGCAGGGTAGGGGAACATTCCACCAGCTGGGAGATTTGTCAGACATGTTCAACCAACACTGGAGCGTTGGCAATAACTCACCAATACCAAGCAGAACTTGAGCGCCAATAACACCCGAATGACTGGAGTCCGCAACGCCACCTCGGAAGTAGATGAGAATTCCAAAGGCAACCATGAACAGGACGGTTCCGGCCACGATGAAGGGCTTCAATTGGCGAACCTTCATGACAATGAGGCCGAGAATAACACCGGTAATAACCGAGACAAAACTGTAAAGCTGCGTGATCCGAGTCGCACTGAGGACTGATTCGCCGAAGCTTACGTAGAGCACGGTGTATAGGAAATCTCCTTGCAGGTACCACGCTATAGAAATGTTAAATATCGACCATGGATGGATAGTATCCTGCAGGACGTACCAGTGTTGAGCATAATAGGAATTCCAAGGGCACCCCAAACAGCACGGTCTTTCAGCAGCTAGAGCCGAAGTGAGTCAGTAAGAGTCAGGAAGCTTTGTTTAATCATATCACTTACCTTGAATGGAAGCATCGGGTGCTGGCAAGTTCTCTCCCAGAAAATCCAGACCGGGATCAGCAAAACGCCAATGACAAGTGGCGCAATGACCTTTGCTGTCTTCCACTGTGCAGTTACGCCTCCAGCGAGGGTAAATGGAACAAGAATGCATGCCAGCATGGCAATCAGCAGAATATTGCCGACGATGTCCAGATGCCAGAATAGTTCTAGGGCCAGTTGCCTTTTGCCCAGCAGCTGGAGAGAGCTCTTATAAGATTCAAGTGCCCCACTCTTCTTCGCGCGTCGGTGGACGATGAAAAGGACTACGATAAGAGGGATAGCGCACACAGGATAGATGATAGCAAACATGCCGATTCCCCATTGCCATGTGGTAGTCTTGAGAACCGCAGAGGTCAAGTTGCCACTAATCCAGGTATTTATCTAATAAACATTCAACAAATTAATACGTTGTAATTGGTATGTGGGAGTATGTTTAGGACTCACAATAAATGGCATGGCCGGAACGTAGGAGAAGAGAAGACGAGATCGGCTAGAAGTCACATCGGCGACTAGGACTTCGACCAGAAGCATGATGCTGGTGTATCCAATCTAGAGGATATTAGACATAGATCAAGAGCTCGTTCATAGGTGCATATCTCACCTGATAGATAACAGCTCCTGCAGCGAAACCCGACAAAGTCAAGGCGCATGATTCTACGATAGTGCCCACAGTATAGAAGAGGATTGAGACAAGGATAAGTTCCACTCTGCCGAATACATCTGCAACCTTTGCTGCAGTAGGCTGTCAAGGGAAGGTCAGCCGCTGTGATAAATCATTGGCTTCTGGATATCCATACCTGTGCAGCAGCAGCAATTACGGCTCGGAGGACATTGATGGTCGCAAGAAGACTGTGTTGGCCGTAAAACTGAGTAGCATAGGGCTGTCCAAAACATGAGGTGTTAGTACGCTCCATTATTGTCAAATTGTCTTGACGTCAGAAATGCGAGATACGTACCTGATATGTGTAACGGACAGTCCCATCCAAGCCGTACACATAGGCGATCAAGAAAACAGCAAGAAAGAGGAAGACCCGATCCCAGAATCGGAAGTACGATGTAATGATCTCGATACGACGAACACCTGGACTCCCTTGACCCATCAGACTGGCGGGCTCACCAAGTGGGACGGCCTCGTTGCGGGGGTTCTTCGAGTCCCCGCTGACGCGGTCAACGTTGACCTCATTAACGAGCGACATGGTAATCTTGCAGAATGAGATCTTGCTCAGATCTAGGATGTAAAGAGGAAGAAGAACATGAGGAAAAAGGCCAGAGAAAATATGATTGCCAAGAGATGAAAAAGTCTAAGATAAAACCGCTCACTCAATCTTATCTGATGGGCCACCCAGGAAAGTGCCGAGGAGGCGCTAAGAGCGTTTGTCTAAGAAAACAGCCACTCACACAGCTTGGATGAGCCCCCACCTCGCATCCGGCCATGGTCCGGAATTATTATTTGACACGGGGCTCGCTCTAGATTTCCCTGTCAATAATTGTAACCCTGAATGGGCACACCCGTGCATTGTGTATCGGATGATTTCCTGTTCTAGCGTACGCGAACTCCGGATAGTTGAGAGTACAGAAGAGATCGAACAGACATTGTCATATTATACTATCATAAGAACAGGAGCATTTCTCAGGTATACATGTAGAAAAAGAACATTGTGTGTCCAATAAATCGGAAAAAGAAAGCGATCAGCTCCTAATCTCGGAGGCCCCTAAGTCCATTACATAATGCCCCCACCTGCACCCGTGCGTACCTGCCCACACACCACATGGCCGCATCCGCTCAATCTTGGCCCGACGCATTGGACGTGCCCCTTGCACTGCAGTTACTTCAGCCGCTATCGAAAATTGAGCGGAGTTCACCTCTAATTGAGCTGTCTGAACAGACATTTGGCAACTATGGTCACATCGTCAATTTTTCCCCTGGAGATTTGGTTGATGATCTTTCAGTATCTTCGCGACGAAGAAAGCCCACAACACATCAGCAGGCTCGCACAGACATGCAAATCTTTCCATCAAGAACTTAATCATGTTATATACCAACCTGTACGACTGAGGCGGGTGGAGAATGCTCGCCATTTCGCCAATACCATCTCTAGTCGCCCAGACTTAGCTGCACTTGTGAAGGAAGTCCGACATTCCGAGGATGTGGGATTTTCCGACTTTGCTGGCTACTCTAGACCTTTCTACGAAGCGCTCGCTAAATTGCAAAACCTGCAAATACTGGTAATGAGAGAGAATCTCCCCCCCAAGTGATGACGGGCACACGCCACAAGCGGAAGTACAGGCAGTGCTTACCGATATTTACTACCGGAACGAGGACTTACACATGAGAGAATCATGTCTGGAAGATCTAGAGTCTCTCATGATGGAGATGCACGATAAAGGGTTCCGTCTGGGTGACGCGTCGGATCCATTCGGCCTTGGATTTCATCCTTTGGACGACAACTTTTCGATCCAATGTTGGGCAGAGGGTCTGTCCCAGTACACATATTTTAGCCAAGACTATCTCAAAGACTTAATTCCCGCACTGCGAACATGTAAGTTGCCGAATCTCAAGGCTTGTCGCAAATCTAATAATATGAAATTACAGGTCATATTGGAACTGATTCGGATCTTGACCCTAAATATAATGCGGGCAAGTATCAGCCTTATGTCGAATTTAATGAGACAATTTTCACCTTGCCCCATTTGCGAAAACTCTGCATCACAGGTGTTACATTTCGGGGATTTGGATTGGAAGACGAGTTCATTGAAAATCGTGCCACGCATTTAAAAGAGCTGCTGCTTCTCAACTGTCGAGTCTCAGCTGAGAATCTCGAACTCATCGTTCGATTCCCACGTGCCTTGGAACGGCTCACCATTAGAGTTCCTGTGTCTTTATTATCTCAGTACGAGGAAGAAGATTACTTGTCATTTTCCGAGGAATTGAGCTCTCGGCATGCTGAATCCTTGGAGTACTTGGATCTAGACATTTACGGAGGCGCAGATATCGGCGTTGAGCTTGATTTCTTTGATGTCCTCAAGGAAATCGTAATCACCCCTCATTCAGTGATTAGGGGTCGTGAGGGAGAGATAAGCTTCCCAAGTAGTCTCCAGAGACTTACAATCCGATACGAGGAAGGCACTGGTCTACAATTAGATGACATCTTCGAAGAAGTTGAGGCCGCAAGTCTGCCCAATCTGCGCACCGTGATATGCCAAATACCCGACAATCTCTGCGAAGGTACAACCAGCTCGGAGGTACGCGTCGAAGCCGAGGCTTTCAAACCCCAATTCAAAGATTTCGGGGTGGAGTTATCAACAGAACTCGTTCCATATCCTCTGACCATGCCAAAATACGATGTCTGTCCGTGTGAAAACTTGACCTTCTATCATCAATTTCCCTTCCATCCCCGTCCCAAGCCTCGCCCGCAAAACGTGCGGGCAGGCTACAGCAACCCTACGCCGATGCCCCTCGTTTATGATTCGGACCCATATGACGGTGACTATCCTTACTTGTATGACATGAGCCCACCTTCTCCTCCCCGAATGCCCGGTTTCACGGATTATGATGACTATCTTGACTGGGCGTACGGTGGTTGAGTGGGATAAAGTCTCCCCTTTCAGGGAGTGTCGTTGAATACAGAAACACGATCTGTATAGCATGCATGTAATGAGACAAAAATAATACTATGAAAAGTATTATGGATATGAAAAATTCCAATCTTGTATACTGTAGAAAGTAAATGAATGATTTGTCTATTTTCTTCATACATGGAAAGGAGCATCTATTTATGCTCCTTTTTCGTATACCCCCATTATGGTAGAATAGAAAGGACTCGGTGAGAAAACAGGACTCGGTGAGAAGCAACAACAACAAGAAGAAGCAAAGACTGACTGAAAGCAGGCTTAATTGAAATATCGAAGCGCCGATGCAGTGAGAACGACCTGTATACTGAGGACAGCAATGTCATGATCAAACTGCATATAGCTAAGGGAGCCAGGCTTCTTCTGGCAGGAGCCTGAGTGCAGATCCTTCGTGTATGGGATCTGCATCATTGATGCCGAGTTAGGGTTAGCGTTGCATCATGAAAAAGGCCAGTATTAATGAGAATTAACTGGGATTTTCAACAAGTGTTACTTGTGTCTTTCCACGGTACTTGTTTGTTTATTTATCCTGTATTCTATCTGTACATATATTCGTGTATGCACCGCCATGGGGGTTGGTGTTGGCTGGTTGGCGACCTGAGGTCCGCCTACCTGTAATCTCTATGACCTCCTTGATGGTTTCTTTGCTATTAATTGGAAACCGTTGGAAAATCCCAGTTAATTCCTATTAACACTGGCCTTTTCCATGATGTAACGCTAACCCTAATTCGGGGATTACAATGCAGGTATGTAGGATCTGCACTCAGACTCCTGCCAGAAGAAGGCTAGATTCCTTAGCCGTATGCTGTTTGATCATACTATTGCTATCCTTACTATATAGGTAGTTATCTCTCTGGGTCTGTCAAGATGTGTCAAAAATATATTCCGGGGGAAGCTAGGATCGAGCTAAGCTGAACAGGAACTATTGGCAACTTAAACTATGTAACAGCTGTTGAGGTTAATGAGGGATAATAACCTACCAGCCCTACCGGGTACATAAGGTTGTAAGGATATGGTCGTGCAAGCCCCGGAAGAGGTGTAATTGTTATAGCCTCTGCTATACCTCGGTAGAGATCGGGTACAGAGAGGAAGAGGAATCATTATCCATTCAATATATGAAGAGCAGGGTATTGGTATCTGAATCTGACAAATACAGCACTCAGTCTGCAAGCAAACAAGCCTGCACAATCAGGTATCAATGGGATGATCAAACAACAATATGATGTTGACACAAACTTGCAAGGTTGGGATGAATGAAATTTTCAGTGCCTGATCCACGAGGCTGAGAACTCAACAAAGTCATTGTTACGCCTTCACCTTCCCATTTTCTTTTCCTTCACTCTACTCATGAACTTTAATCTCTGATCAGTTTTTCCTCTTTCTTTTTGCACTCTTGTCACCAAGTCTCTACACCAACATGTCTATCATGGGATATTCAGATCTTTGCTTAGGTACACAAGTGACCTTCACCACTCCCTCGCCTCAGAAGTGGGTTCTCGAGGAGAAGCTCACCGAGGATTTCCAAAGAATGACCAACCGTGAACTTGAGATGGGTGGTGGACCTTCCTTCGCCGTGTCCAAGTACCTCTGCTACAGTGCGACAGACAATAGCAAGAAGGCATTTATGAGAATTTACTTTCAGATTCCCAACCCCGGAACAGAGTCCCAGCTCCCCCGGCTTCGACAACAACAGGCAGCGCCACCGCGTGAGCATTTAGAGCCACAAGCTTTGAAGGATCTTAGTGAACAACACTGTACTGTGGTCCCAGCTCTCCTCGCCTACAAAGAAGGAAAGCAAGGTAATGATGGCGTGGTTCCAGACGGCTATATAACATATATTGTGTGGGAAATGGTTAACGGGAAGCCACTTGATACGGATCAGTTCTGGAGGCCTGAATCGGCGCGGTTACGCGAGGCCGTCCGCAAGAAGTTCCGCCATATGTGGGAGTATATTTACAGAATCCCCTTTAGCGTGTTAAGAGTGAAACTGACAAACCTAAGAGAGTTGAAGCATCATGGATGGCAGCCGGGGCTCCCTCTTTTGCAGAAGATTATCTACGACGAGTCAACCGGGGATATGTATGTGACATACGATATACCCCATTACAAAGCGGAATATGCTAAATACCTATCTTTAGGCACATTGCAGGTTTCCGAGACCCCGACCGCTTCGATCCCGGCGAAAAGTTTTCCGACATGACCTTTGTCCTCTGGCGTTTAGCTAGGCCACCCAGAAAGTCCGGTTGGGAGAAAGACCCTACCAAGTGGACCTGGTAATCATCATCACCGAGTCTTTATGTTCTATCATAATGGGGGGTATACGAAAAAGAAGCATAAATAGATGCTTTTTTCTATGTATGAAGAAGACAGATATTTCAATTCATTACTTTTCACAGTATATTGGAATTCCCTTCATATTCATAGTACTCTTTTCATGATACTATCTTTATCTCACATACATGCTATACAGAACGCTGGTTCTATAAACAACAAAAACCCTGGCTGTTCTACAAAAAGCACAACATTGAATGCACAGATAATATTGTATGACATTTACGCCTGTATATGTGGAACACGTATCATCATCAAAGTCGTGACCTGAACGCAGCCCCTGGTCCAGTCGCCGAAGGCAAGCTATCCTGTCTGAGACGATTCATCTCGGGATCATAAAGCGACTCTGCCTCGACAGTCGCTCTAATACGCTTTCCGAAATACTCAATCTCCACTGTCTCACCTTCGCGCACATACCCAGGAAGCCAGGCGTAGGCAATTGGTTTACCAATCGTGTACCCAAATGCAGCGGTGGTTACATAGCCAGCCGCTTTGCCATTGTAGAACACAGGCTCCTTGCCAAGAACCACTGAGCGACCATCATCAACGGTCAAAGCCCGCAGGCGCCGCGAAGGTACTTGCTTAGAAAGGCGTTGAAGGGCGGCTTTACCAACGAAGTCATCTTTCTTATTTGCGTCCACAGCGTAGGAAACACCTGCCTCGAACGGATTGTGCTCCGTCGTCATATCCACACCGTAGGTCCGGTATCCCTTCTCGAGACGCATTGAGTTGAACGCACTGCGGCCTCCGGCAATGAGTCCGTGCAGCTTTCCAGCTTGCCAGATTGTGTCCCATAGACGTTGTCCGTACTCGGCGCTGGTTTGGATTTCCCAGCCTAGTTCGCCGACGTAGGATTTTCGGATCAGTGTAACTGGGATACCCCGAATAACGGTTTTCTTGAGACTGAAGTACGGAAGGCCCTTGTTTGAAACGTCGACCGTGCTGATTCCAGCAATCACATCCCGGGCTTGAGGACCCCATAGTCCGATGCAGCATGTGCTGCCTGTTATATCGCGGACTTGGGTCCATTGTCCGGGTGTGTTCTGCTCCTGCACTCGGGCTTCTCTGGTAAGATACGCCAAGTCGGTTGCAGTGTTTGCTCCGATCTGGAACACATCATCGTCAAGTCGTAGGACAAAAATGTCACCGCGAATGCCACCGTGGTCATTCAGGAGGAGGGTATAAGTAACGGTGCCTGGCTTGGTGGTTATGTCACTCGTCGTCAGCCGCTGGAGCAGACCCACTGCTCCAGGACCGCGCACATCAAATCGATGGAAAGCAGTCATATCAAACATAGCAACAGCATTCCGCGTCTTCCACGCCTCCGCAGCCGAAATAGGCGAATGAAGCTGCGCCGACCAGGCATCCCGTTCAACAGGCTGCCACGATGGAGGGAGCGACTTGACAAGATCTTTGTTTGCCTCGTACCACCACGGCCGCTCCCAGCCTCCAGTCTCAAAGAAGACAGCCCCCAGCTCCTGCTGCCGGGCGTAGAATGGACTAACGCGCAAATTGCGAGGTGATGCGCGCTGCTGGAGCGGGTGGATAATGTCGTATATTTCGACGAAGTTCTGCTGTCCGGTCTCGCTGACGTAGTCGCGATTGAGTTGTACTTCTTCGAAACGGGATAGCTCACATTCGGACACGTCGATTTCCGATCGGCCGGTTGTGAGTATTTGGGCTAGCGCTCGGGCGACGCCTGCGGAGTGTGTAACCCATACAGCTTCGGCTACGTAGAAGCCGTCGAGATGAGATGGTTGGCCGAGGATTGGACCGCCGTCGGGTGTGAAGGAAAAGACGCCGTTGAAGCCATCTGCGATTTCGGTGTTCTGGAGGGCGGGGAGGAACTTTTGAGACTCCTTCCAAGCTGGGTCGAAGTCTTCGGTTGTGAATTCGAGGCGAGAGGGCATGTTCTTTTCGTCAACCTCTTTAGGTGTGAGTCCAAGGGATGCCGCGACGACGGGCATTGGACGGTGTCCGTAATATCCAATGCCGTACTGTCCGCCATGTTCACGGTAGTAGAGACGCTTATCCTGGTGTCGGAGGATTGGCAGTGTGGCATTCATTCCATTGATCATGTTGTTGATACCTCGAGCAGCGAGAGCGGGTACTGCTGTGGTCTTTGCATATTGGTGTGCCAGCGGGAGCAAAGGAATTTCCACGCCGACCATGGCTCCCAATTCAACACCCCAGAATCCAGCACAAGAGACAACAATGTCTGCCGGGATAGTGCCACTTGGAATACTGACTCCGGTGACACGACGGCCGTCCCGCTCAATTCCTGTAACGGGAGTATGGCCCAGATAACGCACCCCGGCCTTGCTTGTCCGTTCGATGAGTAGCTGTGTTGCTCGAGCTGCTAGCGCGAGACCATCACTGGGGATATGCAGACCGCCCAACACCATCTCGTTGTTCAGATGAGGATACATCTTGCAGCACTCCTCTGCGCTGACCAGCCGTGCCTCAATGCCCCATGACGAGGCGTATCCATGTTTCCGCTTCAGATCCTCCAGCCGTGCGGGGGTGGTTGCTACTTCGAGACCGCCCACTTGATTGAAGCACTTGTGTCCATCCTTCTCTATCGATAGAAGCTTCTCGACTGTGTATCGCGCGAGGTGTGTCATTGTCTTAGAGGGGCTTGTCTGAAATACGAGTCCGGGGGCGTGTGATGTCGATCCGCCCGGCATGTGCAACGGGCCCTGCTCAACGACAGTGATATCGCTCCATCCTCGAGAGACCAGCTCGTCGGCGAGGTTGGTGCCTACGATACCGGCTCCGATGATGACAACGCGTTGTGAAAGGGACATTATTATATGATGGATATGATACGGCCATTGGAAAGTGGCGGACAGCTGTTCTATTTGTATATTCACATACTTGGATGAGTCGTACAATGTGTGACATTATCGTACATAGCTCCCCGCACCCCGCAGAGCTGTGTGGCAATTTCAAGCTGTGTCTTGAAGCTATAGATAGAGATATTACGCCCCGCACGGGTTCCGGCGATGTAAAGCCGAGAACGCCAGTAACGAACACGGCTGCCATTTTCGCAGCAAATCAGGATGGCGGGGTATATCCTTGGCTGACCCACGTTGGTTTAGATAGTGAAGCTGGTCAGGTCAATCATAATCGGCCAACCAGCTTTATGTGGCGCTTTCGCGTTGACACTGGATAACATTACCGTTTCGGGTCACGGGTCCTAATTTTAGTACGAGGGGCAGCGTCATAGTTGCCTCAGTGAAGTTGGACTATTCGTAGTTCTGGCCGAAGCTTGAGTAGTTACTTGGTCAACAAAGCTGTCTTATAGTCTGCACGGCGGTTGTCCTGGTGTGGACCTCTGGAGGCTCTGTCTCATCCAACTGATAATACCGGAGCGGAAAATCAAAATATCCGTGTCGTTCTCTTATTCTGTACCAAGCACCCGTGGACACTCGAACGAATTACCCGATGCGTACGGAGTATATATTCCACCATTGAATCAATATCTACTATTGCCATTTATCTCGAGGCTCCGCAGTAATGGACGTGCGAATTTTGTAAAATATGATGTCCACAGGGTAGCCTGAAAAAAAGCACAGTGACAACAAGACATGAATGACAACAAGGACCATACTGGTCCAATTCGCTGTGGACAGCTTTGTAGTATACCTGAGCTTATCACTGTTAGGCTCCGTAACGGTGCTTCCAGAACACATTGGATCGGAAAAAAACACAAACACTTTGGATTTAAGCAACAGCATCCGAGCTTCAGACCAGGGTCTAATACATTTGCATGATTAGCTTCAAGCTAGCTACTTGTAGTAAAGAATATAGTTAATCGTGCAATACATTGTAGTGCATTGTTGTAGAGCGAAGGATTGTCATTGGCAGCACATTCCAACATCATGGATGAAAATGATGCAATCGCCATTCTATGGCCTCTGATTGGCCAATGTCACAACGGATGCAGGGGCATTTTCGACGGAGGCGTGGAGTGTACAAATCGGTTTGTATAAAGTTTCAGAGGTCAGATATATTGTCAACTTCTTTCTCTATGTTCTATCGATTTTTACGATACCAAATGGCATCCCCAAAGCACAAGTCAACCCCAGACTCTGCGGGGCAAATGTTTGATGTTCGGCTGCGGCCGATCCGTGGGGATCCTAACAAGAAAGGATCCCTGTCTTCGGGACTTTCACTCCTTCCCCAGAGAAACTCCTCAGGTTGAGGACACCAAGCAATGCTATCGTCTGCATCTTTCGACCATCTCTCATCATGACTGAGCCCAGTCAACCCCCTGTTCCCGAGGAACCGCCCAACGCAATCCTGACTGATTCCCGCCCGACTTCCGCTCGCGACTCCCGCGATGACGACCGGGAAGCGTTAGAGCTCCATACAATCCAGACCCGCGAAGACGACGAGCTAGATTACTCTACTGCATCGGCTTCATCTGGCGACGAGCACCGTGTGCCCACAAATCGGATTCTGTCCCGAGCCGATTCCCAGCGCAGACTTGAAGCCCGCAAGGGCCTTTGGGGCAAGATCTGTCGGTTATGGACCCGGAATGTCATCATAACGGTGCCGCAGAAGAGCAATCGAGATCACTTTGGTACGTTGTACTCTGGACACGCTGTTGGAAATTTAATTGACATCATCACAGCCCTGGAAAGAACGTTTCTTGCGTACATACGCACATCAACGGTTATCGCTATGCAAGGGGTACTCGTTGCTCAACTCTTCCGTCTACAACGGCCGCCGGAGAAAGCTAATCGCCATCGCCTGTCGTTCTATGAAGTCGGTATCCCGCTTTCGGTTGCCTGTCACATTGTGGCTGTTATTGTCGCCTTGATAGGTGCGGTGCGATTCTTTAGACAACAAGATGCTATTGTTCGTGGGAAGGTGCATGCCGGGGGATGGGAGTTAAACTCAGTAGGGTTCTTATTATTCCTTGTAAGTTCTCCCTAAGACAATACTGGACCTCTGGATTCTAATCAATTCTCCACACTCAGGTTGTTGTGGTGACATTGATTCTTACTGTTATCACCTCGATCCAAACAAATTTGAACCCCGTCCCGCTTTCGACTCGAATATTATGGTCATGAAACATCGTCTATGATTTTGTCACGGCCAGATATGCATTTACAGAGCGAAGGAAAAGTTCACCCTAGATGGGCATTTTATTGAACATACATAATTGTGATTTCATTATATGGTCGCCAAATTTAACATCCATTGCCGGCCAAAGCTGTCTATCTTAGTTGTAGATCACACTCTCCCTTCTATCCGGGGCACTCAATTCAAAGAACTCTGACGGAACTTCTGTTCTTGTGTCGCACCCGCAGCTTTTGACCAAGTCGTGACCGTGACCGGTTAAGTGCGCTCACACGCGCATAATTGCTGGGAGTCACGAAAAAGGAAAGGATTAGAATGTCCGTCTCTGCGATTCCACTTCGAGTCATGTTAACGACCAACTTGCAAATGAAACTGACTTATTCCGGATTGAGGGCAGATGTTGAGCATTTCCAAGGTTGCGACGCCACAATGACGATTTTTCAATGAAATCTTTATATAAAATAGGAAGTTCCAGGCTTGCAGCCGTACCAGCCGGACATTCTATCAGAGAAAGCCTTTGGTTTGGGTCTATCGAAGCACGATCGATGAGTCGTCACTTTCGAATTGTAGAAGCTTTCGCTCACATGCTTGCAAATGTCTAGAGCCATCCGATATTGTATCTGAAGTTGTGTGTGGGATGCCCGGTCTGAATGAGTCCTTCGAACAGCGAGACCGGTTCTGTGTTGAAACACTCATTTGATCCTCTCGACAGCACAGTCTGGGGCAGTTGAGAGGTATCCCCAGTAAGGATTCCCCTTTTTCAACTCATTTAGATTGCGCGAGATTCCGTTGAGGGCTTGTGACCCGACCATTTGGGATGCTTCTTCGACAATCACTTATGCTGGCCGAGTGCAATGCGCGCCATAGGCGGTTGACGTATGGGACAAGCAGACTAAGAAAGTCTTCGGACAGAGCAGCAGTTCCGAGAGAGCCTCCTCCTGTCGCTTCCTCACAGAGCGAGGTAAATCTGAAAGGGCAAAAGACGGTAGTGAGAGTGCGAGTAGCTAGCGAAAGACTTGCGCTACGATGCCCCAATTGCCAAGTTAGGAAGCAATTGAAGGCAAGGTAGGCTGGCGATCGAGCATGGCGTATCCACAAAGGGCTTTGACGCTACAATAAGTCCGACCGTGAAAACACTGGTGGCTATTGATGTCGGTGTCATTTTTCTCCAGCCATGCTGTGCAGAGTAGAGCGTACTGGCGGCCGCTCAGCGCGACTGTGTCCCTGGCGACGACTACCAGGGGCAACCCATGTGCACGGACTAGAGGGGTAGGGTCCTATGGAGTTCGTGATGCCCGAATCATGCCGCTCCCGATCCCTTGTGTCGGTAAAATCAATATACCCCACGACGTTGTTCCTGCCTCTGGTCTTCCCTGCATCGACAGTTCTGGCTTCTTTGGGAGTCTCGGTGCGAATCAAACGACCGTATAGGGATCCAGGTTGAATGTAACCAAGGAGGTAGAAAGTCAGTGACCGCTCTGATGTTTCGATGCCGGGCAAGGTGTAGAGCCTGCTTGGTAGACTTCAAAGGCTCTATGCCCGGTCCAGAAAAGTGGGCTCCATCTGGGGGAATCAGGAATTATTAGACAGCAGTACATAGCGAGACAGACAAGGGTGCTTTTACCAGAGCGGGTAGATGTCACCCACCATCGACTTGAGCGATGGCAGCTCATGGTCTTGTATGTCGTACACGTATCCGTTGGTCACCACATGGAGTAACATAGACGAGCATCTGTAGTAGTTCTCTGTGAGATAGTGGGGAAGATGGTGCATCCCACTGGATTCCTAATATCGCATCGATATCTAGGATTTCTGTATCTCTCAGGTACTTTTCTAACGTGTACCTGTAGGGCTGCTTGCTCCCCACAAGTTCAAGGTACCGGCAGCAGAAGATCGGGATGAAGGGAGTTGCTGGGGCTCAGTGGGAGGGAGACGGTATCCATTGGGGGTTCTTCCAGTTAATCCACCATCAAACGAAGTGCACCGGCCGTCATTTCCGTTCCAGAATCTTTCTGCGAGCTGTTTCCAGTAGAAATAGTGCACACACATAAATATATATGTGCCAGTTTCTCGTCCAAAGAATCAAATAAGATGGTGCGAGGTATGTGATTGAGGTAATTAATTATATATGCATATATTGTTGAGGCTATCCAACCGAGCACTGGAAGAATCAGGAAGAGGAATCTGTACTATTCAATCTAGGGAAGGAAAGGCCTTTTATAGAAGGCCACAAACAAGCAAACAGGCAAACAAGTCAGAGCTCAGTTTGCCTAGTAAATGGTCTAATCTGCAGTCCAACCAAGAATATTAACACTTCAAGTCATCCATCGCTTTCCCTCCCCAACTAACCCACATACCCCTAAGATGTTGAAGAACCTCTTAGCGAGGTTCATATTTTAGGTGACCAACTCACCCTTGCGTGAGGTGAAACTTTGTATCGTCTACAAATCCTCACTGTGTCCTCACTACCTACTCAAGGAATCACAAAGCCAGAGTGAATGACGTGCCATGCCATATTGGTGTAGGTTGTGGTAGATGGTCTACACCGCCATCTCAGGGATGAGGTCGATCATGAAAGGGCCAAATGGCTTCATGACTATGAATGGGTTATTTCCTACACCCGCTCTACCTTGAAGATAGTCGTTGTATGAACGGTCAAACTGAATGAAAGTCATGAGAAGGAAACTAGTAGGTAATAAGGGTTAGCTACCCGAGTTCTCTAAGATTATCTTACATAATTTAAATACTCTAGGTAGGAGCAACTTACTGTCTATCGAAGCACACTTCCTCCCTGGGGGTGTTCTGCATATGCCATCCAGCTGCTTCGTAGGCTTCCTGTATCGGAATACTCGATGGCTCATTGTATCGAAGCTTCATCTTAGCCTCATCGATGCCAAGGATCTTCCTTTGTGGCCTTGATCGTAACGCACTGTCTGTATATAGGTAGGCCCCGATGGGGGAGCTGAGCAAAAGTAAATCAAGACAAAGGTATTTGATGAGAGAAGCGATTATCTTGGGCTTCCCTATCTAAGCGAGCAAATCAGACATGACTCAACTCAGGTTTTGTTTCGGGCAGGCATCCTCATTCAAACATGGAATATTATAAAAGTCTTTGAGCTCTTAAAGTAGCTGTTCATGCAATTAGCTCCCTCACGGTGAACGCAACACCCTCATGGTCACACCTTAGAGATCAAACAATTCCATCCTTGCCTTTCTTTATAAATACCACCTCTCCCTTCCCTCTTCTCTCTTCTTTTCTCCCATCACTTAACTCTCTCAACCAATCGTCTTTCGAGTTCCATGGACACATCTATCCACGAGCAAAAAGCCACGGAGTTGGAAACGCGGAATGTGGTGGATTCAGGTGCCCAGCTAATGAGGGACCTGAGAGATGTCATTGCCACTCTTATTCATCAACTCGCTGAAATCCAACGCGAGGAAGACAGTGACCGTGTGCTTCGATGGACAGTAAGTTCCAAGGTTGCTCCAAGAGTATTTAAATTATGTAAGATAATATTAGAGAGCTCGCCCGGGCGGGTAGCTAACCCGTATTACCTACGTAGGTACTACTTACCTACCTAGGTAGTTTCCTCCTCGTGACTTTCATTCAGTTTGACCGTTCATACAACGACTATCTTCAACCCCCCCCTCTCTCTTCTTTCTTCTTCTCTTACCCCTTCCCTCTCGTCTCTTCTTTCACTCTTCTCATTCTCTTCATCCAATCACCTGTTCTAGCTCTCTTCATCGTCAACGAGGACGAGAACCATTGCTACCGCCACTATCTCTTGCCAACTAGCACAGTGTGCCGATCATTCTCAAGTTCCATCCGACTGACAAGGTAAGGATGACTCATTACTCCAAACCTTCCAAGGCTATCCGAAACTTACTAAGACCATATAGTTTCGGACACCTGGAATGTCTATCCTCGTGGATTCCCTTTCGGGAAACCTTACGTTGGCCTCAAACATCAGAAATGTCTGATGACTCGGACTCCCCAGAAGTCGAGCACTCAGAATGCGAGTGCTTCGAGGCGCTGCCCAACGACACAGTCGAAGCTATCGGGTCGACGGAGAGTGCCATTTGGAAGATTATCAGAGAAAACAAAGAAACAACCGACGTGGTGAAATATATACGTTTCACAAATGTCCCACCAGCTATTGCGGGCAAGTTTTCTTTGCGCAATACTCGGCAGATGTTTAATCGCAGCACTCGATATATGATCGTCAAGCTCTTAACTGGGGCCCACGAACAGCTTCACGCAGCCTGGCTGGTGCAGTGCAAAATGAGATATACAATATGAGGCTAGACGAGTCGATCCGCCCGTTAGGGTCCAAAACCATCCAAGGTGTCTCCAGAGAGTGGGAAATTTGGCGCGGAGTCAATTAATTTCGCAGTTTCAAGTCAACCTGCTATCGCAGGTGGCGATCGTCGATGCGACGTAGGAGTCGAAGCTGGTCAGGTTTGAGAACCTAGATGGAATCTAGCTCCAACGAATCAAGACGATTATTTGTATTATCTTCCCATGGAGGGACCGTTATCAGATGTCGCTGTATCTCTTTCTCCTATAGACCCTGGGTCGTCTCACCATGTCCCCTCGTTAGACAATCACTTTGTTTGCACCGCCTTGGCATGCTCTAATCCTGCCATGTTGTTTTATAACCATTTCCGCTCTACACCCCAACCCTCCCGCCTCCTGGCTCCTGCCTCCTACCTCCTGCCTTGCAAGAACCCATCTACCCACACTCCATCAAGAATATATGAACATGAACTCGTTCATCACTCGAACATCTTCAGACACTCCCTAGTCACTATGTCTCCGGTATTACTCTACATACTATGTAATAGAACATTTCACCGTCCTCTGAAACCTCACAAAGAAGGAGACGATGAATGTTTCTATGCCTAAGCCAACTCATGATCCATGGATGATCCACGATCACACAATACAATTCAATGCTATAACGAACAAAATTCAACACGCAAGAGGCTGGCACAACTCGCCGAGGGCTACCGCGAGTTCCACGAGCAGGTGGCCATGCGGTTCTCTATGGAGCCCAGCGCAGATATCGCAGTCGAGCATGCCACGTACGTCCTCCTTTTGACGTACCTGAGGAGATACGAAATGTGAGATTCTTCCTAGTCTTCGGCAATCAATCCTAACAATTACCCCAGTCTAAGCGCTTTGCCATGTCTTCACTTTCATCTTTGTATGCAGGATTTTAAGGCTTGTTCGGAACTAAGGTAGGCTGACGGAGTCGATAGGCCAACGGAACGCGGTCCTTTCCCCGATCCTGAAAAAGTTCTTTGATTCGCGGCCCGATCCGTTCCCCACAGAATGTGACGTGGCCGCTGAGGTCGAAGACCACGGTACAACTTCTGGGTCAGCAGGCTGGAGAATCAGGGTCGATATCGACGAGCTCAGTAGTGATCTCCTGGTCCGCCTAGAAGTCAGTATGATGGGCGAAGAGCTCAAGGACATCGCGTGGCATCTGTTTCGTGAAAGCCCCCTATCGTTCTTTGCGTAAGACGATGTCTTCCAGAGCAGGTCCTGTATCCCAGCACAGAGCCTGAAAACCCTGTGCCTCTCGGTGCACAGCCTGGATGGTCGAGATGGATGTGATGGAGATGGAGACAGAGGTGACAGTGGAGGGAATTTCTGCAAGTCGGTCATAGCATGGGCATACGGCATACCGTGGGTCGCAGTCTCTCGCTCCGGCCACATTCTCGGTTGGAGTGCCCAACAATGTGGAGCCATTCCTATCAAAACGGACGGCACTAAGGACTGGTGCTTTGGACCTGCAGTGGCTGCGCATTTCATGGTGGCAGATTCCCACGAACGGGAATTCTTCACAAGAGACATCCTGGATGAGGTCTACGGGCTTGGGCAAGAAAAGCCCGAGTATATCGACGCCCTCATCAAAAATTTCTCTCACTTGACTATGCTTTTTGGTGACAAGGACGTTCTATACTCATGCTTCGCACACTCCCTTATAATTATACTTGCGAAGGGAATCAGGCACACACATGCCGCGGGGAGGGGCATTACTTTACATCACCTTCGTGTCTTTACCTAGCACCGACCCATCAACAAGACTTACGCAGAAATCAACGAGTGCCTGCAGACCAAGCACGACGCAATGGCCGAACATGACCCAGTCGGGATGTGCACAGCATCCCAAGAAGTGCTGCTACAACATCTCCCATCCCCTGGTTCTTGGATATTGGCAACAAGTGAGTCACACCGTCATGGAAGTCAAGTTGCCGAGAGGCCGAGGCAGCGCACGCGTATTTAGACGATATAACCCTCCTGAAGGGTATCTTGTCCGTCATGTACCCTGAAGGGTGATTGAATCCGTCAACTATGCCAGATGTGAGTGTGCCAGCTGTTACGCAGCCGTCCGGGTAGGGCCCAATCATACCACCGCAAGGGAAATACGCCGGGTGGATTTTGTCAACACAGGCATCGACTATGATAGATATGGTGCATTCATCCCGCCCCCGGCCGAGGTACGTCTCTCGGATGCGCTCGTTTTCCTACTTGTCATATCGAACAACATCCCCGTCCGTCAAAGGACGTACGATGGCCAGCGGATTTTAATTTGGATGGCTGACCGATGCGCGACCCAGTCATCCTATGGGCCTTCGATTTGCCCTTCATGGTGGTGTACGCGGACTACGTCCTTGCGAGGTCAGCCTTACGGCAGTACTTCTGGCTCCTCGATAAGAAAACACGCCATGACTCTCTGCCAGTGCGTGGATTCCACTTCGGACAACTGATTGCGCCGCCCGATCTCCTTGCTACGGCTAACACAGTTCACCTCGACCATGACACATACGAGGTACGGAACTACGACATTGACCTCACTTCTCGCCCACTGACGTGATGGCCATCGTTATTGCCGCCTTTACCTCTCCAACCCTCACTTGGAGCACCCAGATCCTCGATGTCATCATAAGTGTCTTAGGTGCAGGCAGAGCAGGTAGACCGACCTCCTAGGAACAGTTAGCACTGGGAGACGAGACCGGCGTACAAGGCCGTTTGAATGAACGCCATTGTCGAACAGTCACTGCATGCCTTCAAGCTCAAGGGTATCAGCTACGAATCGGTGACTTCAAGACAGCTAGCTAGTGAAGCTGCACGATTTGGATACGCCAGAGTCCCATATCTGGCAATGCTCAACAATAACCATAGCTGTGGTGCAAACATTGCGAAGAGAAAGGGCACACGGTCGTTCACTTCCCTGCACTGGAATCCCGTAGCTGGCGGGAACATGTGCGACAGAGGCTCCTCCTCTGTCAGATACACTACATTCGCGGCATGGCCAGGTCACTCGCAGCATTCACCCTGCAAGACCCTACGATAACGGCCTGCCTTTCGTCGTTTTCACCAGGGACACGGTCACGCTAGATAAGTAGCATGCAGCACGCCCTGCAGTGCGCACTGATGGATAATGTACTGATGGACAGATAATCATTGCCAGGGCCACTGGAGCTGGCGTCTCCTATCCTTGTTTACATTGAGACAGGCACCTGGCGTTCGAATGTTCGGGACGTGTTCGACACGTTCGAAACGGTGTACCTCATCGAATGCAACGAGTTATATATTCTCTATATTTATATTTCACCTTTGTCTAATAATCACATTTAGGAGTGGCCGAATGTGTGTTCCTCTTCTTCCCAAGGCCAACGACGAATCATCTTCCAGGACTACCGTGTAGTTCCGGCGAGAAAGGGTTTTCGGACCTCCATACTTTCATTACCATGGTTCTTCGACCATTGTGGACAAATTTTTAATTGTCCAGTGCAAGAAAGCTAGTTTTGAGGGACGTGGAGCTATTTGGGCCGAGTCCTCGTCAGCCTAACACTATTGCAGTCCCGACTACCTGCACGCCTGACATTGTTTTGTCGCGCTTTACAGTGGAGATGAAAGGAAGATCAGGACCTCCCGATGTACACAATCGAAACAGCAACAATCACCATGGACAGTACCCAGCCTCCGTCTGCCCCTGCCGGCAGGACTCCTCGCGACCGTGGAAGGGCCCGTACTCAGTTCTCTCAGTCTGTGGCACAGTTTCTCTTCTGTCTCACCTGCGTTCAGACGTCATGAAAGCCTGGCTCGCCTTCGGATACGAGAACGGCTTTGCGACCCGCTTTCAGATCACCTGCTCTCAGGACTCCGTTGATCTCGACGACTATCAGGTTTGTGCGACCTCGCAAGTCTCAAGAATGGAGAAGCCCTTTTGAAGAAGAAACCCGCTACTTTCTCGACGATGGCGAGTTGGGGATCTCCTATGGTGGTCTACTCAGGCTACTACGTCCCCGCCGGATCCATCTACGCCATTACCTCTGGCTACTCGATAAGAAGACTAGGCATGATGCAGCCTTCTGATGGGAAGGGCATCCATGGCTACGCCAGTGAGAAGCGTAATAGCACGCAAAAGGACGGCAGTGGCATGTGGGCTTTCTGCGGTTTCGGGCCGCATCCTGCAAAGGAATGCGCTTATCTGTGCGACGACGTCCCTCCTTCCTGGGAGCCATCTGGCAATCTGTGGGCTTGTTGCAAAGCTATACAAAAGGCCCAGAGAGAGAAGGTCAAAACAACATGGTTGTCGCGGCAACAAGCTGAACCGTCGCGGTCCCCATCAGTACACAACTCAGAACCCCCACAAGATGCGCGATCGACGGACTCGGAGGCTGAATCGTCTTGCACACACAAACCTCCAGATCAGTGCCCCACGCGACGGACACCTCAAGAACAACCGCAACAGACAACATCCGTCATTTGTTCGGTTCCTTTAACACAACCTTACTCGACGACTGCAATTACATTGACAGTCTCGTCGACAAGATCTCCCAAATCACACGGAGGGATGACGAGCTGAATCGCCCAGTTGATAGTACCAATGACTGGCTTCTTGATACTGGGCCAGACAAGACATTGACGCATGATTTCGATGATAGTTGCCTACGGCTTCCACTTTGGCCAACTGGTAGCACCTTCCAACTCACCTTGCACAGACAAAAGCGTCCAACTGGACTACGATACCTACAACGTCCGTGACTACAACTTAACCTTCCATTACTCCCTCATGTTGCAAGCACCAGGATCCCAGACTACATCAACATGGGTGGGTGGGAGCGAGCCAGGGCTCTATTTGATTGCACAACAATCTATCGACAACATCTTTCCGGATCATCAAGCCTGGATAGGTACGGATATGGTAATACATCACTTCAACTTGATGGGATAGGAGTTGTCCAGCGAGGAGTGAGAAGGGCCCGTTGCATTTTTACGGGCTACTGGATAGCACACACTGGGGAAAGCCTGGCTGTCCGGAAGATATCGATGATTATGCGCCAACAGAAGGGGCGCATATCATCCCATATTCATAGCCGTGTGAGGGGCTACGAAGATACAATGGACAAGATCCCTGGACTCATCTGTGACCGTTTCCCAATGGAGGCTGAGCCAAAGTGCTGGAAAAGCCAACTTATCGGTGGGCTATGTGGCCACGGCAAGTTCGTCCCGCCTCCCCCAGATGTCCGCTTGTCCGATCCGCTGGTCAGTGCAACGCCAGATGGCCGTCTGACTTCAACTGGCGACATCTACCCAGACCGTTGGCCGATGGGTGACACAGTGATCCTATGGGCATTTGGACTACCATTCAGGGCCGTCTACTCCGACTATTACCTCGGCACGTCTATGTAGGTTCCAACCTGCGCTATTATTATGGCTGCTTGCCAAGAAAGCCAAACACGATGGGCTGCCTAGCTGCAGCTTCCATTTCGGGGCAGGCTGCGGCCCCTCCGACGTGGGGCTCGTTGTTGTTCTGTTTGGGTTTGGCTTGCCGGTATGCAAATCTGCTCTATTCTCTCTCTCTGCGTCTGTTGTGCTAATATATATGCGTAGGTCTCGTGCCCGGACCCTTCTGAGCAAGGTGGTGGCCAAGAATGTTCTGCAAAGCGAACTCCAACTCCCCTAAAGAAGAGGTGAAAAGCAAATTGTTCCATGAGAAAACCGACACAAAGCACGTTTCAATCAATGTCACTGTTACCTGGATTTGAAAAAGAAATTCCCCAGAAGGAGAAACTGAATGCTGCACTGGAGGCAGCAGAAGAAAAGGGACTGAAGATCCCCATGGCCAATTCGTCGCAAAATTCGACAAACTGAGGCCGGGATAGGGAAATAGTTGAAAACGAGGGATAAGCTTCTCCTCGTTATCCGTGAACGCGCCGAATAGATGCTGCGACTGTTCTTCAAAGAAGAAGCACTGAATTGGGATTGGGAGAAGAGTAAGAGCCCGCAAGAGCCCGCACCGAGCGCAATTCATCCAGACCTTTGTATATAATTGTCAGCATTGGACTTGAAGCCAAGTTCTTTATCATGCCTGCATGGAGGAATAAGCTCAACTCTACAGCCAAGGACTTGCCACTTGTCCATCAAAATACAGGTTGCTGATGCTGCTGAGATACATCGCATTCTAGAGATTCGTATGGTTCTGATTTTCATGTAGAGTATACAGTGCATTTCCATCGTCACACGGATGGTCAAGGGGCTATCGAATGGCCCAGTGGAAACCCATAGCCTAGCTGTCTTTCTTTCATCATAATGATTATCAGTATCCATCATAATAACAGTCACATGGTGACTTTGAAGAGTCACTGCCATTTCTGATATCTGCTTTTGGCTGCCGTTCTTAAGTCTCGACAATAGTGGTCAATGGTCAATCCTGAGTAGACAGCCGCAGTCAAGGAGTGAAGACCTTGGAAACAATTCTAAGAAACCATCAATTAAAGTATTCACGGTCAACAGTTTCTGGTAGTCCTCAATTACCTAGGTAGATCAACTGCTTAGTATGACCCTTCAAGTGAGAATCAGCTACAACAGAGCACAGGGCCTCTGGGCTATATGATAAGTGATGAATTGCCTGGCTGTTTGACATTGTGCTGCCTTATCTTGACTAGAGAGAAGCAATTGCCATGTGACGCTGCTCGTTCCTTCCCCGTTTGTCAAAACTCGTCCCCCACCCCAGTTCCTTCCTGTCCTTAAGCCACTGGAAAATTATAAATACCCCCTCCCCCCCCAGATTCTCTCTTCTTCTTCTTCTTTTTTCTCTTCCATCCTTCCTCACGCCACATCCCCCGCCCCCCCTCCTTCCCCGACGCCCCCCGTCCCTCGGTAGGTGACGGTCCACTTCAGCTCCAGAGTCATATCCGATATATGTCTTCTGTTGACCAGTGAAGGACAACCCTGAGGCGCTGATGGCTCTTTGCTGCGGCCCAGTTAAGGCTGCGAATGGCACGAAGCATGTGGGGTGGGTGCCTTAAAGGACCGCTCGGGGAAACCCAAGATCTCTTGAGCCCTACAGGACCACTCAGGGAACCCTTAGGAATCCCTTGAGTACCCGATTTGGTATCAGAGCCTCCACCTCTGCAGAAACAGACTGTACTTTTCTGGGTTCTCCATTGGACATCAGGAGATCTGAAGTTCACTCAGGTACGTCTCCTCTTTCTTTGTTTCTTCCCTTCCCCCCCCTCCCTCCTTCCCCCTTCTCTTACCCAGTTGCACGGGTCCTGTGTGCAACACCTGAACAAGACTTGCACCTTTACGTGGTGTTCAGGATGAGTAGCCTCGTGGTGAAACCAAGCAAGTCCTCATGTACTTCGTCTTTAAATATGTTATGTCACAAAACTTCTACAATACAAGCAGATTTTATCTGTTTTCACCATCTTATCTACCCTGTAAACTTCTGACACCTAGTAAGAAAACATGTAATACTCACACAAGTGAAGGGTAAGCCAATTTGAAGTGAGAGAGTGTAGGTGTCGAATTGATTAGAGATTAGGGATAATGATCCCAACGCCAGAGAGGAGACGAGACAGCCTTGGGGCTCACAAATCATCACCTCTCCTCACCTCACGTCTCCTCATTTCGCTCATAGAATCCTCCTCCTCTCTTTCCTCTTCTCTTCTTTCTTTCTCCCATACAAACATTCATTCACAACCTCCACAAAGCCACGGTCTCATCCAGGCTTCATTTCGACTCTCAACCCCTTTCTATCCTCTCGTTGAGCAATGGCTGACAACAGCCAGCACCCTGTAAGTGAATCAATCTTTCTGTCTGTTTGCTGATGACTGTGTCTCCCATGAACCGGGTCATCTCAACATCCACAGATCTGAACCCCTCCATCATCTACACCCCCAGCCTTTCAAGATCTTCTCGGCGACGATCCATGTATTCAAACACCTCTCTATATCATCATCATCTACACAAGCAACTAGAGGCATCAAGAATACATGAATATCGGCTAACGTCTCATAGTTGTGGTGCAAACATTGTGAAGTGGAGGGCCACTCCGTCATCCACTGCCATGCTCTCTACAAAGAGCTAACCGATTTTGACGCCGCGTTCAAAATGGCCCAGGGCCAGGTGAGCACTCTAGCATGAATATTCATAACGGAACCAATTATTGACATGAAGCTTTCGTCATAACAGGCCTCTGACCCGAAAAATGCCTATCCTGTTGCCCATTGGGGCCAGGGGAAAAAGAAGAAGGGTAAGTACTATGCAGTTACCCAGATATCAGGTCCACCATTCCTCGCCCCCTGTCAACATGGTTTGTATATTTAGTGGAGCGATTTACTAATTCGTTGCTGCACCAGACGTGTCCGTTCCTGGCCTCGCCTGCCCATCAAACCCTTTCGCTCGTCTCAGCCCGTGGGAGGCTGACGCCCTGGCCAATTACCCCGAGGAACAATGGGCATATTGGATGCAGTGGGAGACCGACGCCCTGGCCAATTACCTTGACCAGCAATGGATGTATTTTCTGCAGTGGTATTCTGCGTCGTCTCGTCAGAACTACACCGAATGAAGGGAGGATCTCAGTCTCTTTTATTTCCCGCGATATCTTCAATCGAGAATGCCTTGGATGAGGCATCCAGTATCACACTCCGTCGTGACACATCTTTTCTGGCGTAGGAGTAGCTGCTAGTATTGAATCTCGTACCGGATGAGCCATCCCAACCGGATGAGATTTAATAATCACCCACCACCACGTACTAGACTGCGTTGTTGGCGCCTCTGGCGAGGTATTGTTCTACTCCTCTGTGCTAAAATCCATTGCAATCAGAGACATGTCACTTTCTCAATGGAATGAGACTTCGAGATGACTCCAAAATGCGATCAACTTCGTTGTGAATTCAACAGAAACTCAAATCAAAACCGATTTGAAAACAATTCATAGCAACGTCACCATACCACCTGCCCCGACCACAGCCAATACCTGTTTCGAGTGGGTGTTCATCCGGATTCTCCGCAAACGCTGGTATGAAGAAGTTTCAATCAACTCTCAACTCCGATCAAGGTTGTCCCATCCCCAAATAACATGAACTGTCTGCGTTGTTGAGCCTACTACTTACACTGTCTATCTACGCTTGTAGATCACACGCGCTCCATCGTGCCGTGTCAATCCATTCAACGAAGCTCACAGCTCGAAGCTGCCGGCCGCACCCCCTGCGAGTATTGAAACTGAGATGCAGACATTACGTACCCCTTCGATCTGCTAAAAACACACCATATCGATCTTAGCATTGATCCCACCGCCAAATCAACTACCTTGCTAGCATCAATATTTCTACCTCTGGAGTCATCAACCCACGATGACGACTGGTACCAGTCCATGGATTACATCCGTTCGGGAATGAATGCGAAGAATGACAACGCCACTCTAAGGTGTACACAGCGATGGAGAATGTCCGAAGGCACAATAGAATCCACTTGCGCGTGTTGCGGGTTTTGCTCAGCCATGAGCTGGTTACTGAGTCGGATGATGGAACCGAACCAATGGAGGTCCTTCTACAGAGACAAGAAGTGCGAAGAGACGCACCGGACGATGCAACAGGGAAATATGAACGCACGCAGCATATGGACAACCCTCGGCCATCATTCACAGGTCATGGAAATGGAGGGAACTGCGACACCCCTGGAGGAGGATATTCTAGATATCCCAGCGGTCTTCCCACGGATACATCGCAAAGCTTGGCGCTGCCATACCCTGGTCACACCCGTCCTCAACCACGGACCACAGTCCAACGGAACCCCTGCCTCACAACGGATGCCGCTAGCAGCCAAAGCCGAAAGCCAACTGTCGTCCTGGAAGTTAGGCTGTCTGAATGAATCGCAAGTAAAGCTAGAGCGGATGCGGCGCTTTGGTTAGACCCCGCAGGAAGGAACGCCAATATAGTGTTGACAGTGAATATGGACCGGAGGTAGCCACATATTACATTGAAAAATGGGTATGGGACGGCGTAAACGGGCAAATGAAGGGACCTGCGCATCATGGTCGCTGAGAAAGCCAGAGGCCATTGAGCTTTGAACGATCGGTTCAGGAAGGCAATTTGTCGCTCCGGGGAATGATCAAGAATCAGGGAATCAAGCGCAAAAGCATACTCTGAATAGAGCTTTTGTATTACATATTATACTCCAAATTTCATGCTCATCACCACAAAGTACATATGCACTCACCGTTATTGTAGAGACGAACACCTCAAGACCATGGGAACAAAACCCCTAAGCTCCATCAACCCGATGATCATCACCAAAACGACCAAACAAAACTACCATCTACGTTCCGTCCCGGGTAAACCATACGAAACCCGTTTCAAAGAGACCAGCCCACCGAAGTCCTGCAAGGCGAGATGATCATCCAGCCCCATTGAATCCCGACCTTTCCGCCAGGTGAACATGGACCATTTTTCTCTTCAGGCTGGGACCGAATCCATAAACCGCAACAACATCCTTCAGAAGTGTGTTGTAGACACGTTGGATCGGCGCTCATGTCTTAGAACACTATTCCGTACTCAGTATTCCGTACTCGTATGTTGCACCTATATGAAGTCCAGCTCACACCGGAAGTCCTCGGTCCGCTAGCGGAGCAGACTGGGGCAGTCGAAGCGGAGACCACGAAGCTCAGCCCTCAGCGCCCGCAAGTTAATTTTCGAACCTGGTGTGGGACAGGAACTGAACAGGATAGGAACATGTTTCCGTCAAAACGGGGGTTCCGTGCCGCTATAACCCACATGGACATCGTACATCGTACGTACATTGTACATTTCGTATACGGAAAAGAAATCCACAATAGCAGTCACGGGGGTCTAGACGATTCTCGGATTGGCAGATATGACAGCAAAGGATCCAACACATCGCACTTCGTTCATGTACGTTGCACGCTGAATCAGGTGGGACTCTAGGCACTTGGTATATAATCTCAGAGACGGAAATACCAAGAGTGGAACGTGTCTCTGTGAGGACTTCTTTGGGGATCTTGGCGCGCGTTGGGCCGCTCGGATGTCTCGAATTGTGTCGCTTCACGAGGGTGTGGGTCTCTTGGCGAATGTCGATCCAGCCTTATTGAATCTAATTGAATCTTGGGCTTTCGGTCTTTCGGTCTTTCAGGGGAAAAAGTACGGGTCTTTTTCGGATTGGGGGTATACGTGGGGGGTTAAAGACTTGGTTACCCCCTTTTAATTTCATGGGGTTAATGGATATTTATGGATATTTAACCCGAGTCATGAGTGAGACTAGATTATCTAGGCATCTGGGCACGCTGTATCCATTGTATTACGGTGTACTTCTCATTGTATACAATTCATTCGGGTATTGATTTTATGTATGTACATCCGAAAATATCCAGTCGCCGACAGTCCTTGGCTCTCAATTTCGAGAAAGGACAAAGAGAAAGGGGGTAAAAAAAGAAAACACCAACCATGATCTGAACAAATATGATAAAGGCCAGAAATAACTCAAAGTGTGAATCATAGAAAGGCAGAAAATGCAAGATATGAAAAATAAAACAGAGTGACATATCCATGGATAGACACTTGACAGAGAGCAAAAGCCGCCAGGGCATTGCTTCATAAGAAATCATTCATCCTCACTAAAACGCTCCAAAATTAAGCTGTCTGCATAGGAATGCTAGTCATAGGCAGCGGGGGCGGAGCCTGCTCATCCTCCTCGAACATCCACTTCTCCAATTTTTGAGCCATGCGCGCGCAGAAGGGATCAACATATCCAGTCCACAACGTAGCACAGAAATAGACCAGCACAATCCAAGACGGGATACTGATAGCCACGACCCAAGGGGCGCGGATAGGGATCCAGTGCGGGTGGAGGGGTTCGCCGTCCTCGCCGTAGATCGGGTTGCCCTTTTCGTCGACGATATCGCCTTCCCAGGGCTGACCAGTGATTCCGTAAAGCATCCAGCACAGAACGGTGCGGAGGAGAGTGCCGTGCACGAGGTAGACAGCGAAACTCTGTTTGCCGAGCCAGAGGAGGAGACTGCTAGAGAGGAACTCCTTCGTAGAAGGGGAGATGTAGATGGCGAAAATTATGAGGTCGACGCCCAGGGCGGAGTAGCGCTTACCGACGTTGACTTTCGGGGGGAAGATGTAGTGTGAGGCCTGTTCCATGTAGGAAGACCATGTGGCCCATTCTGGGTGTTCTCCGGGGTACGAGCAGACGAAGAGGCCGAGGCAGAGAAGGATGCCGGCGACGATCTTGCGGCCCCAGCTGTGGCGTTCGACGAATTCTTTGAATCCTTTCTCATAGGAGAGATCGCTGAGGAACATGCCGTAGATTGCCTGCATTTGGAAGGTTTCTATTCCTTGATTAGTACCAGGGGTGCGGATTTGGGTTTCATGTACAATATAGAACTTACCGGTGTCCTTTGCGGCGTTCTGGTGGAAATAGAGGTACATGCCGAGGTAGATGGCCACACGGAATCGGAACTTGCAAAACATTGTTGCGCAGATAAGGATGTAAATCAACATAGATGCCTGGAGCAGCGGAAGTAAAGCCCACTGGTGGTCATCATATGCCATATATCCCGTAGTCCAGACCTCAAGGAAGGTCTTGAATAACCGGACAAACTCCTCCCAGAAAGTAGGCGCCAAATCGACGGCCGCGTACCGACACCACCAACAGTCGGAGCGGTTAGCGGTGATAAAGGCGCCGCACTGCGCCATGACCCATGAGATGATTAAGGCGATAGTCGCGGGGAAGATGAGACGAGGTGGGCGACGGAAGGCACTCTTGCCAACCGAAGTGAAAGATCCAAGGATATCGCCATTTCGAGACTGTTTGAGCGGCTTAAGGGCACAAACGTAGCCAGTCAAGAAGGCGAATATAGTAACACCCAAACGGCCTTGCCAAGGAATACGGAAGACGGGCCACTGCAGAATTCGGGGAGGTTTGTCAACATCGTCGCGGGGAGCAAAGAGGTCATAATCCCATGCTCGGGCAAGGTGAGTGAGGATAACTAGGAAGGAAGCGATTCCTCGTAGGCCCTATTCATATCGTTAGTAACCGGTCCTTATAAGGCTGAGAAGCGAACGCACATCAATCCACTTGACACTTTTCCGCGGATCACCTTTCACCGATGGATCTGCGGACTTCCAGGGGATGTTGTCCAATATGCGGGAGTATAGATGGTTGGGCTGGATATACTCCATGACGAGTATAAAGAGTGAATGAGAAACCAAACAAGTCCGATAGGAGACTCGGGGTGTCTAGTGGGTTCGAAATGGAAATCCAAGTGCGACCATAAACATTGAATGATTGAATGTCGAAAAAGCTCCCAAAAAAATGCCGAAATAAGAACAAGATGAAGCAAGAAAGAGGAAGGGACAGTGGTCTAAAAGATGCGAAACCTCCCCATAGATCAACGAGCGCAAGGAAAAGTTTCAAAAAGAGGCCAAGAGAGCAGAATGGGGTATATGTAAGAGAAATCCGAATCAATGCATTTCCCATCTCAAGCGGAAAAGAGTTCGAGGCGAATGAGGACTGGGGATTTACTTGGAGGTATCGCGTGGGGCCTTGGTGGACCCTGGAAAAGTTGTAAAAATTACAAGGGCAATACCTTTTGAATTATGGCGAATATGACGAAAGTCTTGTAAATTATACCGATTTATGCATAAGGAATATCATCCGCTCGTTTACCGTATTCTGTTGCCTTGCAACTATTAAGATGTGGCTGAAAGAGGACGCGTATAAAGACGCCACATGTTATGTATGTGTGTATGTGTGTATTAATAGTTACTCCGTACACCGTCGGGGATGAGCATTACCCTGCATACTCTACAACATACAAAACAAGTGAAGGGGCTTGTCCCTATCTCCCCTAGAATGAAGCTATCCCGAGGTCAGTACGTAGCTGACGACGCTCACATAGAAATGGGCATCTAACCAATTACATACCCTGTATTTTCCCCATATGAACCCATGGTCTAATGGCCGCCTCAAATTACGCCAGATCTTGGCATTGTTTGCACGGAGTCCCATACTGCACTGTGATTGGTCAGATCCATCCCAGCGGCAAATCGGAACAAGGGTCTCCTCAAATTTATTTTTTTCTTAATTTTATACGTTGACGCTATGCCATTTCGAGGTTGCAAAGGGATGCCCAGGTGGAATTTAAGAGAAGTTAACCCCCCTATTTCCGCCATATACGAAACCGAGACTGGGCATTTGAGTCTCTTTGTTGTCTCCGTAATAAATGTCAGAATACTTCGAGGATGTTGTGGCCCGTCTGTTGTACGGAATATCTTGTATGATGTATATTACACACGTTATCTGACACTCGGACTCCGTGAAGATCGCCTCGGGAACTTCCCGAACCTCACCGTGAACACAGGAATGATCAACAATTGAACTCTACGAAGAGGCATTCCGTCTCCCTTTCGGAATGTAACGGTACGGAGGAGTCGACGGAGGAGTCGACCTTGATATGAATCGACAATTTTTGAAACATCTATCACAGCTCAATAATATCCTATCTAGCCAATAACGCGGAGCAAATTCTTGGCACCTTCCTAGTCGCGGGATTAATTATTCAGGTGGCTCACTGGCTCAGACTATTGGGAAAAATGGGTCCTTCTAGAATTTTAACGCCAAATTTATCAACTTTAGTATTTGTCTATCTGCCCTATGCTGCATGACAGTTGATCGTCCTGAGGGTTTCCGATTAACCTCGGTTCTCAATCACATGACATGCGATAAAGAAACGTGGATTGAATATTCCATTTACTTTAGTCTTTTTAATTTCTATTTCCATTCCAATTATTAGAGCCACAAATAGAACATATACTAAGCTTAAGGGAGAGATAGTGAACGTGACGCACGGCAAACCCCCCCCCCCTAAGCCCTATAGGGATCACCTTCCCTGTCAGCGCATATGCATGTACCACGGAGTACGAAGTAGGACGGAGTGTCTTTGTCTGACCGAATAGGAGTATCTCAGTTCTTGGCGACCCATTTATTTAGCGAAACCTGAAAGTCTGAGCGATTTTCAGCCCTGGAAGGTTCTGATAGGAAAGATCGTTGCCTTGTGGTCACATGTCTAACCGTCGAGGTTCCCCTGTATTATAATATTATCATATGAGCCGGGGTGTACGTGGCGGCTATCTAAATATAATCCCAACTCGGAGATGGGGATTTCCGTTTCGCATACGTTGTATCTACGTATTCGGATTTGAGATGCTCTTTTAGCCACCAGTCAATACGTTCTGGAATCGGCATTTTCCGCCTGTGGACCAAATACCCACTTATATCATAATTTAAAAAGATTTAAGGGTCTCGGGAAATTGATCAGATATAGTTCTCCAGGTAATGTAATTAAAATGACAATACATAATATACTTGGCGAACCCGGATGGTGGCGGGCCAAGATCACGCAATTTGGTTTCAACCCGACACATCCAGTTACTTAGGTACCTGTGGACTGAATTTACCCCTTATTCAGGAGAATCAGGAGAACCTGATGGTTTAGGGGCGGTAACGGGAGAAAAGAAAGAATACGACTCTATCACTTCCAATATGCGGCTTGGACATACATTCACGACTTTTCTCTCATGGGCCTTGGTTGCTTCCGCCACCATTCTCGAGAACGGTCAAGTCAGAGAGAACTCATATCCCGGCCAGTTAGAACCGGTGACTCTGGACGATTCATGGAGGGACTACCCCGCGGATGCCCCGGAGATCTCCTACAAAGGTCGATGGGATAGCCAGCACATTTCCTGTATGTTCCCCGTCTCGGGGCTCCTCTTCCCCAGATTCTTATTTTAACCTTAACACTAACCTTGGAACAAAATTCAGGGTGGTCGTATGTATTAGTACTCTCTACTATTCTGTCCTGTTTACTAATAAATCCAGTGCACCGGGCATCAAAGTCGAGTTCTCTGGGGAAAAGGTACATGTCCATTCCGATCAACCTTAAAATGGGTCCACATATTAACATCATTCCAGCTTGCTGTCCACTTCGGTGAAAACACCAACACAGGTGTTCTAGTGGCTTACCGGTATGTATGCATCTTCCTCGCCATGTATTCAGTGTCCTAACTTTTGGCAGTATCGGCTCTCTTGACTGGCAATTCTCTAATATCACCGCCTCCTCAACATACCAATTTGTCGGCCCATGGTCAGAGCTGAAAGATGGTGATGAACCCGTCGACAAGAATGTGTTTGAGATGAGAGGTATGCATTCCATCAAACCTACTGGCAACCTGTATACTAACCGTATTGTAGTGACAAATTGGGGCATTGGATAAGTCTCTCCCTGTCGTTCAACCTGTTCGTCACTGACCATCCACACAGTCCAAATCGCAGGCGTAGCTGTCGCAAAAGACGCTGTCCTCACCAAGCCCCCGACCTTCGAAAAGAGAGTCGAGATCATCGGCGGCTCGTGAGTCTTCATACCTTCCCAGCTACTCCCCCACACAACTAACTGTTCCCAAGGCTTGCATCCGGACAATTCGCCACCTACGAGACGATCTCCTCATGGTCCTTCCTCTTCGCCAACGGCTTGGGCAATGTCGAATACGGCATCACAGTTAGTCCCCTCCAGCCTTGATTCCTGAATTCCAGATATGCTAACACAGTCTCACAGGCCTATCCCGGCGTGTGTCTCGCCGATGAACAATGTTACGGCGGCAGCTCTCGCGGCGTGGTATGTCACCAACCCCCCTCCCACCAGGAACCCCGCCATCTAACAAACCACTAGGGGTGGTACTGGCACCGCGCCTCAGACCCCGGCTCTCGCGCACGTGCAATGTACGACCACAACCCGGAGAAGTGGGACGTGAAAGCAGAGCAACCAGCCGATCTGGTGATCATCCAGATGGGCGGTAATGATCACCGCCAACCCAACGAAATCCCCGGCAGAGATTACTATCACGCCTACGTCGAGTTGGTAGAGGATATCCACTCCAACTGGCCTAATGCTATCATCCTCCTCATGGTATGTCTTTATTGCTCTACAACTTTGGTCGTGAATGTTCGACCTAACTTTAACAGTCCCAATGGGGAACTTTCTCCAAAGAAGGCAAGAAGTACGTCGGTAGCACTTACTACCAGGAAGAGACTCGGCAGGTCAATGAGCACTTCAAGGACCGTGGTTTCGTCTACTATTTCCCCACCGAGGGTCTGCTGCAACATAACGATATCAATCCCAAGAACCATCTTACGGATGTGGGACATGTCAAAGTTGCGAGTCACTTGTTGCAGTGGGTTAAGTTGATTCTTAGGTGGAATCTTGAACCCACGGGTGAAGTGCAGTCTGGAACTACGTACTGGAACGATCAGCAGGAATACTGATCCTTTCCGTTGTGAAATCGGGGCTGGATACTGATTTAGCCTTTGTACATTTACTGGATACATACTTTGTACAGTGTGGATAAACTGAAGGATTACATATAGAACATATGCACATACCTTTTATGGCATTGTAAATTTTGCATTTTAACTTTGCTAATCGAAGTTGTCCACGGGCATATACTGAAGTAAAGTGGTCATAGGAACTATCCGTGACCCCTTTGGGCGACGGCCTTACCATTATACTACTATATTTCTCCCCGCCTCACTTGGCTTTCCTTTTAGCTGTCATACTCCAACCTGCCAGAAAAGCTTTCATTCCCTCAACACACGTATCAAAATTTCCTTTTTCTTTTTTTCTTTTTTTCTTTTTTTTTGGGGGGGGGAAAGTACACCCAAATCCAAAGCCATGAGTCCAACATATGACCAGATGCTTGAAGCTAAGCAGAAATTCAAACCAGTGAGACGATACGGAAAGACCGATTACTACCACTATGTTACCAGGCGGAGTCTTAGATATAAGAACTACCTCAAATTCGAGAGCGACATATTCGCAGACATTATCATCGCCGAATATAAAGTCCGCCAAACACTCCAAGAAAAAGAAACCCTCGAGAGAAAAATCCGGGCATTGGAAAAGCTTCCAGAGAACGACGAGGACGAGAAACGACTTCAACTATACCATCAAGAGCTAGAGATAGTCAAACGAAACCACGGTTTGAATGAGCAAAAGATGTTCGCCGACGAATCGATGATCCCGCCAGGGCCCTTGAAACGGGACTACGATGCCATGAGACAAGATCCAACCTGGTATATTCGGAAAGAGTTAATCGAGGACTGCGTCGGTAGAGGCGGTTGCTGCGCGCGTGGTTGTGACTGCTGCAAGAATCGTGCATTCGCTTACTATAAGAGGGGTGTTGGACATTGTACAGCGGGCTGTGGGTGCTGTGCAAGTGAGAGGGGGGTTGAATATACTGCTGGAGAGAAGCAGCGGACTGTAGAGCAGCTTGATAAGATGCTTCGATCGCATAATCCGTCGTATGTTGTTAAGATGGCGGAGGCTTATTTTGCTAAACCGCCGGAGCAAAAGGTACCGGAACAAGTACAGAAGGAGAAGGCGCAGAAGAAGAAGGCGTGGTGGAAACAGCTGCTTTAAATTGGGATGGTAATGGGATGCTTGTGTATCCTTTGCTTCCAATCTTTTTAGTGTTGAATTTTATTTTGCTCTCTAGCTGGAGTATGAGAAACATGAGAAGTGTTTGGCATGAAGTGGAACTACCTTATAACCCCGTATCAGAATGAATTCTTTTCTCCGCTCGGGTTTTGCCCTCCGTCCAGGGAAGGGAAGAAATAACGAAGGAACTCTTCGCTAATGGGGTCATAAGGGAAATGTGCATCGCCTGCAGTGCGGTCTTGGGAACTTGGCGCCGCTAAAAATCCAAACGCTAAAGAACCCGTGAGGTCCGGGTTGTTATTGGAATGGTCCATGGCATGACTTTCATGGGGAAGAACTGATGATTGACCTTGGCCGTTGTAAGGTAAGACCTGCCCACCACCAGCTGTTCCATCGTGCTGTGCAGGCGGTACAGCATCGCCATTCTCACCAAACTGGTCGCCGCGCCGCCTCTTTGGAGGGGGTGGTATGTCACTGTCGTCGTATCCCATGCTAGACACCAGTCGGCGAACTGCACTTTCACAAAGTTGCCATGCACGACGCGACGCGATGCAATGCATGGACATCATGTGAAGCCATCGGACAGATTTCTTCGCCGACTCAACCAAATCACTTTCTCGGTCTGGCGTATGCGCACAGTGAAATGACAGCTCCAGTATGATTACCGTTGCTGTCTTCATGATATAGTGTAGGAAACACCACCATGGGCAAAACCGATATAGATGGCCCATGTTCGGCTCGTCGGGCAACAAATCGAGCATCTGCATGGCGGATTCCAGGGTCATCACAGCCATTTCATGACTAAATCCCCGCTGGTCAACACTCTTCCGTTCTCTGTCGGCCCGACTGTGTCGGCAGAGAGACGGCCGACCAAGCATGATTCGGGTATTATAATAGTGAAATGCCAAGTTCGTCTTCGCCCAGTAGGATTGTTGATTTTCGTCTTTCACAGAAGTGAAGTCCAGCCCAGAAGGAAGAGACGATACCCATGCGTCCACTGTTGTCTTCAGTCGGCTGGTCCTGCTCTTCATATCTTCCCATGATACCGTTGCACTATCTGGTGAGTAGACGTGGTCTAGGATTTCTTGGTTCACGACTGCGAGATCACAGTAGTATAGGAAGTAAAGACTGGGATTGACTGGCAGGCTTTGAAGCCACGAGCGCGCAGCTAGTGTATCTTCACTCTGATGAAGGTCGGGATGGCGAATGTGCGGGCTAGTCATGGCCATGTCCACGCGTTTGTCTCTTTCATCCAGGTTCCCGAGAAGCATTGTAGCTGTTGGCTCTGACAAATGATCCTCGTTGAAAGGAAGTGGTAGTTGGGTGGTATACATACTGGTCGAAATGGAGGTTGCGCGACCAGTCATCGAGCCTAGCGTGTGTTCGACGGTGTAGAGACACCACCAGATTCGGCAGCCTATCTCCTTCGACACGCCTAACATCTTATGGCAGCTGCTCTTCAGGTTAATGCCAAGGGAGGTGGCGGATCGAATTGCTAAAGCCGAGATTTTCCACGCCCTACATTTGTCAGATTCATTCCGTAAGGGACCTCGGGAAGGGGTCAATGAACTCACCTATTAACCTGGTTTGTAGAGAGCATGTGAAATGCAATCAGTCCCTCTATTTGCACTTGTTGAAGGTCCGGATGTTCGAATAGACTATCACCGCCCATACTTAGCATCCTGGCTCGTGTTAAGTAGAAGAGATGGTCTTTGATATCCCCCCGCTGTGCCCCATCACTGTTATACAAATATTCTGCCGCAATGGCGAATATCATGTTCAATATCGCCAGCCATTTATCACCCGCATAAGATCTATCATCGAAGAAGTCCCTATATTGGGTGGAAAACAGAGTGCTGTTGATGATAGGGAAATGCGGGTGAACAGCGCGCAGATATGTCTCAAACAGGTGATCTGCCACTTGCCGAGGTGGAACCCAGTACATTTGTACCGGCCCGGGTGCATCAACACCAATATCATCAATATGATAGTTGACCATGGATGGAGCAACTTTGTCACCGGTATGATCTTCCGACGTTGCCTTTGGTGATTGACCGCGACTGCGCTGCTCTGTCTCTTCCTGCACACGGCCCATCCACGTTATTTCTGAACTCTTGCCCATATATCCAGTCGCCCGGGAGCTTTCCGTTAAATTGAGGTCTTCCTCGACTCGGTCCACCGCTTCTAGTGACCCAACGGAAGAAGGTGAAGGGGATCGCTTGGACCCATTCTGATACTGGGACGCATCGGGCGTTGAATTTGACCCATAGTCTGAATCGACGTTATACTAGTAATGAAATTAGTCAAGGGGCGAATTTCGATATGATGGACTCCTTACCTTCTGGAGTAGATCTTTAATGCGCTTCGCAGACTGGCCGTCGACTAGATTCCCTATGTCTTTCAACATAGACTCGTAGTCCTGCACCTGTTGATGAAAACTTTCGATCTGCCTGGTAGTGAGTTTAGCTCATGTTCCAATTTGTTTCATGTAGAAGCGGTATAGGTATATTGGTGATTGAGACAGATGAGCTGTTCTCGTTGTTCTTACTTCGTCGTTCTCTCACGCGACTTTAGCGGATAGACGCATGAACTATTTGTTTCTTCGCATTGTCTGCAAGTTGGGGTCTTGCCGTTGCATTTTATTTTTCGTTGACGACATGCTTCGCACGCTCGCGAGACTCGTTTGTTGGACGGCGGTGCGACAATGAAACGTTGCCGGGGGATTGCGACTTTCATGGCCAAAGCTTTCCCCTGTATTAACAGGTAGTCAAAAATTTGGAGGGTATCTATTATTTCATCAAGGTCTCTGTTGATCTGTTGAGTTGGCAAGTCAAGAAATGATGTCATGTCGCCTGGATCGACACAGCTTTCTATGACATCACGAGTTGATCTATCAACTTATTTTTAACGAACAATATTTAACCTTAGATAACAATAATTAATGGAGGATAATTGAGACGAAAAGAAAGATCTATTCCAGTAAATTTTGGGACGTCCACGAACCTACACAGCATTGTATAGCCAGATTTGGAAGTCATAAGCCCCAGGCATTTCAAACTCAGCAAAGGGCATCCATGAGAAATAGCTGGTTAGGGTCGACGCCAAAATTAGAACATCAAACTAATTTAGATGTGCATTAGAAGAGAAATAGTTCTGTAATTGAACTCATTCTACTATTGGTCTGTCGGCCGAAGCGATCGACATATCTCCATCCACCTGGGCAAATAGGAACAGTTAGATAGCCGCCACTATATGGGCTTTACAAGGTTCTTATCCACTTCATTGATGCCATACGCGTTCCCGCTAGTCATATTTTTATCTTTTACCATTTCTCTCTTTTCATTTTGATTGTTTCTCACGGTCACGAATACTCCAGAATTTTGCGGACACATTGCGCAAGCTGATTTAACATAGATAATTTGGAAAGGCGGCCTTCAAATAGTTAGCTAGCGGAACGGAAAAAGGGAGGTATTGACTGAATATCATTCTTGTCCTAATCTGATGATGCACCGTCTCAGTGCCCAATTAAAGGGTAGCTCCACTAGGATTTCTCGTTTTCGTCCTTGAACGCCATGCAGGCTTTTGTTTTTCCGCTTATAGTGAGGTGGGGCGTCTGGGGTCGGTATACACACCCGATTTAGATAAAGCTAGAGAATATCATGTGTAAAATGCTGATGGATTCCTTCATTTTCGACGATATTGAGCAGTGCGGGAAGTATTATATAGAACTAGCCGTACCAGGGCTTAAAGGGCCCAATTGAATTCCAGTACGATACTCGCTGATCTGCATGCATCAGATATCTATCCCGAGACGAGGTTGACGTAGGCATTAGTTCTGGCTTGGTCTTAGGCTGGGGTGGACCGGGCATGTCGCCCTTCGGCGCTTGCTGAAACCGGCTGAGGTGCGTATAGGGAACCACAAGTGTCTTTGCGCTGGCGCATTGTTCTTGCTGGCTTGGTTGGCTCTCGTTGGCCCATTATTGTTTGAACAGCCCATCAGCTAGTTGACTGCTGCAGGGGCAACATTATCGCCAGAAAATAGATTTGGAATATGGCCAAGTTGAAGCAAAAGCGGAGTTCATCTATTCCCCGTTCAATGTTCGGCGCTTAGATCAAACAACAGGTGTTTCGGTGTCTTAGAAATGAAGCTCCTACTTGGGTATATATAGCAACTAGAGAGCTTCCATTCTCACATTCGCTCGTATCGGACTTCAACAGGTTTCTCAAATTAAAACCTGGCTTCCGGTCTAATTTTTGGAATTTCTGGCGGAATTGGCCTCAGGATATCCTAATAATGAGCAATAAGCGCCAAGTATTCCTTTCACTGCATCATCGGGACGCTCTGTCTGTTGGCGGGAACAGGCAGCGATTCGGCCATGCGGCCTACCACTGGGGGATTCTCATTTCTCCCAAAAGTTCCAAGGGGCCTGATTGCTATGCTTTCGACGTGAGCGACGGAATCGTCCTCGATCCGGTGCGCAGAGTCAATCTCAACCCGAACGGCAACTGGATCTTTCGAGAAAAAGCAAACATCAATCCACAAAGTAGCGGTCACCTTCTTGGAAGGGTCATGATTGGGAAGGTTCCCAATGAGGTTACCTATGCCCAGATCAACGACCTTCTCGCAGCGATTCCACTTCCACAAAAGGGTGCTCTGCCAGTGCAAAACTGCGTCACTTGGACGAAAGTCGCCATTTGGAAACTTCAGGAGAACGGTCTGGTAGAGAAATTCGACGTCGGCCGGTTCATGGACGACTCGCTTGATTTCGCGGATAAACGCATTCGCAGCCCCGAGTCTACGCCTACCAGCATTAATTATACTGCTCGGCGTATGTGATTGCGGGACGCCTTAGATCAGATTGTCTCGATACTGTCACGCAAGGTCCAGGCTCGGAATCAGATGTTCTTTCCCTCGCCATAGCAGTTGTGGCTCGTCCAGTCGTCTCCAGAGAGTTTGTTCTGCTCTGAGTTCGTCGTCATATCTCTCCATAGCATCTTCCAATCCATCATACCACTCTGGCCGATCTATCTGACCGTAGTGTGCCTTAGTATACTCCCAGTATTCTGGGTACCAGCCGCCAAATTGCCAATCAACAATCGCAGAGACTTTCCCATTGTCCACCATGATATTCCGCGGGGCGATATCTGCGTGGGTGAAGCAGCTTCGATAATGACGGGAGTGGCATTCAGTGACCTCTGGGCCAAATACTTCGTTGCAGTCCTCGATTGGAGCGTTCGCACGAAGGTATGAGTGGAACCCTTTATGACTCGTAAACGGGCCGAAAGTACAAGATCCGACTCGGTGATCCATGGCCTCGCCTAAGCTTGCCGATGCAACCATTCCTTCTCGCGGAGGTTCTAGATTTCGGAGCTGGCTGATGTAGCCCGCAACCTCAGCGATGATGTCTTTCCTCTGGTCTTGCGACAGGTGGCCATGGTACCATGCTGCCTCGAGGTTCATTCCACGGATATACTCCATTTCAATATATAGATCACCATCGTGATAGTGCGTGTTGAAAACTTTAGGAACAGGAATTGTTGTGTGTTCAGCGACATATTTCAAGGCTGCTAGCTCCGGAGTAGCACAAGGTCCTTTGATCATTCTGTTAGGGCTTACTCGGACTCCAAATGGCCCAACTGCCCCAAAGAGTTTCTTGCCAATCCATAGTCGGAGTGGAAGCAAATAAGAGGTTGCGCGGTAATTCCCCTCATTTGCCATGGCTTGCTTGTCTCGGCAGATGAGTTTCGCGGTAACAATCAATGTTCTTGTGTATCATTGGCAGTATCAAGCTGCGGAGAAAGGCGGATGAAGAGCCGATCAGGACCACATTCACGGATATTTGATTTCGGGTAGCGCTCGGGCCTATGGCTAGGGTGGCTCTCGGGCCAAGCTATTTCTTTTGCCCGACCTATTCCACTTTACACAGTATTAGCATGTGTATGGTGTCGGCTAGTTCATTATTAGGCACACAATCTCATTACCTGAAACACTGTACTCTCAGAGAAGAGAAGCGTGCTATCCAGGATAACGGTCGATCGTCTAGATCCTTGCAGCGGTAGAGGGGGGAGGGGCGAGTAGGTGACGACGGCAATATGTTCGCTGAAGTGAGCAGTATGGCCCGAATTGGGCATACGGGGTCGCTTCAAAAACGTCTGGTTCAGCGGCGAAGGTTGGAGAAAATATAGGATAAGGGCAACGATTATTGAGCGATAGGTAACAGTCGGGGTAGTGGGGACAAGCGGTCAATGGTAGATTTGTGTCTGCTGGAAATGCGCCTTACCCGTGTCGCAAGGCAGGTCTTTGAAGGAAGAGCTAGAATACTGAAGATGGGGAAGAAGGAAGAGAGGTTGAAAAGGATAAAGACAAACAAATCCCACTCTGCAAACCATGCAAACATACTATGGCCAAAGCGAAAAAAAAAAAAAAAAAAAAAAAAACAAAGAACCAAATAAGCAGACGATCAGGTGGCATAAGCACTACTATACCCTACCACGACAGCTCGGGCGATAGACCTCGGGAATCCACTTTGGGACATAAGCCACCAGTAATAAATACGGTATTCTTTCAACTGCATTATATAGAATTCATGAAGGCTGTGGTGACCACGGGAACCAATTCAAGAGCTTACTACATGCTAGAGTGGAGGTAAAATGGGCGTAAATTGTGAAATGACCAAGTTGCTCAACTACCCGTGGACTTATTCATCCCTGAGGCAAGGGGTGATTTTTAATGACCTCGGGAATGCTTAGGGCTTACGCTTTTCTGCCAGAGAAATGGTTGGGCGGTAGGAGCAGAACCTCAGTGAATTTATCATGTCTGCACTTCTTAGTTCTTTGGGAATACCATGCTCATTCATATCCATGATTTCCTTCGGAGGGAAGCCCTTTTTATCCTGTAGGTCAGTTACCTGGCCTCTGCAGCAGCAGGGAGTCTAATTGGGTGAAAGGAGACGCCAACAGAGGGCTGGGACATTCGAGCCCATCAGATACATGTAGTAGTAGGGATAGATAAATCTGATGGGGTATAGATGGCAGAAGTACACGTGGATGGTAAAGTGGAATCCGACCAATTAAGCAATACAGGAGCAGGAAGTGGTCGACAGACCTTCAAGTGTTGCAAACGAATTCACCCATCAGTGATAATAGCCCGGACGGCAGCAATAAATTCCTCCTTCGTCAGGGCCTCACTTGCCAGCAGAGCCTTTTGTTGCTCAACTTTGCCCACTTTCACATCATACGCCTCCAGCCCACGTAGCTTCCTCGCTACGAATTCTTTCATCCCCTTTTGGGCGTTGATTTGGTCTCTCCACTCTGCCACACCAACACGTTCTCGTAAGTGCATGCAAGGAAAACTGAACCAATCAAAAAATCCACTCGAAAGAAGCATATGGAGCCACATAGCTCCCGAGTCCTCAGACCACGTCATGAGCTTCGAAACTTCCTTGCTATGATGTTCTGGCATCTTTTCCTCTTCCTCGCTCAGAATGCGTTTAAACATCTCAAGGTGTCTGAAATAGCGATCTGCGATCTTCGGAGGCTCTCCGGCCTTAAAATCCCAGTCTTCGTTAATTGGCCGATCAAGAAGAAGCCACCAAGGTGCTGAAGCAAATAACTGGGCTGGCCCTGCATAAACCCACTCCAGGTCCACCACTCCAACAATTGTAAGGTCATGCTCGCCCTTGACAATTACGTTTGCTGGGCCGAGATCGTCGCAGATAAGCTTGAATGGGCCTTGGTTGTAGCTTTCATTTATCATCTCAGGTATCATAGACTTCAGAACCTGCAGCGACCCAAATATCGACTCTGCATTCATATCACTAATGACTGAATTGGACTGCATTTGAACTTGCTGCTCGTCCTGCCCGATGACATACTGAAAATAGTCGTCCGTCGTTAAGAACCCTTTGGATCTGTCACCTAAGATCGTTTGGTTAGAAGAAGTACACTTGCTGGAATAGATAAGCTAACCAAATGTGTTTACCCCCCCACATTGTAAAATATCGTGAGCTTTCCAACTGAGCGGGCGTGTAGGAGCGCAAAATCCCGTATATGGCGTAGGCAGACTCCCAATATTGCGAAAGTCGATGTTGAAGAGTTGTAGCATAAAATTGGCCATCTGCCTATATATGCACTCAACATCGCGATCTGAGACTTCTTCTCTAAGTTGAATCGACCCCCCAAGGAATAGCTCTTTAAGGCAAACTCCTTCTATGAACTCCATCAGAATAAATGGACCAAGACCGAACGGGTTTGTCTCAGCAAGACCCCAAACGTGAATTTGTGGAACGGGTATGGTTGTCTTCTTGCGGATCAAATCAATAGCCTCCAGTTCCATGGCAACTTTCTCGTTGGCGTAAGAAGCAGAAATGCTGCTAACGCGAGGCAAACGGAGCAATATTGTACTACCATTATCGGAACGTAGCTTTTGGCATAGGTTGTAGGAGCCGTTCATAAATCCGCCGTCGGGCGATAGGAACCTTGGCCTGGAAGCAAAGACGTGACCCAGTCGCAAAGTCGCCCATCTAAACGCATGTCGTTGATTTTGCGAACCCAAAGATCCTCTTCAGTTTGATGAAGAATATCTAGGCACTTATCATAATCCATGACAGCAGAGGGTTATTGGACTGACGAGTGTTGAAATTGGGAAAGAAAACAGAAAGCGAGATGAATGCAGAACCAAGGGGAAGTGGCTGTAAATTTCGAACAGACCGCCAAACATGTCAATACGTACGGTCCTGCAATTCAAGTATTTCAGATAATATGTTATATTCTGCCTATATAGTGCAGTATAGATCAATCAACCATGCAATGACAGGGGCAATATTATAGAGGCTAAAATAGGGGAAGCAGAGGTATAGTTCAATTTCCGAGACTGGATCTTAAGAAAAAAAATCAGGTACAGCATGTATGTTGTATGTACGGTCCGTCTAACCCCTCTCCTTCTGAACAAGGGTATCTGCCCTAACTGCAGGGATCCGATATCTCGAACAAAGATCACACAACGCTTTATGGATGGTGCTAAAGAGACTCCTGCTATCCCCAAAAAGATTTGTGCCACATATCCCGTATTTCCCGTGCAGCATGCCCCAGGTTCTGTATGTTCGAAGTCACTGCCACGCATCGTAGATCCCGTGGGTCAATGATGTCCCTCGGATATAGCAGAGAGCTGTCTATATCCGGTATTCCGCTTAGAGAACCAATAGTCAATAATCAATTTTGGTAAGATGGATGCTCAGCACATGTCTTGATGCTGACTTCTTAACGAGAAAAGTTACTTGTTTACTATTGTTTTCAACGGTAACTATAGATTATCGAGGAAGTCCCAGCTGCGTCATATATATTTGCTAACCCGAAACCCCTATCACCAACTGTTTGTATGTGGCACTTATATTTAGGTAGCAGCACCAGCCTCAAATAAGGGTAAGTAGTGCCACAAATCCACCACTTCAGCGCAAATCCCTCGGTCAAAAGGACGATTGAGCTCCACAGGTGGGCATGCATCCACTCACTGTGGGTCATTATTTGTATTGTCCGGAAGGCAGGGAGCGTCATAGTGAAATTCCGTCAAAGCTATGGACAGCAATTAAGGATACTTTATTTAAAAGCAGGACGCATGCCTTCATCTTCAATCCTCTCATCTTTCACACCCGTACTCCGAATCTTCATTATAGAGTTGTTACACAAAAGAAACCTAATGTTACAATTTGCTACCCAGTGAGAATGTGCTATCAATTTATTTCACTCTTCGTTCATGTCCACAGATTCCTATAGCTACTGCTAATCCTTCCCAGAATTCGAAGCAACCGAGACATGAGCTGTCCCACCTTCCCCACCCCGACATTCCCTTGCGTATTCGCCGGAACCAGGATAGTACTCATATCCTCCTCGATATCATGCAGCATCTCCCCCAATCGCATGGTAGCATGATGCAAAGCCCCGCGCGCCACTATCGCGGATTCCTCCCCTACCTAGCTCCAGTCTCCCGAGATAAACCGTCACCTCGGTGACAATTACTGTGGGCTTTGTATCCACTGAGCTATTACTGCTTCTTTCATGGGTGCTTGACAGATTATCGGATCGATCTAAGGCAACGTTAATATGAGATTGAGTTAAAGTAAATCATCGGGCCGAGGATCCACATACCGATACCCCCACCGTTAGGCTCCTGGGTCTGACTCCAGCTTCCGAGTATCAATTCCAGCGCTGCCTCGTACAGCGTGAGCGTCTTTGTCACAGCATCTATCATCGTTTGCATCATTTTCGCGTCCAGATGTGTATCGGTTTCGCAGCCATTTAGTAGTTCCCAATGCTCGACCAACCCTGCCCCCATGATGAGTACCCCATCCATAGGTATGTAATGGATATCTGGTGGAGACTTAGTCGAGAAGTTTGGGAAGCGATCGAGGGCTTCGGCTGTCCGCGCAAGACAGTCGCAAGGCGGTTTGGCTAGGGAGAGCGGCATTGTTGCAGATGTTTCGAACAGTTGGAAGCTGCTTGTGTGGAGAGTCAGTTCATTGACTTTGTTAAGAATGGAATTGCGTCGCACTACCCGAGATTGTTGTACGTCAACTACTGACTGTTGCCTTGAGAATCATCAATTAATTCTTTGGGACATTTGTGCTTATGACGGTTGGGCTATGCACCTCAGACACCCCACCATGCAAAGGTACCCTTTACAGGGATGTTCCATCTCTCCCAAAGAACGGCCTTTTTCATATTATTCATCCATCGAGTATTTTTTGTTGTCGGGTACTTTCTGTCCAATCTATGATACTGAAAAAGTACCCGACGCATATATACTCGACTTTCTCTTCCCGAAAGCCATGTACGAAATATTAGGTTATTAATGATCGGGAGACCAGCCATATCGAAATGGTAGTAGGTTGAGTTCCTATTCTGCCAATTCCACTCTTCCTCGTAAGGTCTCTACACGGTGGTAAAGGTATTCAGCGATCTGTTTCGCAGATCCTTGTATAACATCGCCTGCGGGGCCGACCAATCCCTTCATATCGACCAACGTAACTAACAATTCCCGCATTCGACGCCGCAAAATCAGTCTCATGGCTCGAGATTTTGCGTCGCTGCCCAGTCTGAAGTTCCCCAAAAATAGACCACAGTTTGCCTCCGGGACAGGACAGGTGATTTTTCGGTCGAACGCGCCACGAATAGAGCGTTCGAAGCGAGTGGCGGACTGAGAAGGAAAGGGACTGGAGTTTACTGGCCACGCGGTTCGAAAATGTGTTCCCTCTCATGCGGACATCGCTGCTCGGCGAAAGAGACCTTCGAGAAGAGAGACGACACATCCTGCAAACAAGCCCAAAGCCATGAGGCTGGAAGGCCGTGAAGCAAGACATCCTTTGTCTTCTGGTATATCACTACCACATTTAAACAATTGCTCTTTGAGGAGGCGAGTGTCCTGCTCGGCTGTCATGATCACATCGATTGTTGGGGGATTCTCATCTGTACCACGAGCTTGCTCGAGCCAGGCGAGGCGATGGAGAATGGTAAAGTAGCATCTACCCTGACACGGCCCATCGGACTCTGGGGCTGGCCGGGTAGCGCTTGTTGTACCGAGACTCCCATTTCGGTCGCTTGGGGTGGCGAGCGAGCTGATTCCGATCATTGCTGAGAGAGGTATGTCAGTTTTGGTCGTCGAGTTGTCTCTCATTTTCGGAAGAGTAGATTAGAGAATTATGGGGCCAAAAATTCGCTGGTACTGAAGGTTCTGCAAGTGTGTCTGATGATAGTGTGGCCGGGTGAGAGATTGAGGATGAAACAAGACTGGTAAAATCAGGAAACCCCACAGAGCTCGCCAGTCGATTATCTGTGCTAAATGAAAATGGAGTAGCATTTATAGCACCAGACAAAGATAATGAAAATAGGCGTGTTTGTCGGGACACTGGCCCATAAGATCCTCTTCTTCCGTGACTACAGGCGTCGATTCTTCTACCTGAGCAGGTTGGCCATTTGCACTTCGGAGTTGACCACGCGGGGACGAAGCAGCTCGCTTTCTGGGTCTTCCCATGCGACGTATCGGACTGTATACACAACGAAGCCCGTGTTTCTCGCGCACCGGTCACACTCTGGCTTGTTTTGGCTGCACTTGATTTTTAAGGATTGACAAACATCGCACGACGTGCGAAGTCGAGCCTGGGAAGACATGATTGGACCATACCATCAGCATGGCGTGGCGCTAACCCTCAGTCGAGGTTGTCAGAGGGACCAGGTAATTCAGCGGGGTTAAGAAGTAGTTCGATGTGTTCTCCAGGTCTCCGCCTCCGAAACAGCCCTGGAGCCCAGGTGCGATCGAAAACCGCTGACAAATCGGCTCTGGGCACGCACTTTGAGGGCTGACAGGGGCTTGGAAATCCAGGAGCACTACTTTGTCCACGGGTGGTTTATCAGGGTAGCTAAGCTAGTGACTTGGCTACCTAGGTAAGTCTATTGTGAGTTCGTCCAATCGGGTACTCTGCTCGCCTCCACATAGTAAATCATAGGGTACTTTTTTCTCTCCCACAGCTCGAAGCTCAGTAGCTATTTTAACAGTGATTCCTTGCTATTTCAATAATGTTTTCCTGTACTGCTAGCTACTACTTGTCATCGCCACATGTACATTCACTCAAACACCATGTCGGAGACAAACTCGAACCTTGTTCCAGACACCAAAGAGGAAAGAACCGATACATCCTCTGATGGCCTGCATGGTAGTTGGGCCATGGGAATTGCACTCTTTGGTTTGACGTTTTTGTGTGCTCTTATTCCGAAGAGAGGAGGCAAAGTCCCGCGACCGGGTGAGAAAGGTGGGAAGGACGAGCAGGGCAACTTTGTTCCTGTGGCTTAATCGGTTTGTAGGGGCTTGCTGTTCTAGAATTTGATGCAGTGGAGTCTCTAAGCTTTTGAGTTTCGGGGAGATTTATGCACTTCGGCTTTGGTGGAGACAAGAGTTATGCATAGATCTGGCATATACAAGTACTAGATTGTAAGATAAAAGAGACCTCGGGATTAGGTAGGATTGACTGCTCTTATAGTTTTGATTATTTTCAAATTCAATTTTCTAATAAGGTGCCTCTACAAGCATCTAAATATTCAAGACTGAATTAGATCTTTCCTATTATTTTCCATTATTTTATCCATGTTATGCCTCAGGCATAAATCATATGAAGTCGCCCAATTAGGCAATTGCCGAGGTATCCAAGTATTTCATCGCCAAGTCCTTTATCTTCTTCCCAACGACTCCACATGCCATGAAAAGATTGGTGCTGGATAACAAAGAATCCCAACCGTTGTTGTTCGACCAATGCTATATCTCCTGTAGCGGGATAATTCCACACCGGGTGGCCACTGAAGGAGATTTTCTTTTTCGAATTTTTTTTAAGGAGGCCAGCATATAACAAGACAGAGCCAGCAAAAGACTTCAACCTGCTACACCCTTAAAATAAGACTAAATCAAGGCTACCCAGACCCTTGCACAAAGACCAATGGCTCCACAACCCATTCCATTCCCGGGCTTCACCCCGATATCTGATCGTGTATACCTTCGCAACGGCCACGAGAAAAGCAAGCCCGCCCCAGCCAACGAGCCAACAACAATCATCATCTCCGGCTGGGGCGACGGCATGCCGAAACACGTCACCAAGTATTCCGACGGCTACCATGAACTCTACCCATCCGCGCGGATCATCGTCATCCTATCGCGTACCTTCCAAGCCACCAACCAACCTGAGGAAGCCCGAATCCAAGCCATGATGCCAGTCGTCGACACCGTCTTCCCAACGCCAACCGGCAGCGGAAACGAAAAGGAGCGCGTCCTTGTACATGCCATGTCGAATACAGGCGCCATTTTCACCGCATCGACCGTTATCGCATACCAGCGTCGCCACGGCACAGACAAGCCATTCCCGCACCAGCTCCTGGTTCTGGATTCCACGCCGGGAAGTCTGGACTTCAGGTCTCAGGCTACGCGCTGGTCGCGTGCGATGGCAGTTGGCACAGCCAAGTTCTTCCCTTGGCCGTTTGTTATCACGCATGGTCTGTGGTATGCTTTCCTCTGGGCGAATTACCTGTGGCAGATTCTGCGCGGGGCCGTTTCTTCCGGTGTGTGGGCGGACCGGATCATCAATGATAAGGCCTGTGTTGCGACGGGTTCGAGCAGGGTTTACCTTTACTCTAAGGAAGATGAGATTATTGGGTATAAGGATTTGGAGGAGAATGTTGCCCATGCTAAGACTTTGGGCTACTCGGTTGATCTTGAGATGTTTGAGGGCTCGTCGCATGTGGGACATATGAGACTTCATCCGGAACAATATTGGAGTAAGATTTCCAGTTCTTGGAAGCAGGCTATCGCGGAGAAATAAGTTCTGTGGGGATTGGATATATTGTATTCCGTGTATTTGTATTTATAGATTAGACCATGTTTAATAATTATATAGAGTCATTTCAGTGATAGTTGCATTTATATCACTCGCTAGTTTCAGGAACAAGGATAATCTCCAAGTTAGCCAAGCCCCAAGCCCGGGGATCGTGATATGTCGATCGAACGGGGATGGACGTGCAATCCGCTATATGGGCATGCAACTAAACTCCATTTACAAAAGGAACTAGGATGGTATTCATAAGTAGCGATTCATAAAATTCATAAGTCAATAACTCAGCACTATCAATCTGGTCCAAAGCAATGCAGAATGAATATACAACAACCTGTCAACTCCACTCTGGATGCGACCTAGTCACGGTCATCAGGATGGAAAACCAACGCTCGCACCTCAATACTCTCTCTTCCGGCTTCATTCTCAGTTTCCGGGTTAACAAAAGCAGTATGAGGCACACGCCGGGCTCTCCCATCAACCTTAGAATCAAAACATTTGATAAGCGTCACCAGATCCGGCGTCTGTCCATAGCGGTAATACCACTTGATATTCGGATCAGGTTTAACACCGTATGTCTCACCCTCCCGGTCCGGATATATAAGACCGATGGGCACAAGGTCGCTATCCGGGACTGAGTGCGCATCCGCCACAGCCAATGGATCTTTCAGAATCGTCTTGATCGGACGCCAGACGTTGATGATCTGGTATCGGCCCTTGAGAAGCTCGGGTGCTTCGTCTGGCAGATGGTGGGAGACTCTGTTCTTGGAGGCAGTGTAGGATTGATCGATGTGCACGCGCTGTACGGGTCCGCGCATGCGGGCACCGGCGGATCCGTCGGTTGGTGCTCGGCGGATTGTGTGGTCGAAGATGAAGATGCGGGAGGCACCGGTGCTGCGCAGGTCAATGTTAGTTTTATTCGAAGATATGGGTTTCGGTTGCGTACGCGTCTTTTAGTAGCTGTTCTGTTTCTGCGTAGTATTCCCTCTTGATCTTCTCGTCGTCTAGGAAGTCTTTCTCTTGGCTTTCGTGGTAGTAGAGCTGGAATCCATGGGTGTCGAGCTTGTAGTCCAGCTCGTGGCCGCTGATGTCGTGGATGGTGGTTGCGAGAGGGGCCGCGGGTCGATCGTATGTTTCTGGTCTGCTGGTATATGTTGGTTCTGGGGGAGAGCCATCTTCGTTCTCTTTGAAGAAGTTGAGTGTGGTCTGGACATGGTGAGGCTTTTCGGAGACTGGGACTCCGGGCTTTTCTGAGAGCAGAGAGCCGCGAGAAGCGGGAAGTTGAACAGCTGCGGAAGCCATGGTGAGATATCTGTGTTCTTAGAGAGGATTCCAGATGATAATTAGAATTAGCGAAAATAAACGGTTCTTTATATAACAGAGCTGCCCAGGTGGTGTTGCGGGGTGAGTTTCATTTGTCAGAATACAGCACGCAATATTTGTATGACATGGAGAAATGCTGATAAATGCATGGTTTCATGCAACCTTTACAAGAATCAAGCCTACTGGTAAGTACATATGGAATCGCATTATTAATGGACGATGTCGTGCATATGCCATTTATAATCTTTCCCCGGAAAATCATTCGATCGAGATGACGCAACATCATATCGAATATACGAACAAGCAGATTTCTCTCCTATATTGAAATTGGTGCTTTTCTCCAAAAGTACTAACGTCTTGTTGTGTACGTATATACGTAGACGGCAGTTCGTTATTTCCCGAATCATCCATCCATGGATGTCAACCTAGGTAGGAACAGCAGCTTAAACGAGAGATAACCCGATTTATTTACCAAGGTAGTACTTGTTAGGAGGGTGAAAGGACTAAGGTATAAAAGCATATATAACCCCAATATCAATTAGTATAATAAAAAGAAAGCAAAAAGACCAACAAAAAAAAAGAAAGAAAGGGCCCGAGCCCGGGATTGAACCGGGGACCTCGCGCAATATTGCTTTGGGTGAACCCTAAGCGCGAATCATACCACTAGACCACCCGGGCACTTGATATGAAAAGATTCCCTTCGAGGCTTTTTAAGATAATCATCTGATATACACCTTTCTATGGACTCCGTATAGAGTTTGGGGAGATATCCAGTAAGTCGTTCTAATTCTACACAGTGGAATTGGGGGCATTTTCTTTTTTATATAAATCAGCACATCCTCAGCACAACCTCATAGCAGATAGTTTATTATCATTATTATTATCATCAACGTGAATGGAATTTATACCGTACTATATATATATATATGTATGTTCTATGTTCTATGTTCTATGTACTCCACAGACGAATGTCATCGAGATAAACTTCGCCCCCAAGGTCCCCCTCAACAAAGTCAAACGGGTCTGCCCCTCGGCAGTCGGCCATCCGCATGAGATCACATCAGAATTAAACATATATATAAGGGACACTCTGCTTGGGAGAATTCTAAACCTGTGATTCAAGTCATACAAAGAATCCACCCCAACTCCATCACCATGGCAGCCATTCAAGCAAAATGGACCAAAGTCGTCGAGTCCGAGATCCTCCAGCGATCATCCCAGATAGTCTCCGCCATTGACAAACAGATCTATATCTTTGGCGGGGAGTTGCGGCCACGAGAACCCAGAGACAACGACGTCCACCTTGTCTCACTTGGAAACCGTGAGTGTCCCTATCCCTTCACAAACAATATCATACCCCGAGAACCATTCTCAAAACCAATACCACCACATACATACAACTAACCAATCCCACAGCCGCAACCCTATCCGCCAAACCCTCAACCGACCAATCCCCCTCACCACGAGTAGGAACGGCATCAGCAACCCTGAATGGCAAAATCTACCTATTCTCCGGACGCGGCGGCACAGCCATGGCACCGATAGAAGAAAGCGGCGCGATGTGGGAATTCGACCCCAGCGCCGACAAATGGTCCCTCCTAGCACCACAGACAAACGCAACCTCGGTCCCCGCAGCGCGCAGCTACCACTGCACAGCCAGCGACGGCAAAGACACCGTGTTCATCCACGCAGGCTGCCCAGAGAACGGCCGTCTATCGGATCTGTGGGCGTTCAGCGTGTCGCAGAAGACATGGACGGAACTTGCGCCGGCGCCGGATCCACCGCGCGGTGGGACGTCTATTGCCTTTGCCGGGGACAGACTGTATCGGATGAATGGGTTTGATGGGAAGCAGGAGCAGGGTGGTAGAGTCGATGTCTATGAGCCTGGGGCTAATGTGTGGAGCTCGCACGAGTTTGTTGCGGATGGTGTCACTGGGCCGTCGCCGCGGAGTGTGGCGGCTTTGCTTCCTCTTGTTGTTTCTGGTCGAGTTTCTTTGGTTACCCTGTTTGGTGAGCGGGATCCTAGTTCCTTGGGACATCAGGGGGCGGGTAAGATGCTCGGTGATGTGTGGGTGTTTGATGTTGAGACCAAGTTGTGGACCAAGGTTGAGGCTCAGGGGGGATGAGAGTCCTGCTCCACGGGGTTGGTTTGATGCGGATGTGCTCGATGCTGGCAGTGTTGTGGTGCACGGTGGACTGGGAGAATCAAATGATCGGCTGGGTGACCTTTGGACTCTACAGTTTTTCTAGTCTTTTAAAGAAGTCCGACGGTCTTTAATGCCAACGAAATGAAATTGTTGGAAGATCCATAGACTGAAAGAAGAGAAAGCAAGGAGAAGTTTATGTGTCATGAACGTACAGCGAAAGCATGAAACATCAAAAGGAAATCATTTGTGCTATGGGGTCTTGAATCGTACAGTTGCCATATTTGCCTCGCCCATTCCGCAACAATTCATGAGAATAATCTGACAGAAAAAAAGAGAAAAAAGTCAAGTACCATACACCAATACCAGGGAAAGTCCAAACGAAATGAACCAAAAAAAAAAAAAGGAAAAGGCAAGTGACTGTCATCGCGAAACGAAAGCAGAAAAAAAAGAAAAGAAAAAAGCAGAATTGACATGCAACAGAAGACCTCCGAGAGACAAATAAAAAGAGTAGTTATTGTGACAACTGATATCATGCACAGAAGAAGTGAAGGATGATCTATGCGTTAGTACTCTACTCATGTCCCAAGTATTGCTTAGAACATGAGAGAGCGAGTTTTTTGTCGACGCGCTTCGATACTACCGATCTCGGGTTGAGAGTGGGTGTGCTTGTGTCGAGGACGCGGGGATTGAGGCGCCGGCGCCCCAGATCCTGCAGAAGATGGAGGTCCCATCATGGCACTGTTTCGGCTCCGGACAGGAGATTGGGGTTGGGCAGGTGTGGGAATCCCACTGGTCGGACGACGAGGAGCAGTCTCATTGCTGGTTCTCATGCTACGCTCGCGCTTGAGTACAAGATCAGCCCAGGGCTTGAGTGCACCATTGCCGGAGCTAGCGCCCTTCCCAACGGCTTCAGACATGACTCGAAGCCAGCCTTCCTTATCTGCGGGGCTATCCGCATAGAAGTCAATCACTTCACCATTACCAAAGCGGATGCGGAATCCCTCCTCAACAAACATGTAGCCATCTTCTTCCTCGGCAAATGCAGATTTGCGGCGGGAACCGCCCTTTGTGCTGGTCTCCTTCTGAAGTAGAGAGGATCTGTCGTCAATAAGCTTAGAGGCCTTGGCTAGGTTGATTGTAGCGCGAGGTTGGCGCGTTGTTTCGTGGAAGGCCGTTAACTTGGATCCCTGGAGCTTGAAGAAGCGACGGCGCCAGTACTGTTGTGATTGATTAGTTTCAAATCGGCGCAATGAAAGACTTCATAAGCACTTACTGGACAGTCTCCACCCTGTTGGGAAAGGAACCCTTCCCAGGATCGAGATGCAACACTTTCGGCGTCACGCATTTCGCGAATGCAGGCATTCATGCTCTTCGGCATGTCTTCATCCTTGCTACCCTTGGGCTTAGGCACGAAGAGCAGCTGCACTTCCAATTTTCCAATCTTGTACGGTGGTCGACGCTGTGTATTGATGCTAGTCGCACTCTTCTTGCTCTTGATGCTGCTCATTTGTTCCTCGACTGCCCATTCGTTGAAGCAAGCAACATCAACAACGTGGGGACGGCCAAAGGCCTGCTCCTCGTGGTCGCTCAAGGCTACATATGCGCGGCCAAAGCTACCGTCACGCGCAACCAAATTCCGAAGCCGTTCATATACAGGAGCATTAACGTCCTTGGTCTTCTGTTGCTGCGACTGCATTTGCTGCTTAATGTCAAGTTCCTTGCGGCGGCGTGGGGACGCAAACACACGGCTGAGGGCCGAGGCCTTTTGGCGTGATGGTGATGCTGCGGGCTCTTGGGTTTGGAACTTGCTCTCGTCAATCTTCATCTGCAAGGTCAACTGGAATTCAAGGTCATTCTGGACAATGAGCTCAAACTCCTGTCCAATGGGAGCAGACTTGCCCATCTCCAACCAGGAGGTGGTAACACAGTGCAGTCCGTTATCCAAAGTCAGTGCAAAGTACGACCGTTCACCTAGAATTCGATTAGTAACAGTGAATTCAATTCGGTCTTAAAACGGGGTCTTACCGCGTGGGAGAGGAAGGTCGCAATACTTAAGGCCTACAACCTTCACAAACAAACGCCCTCGCTCTTCTCCATCTTCGAAGGATTCGGAGATAGCGGGCTCATTCTCTTCAATAGTCGAGGGGGCTTCCTGGACATTGCTGGGCTGTCCAGGGAGAGGTGGGACTCCACCCGCACCAGGGACAGGCTTTTTCTTCGGAACACCGTTGCCAGGCTTAATACTTGGGCGTCGCGGTGAGCCGTTCCAGGGGACAGTGGTCCAAGTCTGTTGGCTAGGCTTGCGTGGAGAAGAGCCAGCAGAACGTGTACCGCGCGGGTCCTGGGCAGCGCGTTCGGGAGAAGGCAGAGCCTCCTCTTCTTCGTTACGGCTGCTGGCAATGATCACTTTGGTGTTCTGCCTCATGAGATATCCTCTCTGTTTGGGGGTAGGGGAGTCAGCGGGATGTGCACTATTTCCTGGGGTTGCGGGATCGTTGGATGCTATTGCCTGGGACGGCGGTACAGAACCGGGGCTTTGGGAAAGGGCAAGATGAAACGCAACCTTTTGGGATTCAATGACACGATCAAACTCCTTGTCGAGTCCAAAGCCGAGGCTTTCTTCCTGAATGCTGAAGGGAATGTCGAGTTTCAAACAACTGCTTTGTCGCTGGGCAAGATCCGTGGGCAGGCCCAACTTCGGTGGCGAGTCAGTCTGCTTGTGTTCACGGTCCGAAGAGTTCGAGTCATTGGAGATCTGCTTGGTCAATGGAGGGACAGGAGGAGCGTGTTGGCCACTGATCTGACGGCGGGTAGCGGCCATGGACTGCATATCCGCAGGGGTCAGTGAGGGTCGTGTCTTGAGACCAGCACCAGGGGCTCGAATGGTTGCGACGGGCTCAGGAACAGACTCGTCGGATGAGCTCTCATCATGCTCTAGCTCCGGCTCCTCTTCCTCCTCTACTTCTCCCTCTTCTTCTTTATTGTCGTCTTCATCATGGTCATCCTCAATGGGATGGCGAATGACAGAGTCTGGAGTGGAGGGTTCGGAAGCTTGGTCTTGCGGCATCTCAGGGGTGAGAGGCCGTGCGAGGGACTGACGGATAGACGCCATATCGAACGACTGGTCTTGAGAGGCATTCGGCTCTTTGCATGCCTGAGAATCTTCGTTTAGCGGTGCAGGCTTTTGGGCGTCGTCCTGGGTTTCAGCACTAGGGGTAGTCTCTCCTGACCCCTCTTTGTGACTGTCATATCCAGCGTGTTTGCGCTCGGCGGCTTCGGCAGCAGAGCGTAGCGAGTAATTGCTGTCCTCGTCATATTTGGCCCGTTGGTCACGGGACGACAGGCTGTTGTCTGACCTGTTCTGATAATAATCCGTGATAGAGTACAGGTCTTCATCGTTCTCTTCCTGTTTAATGATTACACTGGAGCTGTCATCCTCATCGGTTTCCATGGATGGAATGGGAACATCAGGGTCATAATGGTCGTAACGGTTGGGGCTGGAAGCAATTTGAGAAGAGTCATCGAAGCTGTCATCCTCGTAGCTGTCACCCTTGCGAATACCTCGCAAGATTGAGTCGCGAGAAATGCGAGGCGGAGAAAAGAAGTTCTCCTTGGCCTCATCATCTTTGTGGGTATCGTCTCTTGATGTAAGGCTTTCATCTGCTCTAGGAAGCTCCAAGGGTTCCTCGATATTGTTGGCGTGGTCATCATATTTCTCATAATCATCATCTCTTTCCTGGAGCATCATGAGACGGAGTCTCTCCTCTGTATGGACCCAGCGCCGGGGATATCAGACTTGGTATATGAAGCAGGAGCAGGAGGTGCAGGAAGCACACGCTGGCCCGCGCTACCGAGCTCAAAGGCAGCAGCGAGCTTACCAGCCGAGGATGGACGCGCACCAGACGTGCGGTTGACCGATGGCAAAGGCGGGAGGGGACGTCGCTCGCCATTTGAGTCCAGCGATTCGACGCGTGTGTGCTGAGAAGACCCTCCTTCACGTGAGATAGGTCGGTCCTCGGTGCTGTCTTCTTCAACGTCTTCGACGAAGGGATCGCCGTCACTGTTTGTGCTTGGGCTCATAAAGCGCCAGTCTTCGGGCAACACAACAGGGGTCTTCTCGATATCTTCCAGCGAGGCGTCAAAGCTATCATCACGCTCAATGGATGACTCGGCCTCAAAACTAAGATCCCCCTCTTCCTCGGACTCGTAGCTGTTCTCTCGTGACTCAGATGCGACTGAAGAAAGATCCGGTGTTGTCATTTCATATTCATTGACTTGAGGAGGAGCGTGGTCAAATGTGACACTCTTTGCATGTCGATGCCCAGCACTGCCATACTCGGACCAAATATCATTCTGAGGGTCAAATCCCTTGCCGTACCGGCTACCCTTAGATAGCGAGGACTTGCTTGGCGATGCTTGGTCTTTGCTCGGGGATGACGGGCGAGAAATCTGAGTGGTATCTTCGTCGAATTGCGACTTCGCAACATTCATTTGGCTGTCCCGTTGTGGAGACCTCTCTGAGGCCAAAGGTCTGTGAGGGAAAACTACTGACGCCGGGTCATACTCTTGACCACCTTCGAGGAACATGCTGTGATTCTTGACCTTCGACACGCGTTTCAAATTCTCGAGTGACGGGCGCTTCGTGGGGAAATAACACCCCTCTGGATCATAAGGTGCTTTATTCTCGGCTCCCTTGGGGAACGGCGACGGGGAGTCGCGACCTTTCCAAAAGAGGCGTGGGGAGTTATTGTTATTCAGAGACGAGACATCGTATGCAGGCGATTCGCCATGCGGCATCTGCTAGACTTGTTAGCATATTTTATCACCAACCTATCGTGCCGACAGTACCTTCGTGACTTGGTTCCAGCTAGGCGAATTGCGCCTCCGGGCCATGGGGCTCACTTCGGAGAGTGGCCGCTGACCAGATCCGTTACCCATACTGACGTTGATTTTGCTAGTAACTCAGTACACGAAGTGTGCAATCGTAATAGAAGGCCAAGACAGGACGTCTATGATGTGTCAGTATTGTTTATCAAGTCCTGATCGGCGAGTGGGTTCACGACTGATTACAAAGGGCGTAAGGCAAAATCGCCCAGGAATCAGGTACCATACCTTTCTTAATAACGAGGAGTCGCGTGGGAAATAGTTGGCAGTGAGACCTGATGCATTCGCTGCAAAGGCGTAAAAGTCGTGTCGATCGTGGCAGGAATGCTGCGGCAAAGGGCGAAGGCACCAAAACAAACCCGAGTTGGGTGTCTGGGTGATAAACCAAGGCCGAAAAAAAGGGGGAAGGGATAACGAAGGGATACGAACGCCAACTCTCAAGAAAAGCTAGCAGGGAAAAGAAACAGAGACAAAGAAAGAGGTTGTGAAGAAGAGTAGTAGAAACAACGAAACTTGATATGTCTCTCCCATGGATTCAAGTGGATTGTTACCCCAAGCAAGAGTCTGTTGTTGCGGGAGTTGTCATGGCAACGGCTGGCTTCGAGTGTTTCAGCATCCCGTGACATTGCGTCAGTTGGCTAAGATCGACGCTAGTCTACAAGTGGAATAGCTTCCGTGGATCACTTTCGGTATTAACATGCACTAAATATAGCAGTACTGCTGTAGGTTGTGAAAGCTTGAATCTTGCTATCTGAGATTCTTACAGAGTCCAATCCTCGTTTCAGGTCTACTCCAGACAAACGCTTCGCGCAGCTAGGTTTGATAGGTGGTCTTTTTTTCCTACCTCGCATCAACCAGACCATCTCTAGTAGCCCTGCTCAAGTCGGATATATGAGCTCACCCAGACGCTGTAAATATTGCAGCTCTGGAGGCAACAGGTTGACAGAAAGAGGACACTAGGCGTCAAGTGGCCTAGTGGAAAATAAAAGGGGATCTCGTGGAGGGATCACTCTGACCACTATCGGTTTCCCTAATTAGGAAATAGGCCCTATTTGTAAGAAGTAAAAGGCCTCCCACCTGCCAATCCGCCCCAATTAGCTTAGCAGCTGCGGAGTCCGAAGTGTACCGACAGAAGTTGAGTATGCAAACCCTTGCCCCGGCCGGTCCGCATATTCTTAAGGTGACCTAGGTTTATGGAGGATAGTCCCCTGCACGCTGTTAAGTAAATTGGGTTCCCCTCCCCCCCGGGGTGTGGCGGTCCTAACGGGACGGGATTCGTGGATTGGCTGGTACACATCTTTTTTTATATGACAAATTGTGGGGTGAGTATTTGGTTCCTATCTTCCGTGAGGAAATCTGGATTGATCCCAGACACATACGTGTACTGAAGTAGTTGTCTATAGAAAGGAATTACCTAGAAAACCCTTGTCCCAACAAACCACAGATGGAGAACTATGATAAAGTACCTTTTATATGTAACCTTAACTCTTGAAACAAGTATTCCCAAAGATTCCAAAAAGGGACAATATGACCACCGATTTTGTTGTGTTACCGCCTGAGGCAGCAAATACTACCTGAGTCAGCAGCATAGTCACGTCACCTGATCATGTGCCAAAAGTTTATGATCTGCGCTAGTCCGAGAAAGGAATGGCGTCTATAATCGCGGAAAAAAACATCTGAACCTGTTCTGGCCTCTTCTCTTCGATTACTTCGTGTTTCACACTTCGCGCATCTTATCGATTTAATTAGGTAGAATGCCTCTGCCAATTCGCTCTTCGATATGTTTTCTATGTCAAACTAAGGCGACCCTGATCGCCCCATCGATTCTTCCGACGTCATGGCAGACCACACGAGGCATGGCCACCGTTCGATTGCGCCGCAAGGCTGCTCGAATGGCGCTGTCGCCTACTGTTTCCAAGCCATCTCTTCCATCTCCTAACAAGCCACGACGGGAACGGCCCGGTCCCTTTGCCTCGATGAACCAGACTCAGGCACGGATTCGAGACACACCACGCACAAGATCACAGGCGGCCCTCAAGCGTTCAGGGGAGGAGGGCAAGACGGAGAAGAAGGAAAGCCCATTGTACAAAGCGTTGAAGATGCAGACAACTTTGACACCTGTGCCTTATGGTCGACGTTCCGCTATCAAGGCTCGACTTGCCGACATTACCAGCTTCGACCACTTCCCTCTCCTTCCCGCAGTTCGACAGTCAATCTTCGCTCAGGCTCTGGCTGGTCTCACTGATGTTACCCCCACGCCCATTCAAAGACTCGCGATCCCCGAACTATTGCTGGATGAATCCAAGAAGAAGAAGAAAGTGAAGAAGGCGAACGAAGATGAAGAAGAATACAATTTTGACCAGTACCTTCTGGCAGCCGAGACGGGCTCGGGAAAGACCCTCGCATACTTGCTTCCAATCGTCGATGCTATCAAGCGTGCTGAAGTCATTGATATGCAGGAGGAGAAAGCTATTGAAGAACAAAAGGCACGAGAGCGAGAGGAGAGAATGAAGAACAAGGCATTCGATCTGGAGCCTGAGGAGCCGCCAATGACAAACGCCGCTCGTCCTCGGGCCATCATTCTCGTTCCTACTTCCGAATTAGTATCTCAGGTTGGATCCCAGCTCAAGGAGTTGGCCCACACTGTTAAGTACCGCTCGGGCGAAATCTCATCAACTTTCACTCCCCGCCGGATCAAGAACACCCTCTTCCACCCCGCCGGCATCGATATTCTAGTTTCAACTCCTCACCTTTTGGGCTCTGTTGCGAGGACGAACCCCAATATCCTCAGCCGAGTCACTCATCTTGTACTTGACGAGGCCGATTCCCTAATGGACCGATCATTCATCCCAACAACGTCCGAAATCATTGCCAAGGTTGCTCCGTCACTCAAGAAATTGATCCTCTGCTCAGCCACCATCCCCCGCAGTCTCGACAACCAGCTGCGCAAGCGCTTCCCTGATATGCAGCGCCTAACGACTCCGAACCTGCACGCCATTCCCCGTCGCGTGCAGCTAGGTGTCGTGGACATTGAGAAGGAGCCATACCGCGGAAACAGAAACCTCGCCTGTGCTGATGTCATCTGGTCAATCGGCAAGGCCGGAGATAGACACGAGCACACCGAGACATGGGGACCGCTCAATGCGTACATGGAGCCGAAGATCAAGAAGATCATCGTGTTCGTCAACGAACGCGAGGAAGCCGACGAGGTCGCACGTTTCCTGCAATCCAAGGGCATCGATGCTGTCTCGCTATCCCGTGACACCGATTCCCGCAAGCAACAAGAGACCCTCTCGCGCAGTTCACAGAGGTCAAGCTCCCACCGACTGCGGAGGAGATCATGATTAATAAGAAGAAGAACCGCGCCGCCGGCAGCATTCCCTTTCGAGCTCCCTGAGCGCCAAGAGCCTATTCGCCGCCTTCCGGACACCAAGGTTCTTGTCACTACCGATATCGCCTCCCGTGGTATTGATACCCTGGCAGTGAAGACAGTGGTTCTCTATCACGTGCCGCATACGACCATCGACTTCATCCACAGACTGGGTCGTCTCGGCCGTATGGGCAAGCGTGGTCGTGGTGTTGTCCTGGTGGGCAAGAAGGACCGCAAGGACGTCGTCCGTGAGGTTCGCGAGGGCATGTTCCGTGGCCAGGCTCTGATCTAGATACAGATCTGCATCTGCGTCTGGATCCACGCATACCCGCATTTACCATTGTATAAATCCTGTAACATGTAACATACATGGCGTTGGTTTGAGGTTTTGATTTTTTGGGAACTGGAAAACGACTATACATACCCATTGTCGCTGCGATAGTCATTGGATCTTTGGAAGTAACTATGTACAATATGCAATCATATATGACGAACCTAATTCTCCTCTTGTATAACGACGTCCGAGTCCAATTGCATCGAATATCTAAACAACATTTTATTCCATTCCAACTTCTCACACGGGTATCTGCCTCCCCAGCCTTCGCCAGAAGTCACACCTCTTTTTCAACTGGACCAGCTTCACATTCTCGAGCCCATCATCCACAACGACTAATTCCTCACCCGTACGAACGCCTGGCACACCTGGCTGCGAAGCATTGGTCACCTTGTGTGCATTCGGATCTCCTGTCTGGAAGAAACTCGCAAAAGCTCCTGCATAGCCTTCATAGACGACCGGGTTAGTCTCTTGAACGGTGTTGATTTTGTTCCACTGGTATCATCCAAGTCAGCCTATGCCACTGAAATCAGGAAACTCCCCAGAAGGAGGAGCAACAATGAATTGGAAGAACAAACATAAATAGTATCACTCGCATGCTTCGCCGGGGAAATCGTATACTCTCCGAGATATCCTCTCTCCGTCGCGGCCGACGAAATCCAATAAGCCGGACAAGCAAGCACAACATCCCGATAAACCAAGCCAGCCCGGACATAGGAAGTATTATAGCTGTCGATCGTCTCTGTGCTCCCTTCAGCGGGATAAAGAGTTTCCACCTCACCAATCTGCTTGCCCGATAACCCAGGCACGAAACCGGAAAGCCACTGGTGGAAGCTCGCAGCAGAGGAATTAAATCCATTTAGCAAAATGGGACTGTCAAGGCCCGATGGAACAAAGTTTTCGCCCTCATGGCTATTGTACATTCCCCACACAAACTCTGTGTTCAGGGAGCGCCTGTTCACGGTGTCTGTGAGTGTCTCAACGAGGAAGGTTCCGTCTATCACAGGCGCCCAGGTGTAAGAGCTCGTTGTCCAGGTGTTGCTTGCACCAATGATCAGGCTTGCATCACGGATTTTCTGGACGTCCACGGATTTGAGACAGGCGAGTGTCTTACCAGCGTGGCGGCTGGCACAGCCTGTCAGGCTCGCCAGCTGGGAGTAGATTTCTTCTGCTTCGGGTGCGTTGTATTTATACGTCTTTGGCCAGAAGGGCGAGCTGGCAAGGGCTTTGGAGAAAAGTTTCGGTTGGCCATGGCGGCCATTTGCGAGGACTTGCGCGGCTACTGAGCCTGCACCGGCTGACTGGCCCCATATTGTTACGTTGTGAGGGTTGCCACCGAAATGGTGGATGTGTTTCTGGACCCATTTCAAGACATATTGCTGGTCCAATAGCCCCGGGTTTAGATCTGAGGTGGGTGAGTCTTTGATTGCCTTGCCTGGTAGGAAGCCGAAGGCATTGACGCGGTAGTTGGAGTAGATAACAACGTAGTCGTTAATATTGCTGACATTGAGGACCGGGAATGACGATGGCGGCATTGCGAATGTCGCGCTGCCTTGGACGAACGCTCCGCCATAGAATACGACTAGCACTGGTCTGCTAGTATCCTTGGCTAGGCCCCACGGCCGTGAAAATAGACCCAAGTAGAGACAGTCTTCAGTGCCGTTGACCGTGCGCTGGGGGCACATGTCGAAGTCCTGGTTTGTGTCATAGACGTCTTCCGTGACCTTCAGTGGTGGCTGAGGCGCACGAAAGCGGTTCTCCCCTGTTGGTGGTGCAGCAAATGGGATCTTGCGAAAATATGAGAGGTTGTAGGTACTGTCATATTGTCCTTGGAAGGATCCGTAGTCGAGGGAAACTAGAGGGTTGTCCCATGCAGTGCTGCCAGTGACCCCCAAGCCGAGGAGAAGGGGGGGCAATGAGATTTGAGAACCTCATTTTTGGGTTTCAGCTGTTTTCGCTTTAGAGTTAATGTTCCATTCACCTGCTATGTTCAGCCCGGCAGTCGCCAGACAGGCCATATATAGCCTTTCTGTGCGCAATGAGAAACCATCACCCCATTTGGCGAGAGAACTGGCATTCGGTAAAGGAAACCCCGAGCTTCTCTATTGGGCTCTCCAGCAATTTGGCCGTTGCCAAGCAGACCCTCTTGGGTTTGGCTACGAGAGCAGCTTATTGGTGCAGTTATTGTTGATGTCCGGGGAAAAATGCGGGGAGTTGTGCAGTGGATGTCGATTCGGATTCGATCAACCCGATAGATCGTTGATCATATAGTGAGAACCATAGTTAATAGGCAAATCACCAGGACACCGATTTATATTTATATTCAACATGTCCACAATTAGTGTCAGAAAGTAGCCAAGGGAGTCCGCGTGGGAACGAAGCCCAAAGTAAACGCTGTCCCCTCCAGATTCCAATCCTGAAAATGCATCTCTGCAAGAAATCAAAACTCCAGAACCAATTTCCATGCAATATAATGCCAGTTAAACAAGTATTGTCACAAATGTCCAGTCTCATAAACCAAAACTCCATCCTCACCCCGTCTTGTCTCATAGATCAAACATGGCTCCAAGGCTGTACTGTTTACATAGTCATACGAAGTTCTCTAGTGCGACGCCGAGTTGCCCGAGCATCACGGCGAGACTCAGTTACATCACTGGTCTCCGTTTCTGGGGTGTTTGTGTCAGAGAGCTCGGGGTGGGGGTGATCCCAAAACTAACGCCGCGGTCTCGGCGACAGATACGTGATTGTGCATCGGGGGACAAAAACCGATGGATGGTGCGGTGGTCCATTACTCGCTCTTCGCCATCCGGGCCTTTGTCTGTTGATGGCCACTGGAATCCGTACAGCTTGGAATGGCGTTCGCAGCGTGGACATTCACGCCGCGTGAGGTACGAGTTTGACTGAAGGAACCATGTATCACAGGTCTGACACTCCACCCAGCGGTCATACTTCTGGGCAAGCAATCGTGGTGTCTTGGTATAGTCTCCAGGGACTCGGGCAACCTGTGACTCGGTCTCGACGGAGTCTACAATGAATCGCCGCTTGGTACGAGGCTTTCGCTTTTTGGGCTTATCCACAACGGTGTCGCCGTCTAATTTGGTGGAATTTGATAAGTCTGACAATCCTTCTTCGGGGTCAATGTCCATGGGGTGGGTGGTGATGGGCTGACCTTCAGGAGAGGCATCGGGATGATCCTTACCATTGAGTGCTTTCGACTCACACGGTTCCAACGTAGTGCCTTCCGTCTTGATGTGGGCTTCAATGTCATCCTCAGTTGTTGGAGTGGTTGACGTCGACGACCGGTGGGATTGGTCGGCGGTGGAGTTTAGAGATTCGCAGTCCGTTGGGATAGTAGAATTAGTGCCATTTGTCCCATTTAGATTGCCTTGGGGAGCCACTCTTAGTTGCCCTGACCCTGTGGCAACTGGAAGTAGGGGTTGTGAATCAGCTGGCGATGCCACTGCGGTTCGCTCGGTGATCTCCTTCTTCAGCTCAGACACCTGGGGTGCAGTTTCCGCCAGAAGAACAGTGGGAATCAGTACAGTGTCCTGTATAAGAGTGCTGTCCGATCCGCGCGTTGGGGCTGATGCTGATTCTCCAGTAAGTTCAGAAACTGAGATCTCTTCTCGCAACTTAGAAACTTGTCGTTGGAACTTTGCACGTTTGCGCGGAGTTGAACAAGACAAGGTAGAGGAGCTGTCGGATTCCTCCACATCCGAGCTGCGTCTGCGTTTCCTGCCCACATTGCTATTTTCAGCCGGTGTATCTTCAGTTGGTGTAGCTTCAGACGCGGGACTGGACTCTTTGCTGTTCGTCTCTGTATCAACATGCGACGACCAGCCATTCCGTACAGCAATCTCGCAAGTATGACATAAACACTCGCAGTTGTCAATGCCAAAGTAATCCTCCCCGTAGGAGACAGTGATCTCTTCTCCTTCGTGAATGTCGCGCATGGCTAGGACAGACATGCCCTCGTTGCCCCTGGTTGTCAAGCTGCCATTGGCATCACAGTCATGATTGGCAAAGCGAGCAGGACCTAGGAAAAACGATGGGGCTTTGCGACGACTTGACATCACGATGCTGAAGTCTTTACGGGTCAAGCCGAGATCCAATTCTTCTTCATGGGTCATAGACACAAGCGTTCCGCTCAGGTGTTTGATCTCCTCGCCCTTTTTTATAAACCTGCGAGCACAGATCGCAGCCTCATGTTGCGTGATGATGTATCGATTAGTCGTGGTGACCTCAAACGGACAGTCTGGAAGATACATCTGAATGTACTTGCGGAGGTGTCGGCGGAACCACTCCTTCTCACGAGGGCTCCGGAGGTTTGTCATGTACTTCTTTAAGCCTGGTATCTCAAGCAGCTTGCGTTCGGCCTCTGGGATGTCCTTGTCCACAATAACATCGTGGAGGAGAATGCGCCCAATATCGTCATCGTGGATTCCGCGGGCAGGGCTGTACTTGGTGCGGTTCTTGCGGGTTGTGGTCCAAAAATAAGCCTGTCAGCAGCAATTGTCAGTGGACAGATCTTTATATTAAATTGCAGGCAAAGAGCGTACGTGATCCACTAGCGCATCGGTTGCGACATCGTCATAGCTGGCCAGTTTAGCCAGGGTCAAGCGCTCGCGGCGTTCGGCGTCGGGCGAGCTCTTTCGCGCTCTCTTTGGAGGCATGATGGACGTAACAAGAAGCTGAAGTCTGCTAGAGATCGAAGCGGAAGAGAAGAGGTGGCTTCATAGAATGCAAAGCGGGTGCGAAGGGAGTTGGGGAACTGTGGAGGGCGGAGGTCCGAGGGATGGGGGTCGAAAAATGATTCGAAGCGCAAGACGAGAATTAAAATGAGTGACCGGCAACCAACACAAGGACCATTATCAAGTAATTGTCACCATTGAGGCTGTTCCAAGGAGAAAGGCCTCCTGCGCAGATGTTTTTAGGGGCGGAACGGACACTCGGGAGTGCCAGCTGAGACCTTGCCGTCCTCTACTTTTACTTTTACTCTTCCGCTTTTCCCCTTGACGTGTTTTGGTTTTGCTCTACTAATAATTGTTCGATATGAGGTGATTGATTATTGTTAGTATCCCATTTTCTACCCTGTATATGTTTGTTTTGACTTCATTTTACGCGCCCAGCTCGCATACAACAATATGCACCGTGCGTCAAGCCATCCAATCCTCCTCCCATGTCGTATCACCGCAATTACACCCAATCAAAATGGTCTTTCAGATCAAGTGATCGTTCTTTTTCTGTCTTCCGCGTAAAATCGTATTGTATATCATCCCTCAATGGGTATGTATTTGCCGTGGAATATCAGCAGCCAATGAACTGCTGGAGAATCTGATAGATCCAAGTATGAACATCGGATGCTCGCCTTCGTGGGCCTTTCCAGGAGTAACTCGGGGGTTTTCGAGCTCAATCTTGTTCTGCGTATGACTTGGGAGGATATAAAAGCCAATCTATCTTGATAAGTGGGAAAATAAGAAAAAGAACAGGACTTTATAGAACTAAATCCGGGGTGTTTTTGAACTATATATTTAGTTGATGCCGCATGGATCGAGTCAGCAAAAGTCAACATAGGGTGTCATCTAGCTACCAATGTAGCCAGGAAAGATAGATACTCCTCTGCAATTAGCAGAGAAATCCAATTGAGAATAATGATCACACAGAACATATCAGGGTATCTTACGAACAAGCGGCGCTTCTAATGCTTGCTTAGAACGTACCGTGGCTGGTATGATTGATTGAATAAAAGGCAGCTTTTTATGATCACAAAACTAGACCAACCTAATAATAATTGAATAATAAGACGAAATCCATTCCCCGAAAAGCAACTTAAAGTCCTATTAGACATTGTATAGAACGCATAGGCCCGGATAAACCTACTCTCCGGGGAAACCTCCCTCCGGCCGCAAGAACAAATTGCGGACAAGCATTATCTCCAGACCAAGTACCAGAACACAATGATTCAATTAAAGGTGCGCAGGCGATACCCGTTACCGTCTCGGAAAATACTGACCCTCGTTCCGCCAGACGCTATTAAATTGCATCGACAACTCCGGCGCCTCGATCGTCGAGTGCGTGAACGTCCTGAAGAAGAAGCGGCCCGCGACAATCGGTCAGTCTCCACGATACTCGAACCCAGCATACAGCACGGCAAGAAGAAATTGAGAATCCAAGCTAACATCGTGATTGGGTATCTAGGTGACCGGATAGTTGTCGTCGTCCAGAAGCAGCGATCTGCAGGCTCCGAAGCCACCACCGCCGCTGCGCTCGCCAATAAAGTCCGCCGTGGTGATATTCGTCATGCCGTTGTTGTTCGCGTGAAGAAGGAGTTGCAGCGGCCTGATGGGTCTCTTGTCCGGTTTGGTGATAATGCGTGTGTATTGGTCAACAAGTCCGGAGATCCCATCGGGACGAGAATGAACGGTAAGTGCTCCGGGGAGTCTGAGATTACCGCTGTCTCCACGTTTTTAGATACTGATACCTCTACAGGTGTGGTGGGACAAGAGCTACGGAACAAGAAGTGGTCCAAGATCTTGTCATTGGCGCCAATCCATGTTTAATATTTCTCAAGTTTCTACAATCGTTGGAGAGCGCTCTTTGTTTCTTTAATTGGGTTTCAAATCCATATGTATTCTTAGTTGATAGCATCAGTTTCACCCCTGTTCCGAAATCTCCACGCATCTTCCCCCCGTTCCTGCTCCGAATATTCGCCAAACTCCGATGATGTCGCAAAAAAAAACAACAAGGACAAAAAAATCAAGGGTATCAGAAATTGGAGACCGCATTGCAGAAAGGCAGAGATCACACGTAGACTTGGCCACACGCGCAACAGACGTAGTAGAGTTTCTGAGTAATAGAAGCAAGTGTCAGCGCATGAGTTGTATTAGAGGGTCAGGAATCCATGAAAGGATCAGTTCTCACCATGCCGGTTTCGGCAGATCGTTGTTGTGATTGGAAAAAGACCGCTTCGGTTTCGCCGCAGCTTGGACAGAGCTTGTTGGCCCGTGGGAGCTGCAAGTCACAGGGGGTTAGCCTATGGATGCTCAAGAAGTTATAGAGCTGGGGTATACGCCCGGGGCTCAACTTCAGAGGACTCCAGGCTGTCACCCACAGGCGGCGCAACCTCAGAGAGATCCTCGTCCGGGGTAGGGTCGCAAATAGAACAAGTGACAATATCACCGCAAAGAGTACAAAAACCAGGAGCACAAACCGTGGGGTCAGACGTCACATCCTGGGTGACACCGGCAGTATCACCGACTTGGCTATGGAGATGATTTTGGTAAACACAGTGAGAGGACGCAGGTTCGCCAACATGGCAAGTACGGCAGGTGAACATCAACTGGTTGTTGACACGGTCCTCCTTCGGATAGAGCAGGTTGGAGCTATTGAAAAGTAAGCGAGCTGTCCTCGGGTGGTATGTGTCGCACCATCGATCAATTTAAGCCGGGGCGCTTGGAAAGAGACTTACCATTCACGGCAGAACTTAAAGTGAATTTGATCCGATGGCTTGGTGTCGCCACCAGCGGTGGAAGAAGGGCTGGCAGACATGCTGCGAAGATGGGCAAATGCGCTGTATTGAGATACTAAGCGCAAAGTAATCTCTGGAAAAATCGTGGGTACCGAGACAGTGGCTTGAAGATGGGAGAAACAACAACTTAAATGCCTCCATAGTGATGGCCGGGGAGATTCGAGGAAACGAAAGCACGTGATTTCAAGAAAAGTCACGTGGTATATATAGTCGGCCGCGAATTGGTCGGCGGAGGAGCTAAAGCTTGGACTGTGTTTGTATGGTTTGCATTTCACCCCGCAGTTTCCCGTTCACCATACAACGGTTGCTACTGAGATCAATCTATCGTTTACCCTGGAGACTTCCGTTGGAGTGTTATTGATCTGTACATTATTATTTACACAGAAATTCTCAAAATCTTTAGATCTGATTTTGGAAAAATGGTGGGATCAGATCATCTTTTCAGAAAGTTTGCATAGCTGACTCTTCCAAGGCCGACACAGGTCTTCCCGCCGGTTGGGAAGTTCGCCATTCCAACTCTAAGAATCTCCCATACTATTTCAACCCTTCTACAAAAGAGTCTCGCTGGGAGCCACCTGCGGAAACTGATACCGATAAGCTGAAAGTATACATGGCGCAAAACCACACCCCGGCTGCTCGCCCTGACCCCTCTGGCGAGGGCGAGGGCAAGGGCAAGATCCGCTGCAGTCACTTGCTCGTCAAGCATCGCGATAGTCGCCGTCCCAGCAGCTGGAGGGAAGCTGATATTACTCGCACAAAGGAGGAGGCGATTGAGATTCTTAAGGGTCATGAACAGCGCATTCAATCTGGAGAAACTACCCTTGGCGACTTGGCAGTCGCTGAGTCCGACTGCAGCAGTGCCCGGAAGAAGGGCGATTTGTGAGTTTTTCCTAAGAAATTTACGTGCCAGATGTCTCGCTAACTCCTGGAAGGGGCTTCTTTGGCCGCGGCGAAATGCAAAAGGAGTTTGAAGATGCCGCTTTTGGCTTACAGCCTGGCCAAGTCAGCAGCGTTATTGAGACAGCATCCGGAGTTCACCTCATTGAACGGTAGGTTTAATTCTGGAAGTGAAGTGAAAAATGGCTAATCTCGGATCTCGCTCTCTAGTGTCCAATAATCGCATGCTCCTATGTCTTGGTCGGTTCAGCTGCGAAAAATTTTGATCGCAATGCTTTGCAAACCCTGGTCTCACTTCTTGGAATAATCTTCAAAACAAATAAGCTACAATGAATGAAATGCCATCTTTGTTCTCTTCTGGTTGATGAGTGTCTTGTGTCTTGTCTCGGGCAGAACCAATCGAGTAGCGGAATCCGCGACAACCTTTCGCCCGCCATAGAAAGATGCCAATATATATCTTTTGAAGATGAAGTCTCGGAATGCCCAGATGTTTTGAAAGAAGGTTTGAATATATCACAGGATTTGAAGTTGTCTCTTTGGATCCAACAGAATGGACCTCGAGGATATGCCTGATATCATAGTTAACCCCCAACTCTAAAATAGACTCTCGTCCCAGGCTAACAATAACGCGTTTAGGCCTAGTAGGTAGTTTAATCGCCGGAAGGTTCCATTGGAAAAGGTAAATCGAGAACTAAAATAAGCCGCAAGATTACAGGTCGAGGTCAAAATAGGATGTCAAAGGGGCATTGAGCGCACGCAAAACACTGCTCTTACAGACGAGACACCCCAGATCCTCTGCTTTTCTTCTACCATCTTTCCTCTCACTTTCTCTTTTCCACCTCTCTCTACCACTTCCTTCCTCACACTCTCTTTCCATACACCAACTATGAGCAGTGTCACCCTTAATCTCCGCCAGAAACGGTCCATGATGCGCCTTCTTAATCAAGGCCGCTCGATTCTCGACTACAAATTCGATAAAAACGCCTTCGTCATCCCCCAGTGGATCTTAGCGCCCCCAGAGGTGCGCAATGCACTGAACACCCTCCAGTACAGAGCCATGGTAGCCGTCTACGGCATGAAGAACCTCATGATCGTCCGCGCCAACCGCTACTTCGAGCTATGCCCAAAGAACACGGGCTCCAATGTCTATCAGCTCCATCAATCCTCCATGCGCCGTCTCCTCGAATGGAAAGAGGATTGGAACTTCGCCGACCCGACCCTTGCAGGCGCCGCCAAAATCCCCCCGTAACGCCCTGCATTTCTGTGTCGACTCAATCGCCTACGGAAAGTTTACCTACGTCTACACCAACAAGATTGATGGCTTTATGTCTGGTCCTTTCCAGAACTGGCGCCAGCTTCGTATGGAGATCGGGCACCTGGCTTTTCGTCTCATGAGCCATAGACCGCACGAGTACAACGAGTGGCGTGTCTGGTGGGAGGGCAAGTTTGCTGATGACATGTGGAAATGGGAGGTTTGCCTTGAGGGCCTGATCCTGCCTACCTGGGAGGAGATCATCGACGATGTTTACCTGATGATCAACGATCGAGTTGAGGATGCCCAAGACCTCGCCAACACGTTCTACATCAGCACCCCGGCAGTGGCTTCGAAGACTTAGCTTAGCTCTGAGCACCTGGGCTTTGTTTTTCCGCAATTACGATTCAATGGATATGACAGCAATTACAACGAACATATGACTTGGGATTTTGATATGCTTTCGGCGCTGGTACAGAGCGGCCTGGTGGGAAATACGGGCACTGGAGATGACTAGAAGTTTTTGAGGTTGATTGTGATATCTTTCCTTCTGAAATGGAACAATTGCAAAACATGTAATATACAATGGGTTGTAACAGTCAAGGCGAATACACGTCCAACTAAATAAATATCGATTTGACCCAAATGAACTATGGCGAACTTGGCCACAACAAACTTGTTTCCAGGCCTTCTACCACTTGAGACCATTATGAGAAGCTATTCAGACCATAAGTACTTAATTATCTGATATCTAATGGCCTATTGAAAGAAAAGTAAAACATTGATTTGCCCGTCAATTGTCACGTGTGTGTTCGAACCCTATCGATCGTAGCAGTCTTGTAGAACAAAGAGAGCTAGCTATGTATGTACCTTGTCATTGTTTATTCTCACCAAAAGCAACAAGACAAAGAAACTAGACAAAGAAAACCAAACAAAGAAACACCAGGGAAAGACAGAGAGCAATCAAGCGCGCAGTAAACACATCGTCTTTGTCCAATTTGGACCCGTCTTAGTTGATTTGTCCAACAAAGCTTTCTTCACTATGTATGGTTCCGAATGAAACTGACAATTGAAACTATAAGATACACGGTCTCTCTTCCCTTATCAACCACCAAGGTACGACCTAACAGAATCCGAGATTCTCCATCCCCCAACATGTGCATCTACTGGACATGCAAGTATACACTGTGCGGCTGTATATGGGACATGGACCCATCAAAATGCCAAGATAAGCGACTCTGCTGGGGTCCAAGAATGATAACACTCGAATCCCACACAGCGACATGCGCAGACTGCTGGGCGAGAGGGGATAAGCGGGTTTACGAACCACCGACATGTGAAAAAGCTGACCGAGACGGAGAAGACCCCGAAATGGCGACATTGAATTTCGAACCCAACGCAGCTGAGAGTGATAATATTTCCGACGATGACGAGGACTATTTCTCAGCTGAAGAGTCCCTGTCGCCATCCCCATACTCGCGACCTGCGACCCCGCAACTATACTATGAGGTACATCCGCCGTGGTGTCCTGTATCCGAGGACAACGACTTCGATCTGACCAGGGCCTGTGATCCCGTGGATTTTGCGTCGGTGGGGAGGGTCTATCGAGCAAGGCGCCACAAGACGACCACATTGGAGGACTTGTCGGATGGTGGGGATTCTTTTGTTTCTTGTGAAGAGTATATCGATGAAGAAATTCCTGACGAGGAAGGTTTCAGTTCTGGGAATGAAGAAGACGATCTTTATTACAGTATTATTGGCCCCCCTGGTAGGCCCAAAGGCCTGATCAAAAGCTTGGAGGATCGATCGTTGCTGTTCTATGGCTCAGCTCAGGAGTACTATCCAACAGAAGAGTAGGAGAATATGAGTGGCGGACTGGAAGATGTCGTTAAACGTGTCAGTATGTTGTAGACTGAACCATGGTTTCCGACTTTCGTTTAGTGAAATCCACTTATTTCAGAATCATTTCAGGGCCAGCGTCTGATTATTCCGTAGATGGGAACAGGATGAAGCACTGGAGAGGTGTGGACTCACGAAAAGAGCAATCATTTGAGACCACCTAAATCAACTAGAAGGGATGGTGATACAGACAACTATTGATGACTTCATAACTTTTATCTAGATGTAGCTTAGGATAGCCCAAGGCTCGAGATTCGAAAGTTCGAAATTCAAAATGTGGCTCATCTTACGAGCCTTGTGGATTGATGCGTAATGACATACATGTGAAAAAACTAGATCATCCGACAACATGCAGAGCTAGATGGTTCACAGACTAGTGTTCAGTCGTTCCAAACGTGAGGTAATTGCCTCAATGACGGCGGACCTGGAAGATGGTTAGTCATTGGTGCATTGATAGGTAAATGAAGGAATCCACTCACTCTCGTTCGACCATCCTCATCGCATCTGCAACCTTGGCCCGTTGCAGTCGTTGGGGCACCTTAGGCTGGCCCCCAGGAGAGGACGGAGTTCCAAGTTCTGGAGAAGGCATTTTGCCCGTGACAGACTTGGTTTGGGCCATAAGGTCCCGAGCAAGGCGTTTGACCTAGATAATATGTGAGCATTTCTAACTGAGGCGAATGGACAAGAATACAACTTACAGTCTCCAACCGTGAGATCAATGGTTGATCCTCCTCTTGGTCTTCAACCTGCTGTAAGGATGCAGACAATGTCTTCACCTCTGTTATCCAAGCCTTCTCCCGTTCACTCAGAGGGCGACCGCCAGAATTCAGGACCTTAGTGCGTAGCGCCTCATATCGTCGGTTCAGTTCACTTTGCTTATCCTGGGCGGCTTGCAATCTCTTATCCAGCGCTTCTCCATTTCGAACTCCCTCCTTGCGATGCCCATCTTCCCCAATCTCACTCGTGACACCCTTGACACGCTCCGCAACATCTGCAAGCTGCTTCAATTGGTCCTGCATCTCGCCCTGCAGCCGCTCACAGCGGCGGAATAAATCCGAAGCAGCTCGCTCAAGAGCATTTGTATGAGCAGATAGCACGCGATGCGCAGTGGCCACGAGGTCCAATGTCGCGGGAGACAAGCGCACTTGCTCCTTGAGCGTGTGGCGTTGCCGGTGCGGGACGTGCTTCTCGACGAAAGAATCCAACGGAGAGTTGGCATAGAAGATGGCAGGAACTTGATATGGGGCCCGGCTCGGCGGCAAAACAGGCAAGCCTGGCGCTGGTGCCCTGGGCTCGTACAGCGATTTGTCCAACGCCACGGATAGAGAATCTTCTGGCGCATCCATTACAACCGCATAAGGGTTAGATGGATGGTAGGTGAGGAGCAAGTAGCCAAGGTCGAAGTCATGGAAAACGAGAGACGCGGCAAGATGTTCATTTTGCGCGGTAATATCGGCATCTGAAACCTGCAAGATTCTCTCTCGGTTGGTCACATTCCCGTCACAGAGAACCTGGAGACGGAAGGCGGAACCTGCGGTGTCTTCGGTTTGCAACTCAGCCTCCAGTCTCTGTACCCAACCGGATAGAGATAGGAAAACCACGTTGGTGGCAGTTGTGACAAAGAACGAGTATCGAGAATGGAGGTCTTTAGTGAAAGTAGGCCATGTAGTTGTTTCCTCCCCATCCTTGATAGTATCTAGTGATTCGACCAAGACCAATTCAGTCGGTTCTGAAATGGGAGTTCGGAACGCGTTCTTTTTAGCTTTGGGTAGCCATTGTCCTTCAACACCATCGAGCTCCAGACAGACGTGAACTCGGCCATTCCCACTAGTAAGAGAGAGAACTGTTGCTGAAAGCTTCTCTTGGTCTCCGGTTTCCACAGCTAATTCTTCTTCCTCACCCATCATGAGATCCTCGATGTTTAGACTGGCAGCAATGACAAGAAGATCACAGAGATCCAAATCATCGAGTTCATCACCACTGTCGAAACGGAAGGGCCCTTGTAATCTTGGAATGGCGCTAGGATTGGCCGGGCGAGTGAACACATCCGCGCCTTGGATTGTTTCTGACCCAGAAGGTGTATCTAGGGGCTCTTGTTCATCTAGCTCGGAAAGCCAGTCGTACTGTTGCCGGCAGGCAATCAGTTCCTCCTCTGACTCCTCAGGTTCCTGTTCCAGAGCACCGAGTTTCGGAATAATCGCCGCGGAAAGAGACGGAATGGTTGTAGAAGGGGCTTGCCACTTAGAAGGCAAGAGAGGACAAAGCGCATAGAGATCACCAGGTCTCATGGCTACCCATAGGGTCATAGGCGCCCATGCATCTTCTTTCTCGTTCCCACTACCAGCGAAACAGGCCGATGCAACCTCCATGTCAATGACATCGGCAGAGAATCCCTTGCTTTTGCCAAATCCAGAAGGCGCAAAGTCCTGGTCAGATGAGGTCCCATCGACGAGTTTCTTCAGATCGATTGCCAGGGTCGGCTGGTCGAAGGACCAGTGGTTATTCCGATCCAACTCCCACACACGCACCGCGGCATCAGCTGTGATTGTAACAATGCATCCCCCTAGATTGGTGTGCAAACCCAGTGGATGCCATAGCGCGGAGACCACCGGAGCCTCAGGAATAACATGGGTCGTCGGTCCTAACTGATATGTCTTCAGCCGGATAGAGTCGGAGTCGGAGGACGAAAGGTGCGAAGAATCGGGCAAAACGGAGATGTGAACAGTGTGTTCAGTGACGATGGCAAGGAAGGCGCCGTTCGGAGAGGGGATGATTTGCTTGATCAGTCCGTACACAGGCACCGCTAAAACCTGCAGGAATGTTATGTTAGTCGCAATTCAATTTCAACCCGAATTTAGTTCCCTTAGGTGTATCAAGGTGTTCATACCCTGTAGGGAGAAATCTGAGCGTTGTCGGTTTGCTCTTCAGTTTCACTAGCAGATCCCTTCTTCTGCTTAATCTCTTGCTGCCATTGGTCTTTGAGTCGGGCAAGGTTTGACCATCGTATCTCATTGTCAACAACAGCGAACACCTCATTTCCCCTCTTAGCGATCGTTCGCGTGGCTCCACTGCTCACGGGCTTGCGTCCAGTTTGCAGGTCCCCCGTTGGACTTTGGCCTGAACAGCTGGACAGGAACTTTGCGCCAGGCGAGGGCCGGCACAGCCAGGCTGGCGCATAACTGTTGACCTTCGGCATTAATGAAATTTGGAAATTAAATTGTATAATTGGAACGTGTTACGACTCTCAGACCATCCTGGGGCGGCCAGAAATAGTAGACGAGTGGCGTGGGTGAAAAAAACAAAGTTGACGAAAGGCAAAGTTGTTGATGCGGAGTGGAATTCTTGGGTGCCAAGATCTTTCGAAGAGCTCCGAGCTGCTCTGCTTTCTCCAACTACCTTCCGTCAACTACGCACTCCAGTTCGCCCTTCGTCCCGATTCACTATGAGTTTACTGGCTAGAAATACAGTCGACCGACTGGATCGGCCAAGTGCCTACTATGTCAGCAAGGTGAGTACTCACCCTGGACTGGACTGGCCTTTACCAAGCTGTGTCGAAACCAGTCCGGATGGGCTATAGAGGCTGAACAACTGTACACAGAACAAGCGACGCAGATTCAACGATCGCGACGAAGACGAACCGCAGCAAGAGGAGAAACCTGATGAAAAATTGAAGAACGCGACAACCCTCTACGTGGGAAATCTGTATGCAAGCACGCAATAAACCAGACAGACGCAATTGCCTTTACTGACCAATCCAAGTTCCTTTTATACCACCGAGGAACAAATCCATGAACTCTTCGCCAAGTGAGAATGCGCCTTCGGTTCCCTTTGAATTATGATTAACCTGGAATTTCAGGTGCGGCGAGATCAAGCGACTCGTAATGGGCCTCGACCGATTCAACAAAACACCCTGCGGCTTTTGCTTCGTCGAGTATTATACCCACCAGGATGCGCTGGATTGCTTGAAATATATCGGAGGAACCAAGTTGGACGAGCGGATCATTCGGACAGACCTTGACCCTGGATTTGAGGAAGGACGGCAGTTCGGGTATGTTGTCTTCACCAATGGCGGCTACGGGCTAGTAATGACTGACTTTCTCTGCAGACGAGGCAAATCGGGCGGACAAGTGCGTGATGAATACCGTGAAGAATATGATCCGGGCCGTGGTGGATATGGCCGCGCCTATGATGAGCAGCGCCAGCGCGAGGAGGACGAATACGGCGCCGGAAGGTAGGTCAGGACGTAATGGAAAAGTACTGGCTTGGCAAAGCAATGGCGTTACTTCATGGGAGGGTGAATCCAATTAGCAGAAACAGGAAATGTCTATTCACCAAATACCCTATTTACATCTTTCTTTTCCCCCATCACCTTCTAATGCTAGTGAATTATTGCTTCAACTTCTCTCGTCTCAGCACTGCTGCTTGAACTTCGCGCAACCACCAGGCGTGGATTCTTGCGTCACCTGTCAGCTCCGGGTGGAAGCTGGTGCCGAATACATTGCCCTGTCGCACTGCAACAATGTCACCAACTTCCTGGTCTGGATTGACGTCTCGACCCTCCGTCGCATGTTGAGCTGCCGGTCCCACTAATGTTGCTAGTACCTCGACATGCTCTGCTGTGGCTGCTTGCGCCACTGAGTCCCGTGTTTCCCTGGACGGTGCCACGACAACATCTTCCCGTTGAATCTCTTCTGTTTGAATGCCCTCATGGTGGGGAAGGATCTTTTCCACAATAGGGGCGCGAATGAATACTGCTGGGAAGGGAGGCGCGTCCTGACCCAAGAAGGGCAGATCCAACGGGCCTTGGAAGCTTTCTGTCTGTCGACCGAAGTGGTTTCGGTTCACTCGCACATCAAGACCACCGATCAGCTCTTGCCCGCCCTTCTTTGTCTTGTTGGCAGACTCGGCAAGCAAAATGAGCCCGGCGCATGTACCCCACGTCGGTTTGCGATCCACTCTGCACAGCCCACGTATTAGATCGAATTGATATGGACTGACCAGATTCACTTACTTTACGAATTCTCTCAGTGGCTCGAGAAGATTTGACCTGGCTGCGACTAGAGACATGGTGGTACTCTCGCCTCCAGGCAAGACCAGGCCGTCGCATGTCGCCAGTTCTTGTGGCGTCCGTACTTCAATGAAGTGCCATTCTGACGGCTGCGCTTGCTCAGCGGCCTTTTTCAAAAGTTGCACATGCTCAAAGAATGCACCCTGTAGGGCCAGGACTCCAACAGTAATAGCCATTGCCTCTAAAGATCGGAATCGAGAACCCTCCGAGCTCGGATTCTTCTTGATATTGATGACTCTTTTTAGAACACGTGACTTTGACTTTCCGGCGGGGAACGTATCAGCACGTGATGGTCTCTTATCTCCATCTTTAATTCCACGCGGCATCAAGATGTCTATCGGACGATTCCAATTTACTTTGAAAACAGACTTGATAACCGAGCTATGATAGTACAGAAAACTAGATTCACTTACACAAAGAGTGATCAGGTAGGTCCTATACCTGTTTCCAATGGTTCTCCCTTCTTGCCATGCTATTTGTTTGCCATACTTTATCTCTTACTTTATGTATACCCCACGGGATTATTATTACTTGAAGCTTTTCGAGGTATGACGGTTGTGGGTTTCATCTGGTACCTCTATATTGAGAACACAAACTTGTCTCCTGAGCGGATTGACATCTGTTTAAAATCAAACATGGAGCTGGGAACGCAATTAGCTGGACAGAGGCAACCATGATAGCCCGTACGGAGGTTATTTTTGATTTGGCACACACTCGCAAAAACTTGACACTAAGCACTATAAGATTCTAGTTTGACTTTGGCATCTGAGGTTCCTTTATATACATAGACGAAGAGCTGTCCTGGTATACTTCCCGAAGCCAACATTAGAGATTTTGTAGGGTAATGCCTGCAGGACTAAGTCATAAATAGCGGCTCCGGACGCGGCCTTCCGAGGTCGGGGACCCCATCCGTCCGTCCTAGGGCAAATGCTTTTGTCTATGAAATCCCAGAGTATCTCAAATATTCTTGAAGATGCTACTTAGAAAATCTTCAATGCAGTCTGTCAATTTGCGCTACTCAATCTAGAGTTTCTTGTATTGGACTGGGGAGGCGTATACCAACTCTTAGATACAACAAGATCAGCCAATTAAGATGAATCTTGAATTGCAACCTAAGTCTATCAATTAAATAAAATATCAGGAAACAAGTGTACTGTAGAAAAAGGCAGAAGCATAAGTTAATATATTATAGATTTAGAAAACGAGTAACATACCTAGATAGATGGATACCTAGGCATATACCTAGGTAGACCTCATCCGAAGCTTACTAAGACCATATAGTTTCCGGACGCCGGAACGCCTGCACCTTCTATCCTCGTGGATTCCCTCTCGGAAAACCTTACGCTAGCATCAAAGACCAGACAGACATTCAGAAATGTCTGATGACTCGGACTCCCCAGAAGTCGAGCACTCAGACCTCGAGTGCTTCAAGGCGCTGCCCGACGACACAGTCCAAGCCATCGGGTCGACGGAGAGTGCCATCTGGAAGATTATCAGAGAAAACCAGGAAACAACCGACGTGGTGAAATATAAACGCTTCACAAACGTCCCTTCAGCTCTTGCGGACAAGTTTTATTTGCACGGTACTCGGCAGATGTTTAATCGCAGCACTCGATATATGATCATCAAGCTCTTAACTGGGGCCCATGAAACAGCTTCACGCGGCCTGGGTGGTGCAGTGCAACATGAGATAATCAATATGGGGCTGCGCCAGTCGATCCGCCCGTTAGGGTCCAAACCCATCGAAGGTGTGTTTTGCAGAAAGCAGGCCGACGAGGCGTATGGCCTTAGGCAACCTGTTCCAGGTCGCAATCCAAAATGGCCGACCGTTGTGGTCGAAGTCGGAGTATTAGAGTCATATCGAAAGCTGCGGGCAGATGCAGAATGGTGGCTCACGAACTCGAGGGGCGATGTGAATCTTGTAATTATCGTGTCCGTAAGTCGAAGGACCCCTAACATCAAGTTTGAGACTGTTGCTTTGGACCCGACCGTCAACTCCTTACGACATCAGCGGCCTCGCTACGTCCCAATGATACGGCAGACCATTACGGTATCCCGCGTCGCAAACAACCCCAACTCACAGATTACCATCAGGCCAGCAGTAGCTTTGACCATTGGGTTTGAAGAATTGTTTTGTCGTCAACCAGTCCCACCTGAACACAACATTGATCTATCACCTTATAAGTTGGGAGAGATCTCGACCGATGTGTGGGGGGAGCAAGGATTCTAGCTTATTATTACCTCTCCTCTGTTAGTTCTCTGAGGTAGCTTCTTTAATGACACAATTTTTGCTACAATAATCGTGGAGTGATTGTCAAAGTGCTGTGTAGATTCTTGAAGACAGGGGACACGACAGAGAGAGATGGCTGTAGAAAGAAGAAGAATGAATGTCATGAACCTTGGAAGGTTTATTTAGTACATGTTATTTATTTGCTGGATCAGCTTCAAAACATCCATGGATGGTATTTTGAATAGTCATAGTCATATTGCGCTTGCTATCGCAATGTCTCTTAGCTACATCCTATTCATAGTACCATACACGGCCTGTTCCTCGTTTGCCGGTCTAATGATGTCTGTTGATGCATGTAGTTATCGGTTATATTAGTTCCACGCACCAGCCATCGCCTTATCGACACGTGCTGATAGATAAAGACTCCGATAAGGCGCCAATATGGCTTCTATCCAGGTGGGATGCGGAGCACGTAAGGTGCGAGTATACGAGATAACAATGCAATGGTAGACCCCGATGTGTCTGGAATTGTGAGTAGCATATAGCGTCCAGAAATGCACCCACTGACCAATTTCAGACCAAAATGGATACCAATGAGATCAAACAGAATGACATCCCCGACCAGCCCACGTTGGTCCGATGGTACATTGATGTCAGACGTTGGGACGAAAAAATACTTTGATCTTCCTTTGCTTGAAACCTTAACACAGTCTGATCAGGCAGCTGTCAAAAAGTACTATCAAACATCGGACAAGTGCCTGTCCTTGGCCTCCCAGCTGCTGAAATATTACTACATTCACCAAGCCACTGGCACTCCCTGGAGCAAGATTGAGATCCAGCGTACCCCGATGCCCGAAAATCGACCATTCTACGATTCAAGTCTGGATTTCAACGTCAGCCATCAGGCTGGTCTCACTCTGTTCGCAGGCACGCGTGCCGCAACAGCCCACTCCTTATTCGGTGGACCTCAAACATTGCCTCGCGTGGGAATTGACGTTGCGTGTGTTGATGAACCCTCTCGTCGTCGTGCTAATCGTCCCCGAAGACACTTGCCGACCTTGCGTCTTTCGTGGATGTCTTCAGTGACGTTCTCTCGCTCCGTGAGCTTGCGACCATCAAGAACCCGTACACGACCCTAAAATTGGCTCGTGAGCTTGGCCTGAATAAAAGTGACCCGAGCAAAGACAACCAGGAAGTCCTTGCTGCCTACGGCATTCGGCTGTTCTACTCGATTTGGGCTCTCAAGGAGGCTTACTTGAAAATGACCGGAGACGGCCTTCTGGCCTCTTGGATAAAGGATCTGGAATTCACAAACGTTATTCCCCCCGAACCAGTTCAAACAGTTGGATTTGCTGGTCATCCTTCTGTCACTCCCGTTGCGCCCTCGGTCCAAAATTGGGGCCGGCCTTACTCCAATGTCAAAATCTCCTTGCGTGGCATTCCCGACCATTCTGTGCGCGTTCAGCTCATCGGTTTCGAGTCCGACTACATAGTTGCCACGGCCGCGTCGGGCCCCAATATTGGATCCGTTCCGCGCCAGCTAGTCGTGAATGACAGCGATCACCACCTGCCCGGGTGTATCACAGCCCTCGACTCTGAGAATGGACTCCAGAACGTCGTCCGCATTCCCCCACTCGCGCTTCGATCAATTGGCGATGGGGACCCCTGGCGTGTGGGCTCGAAAATCAGTGACCCCTGGCTACCCATGCAGGAGGTCGATATTGAAATCGATATCCGGCCCTGTGCCGAGGGCCGTTGCGAGCACCTGCGGGATTTACCAAGCTTCTGAGTTCCCTCTTCCTGGGATATGACCAGACGACCATCCACCCGAGTTATTTGCATATTGGATCTCCTTATCTCATATTCCTTTCTGAGCGTGTTTTTCAGAGCGATAATTACCCTCGAACATATTTCTGCATTGCTTTATTTCCATTAGCGAAAATGAAGTCTCTCTTTCCATTCCATCTCTGCGCCGTTTATTCTGATCGCTGTCCTCGTGTCTGAAATGTAATCCCTCCTGAGCTAGTTGTAGTTGATTTACTGGAACGCTGGGTGAGTGCCGCTCAGATGTTCATCTCCAATAGGCCCCTCAATGAATCTTCACTTAATCGGATCCGAGGTCAAGCTTCGAGATCAAGTGCAAGTTGCCCAGAAAGCACGGGTAAAGAATCCAAGCCTATTTCTATTCTATGGTCTAATGTAAGCTAAAAATATAGAAGGAAGAAAAGCAAGTATCCAACAGTAGGCGGGTCATGACATGCGTTTGCGCTAAGGATATATACATTTCGAATTGCAAAGAGGGAAGAGGTGAATCAGGAGTGAAATGTGTGTCAAGAGGCAATGTCAATGTCAAGATCATTGTTGCTCTCATGAGCAGTCACGGATTGTGTCGGACAGGTTCGGCGTCTTGGGTCCTCAAATTCTATTTCTTGGGTCATGGGCTTGAGAGTAGGTACCGAAGAAGTGGGCAGTATTATACTGCAGTGAGTGTTTAGGAGGAATTATTTCTTGATGAATTGTGGCGTTCGGGTTTGCTCTCTGGTCTTATGGGTTTTAATCTGGATGCCCGATATTGCACCCAAGTTAGGAGAAACATATGGTAAGTGCTAAGCGTGGAGCAGTGTGGCGAATCGCGAATTGGGTTTGGCGCTTAGATTTCAATGGCGCTGGAGACGCCGTTGGCGCGAGCACCATCGACCTCGTTCTTATGCGCGTGGGACATTGTTGCAAGAGTTTTGAGCATCGAATCCCGCGTCGACTGGGTCAAGCTATCCACATCGCCCGATGTCAAATCCTTAGTCGGGATGGGAGGCAAAACTGTTTCAGAATGGTTAGCCATGCTCTGCAGATATCTTGGCAACCTTCTGGTATGACCCACCTCTGATTTTGATAGTCCCAGCGTTGAATCGCCAGGCACGAGGCGACAGAACGTGCGAATAGTTCTCTGTCACAATCGGCACGATCGGCACACCGGCCTTGACAGCAAGATGGAAAGCACCCTTCTTGAAGGGCAGTAGGGTAGGCTCATCGGAGTAACTCCGGGTGCCCTCAGCGAAAATAAACACGCTCTGGCGGTGATCGCGCATCTCGGCGGCGGCGCCATCGAAAGCCTTGAGGGCTGTCTCCCGGTTGGCACGGTCAATGAACACAGTCCGGGACAGAGACATGAACCAGCCCAGGAAAGGAACATTCCGCAGTGACTTCTTAGCAGTCACACTGCAGTATGGCGGGAAGACGCAGCCAAGCATCAGCACGTCAAGCTCAGTCTGGTGGTTACCGATGAAGACGGCTGGACGTGTGGAGAGGTATTCCGCGCCTTCAACAACCTCGAACGTGACGCCAGTTGTGAGTCGCATCATCCACTTAAAGCTGCGGCCTGCTGCCCACTGTGAAATACGGCCATATCCAACTAGCCGCAGGCAGATGGAGACGATCACACCGTACGCGGCACTAACTAAGAGACTGCCATACGAGGCGAGACATCGGGCGGCGAAAGCGGCGCGAGGAACTTTTTGGCCGATTGCGAAGAGGGAGACGGTCACAACCACGAAGGAGCTAATGCCTGAAACAATGTAAGAGCCGAAAGACATGATGACGGTCGTTGGGCGAGTCAAGAGGAGCTGGATACATGTGTCAGTATACAGAATTTATACTCCCTCAGATAAAAACGTACTTTGTTCACTGGTATGCGGGCAACACCCAGCCCACAATTGTAAAACGATGAAGGGTATCAGAAAAGTAAAATGGAGTAGCAGATCAAATCCAAGACTTAGCCATGCATGGCTTGTGGGGAAGGGCAAATCGGAGCAGAAACGTTGAATCGGGTTTCTGCCCCGAGGCTGACTTACCGCCTGGTAGATGCACATGACAGTGTCGCCAGGCACTTCCGGTGCACAGGTGCATTGTAAATCAATTATATTTTTAAAGAATTCAGCCAATAATGAGAATCACGTTCCTCAAAGAATAATGGAATTATGCATGCACTACCCTCATGATGCATGCCCAGGGAAAATCGTTCAACTAATGTACAGAACACCATCATATGCCAGATGTCTACACCTGGAAAAGAAGAAAACTCCACAGGGATGCTGTGCAAAGAGGCCCTCAAACGCCGAGTTCATAAGAGAAGGGCCCCGTGGAAACCCAAGAGAAAGACCTGGGACATCATAGGCCTACGCTATGTCCTCATCCTCCATATCGTCGTCGTCCAACGACTCCATTGCGTCCTTGATGTATTGTGCAGCCTGCGTGGGATGTCAGAAAGAACTTAGAAGGGGAGGGGAATTTGGAGGAAAAAAAAAACTCCAAGACGTACCTTTGGATCCAAGTTCAAGGCCGCCGTGAAATGCTTGATAGCATTGGCCTTGTCGTGGAGCATTTTGTAAAGCTTCCCAAGAAGGTAATGCACATTTGCTTCATCCGGCGCCATGTCCTTCAGGACCTTCAATTCCGCCAAAGCAAACTTGTATTCGCGTAGCTTCATGAGTACGCGCGCCTTGCGGAACTTGGCTAATACCGAGTGAGGGGCTAGCGAGGAGGCTCGACCGTAGTGAACCAGCGCATCTTGGGGATTGTTCATTTTTTCCAATACCAGACCAATGCAGCAAATGAGCACCGCATTCGTCGGGTTAATGCTGGCTGCATTACGGAAATGCTGTTCAGCGAAGTCGAGCTTGCCCATCTTATCATACACCGTCCCCAGTCCGTACCAAGCATTGTAATGTCGATTGTCAGCGTTGATTCCGTGGCGATAGGCCTCCAACGCCTTGTCATATTCTTCATTAGCGACATATTCATGTCCTTGTAGCGTGAAAGCATATGCAAATCCAGGATCGAGCATAGTCGCACGCTTGAAGCACTTGAGTGCTTGATCGTGATCCCGTTGATGAGAGAAAGAGTTGCCAATAGCACACCACGCCTGAGGGGATAGGCGATCAGCTTCAAGTAGCTGATGGGCCAAGTAAGCCAGTTCTACATCACTTTTCAGATGCCATAAAACAGTCGAATAGATTTCCATATCCTCAATGCGGAAGGGCGCTAATTTTTGAACCCTGGAAAAGTACTTGGCAGCTTCCGTGTAGCTTGCTTGTTCGAAATAGGTCCGTCCAAGTTGAGACAAAACCCAAGGGGTTTCACGCTGCCCTTGGGAGAGAGAATTGAAAGAGCTGATGGCGTCCGCACACTTGTAACGGCTCAATGCGAAATATCCAGATGCAAGTTTATTGAAAAGACCCAAAAGCCAATCCAAGGCTTCGAGCTCTTTGGTTTTTTCAGCATTTTTGGGTAATGGGGGGGGGCAGTAGAGTGGGATTGTGACAAGCCAGTCCGATTATCTTTACCGTCATTGTCGGGTGTCTCCACGGGTTTTCGATTGCCACTCACGACACGGCCGACAGTGGGCGCACTTCCTGCGCGTCCTTTCGTAGGCCCACCTCTTAACTTCTTCATCTCGCGGCCATCTCTGCCAGTAAGCGTGCCGTTGGAGAGCTTGCTGGTTGTAGGTTTGATCTGGTTGAAGAGTCGAACGCTTCGGCGCTGTGGAGCACCTGGTTCCGTTGGTTGTGACGAAGGAAGGGGATGTGCGACTTGCCCAGAGACTGTGCGTTTTCGGTCGCCGAATCTTGATACAAGAGTGGGATCCCTTTCTACGGGAGCAGTCGGCTGGGTTTCTGGTTCGGTTCGTGTTTTGTGTCGAGGTCTGATGCCTGTTGGACGCATTCGCGGAGGAGGTTGCCCGGTATGGTCAAGGCTCATAGTTTGGATTGTCCGCGTCTTTCGAGCTGGGGCCAAGGGTGCTTCCCATCCAGCTTCTGGGTCAGTGACGCCATTCGCAATGCGGAAGTCATCAGAGCCACTGCTCTGTGCACCTGGTGTTTCCATTCCTTCGTGGAAAACCGGCTGTGCCACAGCAGCAAAATTGGCGGAGCTCCCATTCAGCTTTTCCCAAAGAGCAGAGCTCCCAAATGTGGTGTCAGACTCGCCACGCGAGGCAGAGACCATAAAAGGGTCAGATTCAGGGTTACCAGGAGGCTCCATGGGGAAAGTCCCTTCTTCATAAGCCACATTGTCTGGCGCAGTAGCTATTTCCTCCGGCGACGAAGATATTATTGCAAGAAGTTCTGGGCTGAGCTGGAAGATATTTGGGACCCGAATATTGACACCTGATATTGCATTAGAACAACCATGCCCCAAAGAAAAAAAGCAGGACATACCTGTTTCGCAAAGCCCCAGGAATGCGTCCCACATGAAGGGGTTCAATTTCAGAGCCTCCACATAGCAGTCAACTGCTTTGGTTAAATCTTTGTGTGCATGCCAAAGTTTCCCCTGCAGAGAATAAACGGCTGCAGCATCAGGAAGGTGCTGTCGCTGAGTTTCACTATGCTTGTCTATAACATGGTTAGCGCTCGAACTCCAAGTTCAAGGAGAAGTTTGCCGGCGCTTACTCCAGTGGTTCTTGGAGGCCCAGAGAGATTTACTGCGCTCCAGAGCAGTAACACCATCCAAGTATTTTCCCAAGTCCAAGCAAGCCTGAGCAAAGACATAAGCACAACCAGCATGTAGACCACGCGAGCCCGAAGCCTGGCTGCATTCGAATGCTGCCTTCACTTCTCCGTTGTGTAGATGGCAAAGGGCGAGCAGAAATTGGGCCTCAAAGGATCGCGGTTCATAGGCGTGGAGGCGCGAAGCGAGGAAGAGGGCATTGCGAATTAAGTTATTGTCGAGTTGGTAATAGATGAGGTGCCGTAGCTGGCTGGCAACATGCCCGGTGGACAAGGCCATGGTGAGGGGTCGGCAACGTGCTATGAGACAGCTCGAGGCAAGTCGGGGATTGTGTAGTGATTATTGAAAGTCGAGATAATAATGCGATTGTAGAGTCGGTTCCTCAGCGTGCTGTAACATCAATGTCCGGCGCCTTTGTAATGTCCTCCAAGACGCGGGGAGGAAACAACGACGCGATCGAGTGGGTTGTTGCAGCGCGAGCGAATGGTCCCATCAACAGCCGCAAGACATGGACAGCAGCAAGTCCGATGCCTTGAATTTGTCTGAGATGCAGGAGCTATCGACTGCTCTCGGTACGCAGGTGTGGAACGAGGAATGTAAACCCAAGCCGGAAATAGTAAGCGGATGAAGGATAGAAAGAAGTGAAAAGGGAATCCTCCGGTTACGTCATCTGCGGACGCAGGATGAGTGTCTCAGAGTACCAGGAACATTTCCAAAGAAGCGGAGGACTGCAAGATGCGCTCAAGATGGGATGAACTTCGGTCGTTCTTTCTGTTATTTTGGTCTGAAGCGGCCTTTGTCATTTCTGCCGTTTTTGTCGGGCGGTGAGGGTAGTGGAGGGCAACAATCACCGGATGTGCTATAGCTGTCATATGCAGGTCCCCTCTCTTCTTCTTCTTTCTCCACTCAGCCTTGAATCCAGGTCATTTTCTTGTCATTTGAAAAGGGAAAGGCTTGGTAAATTCATCTGGGTCTTGAATTTGGGAAGGATCATCTTCGGCATCAGGTTGCAGATCACTTGGTGATCGCATTCAATATGGCTCAGGTATGTACTGGAGGCGCTTTCTTGCTGTGACTAAACTTCTGATTAGCTTGGATGACTGTGAAGGAAATGTCTAACTGTATCACAGAAAGCAGCCAAATCTCTGGCAACCCGCAATGGTGCCGTCCTCAGCCGTACTCACCTCATCTCTGCTGCATTGCATCTGCTCTTCCTCCTGCTGCACTTTGTCTTCCAGCGGCCGCGTTCACTGAAGCCATACCTCTTTCTGGCAGTTCCAACACTTGCCATTGAATACTATTTGGACCGAATGGGCCGGCCCCGCTACAACGAAGATGGTTCCCTTCGCTCCGCCGGCGAGGACCTTAACGCCACTGGCCTGACGGAGTATATGTGGGATGTGCTTTACTGGACCCAGGGATGCATCGTCGCTGTCTGCCTCTTCAATGACCGGGCCTGGTGGTTGTGGGTTGTGATCCCATTGTACTCCGTGTACGCTGCCTACACCACGATAATGGGTGTGAAGAAGGGATTTGCTGGCATGGGTGGTGGTGATGCCGGCCAAGAGGGTGATGCCCCAAAGAGCAAGACGCAGCTGAAGAAAGAAAAGAGAGGTCCCACTATGAAGTATAGGTGATCCTGTTGGAGTGTGAAGGATATGTACAAAAGAGTTGATGTAGAATCGGAGCTCCAAAAGCCATTGCCATTTCTACTAGTTGCCATCTAAAGCGCCTCTTTCATTCTATATCTTTATATATTGGAACAGGGAACTTTTCTACTACCCTCGACATCAGTTCAAGCTAAGTTTCAAAGTTTGCCTTCGTGTCTTGTAGATTGCCTAGGTGTCATTTCCTACAGGATCATAATTTGACTTTTCTCTCGTAGAAAAACAAGGCATCCATTAAATCCTGCTTAGGCGAAAGCAACTGCACCCATTCGTCTAGATTCTTGCTGTTAAGTGGCCTACTTATTCTCAGCAGCCTCTTTGACATAATGCACACCGTGGGTGATAGCTACCTACCTACCTACCTGCATATAGCAGCTCAAGTAAGCATTCCAACATTGAACACAATATTCAAAAACCCATTCATTCATTATGTACTGAACATATATCAAAAACAAGACTTGTATTTCAACCGGGAAGTGGTTAGAGCAAAAAGAGGAGATAGAAACCGAAAATAGAAAGCGAGACTGTGCATGTTGCAGATCATGGACATATGGCCGTCGTGACAAACTATATGGGGAATAATGCGTCGTGAGCTGCGCGTGGCATTCCCAAGGCATGTTTTTCGTTCGGAACTGAATGGTTGAGCCCGAATCAAAAGAGGAAAAAGAAAGAAATGAGTTGATACACGCCACACTGAAATCGATCAAAGTTCATCTTTGACTGAAGCTGCCGCACTCTTAATGCTGCTTGTCGTATCTTTAACGTGGGATGCGGCGGTCTCGACTGCCTCAGACACGACGTTGCTATCTGGGAGGCGGGAGGCTAGATCAGCCAGCTGAGACATGGCGTTTTCTTTAGCTTCAGCGAGACGGACAGCTGCACTCTCCATTGCATTGGGTTCCTCGCCGTAGATAGCAGCGCTGGCTGTGGATTGAATATTCTCAATAGCATCCTTCGCCACATCGATGTAACTGGATTCCTTGCCGTAAACCGCGTTACTGACCTGAGCGGAAGCCGTTGAGTAGACATCGGCTGCGGCATCAGTGGCTTTTTCGTAGGAACCCTTGGGAGTTCCGTAGATTCCAACGCTGGCGGTTTCAACAGCAGCATGGAGTTGGTCATTCGCGCGTTGTATGATGTCCTCCACACTCGGGGCTTCTGAAACGACAGAAGCAGCGGCGGAGGAGGCAGACACATAGGCTTCATTGATGTAGCTAGAGGCAGAGGCGGCGGCGGCAGCCGGGTACGGCGTCTCGTATGCGGCTCGCAGCTTGCTTAGCACACTCTCAGTAAATGAAGGCTGCTTGCCCACAATCAATTCAGAGACAATCTCTTGGACTGCCTCATACTGCGGACGCCCGTTGTTCACAACTTGTTGCAGATACGGCGTTGGAGCACCGTATATCTGCTCGCTGGCTTTAGAGATGAGACTTTCCCAGTTTTCAGATGCTTGACTAGAAATGGACTCTACAGGGCCCGTGGAAGTCCCATAGATGGCCGAGCTGGCCGAAATGGAAGCTGCGGAGAGAGACGAGGAAGCCGCGGAGAGGGCAGCGTTGTATCGGGATGAAGCATCATCAATAATACTTTGTGATTTGCCGCCATCCGCGAAAGACATGACCGAGCTCGCCGATGCGACGACAGCAGCAAGACTGGCAGAAGCTAACGACGAAGCTTGTTCGTATTGAGACCGAGCTTCCTCGACGATTCCCTTGGAGCCTCCGGTTGGCGTGGGAGCTGGAGAACCATAGACCGCCCCAGATGCCGTAGAGACAAAAGCAGAATAGTGGTCGTGGGCCAACCCAACTGCCTCGTAGTAGCGACGCTGCGCATCAAGGACGAACGGATTGAGATCTCCATGAGGAAGACTGCCTGTTGTTGCCGGTGGCTGTACTTCAGCTAATTGTTCGGATGCTAAGCTGAGTCCCTGGTTTAGCCGGGAAGACGCTATGGACGAAATCTGGGCAAGAGGTCCGGCGTTAGATGGCGTCGGGGTAGCACCAACAGCGCGGAGCTTCGATTCCAGCTCATCTGTGGCATATTTCAAAGTCCCAGAATAGGCCGACTCTATGGAGGATAGGAGCTGGGCATGAGCAGGAGCACTAGATTCAGCCATTTGGCCAAGTACTTGAGACTTTGCGATCTCGTATAGTACCTTAGCCTGCTCTGTGGAATCGGCAAATGCTGAGCTAACTCCACCCACCAAAGATTCGACAACCGGTGTTGGAGTGCCGTAGATGACGGACGAAGCACTGTGGCAGAAATTCGCATTAGCGAGGATTCGATTTATGCAATTTTAAGACAAGCTGAATATGCTATACTACTTACGCGGCTACGGCGTCGCTATATTTTTCAGAGGCGTCACTGTAAGCCTTCTCTCCGGGACTCAGAGGAGTGCCATGGATAACGGTAGAGGCGGCGGACCAGGCAAGAGAGTACTGTTCACTGGCCAATGATGCTGCCCCCTCACTGACTCCGGGCGTGCTCGATGCACCATAGATAGCTTCGCTAACAGCATTGCTCGCCGCGGCGTAAGTATCGCCCGCCTTGCTCGCCACACTGTCCATGACATCTTGGCCCTCACCATCTAGGATAGGGGCTTGATGCGAATTTGCATCGGCAGCTGAAACCCCAAAGGCGGGCCTTGCGGGGGGCTGCTCTTCCTCCACAATATCATCGTCCATAACAGACTCGTTAGCGCCATCGAAATCTGCTTCAACATCGACAGCTGCGGAAGGTTCATTGGTGGAGAGTGCTTCCTGATAAGCGTCGTCCGACAATGGCGCAGCCACCTCTTCGGACGACTCATCGTTATTGGAATCCACCTTAGCCTCTTCTTCGTCAGATTCTTCGGTCTCCTCCTGGGGCTTGGGCCTCGCCGGTGGGGCTTCAGTGCGAGTTTCGAAATTATCGCTTACTTCGCGAGCAGCGATCTTCCAGATCCCAACATCCTTCAACCGGACAAGTTCCCTGGCAGCTTGCTCGGCTTCATGCATGCCCTGGTCCAAGATGTCACTCGCCACGGCTCTGGCATCAGATACGGATTTGTGGTTCATGCCGACATTTCTGATATCGTTGCGCCATTCTTCGAGTTGGGCTTTGAGGGCATGGTACTTTGCCCAGTCCTTGTATGTGACGCCATCCATCCACGCCCAGCGCATGCCAATTTCTTGTAAGCCTAGATCGCGAATGCTGTCGAGAACATCCAGTGTCGAATTGACAGCAGCAGTGACTCGGCGAATAAGTTCATCCTCGAACGAGATAGACCACTCTCGGAGTGCATGGGCGCGATCTCTCACAGAGATAGCGGAAGTTCGGATTTCCCCAATCAGCAAATCGCTAGTTGCCTCCTCAACCTCCGGGGCGTCCTCCTCTGGCATTGAACCCGCGAGTTCATTGATACGTTGCTTGATGGAGGAAAGCTGCTCGGCTGAAACTGATTGAAGTGCGGTATAAAGGCTCTGGCCGTGACTGTTCGCGCTGCTTGCAACTAGGGCGGACACGATCTCCCCAATACGTTCCTCAAGGTCTTCAATACCTTTATCAGCTGCGAGAGCAAACTTTTCCTGCCACCGCTCAAGGTCCGAATCTATCTTCTCGCGGGCTTGCTGGGCTTGCTCGGTAGGAGTTAGAGTGGGCTGTGGAGAAGCCTGGGGCGTAGAGGTTGAAGTCACAGTGGTTGTGGTGTGAATTTGTTCCTGTGACTTGGTGGTCGAGGAGGTAACGGGCTGCACTGTAGAGCTACTAAATATATGGTTAGCAAGCTATTGACTGGAGAAATCAAAAGGGTACAAGTACCTATCCACATCCTCTACGACAGCGCGAAGTCGCTTGCCCTCCCTGTAGCTTGCCAACCGCTGGCCAATCTTGACCAGCTGGGGCTCCACTTGCTCAGAATAAAGACCAGTGATGTGAGGCCATAGTGAGCTGTTAGCAAAGTAGACCGCGGACGACCAGGTATACTGCGCCCCGGGCAAGACACGGGTTGTCAAAACATCCTGACCCGTGGAGTAGGCTTTCCCGATGAAAGGTTTGGAACGCGCGTAGAAAGGTACCAGATGGCCCTGATAGACATTGAGCACAGCGGTGTTGACCAATTGATAGTATGGAGAGACAACAGCAACGCTTTGCTGGACATATGGGTCAATCTCGGCCAAGTAAAGCCGGTGCACCTTATCTTTAGAGTTTTGTAGTCTTGGTGCGACTTGATGTTGCCATTGCTCAATCCCATAAACCTGAGCTTGCTTCAACGCTGGGGCTCCATACTTTCCATATCCTGATTTGGCAACTTTTGATGCCGGGGTATAGACTTGCTGATTAAACACTTCCACGTATGGCCGGGCTTGATCAACATACGGTCGGGCTTGATCAACATAAGGCGCTGCATAAATATCATAATAAGGCGTCACATAAGGTTCCACGTGTGAACGAGCAATCAGGTAAGGCTTGCACACTCGAGGCGATGTTTCTGTGAGGTCCGCGAGGCGGGATGGGCATCTGAGGAGCGTTGTCACGAGCGTGTACCAGATACATAGCCTGAGAAGTAAAGAAGTTAGAGGATTTGGATTATGTACAAGCATGACATTGCCATCACTCACCTCACGACAAGTCCGACTGTCCATCGCACGAAGCCCTTCTTCCGTGGCTTTTCAGGATCCTTTTGACCATTTGATTTGGGCGTGACATCTGCCACTTGGCCATTCTCTTTCACTACCATCGCAACTGAGGCTGACCCTGTCGAGGCGACGCGACTTGTGAGATTCGAGGTCGGCCACCGTAATTTGCGAAGGGCTTCCCTTCCACACACACTTAGATCGAGTAAACGCAGTAGAAGATTATCGCTGCATTGGAAAGAAGCTCACAGCCCGGTTGGATATGTGGCTTTTCGATATCGGAGCTCGAGACTGAATGAATCAAAGCAAATTAGCTGCTGTAGGCGGAATGCTCGCGTCGGTCTTGGCGCTAGCAACTTTCACGGGCCGCGGTCAGATACCTACAACCTAGGTTGGGTCAAATTTCAAAAAATTGTTGGGTCTGAGGAAGAAAAGGTCGACCGTGTTAGTCTTTTTAGGTCTAATCAGAAAGGAAACAAGGTGCAATTTTATTACATTAATGGGACAAGGCGATTGCATATGACACAATAGTCAAGGATGTGATTTTAAGAGCTCAGTGAGGTCATCGGTGGCTACCCGTACTGCAGATACAACAGTACCCCACTGTCACCGCCTCCACAAGCAGGTAATGGTGTATTTTAATGTATTGCCAGCGCACACCGCTGAGTCAGCGAATTGGATGGTCCCGGGCAGCTACCTGGGCCACCTGGGCAGGCTGAATTGCTTTGTTACAATCAAGCATCAATGATCTACAGGTTGCGTTTGTGAGGTAGATACTCCTATAAAAAGCATTTGAATTTTATCCTCACTAATCATTCTATTCAGCTCCACTCGGATTTTGCCCACCAACACAAGCCTTCCATGTTTACAACTTTTCCCGTTCCCGCTTGACTAGGAACATGGTGAACATCTGATCAACCACCACCGTCAACTTGGCGAGATTCACGAATCATGGAGCCCGTGGACTACCAATTCCGCAGCAATGCGGACAACGCGTTTCCCGATCTAATGAACGATCCGGCTTATGACGAAAGGGAAAAGGGATTTGACGACCTGGATACCTGTCGGATATGTCATGGCGAGGCAACGGAAGAGGAACCGCTGTTTTACCCGTGCAAGTGCAGCGGTAGTATCAAATTTGTCCACCAAGTATGTCTCGTTGAATGGTTGTCACACTCACAGAAGAAACACTGTGAGCTCTGCAAAACGCCGTTCCGATTCACGAAACTATACGACCCAAACATGCCTCAGAGCCTTCCCGCACCTCTGTTTGCGAAGCAAGCCCTCATTCAATGCTTCCGGACTTTGGTGACATGGTTGAGATTTGTTCTCGTTGCATTCGTCTGGCTAGGATGGCTACCGTGGTCGATGCGCGCCATCTGGAGAGCACTGTTTTGGCTTGCTGATGGCCGGTGGTCTGCAAATGATAACGTTCGGAACCAAGCCGCACAAACCGCCCAATATGGTCTTGGGCAACTGTCCGCAAATGGCAGTGCTGTAAATACTGCGGTAACTGACTCGATTACTTCGACAATTTCTAATGCTGCCATCTCATCTACTACTGCTGTACCATCTGCACGATCATCAATTCTCAATTTCGCAGCTGGCGAGCCGCTCATGCTCACGCTAATTAAAAAGGTGATACCCACTCTGTTCATGCCTGCATTTACTTCGACCGTTGGGCAAGGCAACGGACAAAACAACGTCACGGCCAGCTCAACCAAACCTCGGTATCCATCATGGCTTTCGGATGTGAAGTTCCTGAACTCGTTGACACCGTATCCAACAATAAACAACATGATCATGGACACATTAGAAGGGCAGCTTATCACCCTTCTTGTGGTCGTTGCGTTTATTCTACTCTTCCTCATTCGAGAATGGGTTGTTCAGCAGCAACCTATGGTCAATATCGCGGAAGGAGAACGCGAGGCTGCTCTTCGGTTAATTGCAAATGACAATGATCGGATAAATGATCGATTCAATCAAGGTGATCCTGAGACAACCAGAACCCATTCCCGCTCACCCGGAAAATGAGGTCAATGATGAACCCGCTGAAGCCCATGAGTTGGACAATGACGTTCTTCCTCAATTTGCTCCTCACTCCCCAGCTCTGTCCTCGAATGATTCTGAGTACGGTCCTCCTGGGTTCGAAGCGGAGCTACGAGACTACAGTGGGAACGACCCGGAACACGAAACAGGAGGCCCTCCTACGGCTCGTGCTCTGGCTTTCCGAGACCTAGTGGCCCGGACTCATGGAAACCATGAAGAAATGCTGCGCATTCTCCGTGAAGAGGCTCACGGGGATGATCTGGACTGGATTGTGAATGCCATCACTGGAGCGACCATAAACCGGGATTCATCAGCAGGGCCTTCTACTCGTCCCCACAATCTCGATAATCCAGAAGACTCAGATGGTGCTGATGCTAGTAATCTTGGAAATGGAAATGTCGAGGATCACCCGCCTAATGCAGACGCCGGACCTTCTGCCCAGAACGTGGATCACGGGCCACCGACTAGAGAGAATGCCCTTCCTGTCCCCAACGTACAACTGGATGATCGGCCTCCACTGGGCATCACTGAACGACTGTTCGAATGGTTTTGGGGAGACATCACACCTGTGGAACGTGATGCGGAAGAGCCAGTTCCCGAAGATGAAGAACATATTGTTGAAGATCCGGCCTTGGAAGACCCATTCGTGCGCTTGCCGAATCGGATGGAAAACATCCAACCAGATGCTGCCGCTGATGCTGCTGCGGCCGCGGATGCTGGGCTGGACCCTAACGATATCGATGCAATCGAAGGGGACGACTTCGAAGGGATCATGGACCTTATTGGCATGCATGGTCCCATCTTTGGGCTTTTCCAGAACGGGGTCTTCTGTGCCCTTCTGATTGCGTTCACAGTAGCCATCGGGATCTGGCTCCCGTACCTATGGGGTAAAATTGCTCTTGTGTTGTTAGCCAACCCTCTCGAACTCATCATCGGTGTTCCTATCACCGCGATTGAAGTCGTCGCAGACATCGCTCTTGATACTCTTATTGGTGTCGTGGGATATCTCATGTACTGGTTCAGCCTCATTTTCAAGATTGTACTGAGCCCTTTCAGTGCTCTTTTGCCTATTGGAGAATGGATTCCCCGGGACAAGTCCGTTACTAGTGCATCACTTTCCCTCATCGACGCAAGCAGTCACCGCTTGAATAAAGTGATCAAAGCATTCCTGGTCTTCCATGAGTCTGATATCCCCATGTTCTCAGTGCTCTCGCACCAGGCGCTTAAATTACACCAAGCTCGACTCGGTGCTGTGCTCCAATCCGTCTTTGCCACTCTCAAGTTCATCCTACATGACTTCCCACTTCGACTTGTCACTCTCGGTGTTCCCGGTGCCCTTTCTTTGGACATTGACTTTTCCTATTTCAAGAATGCTATTGGTCAAGCCCAACAACAACTCACCACCTTCGCTAAATCATCAATTTTCTCGATGCCTGGAACGAGGTTTCTGAACGCAAGTGCAGCTAAGGCAGCCTCTGCCACAGTGCCGGTCGATTATGATCTGGTGGTCTGGGATTCAAAGGATCGTGTTATCGCTATATTCATGGGCTATTTGCTTGCGTTCATGGTAGGGCTTCTCTACCTACGAATCACAGGGCTGCTGTCTGGTGCCAATCGGGGACAAAGGATGGAGGGTCTGCTTGCTGAGGTCCTGGTACAAGCCGGAGGAGTTATGAAGGTCATCCTCATCATCGGTATTGAGATGATTGTTTTCCCTTTGTATTGTGGCAGTCTTCTTGATCTTGCTTTACTCCCGCTCTTCTCCGACGCTACAGTGGCCTCTCGTATCGCTTTTACTGCTGCATCTCCGCTCACATCGCTTTTCGTGCACTGGTTTGTCGGCACTTGCTACATGTTCCACTTTGCCCTATTTGTTTCCATGTGCAGAAAGATTTTGAGAAGCGGTGTGCTTTGTAAGTGCTGTTATGGATTTGCCAGGCCTTGATCGGTTTGCTAACTGCTTGACTCTAGACTTCATTCGTGACCCCGATGACCCAACTTTCCACCCAATACGTGATGTTCTCGAACGCAGCATCACTACCCAGCTCCGTAAGATCGGTTTCAGTGCCCTTGTATACGGTGCGCTAGTGATCGTCTGTCTAGGAGGTGTCGTCTGGGGCTTGCACTTTGCTCTCGATGGTGTTCTCCCGGTTCACTGGTCGGCCAGTGCCCCGATGCTCGAGTTCCCAGTTGATCTCCTATTCTACAACTTCGTGTTGCCTGTAGTCATCCAATCATTCAAACCTTCAGATGGGTTGCATGATTTATATGACTGGTGGTTCCACAAGTGTGCTCATTTCCTGCGTCTCAGCAACTTTTTCTTCCCGGAAAGACACCTGGAGGAAGAAGGCTACCACGTCCGGAAAACCTGGTGGGCTATTCTCTCTAGAAGCGAGGGTGACTGGGAACACCCAGTAGTTGGAGATGATCAGCAGACTGCAGCTGAGCGGGAAAACCGTGACGTCTACTTCCTGCGCGATGGTCGATACGTGCGCGCCCCTGGCTCTGATCAGGTCCGCATTCCCAAAGGCAACAACGTTTTCCTCGAGGTCACCGAGAACAATGAACGTGTTGATGGGAAGGTCGATTTCGCCGATGGGTTACATGGTCGATCCAGCAACATGTTCACCAAAGTCTACATCCCTCCTTCCTTCCGCACTCGGATTGCTGCCTTTATTCTTCTAATCTGGCTTTTTGCCGCTACCACCGGGGTAGGCATCACTATTATTCCCTTGGTAATTGGTCGGAAGATCATCGGGTCCTACTCCTCTACTCCGGCTCCGGTGAACGACGTCTACGCATTTTCAAGTGGTCTCTGTGTGGTCGGTGCGCTTGCCTACCTGGCGTACTACTCCAGCACCGCACTCAACTTCGTGCGGGAGAATTCAGGCGCATACCTTCGTTCCCCCTGTCAAGCAGCCCAGACTGGTCTGGACCTCGTGCTACATGCTGCTCGACTTTTGTACATGGCTCAAGTTGCCATTATCCTTCTACCGTCACTCTTCGCGCTGCTTACTGAACTATACATTCTCATTCCAGCGCACACACTCTTTGGCGATGGAGAGTCGCATGTTGTCCATGTCGTTCAGGACTGGGCGCTCGGAGTGTTGTATGTCCAGATGGCCATTAAGTTGACTTTCTGGCAGCCCCATTCCTGGGTGGCAGCTGCGGTCAACAGTGTCTTCCAAGATGGTTGGCTGAAGCCGAATGCGAGCCTTGCGACTCGTGCCCTTGTTCTTCCAATTGTTCTCTTCACTGCAGCTGCGGTCACTTTGCCTTTGTCATTTGGGTTTATTGTGCGCTGGACAATTTTCTACTCCCACATCGGAGTGCAGCCTAATATTTACCGCTATGCTTATCCCACTACACTCTTGATCGTGCTGTCTGTATGGATGGCACATCTACTGTTGAGACGAGTGGCGGTCTGGCGAACCAATATCCGCGACGAAGTCTATCTCATTGGAGAGAGACTGCACAATTTCAGTGAGAAACGAGCACGGGATGTCGGTGTGTCGCGGGTGATGACAGGGTGACAAAATGGATGAGTGTGTGATAACTTTGGCCTTAAAGGCACTCTCTTACTTTTCTTAGCTCTATTGTACATTTAACTCAAAATGAATCGTTAGAATCCAAGTATTATTGACTATCTCTCATCCTGCCCCTCGTTGGAATCATGCCTGAGGCATCCATGGATGGTTTTTATATGTACGTAAGTGGTACTGGTAATACCGTAATATAAACCTTCATTGCCTGCTGCCTGCCCCGTGGCCCCACTATTGGCCTCTCTTGTGGTCGCTCATTGGTTAGGCAACAGGATTCCCTCGATGCACCATTGTGTGGTTATCGGCCTTCATCGCCATCCTCAAGGCACCCATTGAAACTGCTCTTGCAAGTCTTTATCGATTCCTTTCCTGTCGAATGGGTTCTTCGATTTTCAGCTACTCTCACTATGTGTTCTTGAACGCTACCACTGCAGTGCCTTGTCTCTAATGCTCGATACTGTACCTGTCATTCTTATCGATCCCCTCCGCAATCGCCAAGATGTCAGTCCTCCGGCATGGAGGAGGAGGTGGCTTCCTCCAGCGGCGCCTCACGAAACTATATACCGATACGAAAACCTCCTGCGAGAGCGTTACGACAGCCTCAAAGGCCCTCGATGATCCTGAGCTCGTCGCCCTCCATGGGAGTTTCCAGAAACAGAGGGATCGCTTGCTGGCGTGGGGACTGGATTGGAGCGACGCAAGCGCCGCGCAGCCCAACGACATCGATGAATCTTTGACTGCTGCAGGCTTCAGCGATGTCGTCGAGAGTGTCATGTCATCGATCCAAGAACTCCTCAACGATGCTGAGCAAGTCCAGCATGTGGATGCGCCCATGCTTCCTTCCAAGGAACGGAAAGTCGATATACCATCGAAGGATACCCTCGCTAGCAGACCTGTTAAAACGCAATGGACGGAGGAAGATATAACTCGCTCGAACAAGATTTTGAATGAACTCACTGGCTGCATTGATACCCTTTATGATCTCTCGCGCTCCCGGCGGACAATGGCTTCCAGCATGTCATCCAGCAGGAACAGCGCGCGCCGCCCACGACCCAACCTCACCTCACCTTACGACTCATCGCACGGTTCATTCTCCGATTCCAAGGAGAAAGTACAAAGCCCGAAGCAAATGTTCGATACATTCACCTACTCGCCCACGACCACACACCGTGACTCCCCTAATCCTTTCTTGCCATTGAACCATCTCCTCATTGATCGCTCAGCTCTGCAACTATATGGAGCGGCGCACGATAATAGCCCTCCTCCATATGAACCCGTTGCGGCATCTTCCAACTCGCGTGCCATTGGACGACTGAAGTCATCGGCATCGCATCTTCTCGCCTCCACAAAAGAGTCTCATGTCTCGGTGCTTGTCGAGTTTATGCCTATATTGGCGGAGTCAAAAATGGATAACAAGAGTGCTCGACTGGAAAAGCTCCAACAGTCTCTTGATCAGTTGCTACAGAACGCTAGAATCTCGCACTTGGGGTTGATGCGATTTTTGGGCTACTGCATTGATAACTCGAATTCTCGCTATGCATTCCTTTATCAGATGCCGGTCGACTACTTCCCGTTCCTACAGAATCCGAGTGACCTATTGAAGGAGTTAAAGCCTAAGCCATTGGTCGCTCTTCTTCCTTCAGCAGAGGAGTACCGGGAGAATCGAGTTCCGAACCTTGACACTCGCTTTCGATTGGCTTACGATCTCTTAATGTCCGCTCTCCATCTGAGAAGTCAAAATGCCGTTCATGGAAATATCAACAGCAGCAACGTTATCTTCTTCCCGGGCCGAAGTGATGCGAGTGATGATGAAAGTGGTCTTGTACCTGATCTTCGCCGCCCTTATCTCACCTCTCCGGCACGGTTCTCTGGGGATGGACCAACCCCTGAGCCGTTGTCTTCGGCAATGTATCGTCACCCAGAGGACAAGAGATGTGTTGAGGATGATGGCGCGTGGGCCTATGACCTTTACTCGCTAGGCCTCATTCTATTAGAGATAGGCCTGTGGGCACCAGTTGGGCGGCTTTGGAAGATGAAGTACGACCGCTCGTGGTTCAAGCATCGAGTGGAAGATCTTTATGTTAAGAAGCTCGGCCCTAAGTGCGGTGGTGCCTATCTTCAAGCCGTTCAGTTGTGCCTTGATGCCCCCAACTTCCATTTATCGACACAGCCGATGACAGACCTTGGTCTCCGTGTCCCACAAATTTACCACTACCCGGTACTCGACTTGTCGGACCCTGATGGCACTTTCTCTTTTTCAATGAATTTCATGTATACAATCTGCAAGATACTGTGGTCATGTTGCCGGATTGATATCTTCTCGGCACCCTCGGCAGAAGAATTGGATGACTGCCTTCCACTCGCTCTTGTCCCCACCCCCGAACCGGTCACCATCGAGGATAAAGTCAGGGCATATAAGTCATCGAAGCGCGAGATGTCTAATTATGACAAGAAGCTTCCCACAATTCCAGCCGATGCATGGAGTGCCGCGAATGAAGATAAACACATTGAAAAGCCACAAAAGAAACGGACCGTCAAGAGGCTTCCGCACTTGGAAATACCGGACGAGCACCTACAAGAGTGGAATTTCCAAATAATGCCTCGAGTGAGTCGCCTTCTTCAAAAGATCTTAAAGGAGTCCTCCGAGTCATGTGGAGTAAACCTCATCATGACTGGCGAATCGCCTGAAAGTGCCAAAACCACGATTTGTGTTACTTGCGCCAGCGTGAAGAAAGTTCGAATGGCCCTCAAGAAGCATTTTGCTCTTGGTCGGGATGACTGGGATTTGATTGTCCTCCGTGGCGATATCGAACGCTCCAAGGTTCCTCGGAACCGGCGCCGGAGACCGGCCAAAGCTCGCCCGAATGTATCCAATGATACACCCTTTCGTCAGCGAGAGCTCAATCCATGTCACCAGCAGCGACCTTTATGCGGAGCATCCATCGGTGCTTTTCAGAACGAAGAGCACCTACCTCCCGTCTCATATGGTGGTGCCGTCATCGTCGATGGCTTACCGTATGGCTTAACAGTACATCATATGTTGGAAGCTCCTAGCGAAGATGAGGGCCAAGACAGTGGCCCCGCAGAGTCCAACCAAGACGCCCCTTCCAGGTCGGCGGGAATTGGCCCCGTGATACATCAAATATCCCACATCCTGGATTCAGGTATGACTATCCAGAGGATGACTCGTCTGACATGAACTTCGATTTCGAAATTTCCGATATCGAGGACGGAGACGATCCGTCACAAGGCCTTGAGTCTGGGTATGATGAATTCTGGCTTTCAGATGAAGATTCATCAGATGACGACTCCATTGGCCCCGATGACGATGATGATGACACCGCGTCTATCGGCGATACTGCGGGCATTGAACCCGGCGAAGAACCTCGGCTGCTTGTCACCCAACCAGCTATTGACGATGTACATGAAGACTTTTTTCCATCTCCAGAAGATCGCGATGACGAGCATCTAGCCTCACACTCCCTAGGTTATGTTCACGCATCATCTGGAGTACGGCGCTGGACCCGAAAGGGTCTGAAACATGAGATTGACTGGGCACTTATCAAAGTCGATGAAGCCCGCATGGACCCTCGCAACATCATTCTGGATACTACTAGATCAAGTATCGCTCGTCCGGGTCGCCCTATCCCGCCACAACCCATATTTCTGAACCAGGTGGCCCGGATGGAGGAGCTAGGTGGCTTGCAAGTTCATTGCTGTGGCCGCACAAGTGGACTTCAAACAGGGCAGATATCCAAGGCTATGACATTGGTCAAACTTCAGGGACGGCATTCATTCTCAACCAGCTTTTGCGTCAATGGGAACTTCGGAGGTAAGAGGTGCACTTCAGCGGATCCATGTTTTTGTCTATACGACCCTTAATTAGATACCCTTTTTGTCGTTTTTTCATGCACGCCCATCGTTTGTTGTCTTTCTTAGCTGGTAAACATACAGCACCATTCTGTCCTAAGACATCGGCTCGTATCGAGTAAACATTTTCGTGAAGCTAATCTCTCTTTATTCGACAGCCCCTGGCGACTCCGGCGCATGGGTCTTCGACCGTCCCACGGGCCGTGTCTGCGGCCATGTTCTCGCCTGGTCCGCAAAAAGCAACACCACCTACATTTCGCCTATGGAAGTCACCTTCGATGACATCGCACGCACGCTCCGCGCCTCTGTCGTCTCCCTCCCTGGCGACCCGAGCCGATCCATGGGTTACGTCGACCCTAACTCCCCGCAGTCCGCTCAATACCGCTATCAGGCACAGCGGCTGCCAGGGGACTTTGGTCGTTTGGCTTTTGGAGCTGGAGGTTCCCCCCGGTCCGCCTGTACCACCCTATCCCCACCATTATCCTCGCCCTCAAGCCCACCATCCGGCTTACGGACGTCCTCCACCTCCGCCTCCACCCCCTCCCGGCTCCCGAGAAGCCCATGGGCCCGTGTACAGTGGCCCTGTCCCCCCATTCCGCCGTCCCTTCTGGCTGGGCCCCGTAACATCGAGCGACAACTTGCTTGATTTGAGGAAATCTGCAATATGGGAATAATATTTTGAGATGCAATGTCATGTTGATCTGGGTATATTGGTTTTGTTTTATGATTATGTTGATGTTTATGGACGTTGAGGATACCCATGATGGAGCGAGCACTTTTGGTTCCATTTTTGTTTTATACGCTACGCTATAAGAATTGTTTCACGTGAATTACGCATGTATTCAAAGGATAGTATTTATGGCTGGGCTTGAGTTAGGCACAATGCAGCTAGGGAGGACACACTCGAGGCTGGCGTTAACCCGATCCGTCGGCGTCATGGAATATCAACCCTGCCCAGGTTGTTTGCCCTTCCTTTTACCAATAATTGTCACCCTTAACCAGGATGCAAAGTTTGCCATTACCATTCGCAACCGCCACCTCCTATCGTGTCAGGAAGGCTCAAATTTCCCATCTTCATAGTCTAGTACTATAGGGTACGGCCATTATCTTAACTATGTATATATCACGTGGGGGATAAGCCTAACCACTTTTGGAAACAAATTAAGGTTGCAGGACCGAGGGCTACTAAGCCTAATTAGGTAGGCTTGGTGCTCTTAACTATGGAGCATTAAACTGGATAAGTTTTCTTCTTTCTCGACATCAACATCAACATCAACAACGATGTCTTCTCATCTGTGCGAAATTCCCGAAGATTCTGTAGCCTCCTACGATACTGAACTGTCCACAGATGCTTGTTTGGCCAGTGCTACTGAAGAAATGCTGGAAGTTGCGGAGGCTCCAGCAAAGGATGAAGACATACTGCGACAGGCCCTGAGCGTGCACTCTATTATATCAACTTCCCCGAAGCTTCGCACAGCGTATGCAGCGAGAAAAATCCCTTCAGGATGCTCCACTTGTTGTCATCGGCCGGGGAACATGCGGCACGATCTTTGAGATTCCTGGAACAGAGTCAGCGTACAAAAAAGGCAGCGATAAGGTCGCACTGTGGAACGATGCGAACCTCACCAACATCGCCTGCCGTGCAGTCACAGTGACGAAGACTTGTCTTCAGGAAATATTCCCAAATGTCTCAATCCCTCGTGTGCCTGTAGTGACTGGTTGGATTAGTGAGAATGACCTGGAAAACTGGTGGCGAGAGAACTTGCGACGATTCCCAAAGGATACTCGAAAAGCTGGATATCTTTTTCAAGTGCAGCGGATCTTACCGCTTCCCAAGCCCTGCCGTGAAGCTCTTATCCGTCTCTATTTCCCGAAGACAATGCGCGAATCGGCACACGAGGACCCGGATAATAAGGCATGCCTTGTACGACCATACCTTGGACAGCGAAGAGGAGAGAGAGAATTATCCAATCCAGCACTCAGCCTTCAGAACTTTCCTCTTTATCTCGATCAGATAGAGAAACTCGAGTTAGAGGTAGAGGCTATCCAATTTTCCGAGGAGATGGCTATTGGGCTAGCTACCATCCACTGGAAGGCTTGCTTGGACGGTATGGACATGGAATTCGTACTCGGTAGTGCGGCAACAAATGGAGAACTTCCTACCGTCGTTGAGAACTTTAAGACAGTGGCGCCCTTTGGTATCCCTACGGGTGATTTCAAAAGACGGCAGGTACATCTCTGGATGCTTGACTTTGATAAGGCTGAACAGCTTTGCCTCAAGAAGAGCTGGAAACCTTGCTGTGATAGAATGGTCACTGCTGTGACAGCGAATGACCCCTATTTCCCCAACCCAGCGGCTACAGCAACACTCGAACAAAAGTTATGGGATACATTTGAGCGCGCCTATCTTCTTGCTGCGTCTAATCTTCTGCTTACGCAGAAGACGTTGCCAAAGGAGGCGAGTAAATACCCGGCTCTATTTTTGAAAGCATGGAAGAAGAGAGCTACAGAACTGGCAGAGGACACGGAGGGTGATTTTGTGAAGTTTGGTGAATAGTCACATCATGCTGGCAGGAAACGACGAACAGGGTCGATAGAAAGGGAAACAATCAACAGCTATTCAACAAGGCCTAGAAGTCGCTTCATCCGGTAGTAGACTTAGAAACTTGCCGCCACCATGGGGGCCATATTCACGTCGCCAGTGGTCAGTCCAACGTGAAGACCTCTCACAATAACTGAGAGGCTAACTGGTAAGCACGTGAGCTTTCTAAACCTAATTCTGTCACATTTACTTCATAACAATTGCAGTCATTGAACCTAACCGTGAAATGCAATCATTACTTATTACAGTATTTACAGTTAGTTAATCAAATGAGACAGCGATAAGACCATCCACAAGGTTGTGGTCTCTGAAATTAACTTCTTAATCCTGAAGACTCCATGATACCCGAATCATAAAAGCAAGTCGAGTGGCCGGAAAAGACATTGGTCACTCCTGCGACTCCGCCAGGACATGATGTACTGGCATCAAATGACGAAGGGTAGCACAGTGCTGCTCTTAAACTTGCATCAGGCCCTAGGAAAGCCACGAACTGTCAGTGGATCAGCAACGAGAAGATAGAACAGCGGAGAGGACTCACTTTGGAAACGGTCGTTTTCACCAAGCTGTGCTTACTAGCATGGGACTTGATCAGAGAGTCCAAACCAGCTCCAAGATCACAAATCGCATCCGCAGCATGGGCGATCACGTCCTCATCCATAACCAGTTCGGCAGCCTCAGTCGCGCCAAAGCAGATCGGAAAGAAACCGATGTGTGTCGTAATTCGCATGATGCCGGTGGTATGGGACGCAAAGGAACATTTACAGTCTGGTCGCGTGGGCGGCCCGTATCTCGAAGTAGTTTACTCCGCGCATGGACGCGGCAAGATGGTCAGATACCGCATGGGCGGCTTCAATGACCCGCTCATAGGAGTGGTCGTTGAGGAGTTGGTTGCCACTCCTCACCTCAAGCCTCTTGATTGTTCGGTCCCACACAATTGCTTCTCCTTGATGAGTGGCATCAAGCACCCACCGCGGTGGTGCCTTTGCGAAATCCCCAGACGTGACACCAAATGCGGGATGCTTACCCGCGATGATAAACATCACGACATCATCGCAAAAGCTGTGCATTGCATCGCAGAGCAACCTTGGGAACCACCTAGCCATCAAGTCTCTGGAATCGCAAATCGACTGATGTTGATGGGAATAGGAATAATGGCGTTTGGGCCAGATGCCATCTGCATCTCCCGACACTGTCTGGCGAATAATTGAAATGTACCTTCACCAAACCAGATCATGTCCCGCATTTCGTCAGGACGGCGAATATATATATTGCACCGTCTCTTCTTATCGAAGCTAAACTCAATGCCCTGTTTGTGGGCCCAAGTGATAGCGATGTTACGGCCCTCATGGTTCACGGAGGCGAGGGGTATCTTGACACGGATTACGTCCAAATCGAAGCGGTACTCCCACTCCCCGAAGTGGATGCTAGTAGTTGGCACTGGAGAAGGGTTCCAACTGCCACCTCGATATGGAGTAAATGCCGGGGAGTCTTTTTCAGGCAAGGCGGCACGCCAGATCATGGCGCGTAGTTCGGGAGGAAGGTAGGGAAATAAAGGAAAAGTGGGCGAGCTGGCCGCTGTCACGGCCAAGGTATCCATGGTGGACTTGAGAATTGCCAGAGTTGAATAATCTGTGACTGATTTAGAGTCTTCTGATGAGATGAGGAGGGTAGGGAGGGAGGTTAGTGTGAAATTGACTTGGTGGATGGTGGTCAACACCTGACTTACTGTGACTCCGTTGCCTAAAGCAATCGTTGGACAATCTTCCTTATCTAGCAACTGGTGTTTGATACCTGAGTGGACAATCGAGATAGTTTGTCACTTCCTAGTGAAGTTGCTCTTCGACGGACGGGGGATCTTCCGGTCGACGAGACGGTAAGAGCTTGAAGCTCTTAAGGATTTAGGTGATCTAGTAAATCATGTCCTGAAGTCGTCTTCATTCTTAAGAACATGTTAGAATTTGTACAGTGAAAGTGCCGGGACCTAGGTGGCCACCTACTCAGATGATCACTTCGTCTTCCCTAAAGAGGGTGTTTCATATGTTTCATATCCTGGGTTGCTATATTAACATGATCGCTTATAAGCTGAATCGTATAGAGCTGCTTGAGATATAGACGGCCGCTTGTAAGGCGAGCCATATAGAGCTTATGAGGCGAGTTAATATTTATAATGGCAACGAAAATACCGATGAAGTTAAAGTGAGAGTATACTGATGGAATACAGAGAGGACTCATAATCTGGTCTGACTACTGGGTAGTAGTATAGAGAGAGAGAAGAAGAAGAAGAGGTATTGATTATCAACAAACAAAAGCTAACTAATATAGCTAGTGGAAACAGTGGAAGCCTAACAAACCAGGCATTAGAAGATAGCCTGTCATAGCACATTGTTTCTATTCTTGGTCAAATTGTACCTTTGTAGGCAGTGAAAACAAGATCTGATCTTGGCTAGGTAATCTGATACACTTTGTGCACATCTTGTTATGAGCAATTCAGTATCCCTCATGGAGAACAAAGAGGAAGAAAGCGTTGTAGACTGTCAATGGGTTGAAAGGTAGCTCAATATAAATTACGCTCGTAGAGCCAACTGACCTATATTTCTATATAACTTCTATAGATTTTATAATGGATTAGCCGGATCATTATAGCAGGGAGAGATTTATAGTACTTTCTCGCATATCGCCTTTCATGTTCTTGCCCAAGATAGGAAATAGCCTATGGCTCGCGACTTCGAAAATAGTGTCATTTTCATCTCATCTTCACTTCAGACTTTGAGTAAACAGCGATATCGAGTCTGTCTTCGTACCAGCGCGTCCGTTCCTCATCTCTACTATATTCTCTCTTTCTTTCTTTCTTTCTCGCCTTTTCAGTCATCTCTATTTTATTCTTCTCTCTCGCCTTTCACATTTCTCAAGGGTCTTCAATCTCACAATTTTCGTATCTCGTCTTTCATTCTTCTCTCACAGCTTTAACATTTCTAAGAATCTTCAATCTTCACCACACTCTTATCTCGTCTTTCATTCCTCCTTTTCATTGTACCTCGGAGCGGTCCTGCCATCTTCCCGGACTCATGACGATGCATCATTTGTACACCTTCCATAGAGGTCCCGAACTGGGCACCCGTCCCCTCAACGACTGGCCATGCAGCTTGGACAGAGCCATGGAGCTTCTCAAGACGTGGTATGACGATGATAAGCCTTTCTTCACAAAGAAAGATCTGGAGAGCGTCTCTAACCAAATGGATCGCTGGCGCAACGGAATGAAGGATGGACAAATGGAATTGGTCTCGGTCAAGGGTCTCAGTGGCTCAAGTATCTATTACGAAATGAGGACCGGGCAAGTTATTCTAGGAGCGAGGCAAAACGAGGACTGGGAAATGTAAGTCGTTAACAATGTCTCTTCAGGGCTCTCTGGCACATGACCGCGCTAACATATACTCCCCACAACAGGATGGAACCAAAGATCCGATATTTATGCTATGAGCAACTCACCGATTCAGTGAAGTCAGGGGACATTAAACTGGTCGAAGCCTTCTTTCCGTTGCAGATTGAGCATTTTATGAACGTACGCGCAAGCGACACCAAGCTGCCCATATCGACTGAGTACATTAAGAACTCCGTGGGTGTGGATGAGTGTCTCAAAACTATGCTGGGGTGCTGGAAACAAACACCCGAATGGGTGAATCTCACAGCCCTTCTCAAACTTGTCGCCACTCATAAAATTACCAAAGTTGTCGGTATCGCATCTGGATCGATGGAATTCGGTCCTGATGATGATGATTGGACCTTTCGCAGCGCGGTACAACACTCGGTGATGACCTCGGTCAAGGAGTACATTGAGGAAACCACCGATGAGAGGATTAAATGCTATGCTCAGGACCCTCACTACACCGCTGTTGACACTTGGGCCCTCGCAGAGCATGGCTGCAAAGTCCTGGATGACCCTCGGGCATTGCTGGAGATTGACGACGACTGCATCTTATTTTCGTGTTGCCCAGCTCTTCCATTGAAGGCTATCACTAATGACTTTGCTCGGCCAGCTATGCTAATTTGGGATTCAGTCGTGGCTAAGTCACACCCCGGATGGTTAGTTTGATCCTGATACTGTATTCACTTCTTACTGACTGTCTCTCTTAGCCATAACCCCAACTCCGCTCGCGTGCAGAACATGGTTTACAATGAATATGACTGCTACGGGTTCTGGGATTTGCATGATACCAGACTTGCTCCCTTCAGGTCTGACCTGGTTGTTTACATCCGCCGTCAGGTGGAGTAAAATCATCACAAAGATGATGTGTCAGATTAGGGTGTGTTGGGGAAGAGGGGCAATGTCCAAAGCTATATCTTTCGTCTTGGGGCTAAATGATCCGGTTACATGGGTTGTCTGGGGAATTTAAATGCCCAAAAGAGTATTTGTTTGAGTGGGAATCCAATTTGAGCTTGAAGAAAACATCCTGATTTCCACATCCATCTGTACAAGGCCAGAGTTGGTATGAGCATACCTTCATTGTGTATTTATGTCTTTGTTCCTCTGTACTAGTAGATTTATCAATCAATCTCCTCTCCATATCATATATGTATATTATTAAATGGTTGTCTTCAACCGCCACTAGTTCTATAAGTGAAGTGAAAGACATATGCCAAATCTAATGCTGTCACTGACTGGGTATTAACTTTTTAAGTTCTATAGAAGCCAGATATATTCTGTGTTTTTGAATCTAAAGGCATATCCACAATTTACACAGACAGTGTACGTTGGAATACACACAACAGCCACACCTTGTTCTACGATGAACCCGCTTGATGTGACTCACTTAACATAACCTTACCCGAAAAAGATATTTCAAGATATTCCAAGGTCATCACATTACTACTAGGTAGTCTTAAGTGTCCTCTATGTTATTCATTGCATTGGACGAAAGAGACATTCTTCAATGATGATTCGTAGTTCTACCCTGTGTTTGTATCATTACCCACATTTGGTGATAATAACTATGTAGGATGTCTAGGTATTTTTGATTATGCTCTACCACTTCATTTTCCTAGCGTTTCACTGCGTTGTTCTCCTAATAGAGATATTATTCGCCGAAAAAGTTGTTTTGGTGTATTGAAATTGGAGCGGCTTTTGGGTTGTCTATCACCCGTGTCATAGGGTCCCATTTCTTTCATCTATTTCGTAGCTCCAAGTTTGAGGATGCTACAATCTACCGCCTGAGAGAAAAGCCATCAGTGACATGATTAACTGCAGCAAATTAGCGGGGAGTGCATGGTCCTCGGTGTCAGAGGTGACAAGGCACTGAAACCCAAAACCTCCACCAGTGAGCATCAGGCTAATCAACGGCAAGCATATGCGGGTGCTCGTACTAATTTTCATCTTCTTCTTCCTCTTCATCCTCTTCATCCTCATTCATACTCTCCCATTCGTCTTCCCCGTCGCTCTGGTCAGACTCCACCTCTTCGCCAAGCATGCTAAGAAGCTGTAATAACCCAGCCTGTGTGCGCCAGGCGTCTGCAGATGGCAAATGTGGACCGGAAGCGCCAAGGCTCCCGTTATCCGCGGTTGAAGGCTTATCCGTGTCACCGGAAGCAGATGATTTGGTGGAGAGGTTAGGAGCCAGGCTGAGGATACGGATGACTTTTGTAGGGAAGACACGAGGAAGCTCTCTGCCTTGCGGTGGAGGTACGGCACCTGGAACATTGGAGTCTCGCCAGCCGAGGGTCTGCGTTTCTGATGTCAGCTGCTGTACTTGTATTTCTTTGGTATATTTGTCAAAGCGGAACTCACGGTGTAGGTAGTCATAATAGCATCATCAGCCAACGCCATGTAACTAATCGGCACAGCAAGCTGCGGCGCGGAACTGGTGAGCAGCGAGTACGAGGCACGCGCAGGGTTTTCCACATTTTGAACCTTGTTGTCGTCATCAAGGGCGACGACATAGATTCGATCTTGAATTTCGAACATTATACGGTGGTTGCGGATCGATAACCAGCCACCAAGGTCAAAGCTTGACCCGTCTGATTCGCATTCCAAAATGGAGCTGTTCGCTGCGAGACTAGCTTCGTCGCGGAGAGCCTTGCGGAAGTCGGAGCATATAAAGACACGACCAGCGCGAGAGAAGCCCACGAAAAGATCGCCGTTCAACATTCCCGCCCCCCATTCATCCTCCCCATGCCGGACATGAGTTGGGTCATCTGGTGGCGATAGTGGACCTTTGGCGACCTCAATTGGTACCAAACAATCTTTTCGGAAAGCCCCGGGGGGAAGGGGTTGAGGTGTTGGGCCAATTCGCGCTGCGCCTGCTAGTGCTGCACTTGTAGAAGTAGAGGCGGCTTTGGGAGGAAGGATGTGGTATTTTTCTGTCGTCGGCGACGGTTTTAACGTGCCTAAGAATGCACCAGACTCCTTATTGTAGGCAAAATAGCCCTTTGCTCCCATGGAATAAATCACGATGTCTTCACTTTGGTCCAGATGGCCAATACCACCTCCCTCGATCTTCAGGTGTGTTGTCAACTTAGGAGGTCGCTGTGTCATATCGTACACGAAACCCTGGCCCTCGTTGGAAACAACGCAGAGAGTCCAGTAGGACAATTGGAACCCTCTCGTCTGGCAATTATGGTTCAAGGTAGCGATGCGCCGGAACTCTCCACGTTTTGCACCTTCATGGTCCGCCTGCCAAACCTCGAGCGAGTCTCCTTCACTATCGAACACGGCCATTCCATCCTGATATTCCAAGTGTGCATGGGGGCGAACTCCATCTCCGTCGGTGTCCAGCACCGAAGGGAGTTGCCAAAGTAAAAGGCCCGTGTCCATATCAGTGACATTCAACCCGCCAGCATGGGAAGTGGAAATGAAAAAGCGGCGCTTGAAATCGGCACGGAATCGCCAAACCGGATCATTGCCAATTTGTAGGACCGATTCCTGGCTGACTGGATGTGGCTTGGCCCAATTGCGAGCCAGCAGTGTTTGGCGCTTGCACAGGTCTTTCCATGATTCTGTGCCCTCGAATACTTTGCCATAGCTGTGGGCATCGGAGAGGAAGGAGAAATCGCGGCTACCTCCAATCGGCTGGGCGGTTTTGGCTTCGGATGTGTAAATAGCGTCTTGGTGGGTGACGTCGATAAATTGGTGCCAAGCCTTAGAGGCCGCGGTCAGGGACGCAAGGGCGGAGACGGGGGTGAAGTGCAAGATTTGCAGGACAATCTCTGGGGGCAGGACAGTGAGGGGGGTCCGCCATTGGTGAGATGGCGGTCATATTTTCAGAGATAAGAGTTGTTGCAGAAAGCAAATTAGAGAGGTGGGGGTTCACAATATTTTGTCGTTCTCCACCGTATATGCGATGACGTAGCCATTTTTGAATCCGTAGAGACAAATACCCTCCCGAGGTCCAGGGTCACGAAAAGGAGACAGGGTATTTATGGAAAGATATAGTTATATACCGTCTCTTAGGTCTTTATATACTTTTCCTAGTTGCGGAGCAGATGACAACCACATATCATAGAGCTTATAGGGTCAGGAAGTTAATTCAAGAATCACACCCTTGTTGGTTGTTATATTGCTGTCTGATTTGCTTATTAACATCTAGAGACACTATATACATAAATAATGTTCGCAGTAGCAGTTGGTCTCTATCACTGCAGCTGTTATGAAGTACCAAACCTTGGAGGTTTCCAATATGACAGAACTAGGTTTAGAAAGCTCACGTGCTTACCAGTTGGACTCCAAGCTCTTGTAACAGAAGATGGCCGTCTGACTTGAGCAAGTATGTAAGATATCTTAAGGCAATGATCAGATCATAATGCCCTCCAAGGTTGAGGAATGTGCAGTCGCTGGGATAGTTGCCCAAGCAGTTTTATACCCAATCGATATACTTCAACGACTAGTCCAAGTTGCAAGTGCGTTGGTACTCACTCAGAAATTTCGGAGGCAATCCAACGTATCTACCTCGAGAGAGAAGTCAGAGGATCTCTTACGTTAGACTAACCATCGGCTATATGAAAACGGCCTCGATGGTGGCGACAAGTTTCTATATCTACGACCGGATGAAGCCATTTCTGGGCCTTGTTGAGTAGGTGCTGCTTGTTTCCCTTTCTACCGACTCCGTTCGTTACTTCATGTCACCACGATGCCCCTCCTATAGTCGACCTTTCCTTGAACGCATTAGCCCATTTCTCCTCGTCGAAATCCATTGCACGGTGAATGAAGTACTCAGTCCCATATTTCTCAACGGTGCTTCACTCACGAGCGCCAAGACCTCGAAGATATGCGTCAAGTGTGGGCGACCTCCCCAAGAATGTCCCGAGGGCCATCATCTCATTTTGACTTCCTCTGGTGCTAGTATCATTTTCCTGTACCGGAGACCAGCATCACGGCTCATTGGATTGGAGTGGAAATTGGAAAACCAAAGGTGAGCTGCCAATATACGGGTACTAGGAGATGGGTTAATAACCAGCATTCTCCTCTATATAATTGGCGGTAAAACATACTGGAGATGGGAATAATAGCTTGCTTCTCGGCCCAGGAGGCTGCACAAGAGTAGAAGACCATTGTTTGTCGGAGACTTAGGAATAGTGGCAACTAAGCATCTGGATACATTCAAGGATCCAACATCAATATTCTAGCAATTTGCTGGGAGCTTCAACGAAATCTGCAACTGTTCAATGTCCGTGGAACATCGCATAACTGGATCTTCCGAGCCTTCTCAAGCATTAGTATATATAAATTCAACATTGCTAGTGTTAATTTCGCTTGCCGTGACCTAATTCATTGAAAATCGTAATTAACTCTCAATGCTATAGAAGAGCCAGCTTCTCTGACGATGGTTGCCGAGAAGACAGTGGAGATTATCATAGATGACTATTTCGCTCGAAATTGTCCTCTATGAATCTCATAAAGCTTGTATCAAATGATAATGTTCATATTGCCCAGTAGTTACACACTAAGGAAAACTGCCACAACAGCATGTCCACCATTCGTATTTTCCAAGTTACACATCTCGAGTTTCGGAGATATGCCTTAAACAAAGTGAAGCATCCGGTTCGATCGGACTGCTTCAACGCTAGCATCACCCATGTCTGTGAAACATAGCCTGCACGCACACGCTACCTTGGCGACGTCCCCCGGACGAGGATGGCCTTGGGAATATTTTCAAGAACAAACAAGAAGACTGGAATAGCTAGGATAACGTCTTAATGAAAATACCGGGGACTGAAAGCAACCGAGCGTCGGCTAAAGCCGACCTAGCTTAGTCTCCCCTCATGAGGGGCAACGTTGAACCTATTTAGTTCGGACAATTACCACGGGGAATTCATCGGATACGTTTCCAAGGATTTACTGAATATCGCACCATTCAGTAAGCCAGCAAGACATCCACATCGTGTATTTGCCGCCATACTATTTGTTGTTCCATCCGACCCGGAAACTTATTCCCGCGCTCGAATATATACCGACTCATCTTGCTCAAACACAAACGCACATACATATATCCTCTATCATACATCATGATCTCCGGAATCGCCCATATCAACCTCACCATCCCGCAAGATACATTAGAACAAGCCGAGGAGTTCTACGGGACCACCCTCGGCCTCACCTCAGCACCGGTACCGGAACTCCAGAAGGGGACGATCTTATGGTGAGAGCCGTAGCGAGCTATTTCTCAGAAATACAATTCTAATATCATCATAGGTTCGACATTGGTTCTAGTGGACAGCAAGTGCATATTACTTTCGGCGCAACGGATCCCCAATCTAGCCGACACCCATGCTTCAAGCTGTCTTCCCGTGAGGAACTAGAGGAGATTAAAGCAAGTATCTATAACCATCATCTAAGGGGTGGTCCTGCGGCTCCAATGGCTGCTGATAAGCCTGGCGAGACTAACTCTGGTGAGAGATGTTTGATACACCAAGTGTGACTATTTGCTGATTATTGCGCTATAGGGACTCAAGGGAAAGAGTATCCCACTCGGTTCTTCGCTCGGGATTATGGTGGGAACTTGCTTGAGTTTACTATGTAAATATTTTTGTTGGTTTGAATCGAGTTTATGGTTTTGATGGTATCAAAGAGAAATGGTCCAATGTCAACACTTTCAATGGAGTCACCCAGAGGAGATAACATGAATGCATTGTTTTTGCGTCTAGGGTTGTCATTGCTTTATATCATTATATCAGTCTATAAGTTCAAGCCCTGTATATAATCTCTCTAAACAATCCCCTCAACATCCCCCACCTCCTCCCCCAATCCCTCCGTTCTCTCACAATATCCCTCCCAAATACCAAACCCCAAAGATAAGAACCATTAACAACCTCATGACCCCCCTCCTTCAAGATCCACACATTCCCAAGGAAAGTAGTAATCAAAACAGACAGCCACATAACCGGCATCATGGCAATAAAAGCCCACATAACACCATCTTTAGCATCTGTCTGCCCAACCCCACTCTTATTCGTAAACACCGTCGACATAATAGTCAATCCCAACAGTCCCCCAAACGGAACCGCAAACGAAGCAAGACACGTAATCTGCGCCGTCATAGTAGGGAAATACGCCAATCCATGCATAGACGCCGGGTTCATTCTCATCCCGACCCCGTGTCCAACTAGCGCCATCATGCCGTAGATGAGGTTTGTTCTGCCTGCTTGCACGCCCCATGCCAGCACAGTCATCCCTACAGCAGACGTTATACTGCCCAGAAAGAGGGCTGGGAAGGTTTGTCGGGGCCAGACGTTCGAGGAGAACATTGCCATGTAAAGTCCAGCTGGTTGAGTCAGTCAGCTCCGTTCCATATAGGTAAATATAGATAGAGGGGTATACATACCAGCAAGACCAGGAAGGAAAAATAGCAGAGCGATACCAGCATCGCTAGAGCTCCTCCCTTCCACGAGCGTAAAGTATATATCCATAAAATACATAACGGCAAACATGGCTATCCCGATCGAGAAATTAATCAGAAACAACAAGCCGATATCGCGCTGTCTCAGTAATTCCCACGGCACCATAGCCTTTTGACGCGGGAGGACCCGTGCCATTAACGCGCCAGGCACCATACAGCGCTCATAGACGACCCAAGCAATGGCCAGAACAGCACCGATAACCATGGGCGCGAGGACGGCGACGGATCTCCACGAGTACGTACCACCCGCCCACGTCAAAGCGAGAATAAGCAGACCAAATCCCCAAAGGAAGAGCATCTGGCCACCGTAGTCGATAGTCGATATTCTGGCAAGGAACCGACCAGACCGAGTCGAGATACCTCTGTCTTCTATTTCGGGGATAGTCTGCGGACCCTGTAACTCCGTCCGCAGAACGAGAACGACAACAACCATTGCGACAACTGCGATGGGAAGATTGATCGCGAAACACCAGCGCCACGACGCCTGCGTCAGATACCCGCCTATCACGGGCCCGATGCTGAATCCGATGCCGGAGACGAGGGCGAAAACGGTCCAGTTGACTGCGTATTCGGCGAGGGAGACGCGGTCGGCGAGGATGGTGCGGATGGAGATGTTGACGCCTGCGGCCCCGATGCCTTGGAGAGCCCGGCCGAGGAGGAGGACGCTGAATGATGATGTTGGGGCGCCGGTGCAGACTGCGGAGCCGATCATCATTATGAAGATTGCGGATTGGAGGATGATGTGGCGGCCGAAGAGGTCGGTTAGCTGGGCCCAGAAGAAGAGGAAGGCGGCTGATGTGAGGTTGAAGACGGAGATTATCCAGTTTAGTTGTTTGATTTGGTCTGGGTGGTTAGTTGGGGAGTATCATTGAGGATTGTGTGGTACGTACTGAAATCCTCTGCGATGAATGGTAGAGCTGAGGCTATGATCGTTGTATCTAGGGCTTGTAGGCAGTATGGACTGAATAGGCCCAGGATGATCTTCCAACGGTAGACATTTCTTCGTCTCTTCTCGGCAATTTGTTCGGGGAGAGGGTTTTCTTTTTCTTTCCGTCAAGCTGTGGATTGACCGTTGGGTTTAATTCGATTGCATTGTCTGTATTTGACACTGCAGAATTCAAGCGTTTCCGCTCATTGCGTTTCTTGATTTTCTTGTATATCACAATCATGAGTGCGAAGGGATATGGAAATGAGAAGTGGTTGCCACAAAGCCCTGGGAGAGTGAATCATCTTTATACCCCTAGCCTTCCTCTTCGACGAAGTAATAGAAGGGGAAAAAAACCGCTAAGCATCAAATGAGCCCGATATTGGATTCAACTTGGGTTTAGCGTGCAGTCTAAGCCTCTGCACTGGCTGAGATGGAGCCGGTTTGAGAGACCTTTGCGATATCTTCATGAATACCTATGTAGGTAATCACTGCGATGGGCTATAGGATTATTGCTAATTTCGAGTTTGGTCTGTTGGCCTTGTATGAAAACATTTGAAGTCCCCACACTGCTGTCCGTATCGGGAAACCTGTGCGATATCCAATTTTCAGCATTGCATAACATTGCAACTTATAAGTAACTATTATTTTATTCAGAACAAATGTAGTTTCCCACACAGTTTTCGGTGATTTTTCTATATCCCATCGAGGCGTAAAAATATGGCTCCATACATTCTAAGCCTCAAAGAAATAGATGAAATATTGCTACATTTCACCGACGAGATAACTACATTAGGCAGGTTTGTATTCTATATAATTACTAGAGCGGCCTTTCATCTGGTATCTCCTATCTTAAATATAACACCTTATGGCTTGTCCAGGGCAAATCCGACGAATTGGAATTGTCCGATGTACGATGCTGCCTAGCCCCCACCTGACATGTCAGACGAAGTACATTGATCAATGTCATTCAACATCCAAGTCCTCTCCAATCTCACATCACAAGAATACAACATACATACTCACACACCATTCACAATGGGCAATTCAACACCTACAGAACCCGCCCCCGCCTACGAGGACCTATTCCACCAACCTTCCAGCTCACAGAACGGCGTAAGTAATCTACAAAGACCCTAGAGACCATAGATGATCCCGTCAGCATACTGATCTAAATGAATACATAGTATGCCATGGTCGGTCAAACAGACATCAATGAAAACCAAGACCTGGAACAGGGTCAACCCCTTTGTACCATTCCCACAGCTATTGAGCCGGGTCAACACCTCCACTGTGCAGAATGTGATAGAAAGCGGGAGGCCAGAGAAAGACGTGCGAGTTCCCAGAAAGCATGTGCCATGGTTGCGAAGACGTTTATCTTGATTTCTCTCTTCATCATGATATTGGGGATCGTTGGCGTTCAGGCTTGGAAGGAGGTTCGGATGAAGAAGTTGCATAGTCATAGTTAACTGGTCTTTGTTTGTCCTTGTATGTAGTGTGTTATATAGGAAAGGCATGCTTGTATACCTTTGTCCTGGTTCCTAGTTTAATAGACTATAAAGATGAGATAGATGAACACAGTCCATGCCAAGAGGATAGTCTTGTTAGTCTTGTTAGTCTTGTTAGTCTTGTTAGTAGCTCCACCTACGCCCGACATGAACAGCTGACTCCCCTCAACCAGAACATCAACGTCAACGTCAACACATCAACTACCCCGTATGCGCTTCACATGAATCACTCCTAGGTAAAGCCAAATTCCCTTAAAGCATATTCTACCTCGGACACCCACATTCTACCTATTAGCTCTAGCTAACATGATATCATCGACAGGTATCAGACCACACTCAGCCTTAAGATGTTTGCCCGGTTTAAAGGCCTTTTCGCCAAATCAGAGCCCTGTCCCTCAAAATCAGAAGAGCCTAAACATAAGAGCAAGGCGCACAGCCGATCACATAGCAGAAGAGTTCGAGAACGTGAGCGCGAGCTGCGACGAGATTGGACGGGTCAGAAAGGTGGCTGGAAGAAATTCTATAGTCGCGGGGGTTATGCCGGGATGTGTTGAGGGTCGAGTTTCTTATGTATAGCTCTGGAATCATATTGCATAGCTTACTGTTTACTTCATTTCTTTCTAGTATTCATGAAATTGATCTTATTGAATATTGTATTGGATATTAAAAATGAATATCAACACTGTAGTCGTATATAACAGGGTCCAAAACGAAAAAAAAAAAAACCACCATGAAATCTGTAACAAAATATAACAGAAAAAGAGAAGAAAAAAGCCATCAAGTCATAATAGATGCTTCTGTGCAAAACATATGCAAACGGATCTAAGCGGAACCAAGGTACTTCAGCACATTCTCACGTTCCTCAACAGGCAACATGGAAAGCACCTGCTGCACACCGCGCAGACCACCCTCCTTGTTCCCAATAAGCAGCTGAGCAACCTCAGACGCAACGCCATCAGTGCGCAGCGACTCAACCTTGCTCTGCACAACCTTCTTGTTCTCCTCGTACCAAGTAGCGACCTTGTGGTCATCGTGCTCGAGCTCCTCATCCAGCAGTCCAGTCCAGGCGTGCAGGGTGCGGAGGTGGGCAGTGCGCAGGGATTCGCCGGTAGCGCTGACGCCAGAGGCTGCGGGCGCCGAGGCGGCGACCATGCGCTTGACGATGGTCTCTTCGCTGAGACGGCGACGCAGACGCCAGTAGAAGAAGCGACGGGAGTTGACCCACTGCAGAGGCTTGCGGATAGTGTCCTTGGCTTGCATGCGGCCGGCGCGGTCGTGCAGGTCGGCGAATTGCAGCGCAATCTGCATGTACACGGGCAGGAGCTGCTCCTCGCGGGCGGCCATCTTCGCCTTGACCTCGCTGAGCTGCTCGTTGGTAAGGGAGGTGTCGGCCAGGGAGCGGCGGAGCTCGCCGTATGTCGCGTCCAGACGGGCCATAGTGTCCAGCTGCTTCTCGCGGCGGTACTTGATGTTCACCATACCCTCGGGCTCGAGGACACCACCGCGGGAATCTTCGTCGGCATACATCTCCATCTGGTCGGGGTTGATGGTGGGGTCAACGACGACCCAAGATCCACCGCGGAGCTCGCCGTGGGGAGGAATGTACACGAAGATGGGCTGCTCGTACTTGACGAGAGCGTCGACGATGTACGAACCGTACTTGAGGACCTCGTTGTACATGTCACGCTGGCCACCGGAGAATCCTCTCCAGTTAGCCAGGATCATGACGGGCAGCTGCTCGCCGTTGTTGAAGTCGCGCAGAGCCTGGGCGGTCTTGTAGGCCGAGTTGGGGTACCAGACACCGCCAGCCTCAGTGGCGATCATCTCCATGGAGTCGGGGTTGGCAGGATCGGCAGGAGTGACGTTCTCCACCGAGCGGGTCTCGACGGCGATCACACCCATGGGGATACCACCAAGACGGGCACGACCGACAACGACGGTGCGAGCCCAGCCACCAAGGGCCTCCTCGAAGGAGCCCTTGTCGAACAGACCAGGAAGGAAGCCGTCAACGTCCTCCTTACCACCGATGAGCCATCTGACATCATAAGTCTGCTTGGGAGGTGGAAAGTAGGCAACGTCACGGTCCCAGGTGTCCGACCAGGGGCGAATGGGGATAGGAGCATTCTTCTTGTCAGGGACGAAAGACATCCACTCGACAATCTTCTCAACACCCGCGAAGTCGTCGTTGGCAGTCATGTGAGAAACACCGTTCTTGTACATGATCTGGGTGCCACCAAGCTGAAGGTTGGAGGTGTAAACCTCGCGACCAAGCAGCTTGTTGATGGCAGGGGCACCAGTGAGGATGATGGGCTGGCCTTCAACCTGGATGGCACGCTGGCCGAGACGCACAAGGTAGGCACCGATACCGACAGAGCGGCAGGTAACGAGAGTGATGGTGAAGATGTCCTCGTAAGCCTTGGAGGTAGCACCGGCAATGAGACCAGAACCCTTCAGACACTCAACACCAAGGCCGTCCTTCGCACCGATGACGGTGGTGATCTTGTGGCGCTCCTCACCGTCATCGTTGATGGGCTCGGTGATGACCTCCTTCTTCTTGCTGGCATCGAATCGCTTCTTGACCTCGGGAGTGAGGTAAAGGTACTTGAAGCCGGCCTCGGGCTTCTCCGGGTTGTTCCAGGCAACCGAGAAGAAGGGGATCAGCTCATCCGCAACACCGATGCGCGCACCGGAGTTAGCAGACAAGTAGATACGGGGAATACCCAGCTTGCGGGCAAGCTCAGTGCACTTGTGGAAGAACTTGTCTTCCTGAGGACCGAAGGAACCAATCTGGAAGGTGATGTCGTTGGCGACAATGATGAAGCGTCTGCCGCGCGGGTACTCTGGAGTACGGGCAGTGATGATCCAACCAACCATACCGTGAGTGTTGGTACCGGGCTCGCGAGACACTTCAACAAGGTTGTCGGTGTCATCCAAGACCAGCTCGCTGTAGTCAATGCACTCTCCAACGGGAGGGCGCTTCTCGTACAAGGAAGGAATCTTCTCGGCGATCTTGGTCCAGCTGTTCTGGAAGGCCTGGCGGAAAAGCTCGGGGAAATCGTACACGTACTGAGTTCCCATCAAGTGAGCCTTGTAGCGCTTGGGCTGCAGCCACTCCTTGGTAGGGTAGGGGGTGGAGACAGGGCGCAAATGCATGGAGCCCAGCTTGGCGGTACCACCAATGCTTTGGAAGATCCACTCGCCCTTCTCGGACTTGCGCTCAATGTACAGCTCGACGTTGATGATGAAACCGTAGGTGTTGCTGATAATCACACGCAGGGGGTAGGGCATACCGGTAGCCGGGTCGGTGCAGAGGATGCGGATCTCTGCGCCGGTGACACGGAGGCGCCACAGACGGCGGCCGAAGCGATCGAGGAAACCGGCCAGGGCTTGCTCGACATCGACGGGCTGGAGGTTGAATACGGGAGAGAAGTTGATGAAGATGTGGTTCAGGTCAGAGTTGTTGTTACCAATGATCTCCAGGGCATCCAGGATGTCGTTCATGAGGCGGTCGGCCTCCGAGATCAAGTACTCAGCGGTGGGGATATCGTCACGTAGACGGCCGGGACGGACCACAGCACGAACGAAGTAGCGCTTGTCAATAGCCTTGTCATTCTCGGGGCCCTTGCCAATAGCCTCGTAGACGTGGATGTTACGGTTCTCGGTGAAGACGGGCTTGATGTTGAACTTGGACAGACGGCCGAGTTCCAGCTGGAAGGCAAGAGCTGGCTCGCTGTGGCGGATACTCAGATCCTCCTCGTAGTTGGGACCACGGAAGGTGAAGTAACCGGGGTAGACACCTTGCTTGCCGCAGATGAAGGTAACACGGCGAATACGGCGGGCGAGGAGCTCATCCTTGTTGTCGGCGAGCAGCTGCTTCATCTGTGCAACAAGCTCTGCATCTTCCATGTCCTCGATATCGCGAATGGCAATGTTGCACACTCCAGTGAGCTCGCTGTCACTCACGGGCTTAGGGGCGGGACGACGCTTGCCTTCGAGGGTAGCAATGAGGCCCTGCTCACTGGGGCGCTTGGCGTTCGAGCCGCCGAGAGGGAAGACCTCAAGAGCCTTGGAGAGGATCTCCTCAGCATCCTCCAGGTACTGCACGGGGATGATAACACCCTTGCGAACGGGGTCACTGGCAGCGTCGCTCACAAAGAGGGACATGTCGCCGATGGAGTTGATCCGCTTGAACGGGTTGACCTCCGCAATGGGAGTGCCCGGGCGGAGGGCTGGGTGGAGTTAAGAACACCGAACTCACGCTGGCCAAGCTTGCCAAGGGTGAAGTCCCAAGACAGGAAAGGCTGCTCAGTGGAGGCATTGTAGTCGATGCTCTTGAGAGTGTATGCGCGGTAGGCACGACGAACGTAAACTTCCAGGGAGGCGAGGGTGACCCAGGGGTCAGCGTGGACGAAGAAGCGAGGAAGGACATCGAAAACAGTGTACTTCGAGTCAACAACCTCCTTCAAGACATCCAAGGAAGGCTCACGGTGCTCCCATCCGGTCTCGCCGTAGCGAGACTCAACAACGGAAGACCGCAGAATGTGCTCCATTTGCGACAGGCGCTCATCCAGAGATGGCATAGCGCACTGAATAAGAACCTCGCGGGCCTTGAGAGTGACCTTGGCGGAAGAACGAGACTCGAGCTCGGTCAACTTCTTGAGGATAGGCTTGAAGTACTTGCCGACATTCTCCAGGTGGGGCTGGTTGGGGCGGTACATGTCCAAAATAGCCAGGACCAGGTTGTTCTTCGAACCGATGCGGCTGTGGGAGAGCACAGTGTGGACAATGCCGGTAATGTCGTCCTTGTTCTCCTCACGGAGCTTGAGAATGACATCCTCGTCGCGGAGGTTATGGGTGGAAAACAGCTTCTCGACGTCGTAGTACTGCTCCAGCAAGCCAATGAAAACATTATACTCGTTGGACTTCAAACCATCCATGTACTTGTTGATGACCTGAACCAGGGGCAAGAGGGTGGTCTTGAGCATCTCAGCCTCGGCAGGACCGATGTTCTCCTCGATGAAGCGAACGATGGCCTTCTGGAGCTGCTTGGCAGGGAACTCGGCTTTGCGGGCCTTGGCACGATCGACCACGTTCTGGAGCTGAGCATCCAGCCTCTGAGGGATGCGAGAGTGCAGCGCAGAGGACTGCGCATTCCACTCTCCGTAGGGAAGGTCAGGGTTGCGCAGCACCTCAACAAGATCCTTCAAAGTGGTACCCATGATCACCTGGTTGTCGAAACCGCGAAGAATGTTCTCCAGAATGCTGTGGAGAAGGAAGAAGCGCTGGGAGGGCTTGTTACCAAGGACGGTAGGCGAGCCAAGCTCGGGCAGCTGACCAGTGAAGGGCTGCGCGTGCTTGACGCGGGAGGGGTCATCCAGGGCGAGGATACCGAGGATGTCACCAGCCTCCAGAGTGGCACCGGGCTGCTTAATGAGCTGCACGATACCATCCTCCTTTGCGATGAGGGGCATGTACATCTTCATAACCTCAACTTCGGCGTAAGACTGTCCAGATCGAACGTGCTCTCCATTCTCGACGGTGAACTTGACAAGCTTACCGGGGGAAGGAGAACGGAGCTGGGTAGGATCGTTCTCCTGCTCCAAGAGGCAGGTCTTGCCGTCAACGCTGAGACGGGTGGCAGCAGCCTCCTCCTTCCAGTAGACGTTGTGACTGCGGCCGCTGAGCAGAACCAGCAAGCCACCATCAGCCAGGGCGCGAACACCGACTGAGCACTTGGAGCCGTTGATGAAGAGGTGGTAGCTGTCCAAGCTGGCACGAGTGGCGGTGAACTTGTAACGCTCACCTTCGTAGATGAAGTCAACCGGGAAAACAGTCTTCAGGATCTCCTTGGACGGGACCTGACCCTTTCCTAGACCATTGCGGTACTCCTCGATACCAGCCTCGCTAGCGAGGTGGGCCTTGGTGACGGCACCACAAATGATGGCGACGATCTGATCAGGGCGCTCAGCAGTCAGCTTGTTAGAGATAAGCTGGTCGAGCCATCCAGTGGTGATGGTGTTGTCCTCGAAAGCGGGGGTTTCGAGGAGCTTAATCAGGTATTCGACAGTGGTTCGGAAATCACCACGAATGCTCAATTCCTTCAAAGCAACGACCATGTGCTTGCGCGAAGCGGATCGGTTCTCGCCGTAGGCGAAAATGTGACCGAATTGACTGTCGGAGAAGCTGTGGATACCACCAGCAGTACCGACAGAGAAGTAACCCCAAACGTTTGACGAACTGCGGAAGTTCAGCTCGTGCATGGTACCGCTGGAAGGCTTGAATCCCTCGCCAGGATCTTCGGAGGTGATACGGCAGGCAGTGGTGTGACCCTTGGGCTGAGGACGACGCTGGGTCTGGAAGCTCTCCTCCTTGGAGAAGTCGAAGTCAATGTCGGCGGAGGTGTTGGGGTCGACGCCGTAAAGGAGGCGAATGTCGCGAATGCGGTGCAGAGGGATACCCATAGCAATCTGGAGCTGGGCGGCGGGCAAGTTGACTCCCGACACCATCTCAGTGGTGGGATGCTCGACCTGCAGACGAGGGTTCAACTCGAGGAAGTAGAACTTGTCATCGGAGTGCGAGTAGAGGTACTCGACGGTTCCGGCCGAAACGTATCCGACCAACTTTCCAAGGCTCACGGCAGCGCGCTCCATGGCCTGGAAGGTGGGCTGTTTCGCAATAGTCACAGGGGCCTCCTCGATAATCTTCTGGTGACGACGCTGAACGGAACAATCACGACCGAAAAGGGAAATGTTGTTGCCGTACTGATCAGCCAGCAACTGCACCTCGAGATGGCGAGCGTTGCCAGCCAGCTTCATGATGAAGATAGGCGATCCCGGAATCTCGTTGGCGGCGGCATTGTACAAGGCCGGGAAATCTTCCTCGTTTTCGACCTTTCGGATACCCTTACCACCACCACCTTCAGAGGCCTTGACCATAACAGGGAAACCAATCTCCTTAGCCTTCGCCAAACCCTCTTCCGGCGAAAAGGTGCAACCCTGGTTATAGACCTCGTCCTCGACTGTCACGATACCGTTCTCATCGAGCTTCACGGCGTCCACACCGGTTCCAGACCAGGGAATACAAGGCACACCGGCGTGCTGTGCAACAATGGTAGAGGAAATCTTGTCACCAAGCGAGCGCATGGCCGAAGCTGGAGGTCCAATGAAGATGATCTTTTTCGGCGACGCAGCAAGAGATTCGGGTAACCGAGGGTTTTCGGAGGCGTGGCCCCTACAAAATGAGCATCAGCATTTCGTCCCTCTCTTTCTTTTTCCCTCCGCAGTATCTCCAAACCACTTACCATCCTGCCCACACGGCGTGCACATCCATCCGCTCCGCAACATCGACAATCAACTCGACGTTGGCATAATTATTATTATTGGTTCCACCGGGAACCTCGACGTATTGGTCGGCCATGCGAATATAGTCGGCGTTGGCGGTCAAATCTTCGGGCGTGGCCATCACAGTGAATTGGATAGCCCGCTCGTTGCCGAAGGTCTCGTAAGCCCATTTCCGCACTGAGCGAATCTCTTTGACAGCGGCGATACCGTTGTTGGCAATAAGCACCTAGGAACAAGTCAGTTCCACGTCCGATTTTCCCTTTTTTTCGCCCGCAATCACGGCTGTTCTTTCGATTTCCCACTTACCGATGTGATGACAGAGTGACCATCGTGGGCGGCCACGAAGTCCTTCACGGCGCTAGGAGGTGCTGATTCGAGGGCGTTGCCACCGATGAAATGTGAGGGGATGTCATGTTTGGTGACAGCCGAGCTGTTGCCCATTGTGCTACCCATGATGTCGATTATCGCAGGTCAGACTCCCTTGTAGGAATTGAAGTTCTGTTCTCGCGCGGTATACAACAGCGCTGATTAAAAAGTAATGTACAATGCTGGAAGTGGCGGAAAGAGCCCGAGTGGTGGATATGGGTAGAAAAAGGTAAGATGGAGAGAGGAAGGGGGAGAAGAGTAAGCGTCAGAAAAGAACTCTGGAGGGGAAGAAAGGCCAGGTCAGCATGTGCAATTGGAGAACTTGGCTTGAAGATGTCAAATGCGGAATTGGTCTGCAGGGCGAGTTCGCAAACGGATAAGAAAAAAAAAAAATAAAGGTACGAGGTAAGACTCACCGGGAACCACCAAAACCCGAACAGAAATTCTATGTAAAATTGAATCTAGAAATTGAAGAGATTCAGAAGTTCAAGTTCAATAATATAAAAAAAAGTCCAGGGGAAAAATTGCTGAGAAGATGATTTTCTGGAGGTCCCACCGAAGTGGAGATGATCCCAACTGGCCGTGATGGATTCCCCTAAATGGTCGAGGACACATGTACCTAACCATAGTTAACAGTATGGAGAGGTACTTTTCCCAGGAACGGGCTCCCCCAACTTCCTGGCTTTGTTGGGCCAGGTTCCACTACAATCTGTTGCTCACCACTTCTGCTTTTTTCCTTTTTTCTTCTTATTTTTATTTTTTATAGAAATACGGAGTAAAGAATCGAACATTGAAGAAATCCAATCTTTGCTATTATAGTTATTACCAAATATGGAGAGGGAGATATCTCATCTAGGTAGATAAACTCCGAACTCCGTACTCTCTAAGGAGTATGTACTCCGTAGCCTCACACATATTGCCCGTAAGCTGATACTTCCCCACGGGTCCCGGCACATTTCGACGCCCGATTCGGTCAGAAATTCGGCTTCGGAGAGCGAGTTTCTTTCTCTTCCTCTTTCGAAATTTAATAGCAATACCATTGTTAGAAAAATTGGAATTTAAAAGTCAAATTGTTTAAACTTACTGTATGTACTCCCATCAATCTTCAACCTTTAAAGGCAACCTTGGAATTGTCAATGATACAGTCTAGAATTCTATACGGAGTACGGAGAACATAATCAAAATATACTCCACGCCAATTGCCAATCTGAGAATGGCGCACGCGCTATCCCAATTCGGCCAACTTGCATAATTCAACATGATCAGCTTTCCAAGGTTGGCATAAATTGCGTACAGAAAAAATGCCCATAGACCAATCATATCCATGACCATGTATGTTGTCTCCCAACCCGTTATTCCCAAAACCATGGATCACAACTCAACTCTACATCAAACCCTGGAAATAGACTTGTCAACCTATGTTGTAGTATATCATATAACACTATGATTTGGAGCATAACATCATGGGTATTATTGGATCTTGAATGAAAAGACAATCGCTGAGACACAGCTTAGGGCATCCCCAGAATCCACTGGGGACGATCGCACAAAATGAACCAGGCCTAGCTGGTCCAAGACATGTCAACGTGCAAAACTATACAGGAAGGGATGTGACCAGAGCGGTCTGCAGGGAAAACCCCCTCACTCCTCTTGTAGAATGCAGTCGATCAAAGTCAATCTTGGAAGTATGTAAAACAAACGTTGGAAAATAACCTTAGCACACCACCACCCGTTCACTAAACCCCAAATCCAAATTCCATAAATACTAAAGGCGAAAAGGATGAATTAAAAGGTCTCTCCCAGGTCGCTGACTTGGGTCTTCCTGTTTGGCGGCGGCGGCGGCATGGTACCAGGTCCGATGCTGGTCTTAAAGCTCCGGGGAGCCGGGATGCCACTAATGGTTCGCTTCTTCACTATGGGCGTGGGAGTAGTAGTCACAGATGGGCGTTGGATTTCCTGGGAGATTTGGGAGGTTGTTGGCGTTGTAATGTCTTGGTCCTCATCGATGAGTGACATGCCAGCAATGTTAGGAAGTTGGCCGGCATGATTGCTGAGAGATGAGCGAGGTCGCCGTCCCTCTGTCATAGGGTTCGTCGAGTAGTGACCCAGTGGCGTTTTGGCCCCCGGACGACTCGAACGGCTTTCCGGCCGGGCATTTGCGGGGACACCCGAGTGCACACTCTGGCTGAAGGAGCTGCGGCTAGAGTAACTAGTTCGGCTGCTCGGGCGGCTCTCGCCTGTCCGGCCAAATGACTGGCGACCCTGTGGGGGGTAAGATGGAGTACTTTCACTATCCCGCGCCGAGGAACCAAGGCTACTATTACTCAGCCGCTTTCGAGAATCCCTGCGAACAGTGATCGACGAGGGCACAATGGGGGTGTCGCTGATCACAGACCCTGAGCGAGGAGATCCGCGAGAAGAGGTGTCGGATGGGGCGGGAAGTCGCGATTTGGCTGATTGAACGCGCTCTTCGAGCTTCTGCATCTTACCAATCAGGCCACGTATCTGGAACAGTGAGCCAGACTTGGGAAGCCCTGGTGGTCGCGAGGTGTTCATTCTCGTCAAACTGTTACGAGACGAGATCGACATAGAGGGAGTCGACCGACCATTTCCGCTGCTGTTGCCATTGCCGGTGCTATATGCGCCATTGCTGTAAGCGAGAGATGGGGTTCGTGAATGAGTGGTGCGCGGTTGAGTCCGTGCGTGAAGGGTTCTAGAGTTCACCGGATCCGCGCCAGCGGCTCTCTGTCGAGGGAATGTAGGCGTGGAGTTTGAGTGAGCGTTGATCGACTTGCGCATGTTCACAGACGACTCGGAGATAGGGGGCGAAGGTGGAGTAGCGGTAGACGACGCAAGGGATGATTTAGCGGGGGGCGTGGCAAATACTGGGGAAGATGTAGCGGTGCCAGGCGAACGGTCAAAGATCTCCAAACTCTGTGGAGTCGCGGGGCTGCGATGGTACAGAGGAGTCGGCTTGCGCCGGCGCATCCCATGCCCTTCGGTATTTCGAAGCTTCTCCTGGATGATCTCGGTCTCAATCTTCAGATCCGACAGCTCATCCCGGAGACGCTGGTTGTCAATGCGCAGCTGCTCCCGTTCCTGCTCCCCACTTCTTATCTCCTCCTCTAGCAAGACCTGGCGCTCGATGCCTATGTTGTATTTGGACTCCATGTCCTCCAGGACGAGGTGGTGTTCCGGGCTTGGCGCTCGTAGTCATCGTTGGCAACTTCAATATCTCGAAGCTTGAGCTGCAAAGTGCGGTTCGCTTCCCGCAGTGTGGTAATCTCTTTCTGCAGGTTGTTCTGCACAGAGTTGCCTTCGGTTTTCGACTGCTTGTATTTGCTCTACCAGCACAATGTTAGCGCCCGCACAGTGGTGAGCAATGGGCATGATCCCTTACCTTCCACTCGTCGACTTCATATCGCATCGTATCGAGCTTTTCCTTCAGCTGCCGCTCCCGCTTCTCCGAAGCTTCAATGTCCTTCTCCATCTCAGTCTCCAGCTCCCGGCTGGAGGACTGGAAGTCCGCAAGCTCCGCCTCAAGTAGCTCATACTGGGCTTTGTAATGAGCCAGTTCATCTCTGTAAGAGCTGCTCGTATGCTTCCGTTCGGAAGTTGACTCATCGACGGCCGGCATCTTTCTCGCGTTGGGCACCCACAGGACCGGTCGCAAAGAAGATGTCTGGACGACGAGTGTCGTCCAAAACTGGCGAAAGTCACCAGAGACTGTACACCAGCCTGTCTTGCCCTGCAGATCACGCCAGCCCCTCTCAAAGACTCATATGCTGTGTGGTGGCCCGATGTAAACAACCGTGCGTTTTGATAAGAGCCCCTCGCCGAGGCGGTGACGCAAGGGATTGATCGCGGTACCTGATAATGTGTCCCTCTACAGAAAGGAAGAAAAGATCCAGGGATGTGGCAAGCTCAGATGTGCAAAGCTGGGTTACCTTCGACCCGCCTCGTGTCGAAAAGCGGGTTAGATTAGATCGGGCTGGGAGAAACCGATGTTGTTGTTTCGGTCGTCAGGGGGGGGGGCCGGTAGATGCGCTAGTCCTCATTTGGCAGATCTGGGCTCAGCCACCCACCGCTCTTTTGGTGCGTTAAGGCAGAAACCTTCTGCCCCCGGGCACTCTAAGGCATCAATGTGGAGCTAACCTCATTTGGAGCTGAAAGTGATCCTGATCGACCTCAGCCCGTGATCTGGACCTCAGCAGTCCCCAGTCTCCAGTCTTTAGGTCTCTAGAGCAATCAAGTCGGAGAGGTAAGTAGCTTTGTCTACCTTAAAATATTTGCTCCAGAACCTCCTGTGAGCTTCCAAGCTCGAAGAACAGGTGTTTGTTGCCTCCAGGTGCTACTCTGGATGTTATGCCCACGCACGCGTTCTTAAGATCGCTGATCATCCTGTTTGCTTCCACGCACTTGTTTACCCCCGATTACTCGCAAGCTCCATCTGTCTACCCCAGGTTTGAGGCGCATCGGCTAAACGTGGGATGATGGTATGACATCTGAACTTACAGTTTCCGTCCTTAGATAGATCCCCTTCAGTGAGGCTAAGGCCCAACTCGATCTATCACCATGGCAGACTCGACCGATCTCAACCTTGACGATGCGCCCAGCGACCTTCAAGACATTCCGGAGCTGGCAATGCAATTGGTTCCCCCTCCGGAGGGAACATACCCTGACAAGTAAGTTCTCCGCCCTCATCGCCCCTTGCTTAGTAGGACCAATATCAACAATTTATGTCTACAGAGCAACTCTTCTCGCCGCGGTCCAGGACCATGGCAAGGAACATGGTTACAATGTGGTCGTTAAGTCGTCAAGCACGCCCACAGAGAAGAAACCCGGCCGCACCGCCAAGGTATGGCTGCGTTGTGATCGTGGCGGCCACTATCGGCCACGGAACGGTCTGACTGAGGAAACGCGCAAGCGCCGCAGAACCTCGCGGTTGATGGATTGTCCTTTCATGCTAGTTGCAGCAGGCTCTCCAGGTATCTGGACCCTGACGGTGCTAAATGCGGCCCACAATCATGGTCCTATTGTCGAGAAGCCGCGACAGGTGCCTCACCACAAGGTCCGCAAGGGCCAGCTGCCAGCCGTCCCATACGATTGGCCCCATGACGCTTCGTTCACCCCATACACCACTGCACTTGTGATAATTGACATGCAAAAAGACTGTGAGTATTTCGGACTATTACCACCATCAGTGGACCATCTGGCTGATTTTCTCGTAGTCTGTCTGCCCGAAGGATACATGGGATATCAGGGATATGATATTTCTGCTGCGCAGGCTTTGATTCCCCGCCTGCAAAGATTGCTTCATGCTTTCCGCTCTGGGGGTTTCCCAGTGTATCATACTCGCGAGGGTACTTAGTGTCTCGTTCTTAACTCGTAGCATGTTTTTACTAACTCATTTCAGGACACCGACCCGATCTATCTACTCTCTCGAGTCGCGAGGCATACCGGTCCCGTAACAACGCGTCCGGCTTGGGTATTGGCTCCCCCGGCCCTATGGGCCGCCTGCTTATCCGTGGCGAACTGGGCCATGACACTGTTGACGAATTGTATCCTCTTCCCGGTGAGCCTGTCATCGACAAGCCCGGCCGAGGTGCCTTTGCACACACCGACTTTGAGCTTCTCCTTCGCAACAAAGGGGTGAAAAACCTCGTAATCGCAGGTGTGACCACCGACGTCTGCGTCTCGACGACAATGCGCGAGGCTAATGACCGTGGCTTCGACTGTGTCGTTTTGGATGACGGTACTGCGGCTGCGGAGCCGTCGCTGCATCTGGGCACCATGCAATCCATCAAAATGGAAGGCGGAATCTTCGGCACTGTTGCCAAGTTGGAAGATGTCATCCACGCTGTCGATAATTTCAAAACCGTCACCATGAAGAAGCTGGCTCCTCAGATGACCGTCTAAGTATGTACTATTTGTTTTAGCGGGTTGGTTGGCTTTGGACACTGGGATTGGAAGGATTTCCCCGGCGTTTGGGACTGGAGTTATCTCTTTTCTGTTGAGATACTGCAGTGCGCATACTCGTTGCTTTTCTTCTTCGAGCTTCTTCTTTGTTTGGGTTTTAGCGGGCCAGGGACTTCATTGATCCCAACTTGTGTCATTTTCTGGCAACTACTTTAAGCGCAGAACAATAGTTTTTCAATTTGTCGTGTTAAATAATCAGGAATAACAAGCGTTTTGTTTGTATTACATTACACACTAGACAAGGTCGTTGACTTGAAAACTTGTTTTCTCTATTATGCAGAGCAACATTGAAGTCAGAACAATGCAATATGTACAGAGAAAGAATCAACCCCCAAAGAATACATGCCCTAAAACGCCACGCTCACGAACTCAAACCACAAGAGACAGCCGGACTACAGCCATTTTTTCCCTGCAGCAGTAACCCGCGTTCTGAAAACAGGACTCTTGATCTCCATTCCCTGTTTATAGAACGGACTCATCGCCGTCTTGACATAGTTCTCGTATACCTCGTTCATAAACTGGCGTACGGCCTCTTCGGTCTGCGGGGAGGTCGGGTTTGCGGCGATGGAGCTGGACGAGGCGCGTGTGGTGGATCCTGCTGTGCCTAGCAGTGAGGAGGAACCGAGGCCGCTGCTGCTGCTGGTTGAAGAGGGGAGATTCGGGGGTTGGTGGAGGAGGAGGAAGCGGGCGCCACTTGGAGTGAGGAAGGCCGTGATGTAGGCTGCTGCCGGTGGGTAGGTATCGATATGCTTCAGGTACCTTTTGCGCAATGTTAGATTTGGGATTGGAGGTTTGATGCGGGGTATGAAGCATGTGTTATTGGGCCGGGGGTTTTCTTGTGTTCATATGGGCTCTCAGGAACTCAAGCTCAGGGATTCGAGCCAGTTTGCAGAATACACTCAAATATGAAATAGCTTATTAAACTCACATTCCGCCATTGGTCCATTGCGCTTCTTCCAATATGTCCAGACTTGAGTGGATGATGAACTGGTTCATGTACTGCGCTGTCTCCGGGAAGCGGAAGCGGGCAATGCCATCACCACCCCCTTTCGATGTACCAAAGGCGATGTTGAACAAAGGCGTATCGGTGGGTGATAGGATGGTAAAGTAATAGGACATTTTGAGCAAACTGGGATTATTCAGGGTGGAGATGGACCCAAGGACGGCCGAGGAGCTGGGGATTGCGGCTTTACTAGCGGCCGCCATCACGTGGCCGATAAGAAATGAGCTTATCCAGGCGGAGGTGGTGTATAACTATGCTTTTTGATGTCGACTTGAAAGTCGGAAGATCTTGTCTAAGAATGTGAATTTCTGGACTTTTGATGTAGTTCAAATTTGCATTCACGCTGTCTCAAAGATTCTTGTGTATGATATCTTGTCCAAAACCGGCCCTCAGCTATTATATATCTTTGCAACTGAAAGCTAGAACTAAATTTGCTATAACAGTATTGATGATATACCTGCGGGTAGCAATACAATCAGCTCAAAGTATACATATTCTATTCAAATTTAATCAACAGCTCTTAATGAACTAGCCAATATTACCTTGTGCTTGGTACATGTATGTACACTTCAATGCTCAAATACTCCGATCTCCCCGCAAAAGCCACCAGCACGTGATTGACTGATAACCAGCCAGGGCTTTATCGCGGTCGATCGCTGTCGCAACTTTTGATCTCGACAAGCACCCCCTGCCAAACACACCAGTGCCATTGCTATTATTCCGAGTACACAAAGCCCTGGACCTGCTCGGAAAACCAGACTTCCAATATGCCGGCAAACTTCCCCTACGGATTAAACCTTCCCAACAAGAGTCTTGCGGCGACGAAACCCGGGAATGCTCTCGGACAGAAAAGAAAGAACATTTTTGACGACGACTCCGATGAAGACCAGCAAACTGGGGATGATGCAATTGAGATCTCAACTATTGGAGGGCTAGAGGAGCCAGCTACAAACAAGAAACCTTCGCCAAGCGCAGGGCCACCGCCGAAACGCAAAATTCAATTCGGGAGCGGTCCCAAACCAACAGCCAAACCGCTCGGCAAGAACTCGCTATTTGCAGACGATGAGGATGAAGACGAAGAAAGAGAAAAAGAGCAACAAGGCGCAATGAATCTTGGATTGAACCAGGCGAAGTCGAAGAAGCCAATCGCCCCTGCCCAGAAATACACCAATCTCGCGTCAATGCATAGCAGCAATGTGCAAGCAAAGGCAGCCGAAGAGCTCGACCCATTGATCTACTCATACGATGAAGTATACGACAGCTTGCACGCCAAACCCGCCAAGGCCTCAGTGGAAACCAAGAGTGACACACCAAAGTACATGCAGAACTTGCTACAGAGTGCGGAGATACGGAAACGGGATCAACTGCGGGCTAAGGATCGCCAGCTAGCCAGGGAGCGTGAAGCTGAAGGTGATGAGTTTGAAGACAAGGAGAAATTTGTCACATCGGCCTACAAGGCCCAGCAAGCGGAACTGCGGAAGGCAGAAGAAGAGGAAGCACGCCGTGAAAAGGAAGAGGAAGAACGGCGCAAAAAGAGCGGCGGCTCTGGCATGATTGGATTCTACCGGGACGTTCTGTCACGAGGAGAAGCACGGCACGAGGAGGTCATCAAGGCTGCGGAAGAAACTGCCCGCCGCGTCAAAGCAGGCGAGATAATCGAGGAGACGGAGGATAAAGAGGATAAGTCGGATGCCCAGAAGGCGGAGGATCTCAATGCTCATGGAGCTCGGGTTGTTGTGAACGATGAAGGCCAAGTTGTCGACAAGCGCCAGCTGTTATCTGCAGGACTGAATGTGGCACCGAAACCGAAAGCCCAAGCATCTGCTGCCAAAGCAGGAGTTTCGCGGCCTACCGTCGGACGACCAGGCGCCGGCGCTGGTTACCAGGGCGGCCGTGCTCAACGAGCTCGACAGACTGACATGGTCGCAAGCCAATACGAGGAGCGTGCACGACAAGAAGAGGAGGCTGAGGCTGCAAAGCAAAGGGAGATCGCCGAAAAGAGCCGCAGTCGCAAGACGGAGAAAGATGTGTCCAGCGCCAAAGAGCGGTATCTGGCAAGAAAGAGAGAACGAGAAGAGGCTGCTGCCAAGGAGAAATCAAAGGGGGCCTAGGTGTATACCAATAGGTGAGCTGGATGTGTTGCATCCGTGGGACTTTGGAATACCTAATATTGCATAGCGCTGGTGAGAACCTTGTACATTACTCGTGGTACCAAAAAGAGACCCCGACTTTGAGTCATAAGGCTGTTTGCTATGGACGAACCGTGGAAGGTCCTAGGTAGTAAGAAGCGTAAACTCTAGTTGAGAATATAAATATGTAATAAGTGCTTGCCCCATGCTCTGAGTTTCTTCTCTTTCTTTCACCCATCAACTCCCGCTACTATAACACTCGGTAAGTTCTATCGCCATACTCAGCCATACTCTGTACACCTCGGAGAAACTATTGCCAAGAATCACCTGGGCATCTGGGCATTAACCCCGGCTTACCTCATCCACTTCTCAAGTCACATGACCCCACACGGGCTGAGTTAATCCGGACCGAAAGCACTCGCTAAGCCGCCCCACACAGGTCGCACTCCCAATTTTGCACTCCCAAATCGAGATTCAAGAATCGCTTCATCACCAAACCACTTCCATCCCCCGTTCATCAACGTCAATAATCCAAAATGGGTAAGGTTCACGGCTCTCTCGCCCGTGCCGGTAAGGTCAAGGCTGCCACTCCTAAGGTGAGTTCCCTTCGATTTCCAACCAACGCCACTCGATATACGACCGCCGTGGGCATCCATCCGACCAGTCCTTTTAACGGCGATTTTGCATCCAGGTCGAGCCCCAGGAGAAGAAGAAGAACCCCAAGGGTCGCGCCTACAAGCGTGTCCTCTACACTCGCCGTTTCGTCAACGTTACCATGACCGGTGGCAAGCGCAAGGTACATATCGAATGACTCACACCCACCCACAACGCACAATCAACAACACGCACATTTCGCACAATATCTACGACCACACCACGAATGCCGAAAATGAAGGACAGAAAGGCTGACCAGTCGCGAAATGCAGATGAACCCCAACCCGGCCAATAGATTATTCAAGTCGTTAAAACAACCACCTGAGCCGCGATCGGCTAGTCGAGTTCTACGATGAAGATCTTCGCATAACTACGGCACGACCACGGCCCAAACGAACGAAAGCACACCAGATACGGCTGGTACTTGTACGGATGATATCACGCTTCTTCGTCTTCACTTGAATTTTTTTTTTGCTGGCAACGGATGGGTTTTTTTTGGAGGTTGATTCGCGGAAATGGATGGACACCCATGGCGGTCTGAGGATGGAAAGCTGTGGCTGGATGTGAGCTGTCTACGGGCAGTCTTCACAGGCTAGACTTCAGAGTCACTTTTCGACTCATTTCATAGGCTGTTTCATGAATTGCATTTCCGATCCAGAAATGGACTCTACCTCTTTTCCCATGCTTTTCGGGTTATCGCTACTTGAGACAGTGCCTCAGGGCATACTTGGAGGTTCACTTCTTAGGTGCCTGCCTCTTTAGGGCTGATGCTCCAAGGTTGTACTTGTAAAATGGATCAGGCGGACCCTTCCATGGTGGGACTCAGCCCCTGTGCGATTTGGCCCGTTGATCACTCAACGACACTATAATGTAATACAAACCCCACACGCGGGCAGAGGCTGTATATCGAAGTACTCTAAACTCCTGATGTTTGCCCCACACATGCCAGAGCTCATCAGCATATAGTCCATGTCCTCGTCTTGCCCTTTCAACTTTCGTGTCGATAGGGCCCCACGTCATGAAAAATGCGGGGACCGACATAAATTGGCAAATCTTTCCGCTTTAGCTTGTTCAAGAGAACGTTTAAGGGTGGAGCATCAAGGATACAGAACACTTTATCATTTTTATACTAGCATCTACATGGATAGTCACTTACATGGATAGTCGGTCTCTGTCTTTGACATTTCCCGCTTATATCGCTTATCTTGTTGTAGCCAGAAGGATACATAGAGATAATTGGCTGCAAAAAGCGACATACTTGGGGTGAAAGGTCCAATTTCAATAGAATGTATTCTGCTATGCAAATACGTGTTCACTAGAAGGAAACATTGCAAAAGAAAGGGGGAAAGAAGCACCCGTAAGAAAAAACAGTCAGTGTAAGTTGTTATGGACTGGAAGAAAGCACCCGATTCCTTGATACTACTATAAAAGTACATATGTATACTATGAATGCAAGTAGCTTCCCACGTGACTGTGTTGGTAGTTGGATGATAGCACCTCTGGAATGATAGGGACAAGCCTCATTTAGACTGAGAAGCTGGAGATCTCCCCGCTTGATGTCATGACATAAATGGCGGATGTCCCCGCGGTTGTTTGCTATAATGATCACCCATAAACAAAGAGACATGACCTCACCAACTCAATGCCGGGTCATCCGGAGATGACTCTGAACATGTACGGTGAAATGACCGAATATTCCAAAGACGGGACACCCACGGATCAACGACTTGATTTAAGGTTATCGGGGTTAGCATGTGATGACTAAGGGGATATTGGCCAGTCGCCGACTTCAACGCTGACCTCCACATCCACTTGAGATAAATATGGGACACAACGAACGGATATCCAGACATGTCTAGTCGTCAGACAGTGGAGAAATGAATGGCTTAGGGGCCATTGAGTTCAACCCAAGCCGCCCGAACTCCTCGTGTCTACCCCACACATTGCAATGACATCGATTGAACTCAATTCGGAGTCCTTGACCATTTGGAGTTGATTTTACATATTGCGACACTACAAGGCAGAATCCAATGACTGGTATACATGATCGTTGGGCCAGAAGTTGCAAAAGAAATGATAGTTTGCATGCTATCATAATCCGTCGTCAACTGGAGAATAATAGAACATTGGATACAAAGCGTGGAAACCTGGAGTGGACACCAGCTGCTGGAAGATCCACCTATCCCGCTCCCTCCATCTGGTTGAGCATCATCGACTTCTGATATTATGCTGTACTATGACATCAAACTCCCATTGTTTTCTTGGATCAGGCTGCGGGCCTTGCAATCCAAGCAAAGGCATGGTATGGCCCAGCTGAATACCGAGCAAGCTGTTCCCACAATGCGGCATCACCGAAATAATTCCATGATGCAATGAGGAGGATGATAGTTGCTAATATTATTTAGGTGCCCCCGGGGCCCCAAATGTGGCTCGGTTCCCTTTCCTTGTATTCTATCTACTATTTTTGAAAGCTGAATGAACACGACTGAATGATACTATTTGATTAATTTTTATCTTTACGATCTACCTATTGTTAATATATTTACGCACCAATTTACATTTACGCACGATTTACCATCCATCATGTTCGCCAAGGCCAAGGGAATCCTCGATAAAAGCTCATCCATCCGCAATGAAGTCAACCAAGGCAATTACAATGGCGCCAAAGACATCGTGACCAAAGGTCAAACTACCAAGGAATCGACCAGCCAGGGAGACAAGGCCAATGAGCCCGTCGATAGAAACTCATCCACCCGCGATGAAGCCAACCGTGGGAATTCCAACGGCGCCAAAGAAACTAGCACCCAAGGGCAAACCACTAAAGAATCGACCAGCCGAGGAGCTGTGGGAGGAGCTGCCGGAGGAGCTGTTGGGGGAGTCGCCGGCGGAGCATCAGGCAGCGCTGCTGGAATGAACAAAGACCTTAACAAGGAGAATGTTCAGGAGACCGGAAGGCAAATCAGCCAAGGAGGGATTGGCCAAGACAACACTGGGACCTCCTCTACTAGCCATACGAAGGTGGAGCAAAGAGACATGGGCACCGAGAAGCGAGAAGCTAGCCAGAAACAGCAACACAGCACCGAGGCAAACCAAGTCACTGGCTCTCAACAGTATGACCGCAGAGGCAGTGTGCTCGCCGGAGAGCTTGCACCCAACTATGACATCCGCAAGGGCCCCATCACCACGCCTGGCACTTTCCAGGAAAAGAACTTCCACACTCCGGGCGGCAAGCCGATTCTCGTTCAGAGAGAAACCAACAGCAAAACACTACCCCGCGGAGAAAATACGGACAATTCTCCTCAGGTTGCCGTCGCGGGAGCAGGAAGCGGCAACCAGGCCAGCTTAAGCCAAGAAAAGACTGGAAACCCCGCCGCCGGAGGAGACTATAGCAAGGAATCTCTTGAAAATGAGATCCATGACTATGAGAACATCAGCCCGGACGTCTTTAGCGATGGGACCACCAGCAAAGGCCTGTCCAAGAAGGCTGCTGATCAAGATGTTGGAAAATACCACATTGACAGAAAGCAGCTTGACAAGCAGGGCTCTCAGCCTTCCCAGAAAGCAGGGACAAGCGAAGCTACTGCTGCTGCTGCTGCCGCCACCGCTGCCGCCGCCGGCGGCTATGGCATGAGTAAAGGAGCTGACAACCAGACCTCTACCACCAGAAAGCAGAGAAAGAGGCATTCCGTCTCTGGCTCGAACGCAACCAGAGCCCAAGATACGACTTCCACAAGCCAGAAGAGCCACGGTGCTTCTACCGTGGGACAAGGGGTAGGCGCCTCAAGCCCGGCGAACCGCGGGGGCTATACCTATGCCCGCGCGGTGTCCGATCATGGCTACACTCCCAAAACACCGACAAACACAGCCTATTCTACCACCAGTGGATCCAACCAAACCAGTGGTCTACGTTCTACAACTACTGGCCAGACAAACAGCGCCTTATTCAACAACGGCGCCACTGCATCGAACAAAGCAGGTATCGCCGGCGGAGGGGTTCTGGGACTTCACCAAGACGGTAGCTATGGTTTATCCGGCAATGACAACAGCGGAGTCAACCAAGGAAGCATTGTTGGCGGAGCAGGAACTCGACAGGCTGGTGCCTACGATACCTCTCAGCAATAACGGCTTCAACACTGGAGTCACCCACGCTAGCTCCGGGAATGGCATGACGTCGAAGCGCATTGTCAGACAGCTGAGTGGAAGTGGCTACAAGGTCACCATTCTCCAAGAGAAGGTTCAGGCCGTGTCCCAGAAGTGCAAGGCTCAGCTGGGCCTGTCTTCCACTCAGATCAGCAAGCGCAGCCCTAACGTGGATGCTTTCTTCGATGCCATCGCAGCCGAACGTCTCCGCTGGATGCCGCAAGATGGCAGCAGACTCGATTGCAGCCTCAGATGGGCGTCCAGACTGGCGTATGCAGTCGACGCTCTTCGGGAGTCTGTCGGAGTCTTCGCGCCTGCTGCCAATGAGGCGGCATCGCTCATCTGGGGATTCTCTGTTCTCCTTTTGGAGGTGAGTTAAGGTGACCGGTGAACAACTGTGGATATGAATACTAACTACTGTCATAGTCCGATATGGACAACACGGATGTCTTCGAGAGCGTCTTTGGCCGGTATGGCCGGGTCGCCGTCGGCATCTACTTGCTTCTGCAGTATGAGACCGCGTACAAGTCCTCTCCTGAGCTCCAGCCATATGTTGCGGCGGTCTTCGCAGATTTGCTTGAGATGGTCAGTAGCACAGCCATAAGCTGTGTCGAGGGATTCAAGAGCAAAGAGTCCGATCAAGTCATCGGACGCAATGTTGATGCCGCTTTCGTGACGTACGCCAAACGCTTTTCCACCCACTGGAACTGTGTTGTCGATGCCCACACTGCGAAGCTTGTGCAGGATAGCCCCCTGATCTACTCATCGCCTGAGTTGGGTAGTTTGCGTCAATTCCTGGGAGTGCAGGACCGCCCTCTTCAGTTTATCCTCGACTCTCGCGCCCACTCGCTTGCCGAGGGATCGTTTGAGTGGTTCAACAACACACTCTACGATTTCAGTGTCGCAAGCTCCCCTGTCATGCTAGTTTCTGGTGGTCCTGGCTCGGGAAAGAGTGCACTGGCCCAATGGGCGGTCGAAAGACTACAGGAGTCGGCTGAACACGATAGCTGGAATGTTATCCCGTACACCATTCGTGGGTCTTCCTTTGCTTATCTTTTGTTGATTTGCAAGCTAATCCAATACAGGTGCTGATATTCCCGTCGCTACTTTGCCTCTGCGCATCCTGAAGGGTGTCCTTCACCAGATGTTGGATCATTCTGTCAGTGACAAGCAGGCCCAGGAGGCTATCCTGGTTGAAGTGGCCAGGGCAGCCCAAGGCGCGATCGATGGTGCTGGGGATGACGCGGTTGAAGCAAGCCTTTGGAGGGGTATTCGTGCTGGTCTTGCTACGAACATTCAGTACATGTTTGTGGTTGATGGCATCGACCAAATCAGGGGCGGTCACGCCAATGCCGTTGCCTATCTTGATCGCTTCTGTGAGATTCTCTCCGAACAGAATGCTGGATCTAAGATGATCGCTTTCACTCGGCCCCTGACTTCGAAGGTCAGCTCCAAAGGCGTTCACCAGCTTACCCTGCAGACCTCCCAGACCAAGACCGATCTCGTAGCGTATGTCAACAAGATGCTTGCATCTAGCGCCAACTTTGACACCCACAAGGGCAACCAGCTTCAAGCTGCTGTGTCTGCCATTGTAGCCCGCTCCCAGGGCTCTTTCAGTTGGGCTGAAATGGCAGTTGCACACGCTAAACAGCAAAAGACCTTGAGCCAGGCTGTTGCGTCCATTCAGGCCCTGCCGCAGTCGATGTCAGAGCTTATTGACTTCCACTCCAAGAGCCTGGACTTCAGCCAGCAGGGTACTGTTAATGTCGTTTCCTGGCTCGTAGCAGCCGAGAGACCCCTGCTGGTCGAGGAGATTGAACATTTGCTGAATGTGGACCCCAAGGGCCCCAGCTACTCCTCCAACCAATCCACTAGTAGCTACGACATCTTGAATGCTCTGAGCCCGCTGGTCATGACCCGTGATGGCGTGGTCTCTTTCGCTCACACCTGCATTCGTGACCATGTTATTAAACAGGCCAAGTCACCCGGTGGACAGTCCAAGCTCAATATCAGAGATGCACACTACGACTTGCTCACCAGGTGTCTTTCCTCTGTGCATTTGAACGTGCGTGAGGAGGTTGATATTTCCATGGATAGGCTGGGCATCGAGGAGCGCAACCATCTCTTCGACAAGTATGTCGTCTTAGAGTACACCGCACGCTACTGGCTGTCGCATCTTCTCTCGTCTCCACTGGTCACCGATGACGAAGAGTTCCAATTCAACTCAAGCTTCGAGAAGATAATGCCTGCCACCGTCCTCTTCGCACGCCTCGAGTTGACTTGCCGCGAGTCCCAGTTCACTCGGTCTAGTGTCGTCGAGCTCTACAGACTTGCAAGTGACATTCGCCGATTAGTCCTCGGCGAGAAATCCATCGCTCTGCTGCAAAGCTTGGTCCTCAGCGCACGCGTGTCCAAGTTGGCGCATGCTAGCCACGCCGATGAGACCTGCTACGAAGCGTGGAAGCTAAGCCAGGAGCTTCTTGGCCAGTCACACCCGGTTACCCTGTCATGCTCCGAGATGATGATCCAGTCATTCTCCGAGCGAGGCACAATCACCTCGCAGCAGGAAGACATCATGAAGTACTTGATCTTGACCGACTCCGAGATCACCGGGGTGGAGTTCAACCAACGCCTGAAGTACCTTGAAATGATTGTCAGCATGTACAAGTCTCGCAACGACAACCAGTCCGCGTTGTTTATCTCGAAGCACTTCTACCAGCAAATTCTTCAAAAATACGGCACCAATTCGCGCCAGTCATCCGAGACCGCCGACTTCTTGACCAGTCATTTCTCCACAACTGGAACCGACGAGATGAGCCGCGATATTGCCAGAACCAAGTATGACAATATGGTGCGCACTATGGAAGTCACCGACGAGCGCCGAATTTCCTACACTCTGTACATGGCTAAGATGTACGAGGATCAGGGTGATTTGGCTCACGCCCAGGCAGTTCTGTCAAGCCTCTGGGCTGGTCTCAACTCGCGCGATATTGACTCGGTTGATATGATGGACAAGAAGGCTAATGTCGCCCTTGTGTACTACCAGTTCCTCCGCCGTCAGGGCCGAAATGATGAATCTGAGGTCATCATCCGGGAACTGGTTGCAGACCTCGAGGTTACTGGTATTCACTCTGAGGAGATGATGCAGCGCGTGCACCTTCTCCGCGCTGAGACTCGGGAGATGCTTATGTACAACCTCGATCGCTCCTTGGCAATTCTCATGTGGCGCTACTACAAGGAGACCCACCAAGAGTACTCGGAGGACTCAACCGCTCTGGCACTCTCAATTGCCCAGAGTATGGCTAATGCAGTCTCTATTGAGAGTGCGTCCTTGCTGTCTTCTCGGGACCGCAAGCTGCTGATTGAGCTGCTGGACGTTATCTCGGCCAGTCCCGAGAATATGACTGTTACCACCTTGATCTTGTGCCACAACCTTGCCAGTATCTACGTGCGTGAGGGAGAGTGGATCCAAGCCAGTGAATGCGCGATGGCAGTTCTGCAGCATATCTGGCCCGCCGTCGAACAAGCCAAATCTCACCAGAAGTTCTCGCCCGAGCTGGCACCCCCGGCGGCAGACTTAGCTTTGGTGTTGGCCTACTGCCACTTCCGCAGACTGCATCTGGAGCAGGCTACAACTGTTTATGAGAATGCTTTCGGTTCTTTGATCTCCTCTGCTGGTGTCCCTGTGCCGTCCGTGATGGCCGTTGCCAAGGCCGTTGTCGAGTTCCACGAGACAACCTACCAGTTCATCAATGCGCTGACGTTGCTGCATACCATGAGCAACTTCTTGGCGGCTCGTCTCGGAGAGAAGCACGAACATACAATTGAGAATATGTATTCCGAGGCTGCTTTGGCAACTCGTCTGGAGAAGAACAGCGAGGCTAAGAGCATCTACCAGCGCATCTTCAACGCTACTTCCCATCAAGACACGATTTCCCCAGAGGGCATGGACGCTGCAATTGCCCTCATCAACCTCTACGAGAAGGAGATGCAGTGGGATTCTGCTTTGCATGTGTACCGATCTCTCTGGCCGACTCTGGTTGTTGAAGACAACAAGGTAGATACCTATGATCATGATCTGGTGGACCGGATGCTGGAGAAGACTTATCTGGGCTACATGTCTATTCTGACTACCCACAAGAGGTCCGACTTCTCTGAGCGATACCGCGTTGCCTCTGAGTATGTCATGACCTGCCGTCACTTGCACGGCGCAACAAGTGGGAAGACGCTCAATGCTACCTTGCTCTTTGCCGAGCTATGCGAGTCCAATGATGCACACGTCGACCAAGCCATCTCGCTGTACAAGTTGCCTCTGGAAACCAGCGAGTGGGTGGCTCCTTCTCAGTCGTCGAAGGGTCTCGACCAGATGACTACACCGCTGCCTATCACCCTCAAGCACAAGTTGGCACAGCTGTTTGTGCGCAAGCATGACTCGACTATGGAAGCCCGTTCTCTCTACACTGAAGAGTTCCAGCTCGCCAAGAAGAACCAGGGCTACTTCTCCACCACGACTCTTTCCTGGCTCCGTGAACTTGCTCTCGCCCATTCGCGACAGGGAACGTCTACTTCCGTTCAGCAGGGCAACGCCATTCTCCATGCCTACTCTACTGATGTGTTGCATGCTGGCGGTGACACCGAGACAATCGGTGACTGGGCTCGCCGGATCGCAAGTATCTACCTTGAGTGCGGTTTCATCGAAGGCGGCAACAATCTCCTTGACGAACTCCGCCACCGCGTGGTGTACGGCTCCGAATCTTCGGCGGTTGATCTGAGCGATCGTCGCGACGCCGTGTTTGTCGCTGCGTTCGAGGAAGTCTTCGGCAGACGTGCCAGCTACGACCAGATCATGGCCGAGATGGCTCGTGAGATGAGGACTTCTCAGGCCTTCTCCAAGAGCCTCTCTAGCCACGACTTCATCCCCACTCTGATCACTGGTCACAAGCTCTACAATCTCCAGATTACTCAGAAGCGAGTTCGCGCTGCCAACGACACTAAGGACAAGCTGTACGACTACTTCTGCTCTAACCTGTCCGCTACCGATGTCGCCGACAAGGAGATCGTGCAGCAGTTCTACCAGATCTGTCTGCGCGAGGTTCACAGAGAGAACTACAACATGAGCATCCTCACAACAACCACCAACCTCGTCCGTGACCTGTGCAACTCCTCCCGCTTCCAGGAAGCCAGCATCCTGACAGGCGTTCTGCACTCCTTCCTGCATCTGACCGACGGTCTCAACAACCAGGAGAGCATCAACACCGCCACCCAGCTCTGCCTATACCTGAGCGGCCACAAGGCCAACAAGTGCACGGATGAAAAGACCTACCAAGCCATGTCTACCAAGTCCAAGCTACTCCTACAAGAGATCATGGCAACCTCGAAGTCCATGGGTATCGAGATGGTCGATCTACCCTTCAACCACCTCAACGACATCATCACCCTCCTAGGCCAGTACGAGATGTTCGACGAGCTAGAAGCCATCCTCACGCAACTCTGGACCTCCCGAATCGTCCAGCGCACCTGGACACCAGACGTGGTGGTATGGATCGGACGACGACTAGTAGAAACCCGCTTCTGCCGCGGCAACGTCGACTCCGCCATCCAGCTCTGCCGCGACATCTGCTACAACCTGCGCCAGGTGTGGGGCAGCTGCGACCCGGTAACACTGGACATGACCAAGCTTCTCTCTGCGCTGTTCACAGCCTCCGAGAACTACCAGTCTGCAGCGACTCTGCACGAGGGAATCCTGTACGACCTGCTCGGCGACTCTGGGGCGGTGGACCATGCCAATGGTGCTAATACCGCGTCGCAGCATATGGAGTTGCTGCGCCGTTCCCAAGCACGTCTGGGAGCGGGACAGACTTCTAGCCGGGCTTCGGCGCATGCGGAGCTCTTCCAGTCTGTGGCGGATCGCTTCGGTGTGCAGTCTGAGCAGATTAAGAGTGTTGGGGAGGCGAATGGTGGTGAGCAATTCGGTGTTTGGTCGAAGCCGAGACGGTTTAGTATAGATGTTGAGGACATGGAGGAGGAGGGTCAGACGCACCGCAATCATCTGCGTGAGTCTAGTGGTGCTGGATTGGGTGGTACCGGTGGCCAGAGACGTATCTCGGTACAGGCTCTCTAAGTATATGGATTTTTGTATATTAAAATATTTGGATTTGTGTTTTATGCTGTTTCTTTAAATTGTTTACACCCAAATTGACCCAAATTGACGATGACTTTCGATGCACGCCTTTCCGTATCTTTATAGATGGCACGGCCTTGTACCTATTAAGCGCTCTTAGCCTCTAATGTTATCCCTCGCGCAGAATTTGTTTCCGACATGTGCAGACCATTATTAAATAGGATTCCCCCTCATATCTACTGGCATCTCTTTTCCCGACCCGAGACGTTTCGAAATGCGTCGATCAAAGGGGCCGAACTTGGCCTCCCGGATTCGACCATAGTTTTCACTATACCATTCCACTGCCCGTTTATCCGGACAATGATCTAGGGCATCATTATCAACCTCGAGGTATCCTGACATCAGAGATATCCACGCTCTCAGTGACTGGCCCCACGCGGAAAAGCCTGTCTCTGTTTCTTCATCGACCGCAGCCTTAACAAAGCTTTCCACAAGCGTCTGTTCCAGTGGATAGTGCAAATTGCCGTAGGTGTTCATTTCTGCCGGAGGGTGAGGAATGTCTTCTTGAAAGACGTGCGCAAAATAATTCGGAAACAAGTACAGCTGCATGTCTTTTTCTGGGTCACCATGTGGATAACTAAATACTGCACAAGACCGATCCAAGCGTTTATAGCCATCATTGATTTCGTCCAACATCTGCTGTGGGTTTGGATGGTCCTCCATGATTTCGGGAGCAGGGGCACGATTTGGAACAGTTCGGTCGAATCCTGCTCTCTCAAGCCTTTCAATGGCAGCTGTGTAGTCGTCGTCTTGCACCACAATCATAAAAGCCTACAGGGATATGAATGGTTAGCAGGAAAAACCATGAACGGGTTCGCAGTTTTCAAGGCTAATATTACCCCAACACCGATGGGGACGCCCAGATAGCACATCGCGAGCGGTCCCCAAGGAATCACAGTGAGAGGTTGAAGTGCGTTGCGGAGTTTTATTGAGAGCCTGTCGGGCTCGGTCTCTCTCGGTCTCCTAAACATAGCTGTGTCAAGTTTAACTGTTTTCTCGTCTCGAGTGACAAGATGTAAGGAGGGTAGATTGCAAGAGGTTCGCGGAATCGTGCCAAGCGCCCAGATATGTTGGGACGTATTTGAGAATCTGCTATTATGTACATATATACATGTATGTAGTAGTTACCTAGTTACCTTCGACAAATAATTTCTAAACAGTACTAACAGTTGAGTACTAGTCAGATGTTATCGATTCTCCACATATCCGTTTGAAATTGTACACCTCCATTAGGGCCGGCTTATCGACAGTGAGCTACTTGATGAATTGGAAAAAATGTATTTCGTAGTCTAATGCATTATCTGCACAAGGAATGTACATACAGTACAAGAGTACCAGGTAATTGTGCTTTCACCACATCGGTGATTCAACCGTAACAGGTATGTTGATAAGAAATACATGTAGTGTCCAAATATGCACTTACCCTTTCTATTTGTGCAGGAGACCACTGGCCATTTGGAAAGAATGTAGTTAAAAGCGAAACCCCAATATGTGGGTTCATGCATGCCGGCCGTAAGGATCATGAAGGATCAAACGCCAGGCGTATGATGGAAATGATCACCAGAGCCAAAGCCTGGTCAAGCAGTCAACGCAAAGCTGAGGCCCATCAACCCCATACCTGCAACAGCGAACCCGATTCCCATTCCCCGACGATGGGTGAGACCAAGTCCCTCGCTGAAAAGCTGCAATGCAACTGAAGTCATCACTCCCGCCGTAGCGGCGAACATACCTCCATAGATCCCCCACGAGGTACCTGTGGCATCGTCGCTACCGTGTTGTCCGGTACTCCAGATCCAAAGTGCGGCTAGGCCAGCACCGGCTGGTTGACTGATACCACCCAGGAGGCTGGACCAGAACATTGCCTTCCAGCGGGAATTGAGGGCTAGATAGAGCGGAAGTGCCATGGCGAAACCTTCCACGATGTTGTGGATGAACAGAGCCAGGAATACTGTCATGCCGAGGGTTGGGCTGGCGTGGTTGGTGGCATAGGTGATGAACCCCTCGGGAAGCTTATGCAGAGCAATGGCAAGTGAGGTCTGGAGGCCAATGGAGAGGAATGCATTTTTAGGGACATGATGGTGGTGCTGGTTGCCACCGGCAGATTTGGGACGCCCGGAGTCAATATCGTCGCGGTGGCCATGAGATTCGTCCTGATGTTGATGCTCGGAATGGGGATGATGCTCAGAATGGCGATGGTACTCAGGATGTGAATGAGATAGATGACTTGAAGAATGCGGGTCTAGGATCTGAGACGAATCGGACGAAGTAACATCTGGTTGTATGTGGTGCTGTGCAGAGATCCTGTCAAAATACCCCTCTTCCCGGACAGTAGGTATAAGATCATTGTCAGCCTCAGTTTCCGCGCGGGAAATATCTGATTCCAGCGGTACGGATAGACTTTCGCGATGCAGCAGATCGGGTCGCGCTGGTTCATTGCTGTTGGGTGGCGGAAGCACTTTGGTGCATTCGAGACCGCAGGTTTGGGAAACCCCAAAGCAAGGCCCGTCCTCGTCGCAGGTGGATTTTACGCCACCCATGAGCGACGTAATGCGACGCGTTAGTATTGCCCGCATCGTCTCGCGTCTCGGCGCCGGCTCAGGATGTTGGCTCCGTTGTACCACCGCTGGCGTTGACTTGAATGAAGTTGGCTTATTAGGTCGCAACAGCGGTGTTCGTTCGGTATGTCCATTTGCATGGTCTTCGCGTGCGGGCTCGCCGCGCTCGGGATCTCCTTCCGACCCGTCATGAGTATGGGCACAGTCGACAACATGAGATGGGATGTATCGGTGTGCAAATGCAGATACTAGTTGAATGCCTGCGACTCCGGTAATGAAAAGGCCGATCAAAATATATGCAGATACAGCGGGGGAGAAGCCGGCGCGAGTGAGGTATTGCTTCGAGGTGGGGAGCATGCTATAGAGGGAGGTAAAGAGCTGCCTAAAATTAGTACAGTCCATGAATTTCCCCTAGGATGATAGCTCACCATGACTCCAGCGCTGAGACATAATGATGCCGACAGGAAGTTACTACTGTTGGCTATTTGGAAGCTCTTGCGGTGGGAAAGCGTCTGTACCAGCACATCGACACAGATGATAGAGGAACCAAGGACGCAGGCTGGATACAATTAGTGACAAAGATTTCTCTGTCTCCAGCGACACTCACCAACACCTGAGACAGCGCTCATCACCCACCCCCGGAGGTCGTTGGCAGACATGGCGTGGGGAGTTGAAGAAACCTGAACGAAAACGGTGATGTAATTTGCTGGTTGGCGGTCAACACTTTGCCTCTGTCTCTATCTCCTCCTCTCTAGGGAAATGAGAACATGATGTTCATGGATGGGCATTTATAAGTCAATCACCTGCGTTGTCTGAGGGCAGTGCATATTCGTCCCCAAGGTTCTCACTGGACCTTCTGCAGCTCACCCCCTCATGGCTGGGATCTGCAATGTGGAATAAACGGTCTGGCATGGTGAATCTCTAAATTGAGAGTCTCTGAGACTATAGTATATGGAGAAAATGGTTCAACCTGCAGAGGTTTATGAATACTGTGTCATTGCAACCTGTTGTGTGATCCTTGACACATTCTCATATGATGAAGGGACGCATGCAAGGGGTATGCCACTGACAGGATCTGGTGATTTGAATAATTCTAGACTCGCCAGACTCAAATCACGAGAACCATGAGATCCAAAAGAGCAAGAGAATCAAGAGAATATCAAGAGAATATATAAACAAGCCATCTCCCATGCAGAAGCAATAGTACGGGGGCCATGTGATGTGATTGGCCCGTGACTCCCCATCCGTTTTATTGTCTTTTGTTTCGGTTCCTGGCTCTCTGGACTTAACCAGCCCTACCTAGGTATATACACCCAAGGGACACTCAGCCATGTCCAAAGCAACTCTGGCTGTTATCGCTGCCGCCAGTGCAGCCACTGGAGCTGGTGTCACTGCGCTGCTCTTCTCCGGCAAACCCTCGAAGCCCCAACAAGAGACTCTCTCCCCGACACCCACAACCCAAGGCCCCAGGGTGCCGGTGCCTTCAACCATCCCAAGCCCAACCCTAGCATCCAAGCTAGCCACCGGACCCGTCGACGCAGCAGGAATCCTCCAATATGGCTTCCCGGGTCCAATCGCCGACGAACTCTCCTCGCTCCCATTGCACGGCGCCTACGACCGACGCACACGCAATCCATCCTGGGTTGCAGAACACATCACACCAGAATCCCTGCGCATGAACGATGCCGACCGAAAGAAGAGCACTTTCTTCGAGGACACGACCATCCCGGCCATGTTCCGCGCCAAACTGTCCGACTATTTCCGCTCAGGCTATGACCGCGGACACCAGGTGCCAGCCGCAGACGCGAAGTGGTCGCAGGATGCGATGGACGGTACATTCGCATTGAGCAATATGTGTCCGCAGGTCGGCGAGGGTTTCAACCGCGACTACTGGGCGCACTTTGAGAATTTCTGCCGTGATCTCGCTAAGCGGTATCCCTCCGTTCGCATCGTTACCGGCCCCTTGTACCTGCCTCACCGTGACCCGGATGGAAAGTGGCGCGTTAACTACGAGGTTATTGGTAACCCGCCTAACGTCGCTGTGCCCACGCACTTCTACAAGGTTATCTATGCCGAAGATGGCACCAACTCGCCCACGAGCAAGGTTGCGCTCGGTGCTTTTGTTCTGCCCAATGCTCGCATTGCGAATGATAAGCGTCTGACTGACTTCGAGGTTCCTCTCGAGGCTGTTGAGCGTGCTTCCGGTTTGGAATTCGGCTCTAAGTTGGACCTCAGTCGTCGTCGTCGCTTGTGTCAGGAGGTGTCTTGCTCGATCACTGTGCGTGAGTTCAACAATGCCAATAAGCGTTCTTAAGCGTTCTTGAACTTGGGGCTGCAGATAGGGGAGGAGAGAGACTAGGTTCGCCTGTTGACTTCTCGTATGGCTTCACTGTATATCTAGAGACATTTTTATTTGCATGGTTCGGGCGTTAATAACCGCTCCGGGCGGCAATATCAGGATATTTTTATCATACACATAATCGAAACCTGTAGTGTTTCATGCTTTTTCCTCGTTTTGTTATTACGGAGTTGCTTAGCACTGGAACGCAACTCCGGTCTTTCTTCCCATATTCCCACCTTTGCTAGCAAACCCAGTCCCCTCGGAGGAGATCTCCACCAGACCAGGTTGGATAGCATCCTTATCCTTCTTCTTAGACTTCTTGTTATTCCCATTGCCGTCTGGGGTTGACTTTGCCGTAACATCTGTCTCACAGACGTAACATAGAACCTGGCCATGGAGAGCAGCGTTCTTCTCCTGCTCCTCCTTCGAGGCATGTGGATCGGGGATGTGGTGATCGTGGGGAGTCATGAATTTCGTTACGCACGGAGAGCAAATGACGTGACCGCAGGGCTTTGTGACTGTCATAAGAGATGATTAGCAAAACCCAATAGCCGTGTCGACTTCCATTCCACATACGCATCGCCTTGAGCCCATTACTCAAATTCTTCTTGCAACTCGGACACACCCTGGACACAGTCCCGTCGGAAGCCTTCTCCTCCGTGAAATTAACCTCAACAAGCGACTTGAGTGAGTAGCTGTGCCGACTCTCATCCGCTGAGCCAGGACAGACAGGCGTCAACTTGACGGTCTTGTTAGCGGCAATTTCATTGGCATCCGTGTTGGGCGTTAAAGACGGGACCCAGAAGGACGGGAGAGCAGATTTGCTAGATGACTAGAGCAAAGTTGTTAGCCAAGATAAACCCCCAATTGAATACCAAAGCTCCAAGCTCCAAGCTCCAAGCTCCAAGCTCAAAGAACGACCACAAACCTTCTCCATCTTCAACTCCTTCCTCAACCTCTCCTTCTCTTCCCCAGCAACACGAGCCATCTCCTCCTCCCCAAGCTCAAAAACCCTCTTCCTCTTCCCATCAACCTCAACCTCCCTAGCCTTAAACTTCTCCAAAGCCTCCGACTCCTCGGCCTTCCGCTTCATCCCAACCCCAGAACCACCCTTGTTTTCCAGCCCCATAGAAACAAGCTCGAAATCCCTAAGATCCCTCTCCTTCATCTCCGCCAACGAGCGCTCCTCATCCTCCGCAATGCGTTTCCTCGCCTCATCGCGCTCTTTCTCAAGCCGTTTGATCTCCTGCCGCTGAGCGAGGAGGTCACTGATCGCACACTCGCGACAGAAAAGGTCGCCGTTGCTGGCGCAGGCGACTACAGGCGCGCGCGCGGGTTGCAGCATAGACGGCAGGAGCCGAAGGATAGGAAGCTGTCGCGGCCGATTGCGCTGCGTTTTGCGCCCAGGTTGAGCGGAGGAGACCGCGTTCATAGGAGGTGAAGTGTGGGAGGGAGGTGTTTCGCTTTGAGTGCGCCATTTTTGGTGTGGTTGGCGGGGAAGTTGATGGAGATGAGGGTGGCTTTTTTGTAGCTTGGATGGCGTAATGGGTTTTTGGTCGGGGGTTTGGCGGCGGTGGAAGATTGGGGCTTGCGATTGGTGCGTTGGCTTACCGCTTGGCTCACCGCTTTTGTCAGCCCTATGCGACTTCTCTATGAACAGGAATTCCAAGGTTGTATGCTCATGTTAGTCAACAAGCATTGATCCCAAGACGTAGTCGTTGGACGTAATTGTTTACATCTAAGGTTACAAGGATACTGTGAGAAGCAAAGGTATCAAATCGATCATTGTCAATCGTAATTCACTTTTGTCTATCAGTGATTCCTGAGCCTTGCACTCGAAAGCATAATCGAAATGAAGTGGCCAAGCCACGAGATATCAAAGCACGCCCATGAATGCAGCCTGTCATACAGATCTGATTCAACGATCTGGCAATAAATGAAAAGTTCCCAGAAGCACAAACGCAGACGCGGACGCAGACAGATGCTCAAAAACCCAACCCAACCGAAAACCTGCCACGAAACCGAGATTCACCATATGTTAATGCAAGGACAGTAAGGAAAGTCAACCAGGAAAAGACAAAATGAGATGCAAGAGTTTGGAAAGGGGGTATAATAATCGTCAAGCAGAAGATCAAGATGAGAATGGTTAGGATGTACAGAAGAAAGTAAAAGAAGATGAGGGGGTGCAGACTCAGGCGCCTACGGCCTGTTCGCGTAGGTTCTCGCTGGACGGAGTATCAACGATTCGCTCGCTGATTGATGTAGAAGAGGGGGAGGGGGAGGGGGAGCCGTCGTGTCTTGGTGCCGAAAGATGGCCGTATATTGTGGATGAAGGGGAATAAGAAGTGTGTTGAGTGTCTCAGGGGATGCGGAGTCGGGAGCGAGGTGACCACTGGGGAACCCGGGTCCCCGATGTCCTCTTCCGGCTGCTCTTCCTGCTCTTCCTGCGCATCCGTAAACTCTGCCAGATCGTCGCTGGTGCGCACACTTAGGGCAGTGGCGGTGCTCATTCTGCGGGCCGAGTGAGGACGTTCCGGGCTGCGATCGGTCATAATCGACTCACCACTGTCCAATATAGCAGGATCTGATACCCGTGATTCTTCATGAGGGGTGGGCTTGCGGAGCTTGAGGCGCTCTTCCGGGGGCATGTTCTGCCATTCAGACCCGAATGTGACGATGGATGCTTTCTTCCCATGCACGGTGAAACTAGGGGCTTTGCGAGGAAGGACTTCTCCATCGCCGGAGAGTTGGTCGTCCTCCTCCTGCCCAACGCTAGACACTGAGCCCCGTTTCTTCTTCGAATGAGAGTGGGTTCTATGAGCATGCGAATCACGGAGGGTGCGATGAAGGCTGCGACGGACGCGACTAGGTCTATCGCTCTTATCTTTCGGATTTGTCTCGCCCTCGGTGTCTTTACCGGGGAGTCCGTTAGAGACAGTCTCGTCACCCTTTTGTGTCGACGGGGACGCCGGCAGCTCCAGTAGGCCAGCTTCCCTTAGAACACGCTCCTCGCCGTCATCAAAGCTGACAGGCGTTGTCAGTTTCGATGTACGAGATGCCAGGCTAGCTCCATCCCACCGGCTGGCACGGCTGAGAACCGAGGCTTCACGCTCCAGTTTAATGGTCGCTGGATCGGGTGAGTATGACTTCGCACGTTCGGGAAGGGCCACAGCAGAGCGCCGGCGACCGACACGAGCAATGTCAGCCGAAGTGGCAGATCCCGGGATACTGGGACGACGCAGTTCATCATTCGAAGGCTTAGGCAGCAGTCCAGCCTCCGAGGGCTGCTCGGTCTGAGCCATATTGGGCTCAGGGGTATCAGCACTAGAGACGGTATGCACGATACTACCGGCTTTTTCCACGCTAGGCTCCGATGTAACGGACGGTCCGGAAAGAGATGCGAGGCGTGCTCCGTCCGAATGGGATGGCGTCGGTTCAGCGACCGATCCAACCCTGCTTTCCACTGCCTCTTCATCCTCTCCCAGGTCACGCAGGAGAATCTGGCGGTAACATTTGCTCCGCCAGATATCCTGTCTCACCCATTTGATCTTGGCAGACAGGCGCCCTGCAGCCATGATGACGTTCTCGCGGGCCCGGGCGTGAAGAGGAGTGAGCACTTGCAAGTGTCGAGCATTTTGTAAAAGATCATCCAGTTGTTTTTGTGACATCGTGAGCTTTTCGTTCCTCTCCCGAATCTTTTGGCTCATCAATTGCTGTCGCGCAGCAACAAATTCGGCGACAATGTCGGTGTCGATGCTGGGAGAATGGGGCTCTATATCCGTGGACTGGTGAGACTTCTGTGAAGATATCGAGCTTAACCGCTGACTCTTGCGGTATCGCTGTCCCTCATAGTTCGTGGCAATCATGCCCTTGGTGCGCACACCAGTGGTCCTGAAGGCAGCAGCATAGTTGAGATGTGCAAGCCAGTCATTCATCTCAGACTCAGAGCTCGCAAGGAATGTCTCTTCCAGCGCATTGTGTCGAACAAAGATAAAGGCATGTTTATGTTTTTTATAACTCGAGTCTAGAAGGGCGACTGTGTCACCAGTGGACACGATATTGTCCGGCTTGAATTCAGCAAGGGGTGGCTTGAAAACAAGAGTCCCCCGACGGCCGTTCTTGACATATGCCTCGTGCTGTGCCATGAGTGAGCGCACCCAGTTCACATTGCGGAAGAAGTAGAGCTGAGAGAATGTGAGGATCGCACCCCATTCCTGCCAGGGCGACCTGGCTTTCTTCTTCTTCGGGTCTTTCCGCCAAAGCAAGCCGACCTTGGCGACTTTGATATCTACCAGACCGGGATTCGAGTCGAGCGGACTATCTAAGCTAGCCGGCATGAAGGCGTCAGGACGAGAGCGCAGTGAGATAATCTGCAAGATCCCAGACTTGGTGAAGGCCTGGTGGAGAGCATCCATGTCCGGTGGCCCAGCGGTTCCAAAATGATTGTATGTATCTTCCAGATCCATGACATCCTTCAAGCTGGGGCGCAGTGATCCTAATTTGCCCTCTAGAATAAGCGAATAGGGATCGACAGGCTCCCGTGCAATCCGGGCCAGATTTTCGGAACTAGTGGTTTTGAATAGAGTGCGACGTGGTTTCGCCAAGTGACGGTCCGGCAGATTGGCGTCTTCGACACGAATGAACGGAGTGTATGAGATGTTCTCATAGAAACACTCAAGAATGTCCTCTGAGATTCCCTCACTGCGACTTATCTTGACATAGTCCGCCTTCTGCATCTTCCGTTTGTTGTTCTTATTGAAGACGTCGGTGTGAAGAATTAAAAGTGAAAATGCAATGAAGTATGCGTTATCCGGGGCTGTGAAGATGCCTGGGTTGCATTCATGATAGCGATCAGCAAATGCTTGCACGAAACGATCAATCTGTTGTGTTTCTTTCGGAAGCTCGACTTCCATCAAAAGCTTGCGAATTGACATGTCGAGTGGGTCACCGAAGTATGAGAAGGTTCTCATGTATTTTCGGAGACAAACCTTGTAGAATTCCTCGTCTGACTGAGCGAGGACACCAGCAATCATGCCACGAGGTATATTTTCTTCCAAACGAGTCAGATACGAAGCGGGTGTATCGCTTTCTTCCCGCTTTGGGATTGTTGGTAGCTCTTGCTTTGAGATAGGGGTGGAGGCGCCACCTATCGTGGGCGAACCGTGACGAGGAGAGGGCGGGGACGAGTTTTGTCTCAATCGCTGCGTGATATTGAACATATCACCGAAACTTTTGCGGCCACTGGTCGAAGTGGAGGTGCGCGCCGAAGACGCCAAATATGGCGGTATGGACAAGTCGTCGTGGTTCTCAGCCAGAGATCCCATGGTAGATGAACGTCCTCGGTTCTTTAAAGAGGGATTGGACCGAACTGAGCGAGCGGAATTCGTTGAATCATTTCGAAATAGCGGTGGTACATTTGAGGAGGCAGCGAGCCCGACGGTGGAACGAGATGGCGAGGGTAGTGGTGAGACATGGTCGTGTCCATCCGAAGCCTCAGATTTTGGAGTATCTGCTGGGGGGAACTTCGGTCGATTATCCACAACTCCAGTCGGGTGCGAGACTTTGGGGGGTAAAGGAAAGAGAGGGCTCCGGGTTCGTTTCAAGCGTGGCATACGGAATCGCTTTGCGGCAGTGGCACTTTGACCATCACGAGGGGAAATGCTTCGGGTGATTGTCTGGTCGCCGTAGCTCTGGTCTGACCGAGACGATTCGGAAAACCGGGGATCAATCACCGACGAGCGCTGAGAGTCGTTAGGCTGCGGGTTCCCCCGAAGTGAGTTTGTTGACAAGCGTCCAGGCTCTTCAGTAATGCTCTGGGACATGGCAAGTGTCGAGTCGGTAACCTGGGAGTCGGTTGATCCCTGGCCCCTTCTACGAGGCTTCGCGGGTTGTTCCATCGATCTCCGAGACATTTCCTCCATGGACTGTTTTCGCGACGATGGTCGAAAGCTGAGCCTGGATCTTTGTTTCACCGGCTGGTCGAGCTCGTGACTGGTCGGGGCGGTAGTAATAATTTTGGGAGCTTCATCCGGGAGACACAGTTAGTCAATCCATCCTTCTGAGCGTTTGGCGTTGTCAATGTTTCACTTACGAGGTAAGGAAGGGACCGGGGGAGTGTTCTGGCCCGCCTGGACGTAAGACTTGGATAGTTGGGGATCAGATGCATGCCGTAGTCTCATGAAGCTGAATCGCTTGTGGCGTAAGCTGGAACGGTCCGAGGATGGTCCTGCAAAGTCCGGCTGAGGTACCCCATGGTTTGAACCGTTGTCATCCGGTGCCTGAAGTTCTGGATTCACGCTTTCTGATAATCCGGATGCGCGAGGAATTGACTCGGATAGTCTAGGTTCGGTGGGGGGGTAGGGGCGAGGAAGGTGTTCACTGCGACGGGATTGGCCTTGAGGCTCTATGGTGCTCTGCCTCTTGCCATCGGCCACGAGACGCAGTCCTTTCCAATGCATGGTGAAGGACAGAGCGTTAGGACAGACCCAAGCTAATCCATGAAATGTAACACGTTAGATGGGAATTGAAATAGAAAGGACATCAGGTGGATCCAGACGCGGTTCTGGAGGTCAGCCCTCGCAAAAAGGGGAATGCCGGAAAGGGAAACGTTCTAGATTTCTTTCTGCCGCCACGCGTATTTTCTTTTTTTATTTTGTTTCACACACAAAAATAGATAGAATCAAAAAAAGATAGAAGAGAAGGGAAATAAAAATGACTAGAGGGGCAAGGCAGACAAGTTCGAATCTAGGTCTGAGCGTCGGGTAATTGACCGGGTTTAAGTATACAGATGGAAAGGATTGATTTTGATGCTTATTATAGATAGTATAGTTTCTATTTAAACTATACAGATCAAGTAGACTAAATACCTAGGTAGATGTTTAAATAATAGTCAAATCAGTATATTCCTATGATAACGTTGGAAGTATACCAAGTACCGAGTATATTGAATGGCCACTGACGTAGAACAAAAATAGCCAAGGACTGCATGTCATCTACTTTTCTCTCAATGGAGAATTTTCTTTTTGCCTTCTACTTTTTGATGTCACAATTTGACTTGATAGCACATGTGGACTATATCATCGTTATCTACCCCCGTTTGTCCCCGCCTTTCATTTTCTCCGCATCCGTACACTCTCGATTATCCCTGTGAACTTATTCCGAGGACTGAAGACACCTCCCCCAACTCACCTCCCTTCAGAACGGGTTACTGCGACTCGGCATGCGTGTTTTTTCTCCCATATTGGTCGCGTCGACCTTGATCCCTCTTATCTCCGCCGTCCCCGCTGGTTCAAGCATCACCCCACCGCCACCCTTGCAGCCTTCCCACTTCACTCATTCTAGTCCACGCCCATGGGCTCGACTCCGCGACTGGATAATTGGCTCGATATGGGATATTGATCACAAACACCACTCTTCAAAACATTCCTCGCCACCATCCAATATTCACGATCGGTATGGCAGTGATGTCGTCCTCCGCTTTCATTTGCGCCAGCCGGACGAGGCAGAAGCATTGGCTTCCGCCTCGCAGGTGCTGTTTTTGGACATTTGGGCTATAACCTCGAAATTTGTAGATATCAGACTTGCAGATGATATGGTGAGTTTTTATTCTGAACGCTTTATGATCCTTTCGCTAATTATTCCATAGATCCCTTCCTTGCTGGACCTATTACCTTTAACACTCCGCACCTCCTACACTCCCCTCATGGACAACCTCGCCGATGAAATATACGCTTCTTACCCTTCCCGTCACCGTAGCGACTCAGACTTCAGATCGGGACTTGCGTCGGCTGAGCTGAAGACGATATCGAACGGCGACCTATTCTTCCAAGAATACCAGCCGCTCTCGGTCATCACGCAATGGATGCGCTTGATGGCATCAATGTTCTCCTCTCACGTACGGATGACCAGCGTGGGAGTCTCTTACGAGGGTCGCGATATCCCAGCATTGCGACTCGGTACCTCTCACAACACAGAAACCACATCGGGTCCCCGGAAGACAATCCTTATTGTCGGCGGTAGTCATGCCAGGGAATGGATCAGTACCTCCACTGTAACATATGTCGCATACAGTCTCATCACTCATTATGGCTATTCACCCGCCGTAACACGGTTGCTGCACGAATACGACTGGGTCTTAATTCCAACTATCAATCCCGACGGATACGTGTACTCATGGGAGTCAGACCGTCTATGGCGCAAGAACCGCCAGCCAACGGGTCTTCCACTATGCCCGGGTGTCGACCTAGACCGCGCCTGGGACTACGAGTGGGACGGCGAGTCGACTCGCTCGAACCCGTGTTCAGAGAACTACGCCGGCGCAGAGCCATTCGAGGCACTTGAATCGCAGCGTTTGGCGCAGTGGGCCCAAAATCAGACGGCGCACTCCGGAGCTGAGATCGTAGGCTTCATCGACTTACACTCCTACTCCCAGCAGATTCTATACCCTTACTCATACTCCTGCTCATCCGTGCCTCCCACCCTCGAGAGTCTCGAGGAGCTAGCGTTGGGTCTAGGCCAAGGCAATCCGTCAGACATCCCATGAATCGTATGACGTTACCTCTGCGTGCGAGGGGATCCTCACTCAAGGTGCAGCTGCTGGGATTACCTCGGGCGGCAGCGCGTTGGATTGGTTCTACCATAAGCTTCACGCCAGGTTCTCGTACCAGATCAAGCTCCGCGACCGCGGTAGTTACGGATTCCTTTTGCCTTCGGAGCACATCGTTCCCACGGGCAAGGAGATTTTCCGTGCTTTATTGACATTCGGCAAGTTTGTCTGGGGCGAGGAGGCGTCGGATATCAGCTTTGAGGATATGACGGGCGATCAGATACCTCTAACTGACAACCTGTAGGCTTTGTCCTCTTTTGATGATTGCATGTTCACTTTACAAGCGTATCTCCCTCTTTAATTGCGGTATTTCTGGTGTTACAAGGTCTTTGTACAGTATGTTGGCTATTTGAGCCTAAGAATGTAAAGAATGTAATCCAGACATCTTTCAATGTACGTGTGTAGCCTTGAATGCGACATGAATTCAAGAACATAGCCACCTTTTTTCCCCCTATAGGTTAGGAGACTAGGGCCAGAATGGGCATCTTGACTTTGGATGCACCTAGGAGATGTAATATATAGGGATTTGCTAAATTGACATCGGACTAGCATCCATCTGGCTAAGAAGCTCTTCCAGACTAAGCTGAATAACATGTGCAATACCCTGTACATACCTAGGTAGCATGCGGACAATAGGTATATTACTTTCTAGCTTAAGCCCCTGAATATGATTTTAGCCGCAATTTTACCTTAAAAACGCCACATACCGCGAAATAAGGGAGGAGACAGGCTTCTCGAAAATTTGGCTTTGCATGACCCTACAGGCCTAAGTTCCCAACGGTTACACATGTCTACTGTAGTTTCACAAGACCCTGGTATACATCATTCAACACGTAGGTGCTTCTCATGGTGGCCTATGAATCTTTTTCTTCTTCTTCTTCTTCTTCTTCTTCTTCTTTTTTGGAGAATGATAGACAGCATTTCTGAGGAGTTGCGATCCGATGGCGGTTACACAAATCTACTGTAGGGTTTCACAAGGCTTTACCACACATGATCTAACATATAGGATGGGTCTTCTTATATTGACCAACGTATCTTTTTTTCCTGACTTTCTCACTCGCATCTCTTCAGACTATTTTGATCCCTTTGGATCAAGAAAGCACCATGTCTGAAGGACCAATAATCTCGAATCCTACTCTGAAGCAAGACTATTCAGATATCGTCAACCACTTTTTGTCAAAACAGCCGTTCGCACTGTTTCCTATGACGGATAAGGCCATCGAAGATACTGTTCTGAGTCGCTGTTTAAGCCACAATATCCCTGAGAAAAAGGCACAAATGCTAGCATCTCACGGTACGGCAGCAGCAAAACAATTCTACCCATTGCATCCAGCAGAGATCCAAAAGCTTATTGCTCTATACACCGCCTACTTTGGAGCAATTGACGATCTAGGGGAGGACTTCATAGAAGGACTTCGGAAATTTGGTCACGACATGCTTCGGAACGCTGTACAGACAGAAATCCTGCACGACTATGCAGACCTTCTTGGAGAATTTGGTGACTTCTATTGCGACTTTTGCTCGAACAAGATAGTGACTGGTACAATCAGTTTCATCGATGCCTGTGTTATGGAATTCGAGTCGGCCCATAATTTCCAAAAGTTGGGCACGGCACCAGGATTCCCCGATTACTTCCGTGTCATGACAGGGCTTGGAGAGCCTTACACCTATTTCATTCTCATAGAGGATCTGGTTTCAAAAGAGAACCTGGAACTATTCATACAGGCGGTACCAGATATCATATTCTTCACGGATTCGGTGAATGATCTTCTTTCTTTTTATAAATAATCGCTTGTTGGAGATAAAAGGGGGAATCTTGTTCATCTTCGAGCTGCTAAGGATGGCGTGACGGTCAAGGATGTTCTCTGTTCATTGTCTTTTGAAGCGATGCGCCCAGAACATACGATCGACTGTTGCTGATGATGAGATGTTATTCTCCGTAGTTGACGCGTATCTCAAAGGATGTATTGGTTTCCATGTCAGCAAATACCGCTACAGGTTGAGTGAACTGGATATGCCAATTTTGGACGTTGGAAAGAGCGGGACATAACCATGATTTTCAGCACTTGGTCTACTATCCATATACACTTCAATGCAGCGGCTTGGTTCCTGAACTGCACCAGCTTCATATCACAACAACATCCATCTCTCAGGGTTGACGTTCAAGAAATAGCTCTCCAGGCAGGGTTTTTGTATCAAATCATCATTTGAAGTTGTCTCTTAGGTATAACCTATTTCCCAGTCCGCACCCCTATAACACCATACATAATGAAATTTGTCGAATACCAACCGTCAAATACATGGTCAAGACAGGGCAAAATACATACCCATAAATCATCTGACTGATGGTACCAACCATACCATACAAAAGTCCATCCGGGGGTTTCTATAAACCGGGATACGGTGGTTATACGGTAGTAATACCGCAATTGGTACATATGTAGTAGAAAAATCATTTCTCATAATCGAAATATGTAAAGATAAAGCAAGATATTAGTGACCTGTCGATGGAGAAAAGAACAGCACAAAAAGCACTGAATTTCCACAGCAGGATATATAGCTCTAGGACCCGCATCAGAAAAGCCAGGAGACAAAAGTCCGGTAGAACCAGCCAGCATTGTTGTGCTTCTCCGTCTCAGCCTCCTTCCTGGCGAGATACAGCGCCTCCTCGCGATCAATCTCGTCCTTTCCGGTGAAGAGATCAGCTGTCATGGGGTCAACACCCTTGCAGCCGGTCGCGAACTTGTATCCAAAGATCATAATGAGGTATAGAGGGATACCGAGATAAGCGGTGATGAAGTTCTTGTAGTCGAAGTTTCCGTATGTTTTGGGGTTGTGGATGAAGACGTCGAAATTCTTAGTGAAAGCGATGAGGATGCAGAATCCCAGAGCGAAGTATGAGCCTGCAACGCCGAGGGGAGCCTTGTAAGCCAGGCTTTCCTCGGGAACACCCTGGGCTTTGCGCGCGCGAACGAAGTAGATGTGGGTGACCAGGATCGAGATCCAGGTGAGGAGACCGAAGATGGTGACCAGGTTCACGAAGTACTTGAACACGGTTTTGGAGTCGCTGCTGACGTTCATGTAGCCCAGCAACGCAATTATGGATGAGATAGCCAGTGCTGGGACGGGGACGCCGCGACGGTCGGTGCGGGCGAAGATCTTGGGGGCTTTTCCTTCGCGGGCCAGGCCGTAGATCGTACGGGTGGCGATGTACAGATCGGAGTTGGCTGCTGAGAAGACGAAGAGTAGGATACAGGCGTTCAGGATGTGGGGCAGGATCGGGATGGCGGCCAGCTCGATGGCGACCACGAAGGGTGAAGCTGCGGCTGAGCCCTTCTTCTTGTTGTCGTCTGAAAGGGCGAAGAGAAGCTTCGGGGAGTTGTATGGAACAAGTGTACCAACGAGAAGTACGCTTGTCACATAGAACACCAGGATTCGGTAGAAGGTCAGTTTGATGGCGCGAGGGATGGTCTTGCGGGGGTTCTGTGCCTCGCCGACCGTCACTCCGACTAGCTCAGTGCCCAGGTAGGCGAATGTTGCGGAGACCATTGTGGACCAGAAAGCCAAGAATCGACCAGGTGCTCCATCCATCTTATAGGTGTTGAAAGCACCTGGCTCCTTCCAGTAGCGGAAACCCTTACGGTCATGGTCCGGTCCACCACCAAGCATGAGAATGAAGGACATGAGGATGATGCCGAGAATAACAATGACTTTGAAGGAGGACAGCCAGAACTCAAATTCACCGAAGAACTTCACACCGAAGTAATTGATGGCGACGACAATTACCAGGAAGATGGTAATCCATACTCCAGCGTTGACCTTCTCTGCAGGTATCCAGTATGATATAACCATTGCACCGGCAGTCATTTGGTTTGGTGATAGAATGATATACTTGAACCAGTACCTGGAGTCGGGTTAGCGAGATCATCTCGAAGGAAATGGGTGGTACATACGTCCAGCCGAGGGTGAAGCCAAGCGCAGGATCAACGAATCGGACGGCGTAACCAGTGAAACCAGAGGGCAATGGCAGCCAAGCCGCCATTTCTCCAAGAGCACACATGACCAGGAAAACGATAAAGCCAACCCAAGCATAAGAAATGAGGATTGCACCGGGCTATCTAAGTCAGTACGAAGGTTTTGAGGTCAATTTCGGTGTAGATACTCACGCCAGCCCTGCATGAAATTGAGTTAGTCTTTGATTTTAGAATAAAACGCTTAGGGAAACCGATTCTCACTTACTTTGCAAGAGCTTCTCCCGTTCCAATGATCAAACCAGTACCAATAGCACCACCGATGGCTGTTCACTGTCAGCGCATGCTTGCCCGTCCGACTCAGCACTGCACCTACCAATCATAGTAATATGTCTTGCCTTGAGCGCACGGTGCAGCTCGACATGGTTCGGGTCGTTCAGACCACTCTGACCTTGCTCAATCTTGCCATCCTCACTGAACTCCCTCGCGACGGTGTGGTCCGGGTATTCCTCGGCCTTGATAGACTTCTCCATTGTGTATTCGACGCGCAGAGGATTGCGCTGACAATGGAAAAAGCCCGGGTAAGTGAAAAAAAAGTAACCCCAGATGTAAGACCAGGAAGACGAGGGGGGAAAGGAATTAAATGGAAAGACGAGCGGAAAGTACACAGCCCTGAAGATAAGCAGGGAAAAAAGCAAATAACAGGCTGAGTGAGCCATGGAGGGAAAACACAATTAAATAAGATAAATAAGATACGAGAGACCTTAGACCTTGGGACTTGTCTACATAGCCAAGCCTTTTTCATTTTACGGGGTTAAATTACCCAAACACCTCAGCCCACACCTGCACAGTCACTTACTTGGCTTAGAATCCATCCCGAAGGGTTTTCACCCGTGATCTGACGGTTTGACCGTTTCCGGTTCGCGAGGAGAACTAGTATAATAGGTAGGGCTGTGCTCGTGGAATAGGGCTATGTTTTTCGTGTCTAATTTGTGTCTAATGAGGCTGTAGATCTCTCAATACAGGGATATCCTCAACATCCATAGATGATGCAGGTGATTACTGTATACGGTACTTCTGTATCAGCTATGTCCGATTCATGGCAAAGCTTGATACCCAGGTACATGTATGTAACAGATACTACCTTGGTGCTCCAGGGGACACAGCAAAGCGGAGACATTGGCGCCAAGATTGGAGATTTATGGGCTCTGCGGGGAGCGCTTTCCACCGGCATTCGTCGGAAAAATTTTAGGTTGCCCCATTCCCCCAGATTTTCGCTGCGATGGAGCTTTTGCAGTTTACACTTGTTACATGTATTTACGGAGAATATTAGAATAATAAACGTTTCACTACACAGTCAACGTCGATCGAAAAAGCAAGAAACAAAAAAGTAATCCCCCGGGCAAACCCATATCTTTGACTCAGCCACCCGACTGTTAGCCCCATTCGCGAAAAGTGTCCTTATCAGGCCTGACCCCGAAGCAGGACAACCATCCAATGCCAAGACGGAATTCCACCTTGGCCCGTGAACGCTAAGCTTAACCCGGGCGAGATGTGCCTGTTTGGAATCTGGGCATTTGAGCCAAGACAGTTCGCGTATGGTTCAGCCAATCCTTATCTCTCTTGGCGGGTGCGCGCGTGGCCTGGTCGTATCAAGGTCAATCTATGGGAGGGGCTTATGCGGGATATTATTCTGGAAGGAATTGGGATTGTGGCGAGGATCTAGTAGAATTGGCCTGGGGTTGCCCAAGTGGCTTCGGCGTCAAGGTTGAGCGAACAAAGATACATACGAGGCGGCAAGGCGTCCTCGATCTCTACTCCTGACCTACAAAATATATTCTGGGCATACTCCATCTGCTGAAGAGGTCGATATTCCCGGCTCCTTCGATTCTCTGTGTGTCAATAAGTTATCATGTGCTTGTGTGCTTATCTCGCGCTTGTTCCTAGGCTGCAACAGTGGAGACGCCGAGCCTAAATAGCAAGTTTTTGAATCCTTCGCGCCAATTTTTTGTACTTTCCTGTGCTCCGGTGAATGCCTAGTTCATCGCTCTGAGACAAGCTCCGATAGAGGAGATAAACACTAAGGCTGATATCTAAGTTGGAGTAGTGTCAGGAGGAAAGCCCGAGACAGCTCCGCTTGTTAGGGTTTCTGGCATCGGCAATTTGAACAATATGGAAAAGTAACGAGTTATCGATAGTGGGTACCTGAAGCAACATGAGACATTCTGGTTTTCCGGTGTGGACTCGGCTGCGGCTGATAATCATTCTCTTGATCTCACGGGCTCCTGAAGATACATCGCTTGTATTTCGGATCGGTGATCAACCGAAGGATGACGATTTCTGGATTAATGGCGCGGATATGGTGTCCCAATTCCGCCGTGTGAGGTCTCAGAGACCCGTCATCTGAAGTGGAAGGCCATACTATGGAGGTAGTGCGTCCAGCAATGTCATCCAAGCCCAGGCGAAGAAAGAATATAAAGGTATCCTGCATTCAGAGAGGCAGAATAGGCGGCAGCAAAAGATTTTCAGCGACATAACTTTTACGGTAGTTACACCAAGCTGGAAAGCGACAATATGATCGAGTCGGGGGCGGCTTAGGTATTCAGATAATACCAAAGACTGGAGTAAACAGAAAATCGCGCTTGCTGGACGTCCATCCAAGATAATCGAGCAAATTAAGCTCAATTTAGGTGATGGCGAGATGATCTAGAGCATGCATAGCTGACGTGGAAGACAATGGCCCCCAACCAACAAACGAATCCACAAGCCAATCGGGCTTTAGATGTGGTCACACCGACACAGAGAAGGAGGCTCTTTGTGGGAATCAGGCAGTATTCAGCCTCATGAAAATGCCCGAAGAAACGGAGCTACCGGTTAGATCGGTTATTGATTCGTCCAGGATCAAGGATCACAGATGCAGATTGCGACCCATAGCGCTTCGATGCATTGCCAGCAACGTGGCCTTGGAAAGGTGGAATAATGTTACCTCATAGAGAACCACATTGGGGGGTGTGTAGCCACTATATGCAGGTCTAGCGCAGTTGGCTCGAGGGAACAAATGGTTTGGCTGGGTGCTTCCTCTCGCATGTGAGAGTCAGCCGCTGGATTCAGCCTCGAGGAGCGATGCATATCCTGGGTTGGGTTTAGGGGTGAAATAGTGGCGGTGGGCCTATGTTGGTGCAGTTACGGGGACCAAATGGAGGGATGGCTCGCATGTACTTGGTCGACTTGACTAGGTGGCACCACTGAGCAGACATGCACAATGGAGACCCTTGTCGTTCAACATGTACAGTTGATGGTGTATGCAGTGATGGAGGGGAACTAAACCAGTCAACATCTCATAATATCCGCTGCCAATTCAAAGCTAGTGCAAGCTACCGTTATCAAACCAAGTTCCTGAGGGAAACACGTCCGAAGCTAGTACTTGGGAGACATTCTCAGCCTGTCGATGAAAGTCAACGTTACCAACATCCTGGATGGTGGAAATGTGATCAGGATGTTTAGGTGGGGGCCGTTTGGTCTGCAAATCCAAAGCTTTGAAAATGTGCTGTGGCTTGCATAAGTGCATGAGGGCAGCGATCAATGGAGGTCGTCTATTGGGTGGTGAACGCCGCAGCGGTTAGAAGTATTTTTATATTATTTATCGCGCTGATCGGAGAATTATGATTCGTGCAGTGAAGGTGGACTTTACTACCATTAGAATTATTAAACAGTAGCTAATTTGACTGTTTTCGATGTTAAGACTTGAAGACATGCGGGGGAATTAATTGTTGATTCCTCTGCCATCCCCTATATCAGGGCCTGGCGGCAGTCAAGGCATCTGGATTCTTCAACTTCCAGCTCTTCAACGAAAAGGAGGGGATTTCCCCTACTTTGTGTATCGATCTCAAATCCCAAATGGCCAACATCATGGGTGGAATGCGTCTCCCCCGCCCAACGGGCATCTATGTCCCCAATTCACCAAGAACCCTCACCAACGATATGATCTCTCCACCACTATCTCCAGAATTCAGCTTCGACTCCGAGACTGTCACACCATCCCTACTCCCAGCTCTAGAATACATCTCCAGCAAACTCCAACAAAGAATGATGCACGTCACCCTCCTCATCGGCCGCGGAAAGCCCTACCCGACCGGTCAACCCTCCGACCTAATGATCATCCCCATCCACACAATCGAGCCACAAGCATGGCGAGTACTCGAGCGCGCCATTGCTAAAGCCTCGAAAAAGTTCTCACTCGGCCCCAGCTGGACCGACGCCATCAGCCGCAGCCAGTATGAGCGCCAGGCAAACGATCACCTCGTCAAGCAGTCCATTCTCCAGAACGAAGTCATCTTCAGCCAGGAGGGTCTAACCCTCCTGAACATGGACCGCATCTATACCTTCAAGCGCCGCATGTGCATCCTCTCTACCCGCCCCTTTTCCCGCAACAACGAACAATCAATGTCATCCTGCATCCGGCTACTCCACCGCATCGTCGCAGATTTCTCCGGTCGCCCTTTCAGCAAAGCTTTCTTCCATCGCGTCTATGAGCAACTCGATGTCCCGGATGAGCAGCTCACTGCCGTCGCAGTTGCGTACAAGAATGTCCACAACCAGGATGCTATCATTCTTCCCGTTCAGGCTCCAGCTCCAGCTCCAAGCCCAGCTCCAGAGGCAGTCCCAGCCCTAGACCTAGCGCCAGTTGCGGCCAAGGTGGAGGCCGTTGTCCCAGCGAAAGCTACAACGAAGGCCCAACCCAAAGTCCAGGCAAAGGTTAAAGCGAAAGCCCAGCCCAAAGCCGAGAGAGTTATCTTGAAGCCCAAGGCCGATCCGATCCCTATCCGAGTGAAAGCCGAACGCCATCGCGAAGTGAAGAGATCGCCCATCCAGACCGTGCGTGGTCGGAGACAGCCTCCACCGTCGATGCGAGGGCATAATAAGCGTGGGCCCAAGACGCCTCTTTCTGCGTCGGATGTTACTCCCATCACGCGGAATGAGTGGAATATCCTTGTCAGCCAGGATATTCGTGTGCAACCTAAGGTTACTAAGTGGACTCCGTCGCCGACCGTGCTGGCCGCTGCTTGACCGTAATTTCTGGTTCGGTTGATGCATAAAACAACTCGCTGGTAGATCTATCACGAACCCCAAACCTTGTTGAGAGGTTTGAGCTCCTCACACAGCCTCACACTTGTTTGGGTTCGGTTGAGCTGGGCTATGAAGACACAGATGAGAATTACAGCTAGCCCGTGTTGCTAGTTTGTCTCTATGTCTTCCCCATATCTGGTTCCCCCCAATGCTGGACCTTTATAGGCCATTTTGGTGAAGAACAGACTTGTCCAGTCTTGACACACCGGGTGCGAAAGGAAGGCCCCTGTATCTGTCTGGACTAGCGCCAAGAACTCCTTGGCTCCCTAATGATGATGTGATAATGATTTTAAAGCTTTTCAGGGCGAAAATTGGCCGGAAATTTCAATCGTTGTGAAATTCAATTCACACAGTGTATATATATGTAGTTCACTCTTGGAAGACAGATGTATCCACTCAAATTCCTTTAATCAACGAATAAGACAATGCCCCAATATCCATGTAGAATCTCAACAAGCCAGCCAACAAACCCGAAAATAATCAAATCATCCACAGCCCTATATCAAAAAGCTTAGATGAATCGGCATCCTCTACGGTTAGTTCGCCGAGCGGCCATAGCATGGCCCCGCTTAAGCTCGGCGACCGGCGAACTAAGACAGACCACCCAATCACAGACACGGGAAACGATTTATAGTGGGTGTCGAATATTAGAATTAAGCTATTGGAGCTATTGACACATCGGAATGTAAGTTGTGAATAATGGAGGACGTTTCCTATCGGCATCGGAACTCGCCGTTATTCCATCCATTCAACATAGTACACCACATCGTGGGCATTTTGGATAGGACGTGAGCATTCATGGCATTTTGCTCCAAGATTCAGACAAAATTCCGATGCAGAATCATGCATCTACACATGAAGACAAAGTTGCCCGAAAGCAATAGCACATGGATGGATGTATGCAAGGCTTGGCAGAATCGGGACTTGGCGGGGTTATCTAAAGTTTAAGAGCTGCAGGGCTGCGTATAATAACCCCTCTTCTGTCTTTTAAAATCTTCGTTTAAAGAATTGAACATCATCTCTCCAAAATTTAGATATTCTTACTTATATCTTACAGAAATTCGATAAGAAAATCCACCATGTCGGGGTTCAATGAGCTCGCAGATACAGACTTGCGCAGTCTAGACAGCGACCGCAAATGGAGCCTGCAACCTCTTCTTCGCAGTGCGGAGCGCTCGCATAGCAAGATGCCCGGTATTAGGAAGATTCCCCTTCGCGCCATTGGAATTATTGCCTTTATTGCGATGTTGAATATCATAGTTTGGGTGGCGGCGGCTATTGTGCTCGTATGTTTTGATATGTTGTGTGACATTGGATTGATTCGCTAATTCTTCTATAGAGTTACCATCCGTGAGTCTTCATTGGATACATATATATATATATCCATTACATGGCTTAAAGGTTATTCCACATACTAATTGCATGGAATACAGTTCGCTGGTCTCTACAGCTGCCCTAGCCTATTCTCTTGGATTGAGACATGCATTCGATGCAGACCACATTTCTGTATGTCGACCCCAGCTAGGAAACAGACAAAATGATTAACAATGCCGTCTACAGGCTATCGATCTAATGACCAGAAGACTCCTGGCAACGGGTCAAAAGCCCGTTACCGTGGGCACGTTCTTCTCGCTTGGCCACTCAACGTGAGCACGGTCACCTCATTCCATATCAAATCAAAGCTAACACGGCCCAGCATCGTGATAATTACATCTATTGTCGTCGCAGCCACAGCAGCAGCGGTCTCAGAACGCTTCGACAGCTTCAGCACGGTGGGTGGAATCATTGGTACCTCCGTCAGCGCCGCGTTCCTGATCCTGCTTGGTCTTATGAATGCGTACATCCTATATAAACTCGTGAAGCAGATGGAAAAGGTCTTCAATCTCCCCGAGGGCCATGAAGATGAGGCGTGGAAGATTGAGGGTGGAGGAATCCTTTTCTCGGTCTTGAAGAAAATGTTCAAGTTGATTGACCGGTATGTTCTCTGGTCAGGCTATTGATGATCCGCATTATCTGACAAATGTGCGTATTCTTCTCTAGGCCATGGAAGATGTATCCCCTCGGAATTCTGTTCGGTCTTGGATTCGACACCTCCTCCGAGATCGCTCTACTTGGAATCTCGTCCATCGAAGCAGCGAAGGGAACATCCTTCTGGGTGATTCTCATTCTCCCGGCTCTGTTCACAGGTTAGTATCCTCATATGCGGGCCGGTAAATACCCTCATTCAGCTCTGACTAACGGTCCCAGCCGGTATGTGTCTCCTCGACACAATTGACGGAGCCCTGATGTTCTCCCTCTACATCCAACCAGCGGCCAACTTCCTCCCGCAAAAGCCAACAAGCAACGTCTCAGACACCTCATCAACAGCCACCGATCCAGACGAGCTCCCACAATTACAAAACAACCACCGTGACCCAGTCGCATTCCTATACTACTCAATCGTGCTGACCACGCTAACCGTTATCGTGGCGATTGTGATTGGCATAATCCAGCTGCTCACTCTTATCCTGAACGTTACGGATGCCAAAGGCAAATTCTGGGACGGCGTGCAGGTTGCTGGTGACTACTACGATGCTATTGGCGGTGGTATTTGTGGTTGCTTTATTGTCTTTGGTCTGCTGAGCGTTCTAGTCTACAAACCATGGCGCAGATGGATGGACCAGCGACATGGGAAGCATGTCGCCAATGATGTGGAGAGGTATACTGATGACGATGTTTCTCGTGGCGATGCTCCTGGCTACGGTGCCATTGTGACTGAGACGGGTCGAACTCAGCACGAGGGTACACCTACTGAGGCCGCTGGGAAGGGGGCTGCGTCTCGGGTTGCTGTTAAGGAGACTGGTGAGACGAGACTTGAAGACCACATCGTGTAGGTGTTGCTACATTCTAGCTAGTATAATCTGATTGCTATTCTCGAAATGAAGTATTCTTAATATCCATATATCTCCATCGCGTAGGCTCTACGCGTCTATGCACCCAAGTAAGCATCTTCCAGGGCCCGTAGGAAAACTACGACCTGAAAGTTACGCGTGTCTCTATGGGTTCACCCGCGTTCCTTCCCATTTTGTCAGGACTCGTCGCCGACCCCAGTACTTTCCTGTCCTTAAGCCACTGGAAAAATATAAATACCCCCTCCCCCCCAGGTTCTCTCTTCTTTTTTCTTTCTCCTCCACATCTCTTCTATTTTCTGAGACCCCACCTCCACTTTTCAAGGTCCCACCTTCCACCACGGTCACCTTCCACCACGGTCACCTTCCACCATGACCCCATCCACCATGGACCTTCCTTCTTTGTTATACCCCTAGGACTTTCCATCATGACCCTACCCAACATGGACCTCGGACCTTGGCCCCATCCACCTTGGACTTTCCATCTCTACTATACATCCGGACATTCCGTCATGGTCATCTTCCACCATGACCCCATCCACCATGGACCTTCCGTCTTGGTCATGTCTCGGACCTTCCACCATGGGCCTTCCATCTTGGTCATGACTCGGACCTTCCACCATGGTCACCTTCCATCATGATAACATCCACCGTGACCACTGTCCACAACGGTCACCTCCTAAGCTACTGTGACGAGCACTTCCACAGTTGCGTTCGACCTCCATGCAAGGTGAGAACTCTAGCATTATCAACCCCAACGGTTCTTTTGGCTCGCAATGAGTGGAAGACCTCACCAGTCCAGCGGCTGATGCAGGGAAACTGTTTCTCCTCTGCTTTTTAGGGATCCATCCAGTCAACCATCGATCTCGATCATCCACCTCAATCAATTATCCATTTCAATCAACCAACCCACTTCAACAACCCACTTCCAGTCTGGCCGTGGCGGGCTTCGGCTTCAGGACAATCGGCAGGCTGGTCAACCATCGATTTCAATCAACCACTTCAACAAACCACCTCGATCAACCACATCCAGTCTGACCGTGGCGGGCTTCGGCTTCAGGACAATCGGCAGGCTGGTCAATCAATACACTTCAATTAATACACTTCGATCAACAATCAACCCAATTTAACCAACCACTCCAATCAACCACCTCGCATCCACGTCAACGAATCCACTTCAACAAACAACCCCGATCAAGCACTACAGCGAACCACATCCAGTCTGACCGTGGCGGGCTTCGGCTTCAGGACAATCGGCAGACTGGTCAAATAACTACTCAAATCAACCCACCTCACCCAACCCCCCTCGATCAATACCTCAATCAACCACTTCCAGCCTGACAGTGGCGGGCCTTTCGCCTTCAGAACAATTGGCAGGCTTGTCTGGTCGACCGTCCATGTCAACGAATCCACTTCAACAAACCACCTCGATCAACTATCCTATCCATTTCAATCCCACACCATAAGTTGCCTCGGGGCAAGCCAACAATCGGGCGTGGCTTCGGTAAAGCGACTCGGACGATAACAGCTTCTCGCCAGCTGTAAGAACACAATTATGGTCAATTCTCTTTTTGCCCTTATGTTCCCCTTCCCTTCAATCACCCCTCCCATCAATTACTATGTTCCCCATCAGCCCTCACGTTAATCCTCGCGCTCCAACCTGCAACCAAGTGGCTTCATCGATCTTCTTGCTCAGACTGCATCTTACCGGCGTTTACCTCACATCTCTTGCTAGCAACCATCGAAGCGTTGTATTCTCGTTCTGCTCTCAACGACATTGGCAATCAAAACATCGATACCTATGTCGGTCAAAACACCACTTTCAAACAACAAAACAAGAAGCCCAGGTCATAGCACCATTGCTTGTTCCAAAGCCCAGTGACTCATTTCACATATGGTCACTCTCTACATCTAAGGACGAAAAATCCAAACCACCAACCACTGCAGGACCTATATCTCCAGCCAAAGACTGAGAGTCAAGTCTTCTACACATCTATTGCTGGCTCGGCTGGTATTGCAGGATGCACACAAAATTGCGCTGTCCAGGATCCATATATTTGTGCAACAGATTAGACGCGGGGTTGCTTCTTTCCATAAGTTTGAGCTTTTTTCCGATGAATCATTTCATGTATCATACCTCCATAGCATTCTCGTCCTGTTGGACCACTTTGTATAAAGCGAATCAATGAGGAACTTTCGTGGTCATCTTTCAAGTTCATCTTGTAGTCTTCCAAGCAACTGACCAATGTCAACTTCTGGCTTGTTCCGATATTATTTCTGTTTTATTACGGTGTACTGCGTACAAAAGTGGCACTTCACTTTTAAGCTTTATACAGTTCTTGGTGCCTTAGGCGCCACAGTGACGTCAATCCCATCCTAAATCAACGTCTCAGCACAACTTCGACAAAATAAGATAAGATCTCTGCATAAGCACGCCTGTATAAAATTGCATTTGCGGCTTTCTCACTTGCTCGGCTTTCTCATTTGCTCGGCCCGAAATCAATGTTTGTCTCAAAGGACCAATCCCAGCAAAAGAATGAGCACGCTCCTTGAAGGACGTGTATGACGATTGCATAATACAGATCTATCATATACGCATCTTCCTGAGTTATCAACAATCATGATCGCACAGCCGGACTCTTCCCTAAAGGACAAGACCGAGCATGTCTCCATCTTCTCATCCCAACCACCCATCTTCATTTTGCCAATGCATCTCTCCCTGGAGGAGCTAGACGAGGTTGAAGGCCGGTTGATAGACTATGGTGGGAGATTGACGTACGACATTGCCGAAGCTAGCCTCGTTCTGGGGAAAGTCGGGCGCGCGAAGCGCGCAGCGCTAGAACTACGCACCCGCGGTGTTTGGACAGAGGAGCTCATACCCAGCTCAGCTTCGAAATCAACTGGTGGTGCCGAGCCTCCTGTCAAGCGCAGGCGTACAGCTCAGTACGATGGGACCAAGGATGTCCCAGTTGAAATTATCGATCTCAGTACTGGGTCTGAAGGCGAGGGTGGAACTACAAATCAGCATGACTCTTCAAAGCACCCGATTCCAGAGAAAGAGGCAAAGGCAATAAAGGATTCAATCACAGTCTTGAAGCTCGAGTGGCTGGATACCTCTATCACATCCGGCAAATGTGTATCTCAGGATTCATTCGTTGTCTACCGTGGGCGAAAGATCCCTTCACCTCCTCCTACGACAGGGGCAGAAAATAAGCAAAACCTCCTACAAAAATCAAACCAAATCATCGAGCGTGCAAAGCAGGATGCTGGTTTACCAACACCACGAACTCCCCCCTCCGGACCACATCCACGCACGGCGCTCAAGAGAACCCCCTGACGGATCTTCGCAGCGCCCCCGACCAACGCTGTATCGACAGACGACATCCGAACACGAAAAGGAAGTTGAAAACGCACCCTCACAACCAGACTGGGTCCGTGACCATGTCATATACGCATGTCTACGCTCAGCACCTCTACATCCTCCCAACGAAGACTTTATCTCGCAACTTGTGAAAATCAGACGAATCCGCGAACTCACCCTCGACGAGATCGGTGTGCGCGCATATAGCACCTCCATCGCAGCATTGGCAGCATACCCACATCCCATCCAGCAACCGAGCGAGATCCTCGCTTTACCAGGGTGCAATGCCAAGATCGCAGACTTATTCTTTCAATTCCAGCAACACGGCGGCTGCGAACATACCGACGACGACGGGAACGTCGCCGCTGCCGAAGCACTGGAGACGGACCCCATGCTCCGTGTTCTGAACTCATTCTACCAGATCTGGGGTGTTGGTGCGAAGACAGCGCGCGACTTCTACCAGCGTGGATGGCGGGATCTGGATGATATCGTTGAGCATGGGTGGGATACGCTTTCGCGCGTGCAGCAGATTGGAGTTAAATTCTACGAGGAGTTCCTGGAGGGTGTTTCCCGTGCTGAGAGCGAGAGGATTGCTGCTGTTATTCGGGACCATGCTGGTCGGGTTCGGGGGGAAGAGGGAAATGGGATTGAGTGTGTGATTGTTGGTGGATATCGTCGTGGGAAGGAACTTAGTGGTGATGTTGACATTGTGGTGAGTCATCGTGATGATGCGGTGACTCGGAATCTAGTTGTTGATGTTGTTGCGAGTCTCGAGGCGGAACACTATATCACCCATACGCTTGCGCTGCATTTGACTTCTTCGCTGCGGGAGCAGCAGACATTGCCTTTTGATGGAGATGATAGGAGGAAATTTGATACGTTGGATAAGGCGTTGGTTGTCTGGCAAGATCCGCATTTCGACGACACCACTCCTGGACATAATGAACATCAGGGGAAAAAGAAGAATCCAAATATCCATCGCCGTGTCGATATCATTATATCGCCCTGGCGAACGGTCGGATGTGCGGTGCTCGGCTGGTCTGGCGATATGACTTTCGAGCGAGATCTACGGCGGTATGCGAAGAAGGCACGCTCATTGAAGTTTGATTCGAGTGGTGTCAGAGACCGAACTAGTGGGAGACAGGTTGACCTGGAACGTGACGGAGAGACCTGGGAGGAGAGGGAGAAACTTGTGATGGAAGGACTGGGGATAGGCTGGAGACCGCCAGAAGAACGGTGCTCGAGATAGAAACTGATCAGGTCTCGAGAGGAAGAGGTATATTGTTGGATATATGGACTGCCCAGAAGATATCGGATGTAAAAACATGCATACATTAGCGATGTGTATTAAACGCCATCTCACATACTATTTCAAAGGGATCCATAAAAGAGAAGTACGCTAAAGTGGCCAGATGTCTCCAATCAACCTTGGGAAAGATTCAAGTATACAGAAGGGCCAGCAGGCCAGGCTCGACGTCTACACATGTAATCTACAGTGTCAAAAGAATTGGAAAAGGAATGTTACTGAATCATGTCATGTTCAAGTTTTGCAACTTTGAAGACTCAGCTACAACCACATCAGGTAAACAAGAAAAAAGCAATATGTCACAGCCTCCACACCAATCGCATGGCTAAAGGACGACCCAGAGAAAAAGGAAACAAGCATAAGGTACACAAAGATACAATCTACCAACCTTCGGTGGTATGGATGCATACAAAGAGAAAGAGCACAAACCGCCACAGCAAATGCACAATGCATAATCAGCCCATAGCGAATCAATCATCACGCCATAGGCCTAGAGCTAGCCATCTCACCATACCGCCCACGGCTCCGGGTAGTATCGTAAGCATTGAGAACACGCATCTGGCCGCCATCGTCGGCCTGTGAGAAGGCATATCCGCGCTGCTTGCGCATGCGCTGGACCTGGCGAACCTTGCGGATGGCTTTTTGGAACTGCTCCATGCGTGGACGGTAATCTTGGACATTGTATTTCTGGATTTCCTGGACGTGGTGGTATTGTTGTGGGTAGTACATGCGCTTGGCGTACTTCCAGGCATAATCACGTAGGAGACATATACAGGGTAGGACGATGGCCATCAGGTAGAAGATGGGGGACTTGAAGAGGACGGGGATGGTGCCGTAGTATTCACGTGAGAAGCCCAACGCCGGGGCAGCGTAACCATATGCCGGGAGGAAGATGAGCCATAGGGCCATTGATCCTGGGATGGCAATGAAGGTGTACTTGGTCCAGACGTTGGTAATCAGAGCGGCTTTGCCGAGCACGGTGCCTAACACGGCGGTGTACAGAGATTCACCCCAGACCCAGTGGCCGGCGACGTGGCCGTTTTCCATAGGAAGGTCCCAGTAGTAGAGCAGCTCAGAGACAATGTAAAGGATGAGAGAGTGGAAGAATCCATTCAGAATCCAAGCCCAAAAGCTGTGCTTCTTGAAGAAGATGCCTCTCTGGCCCAGCTGGTACAGCTGTGGATAGCGGTCGAGCAATCGGGCGGAGATGAACTGGTCAAAGATTCCCATCGCGAATGGAGGTAGAACAGTGAAGAGCACGTTATAGAAGGAGAGCGTCCAAGATTCGTAGATAACCTCTCCAGAAAATGCGTTTTGGAAAGAATACTGTAACAGGTCAGATACCACTCCGAATAATCCGTCAAGGTCAAACTTACCCAGAATTGAGTCATGTACAGCGTAATGTTCTTATAGTACGAATATAGAATGACTCGACTGATGCGAGAATAGCTCCATGCTCCGTGAACCAGAAGCAATTTCCGAAGGAACCTGAACTGGCCAATTGCGACATCAGCAGATCGTGCGGCTTGAAGACCTTCGACACCGCTGATGCCGACGCCGACATGAGCGGCCTGAATCATGGACACATCATTGGCACCGTCGCCAATAGCCAAGAGGAGAGCCTTCTTGTGGCGCTTGACAAGCTTGACGACCAAAGCCTTTTGAAGGGGAGAGACACGACTAGCAGAAATGTTAGAACAAAAAAATAAATCCTCCAAGATTCAATGTCACTTACCAGCAAACAACGGCTTTGCAAATGACAGCCAGATCCAAGAACAGCTTCTCCATATCTTTCTCCAAAGCAAAAGTCAACGATCGGCCGTCAATCACCAAAGCCAAAGGTTCGGAGTCTCCAGCGGAAATCTGGCTCTGAACGGCATCCATTTTCTTTTGCAGGCTGTCACGAGTGGCTTCTGACGTTTCCTCGTTGATGATGAGAAGCGTCATGTCTTCCGAGATGAGTTTGCAGGACATGCCAATGTTGATTGCAGTCTCCTGTCGGTCACCAGTCAAGACCCAAATCTTGATGCCTGCAGTCTGGAGGGTGTGGATAGTATCCGGAACACCATCCTGCAAGCGATCCTCAATAGCCGTGGCGCCAAGAAGATAGAAATCCTTTTCAATCAGCTCGGCCGCTTTGTCCAGTTCATCAGCACGATTGCCGTCGACAGTGGTCGAAGCCTTGTCATAGATCTGGTGCCATTGCTGGAACTCGTTTTCTGGGACTTCCCGCATAGCCAGACACAACGTCCGTAGACCATCCGAGGCATACTCCTCCAGGTGCTGGAGAGTTGCTTCCACGGTAGGGTTATCGGGATGCAACCGCTCGAGAATGACCGTATCAGCACCCTTACAGTAGACGCGGACCTTTCCATCAGGACACCGGAAGATAGTGGACATTCGTTTTCTAGTAGAGTTGAACTCGCAGACTGCTAGCAGTTCATATTCAAGCTCCTGCCCACCAACCTCAAAGATCACCGATCTCGGTCTTCGGTTGGTGAATCGGAAACCCAGCGAGGCGGCTCCGTCCACCAAGGCTCCCTCGTCGGGCGATGCTGCTTGGTACTTGATCACATTCGGGTCCTCGCTATTTCGCTCAGGAATAACAGTGTGACAGGTGGCAAGGAGAGTGAGGAATTCGCGAATAGCGTTCTGGCTTGGGTGCGATTGAAGGTTCTTTTTGAGTGTTTTGAAGTCATGAATACCAATTTCAGTCCCATCCTCCACGGTGGCACGTCGATCTTCGGGAACATCATCGCCATATTGGACACCGGCAATGCTAACTTGCTTAAACTCCATCATGTTGCAGGTAAGAGTACCTGTTTTGTCGGAGAAGATGTACTCGATTTGACCAAGCTCCTCGACAAGGGAGGATGTGCGGCAGATGGCTGGGGTATCAGTTTTGTCATAGTAAATGTCGAGGTCAGAGTTGATGAGGAAGGCCTGGAAGTATTTGACGATTTCGATGGTGACGAAGAGGGAGATAGGGACCAAATTTGAATAGAGCACCCAGTACGTGAAAATATCCATGAAGAACTGCTTTACCAATTTGACCGACCCCCCATATCCGAGGTATGCAAGCGTTGAAGATTTAGTCTTCCGAATAGCGAGATCACCGACAGAACTGATCACACTCAAAACTATGAGAATGCTGACAAGCATCAAAATCTGAATGTTGACTGTTCTTTCCACAGCTGTCCTCTTGATCGGGGTTGCTGTCGCATTTCGCATCAGTTTTGTCTCGTGGCCACTAAAAACCACAATGCCATGGATCCAAGGAGTGTTGCGTAGCGTTGCACCTCGAAGAAGGAGTTGATCCGGAGCCAAGGGCAACTCTTTCTCGCCACCTCCAGCGTTCATAGTCAAGGTGGCCTCGTAAGTATACAGACTGCTATTTGGCTGTTCTGATCGAACGCGCCCACTCAGACGACTCAGATCACTAGGGCTGACCAGATGCGCAGTCTCCGGAATGGCTTGTTTGACTTTGAGATTGGTCTCGCCATCCAAGTTTGCCGTCTCAATATAGCATAGACCTTCAGGCTCAGATGACGCCAGTAATACCAAGTCAGCTGGAAAAGGCTGCTCGGTCTCAACCCGAACTATATCCCCGACCACAACATCCACCCATTTCGCTTCATGGAACGAAGATCCCTTAAGAACTTGGGTTTTTGAGTAATTCAGTCCTCTGTCCGACATTCTCCGTTTGTAGTCTTCTACCAACTCTTTGATCGCCGACACAGCCAAGACGATAGCCAGTGGAACGATAGTTGTATACCTATTCGTCGGCGACACATTTGGGATTTGTTGCAGGACAGCGGTAAACAAGAAGAACAGGTTGGCGTATTTAGAGAATTGCTCGAAGAGGAATTTGGGAATAAAGGTAAAGATGTTGTACTTGGCCGTCGATACGAAGTTGCTGACGAACTTGTGGGTGGCGTTGGCTGGTGGGTTGTTGAGTTGGATCATGCGTGGGCCCAGTGTCGAGGGATCAACCTTGCGTGAAAAGATGTTAAGGTCAGACGCGCGGAACTTCTTGCGTTGCTTCGGGGGCGGCGCCGGAGAAGCATCGCTACCGACTGTCGCCCTTCTTGCGCCCGATTCAGTCAACGGGAGATCCATCTCCGAATATTGCGATGACCCCATGCCAAACATGTATTTCGCCTTTCCCATAAATCCACCGCCGAGTCCGAGGACGCTATTGCGCTCATTTGCCTTGCGGACATGGTGTGAACTGGCAATTCGGTCTTCATCCGCATCAAGATCATAATAACCTGAATGTCCATCGTCGAAGTCATCCAAAGAGTACCGCCGATAATTGTCCAATCCAGAGGTCTGGGAGTAGGTTCGATCTCGCGTGCCGCTGGAGTAGGGGTCATTTGAATGGAGACCGGGGTTGAGAGGCGGATGCGCCGGTCCCGAAGCAACATTGTGCTGCGCTGCGCCTTGCTGCGCGCTAGACCCGACAAAGTTATCGTAGGAGACGGAAGGGCGTGGTTGTGTTTGGGCGTACGGTTGTTCGGAGTCGTCAATGTTGTAGCGTTCTAATAGGTGTTCATCATTCACAGGGGGGCCTTGACCGGTGCTATACATAGGTCCGGAATCCAGCAGCAGGTCGTCATCGCGGCCAGCGGCTGGATGCGACCCAGGAGGCCTACCGCTGGCCATGATGCCGCGGGGAAGCTGACAGCCTCACTGTTGTAGTGCAGTAACAATGCCCCTGAGGCATTAATCGCAAGGCCACGTCAACAGAAAGTGCTCTGCTGTATCTGTCGGAAGCAGGAACGATTGGAAACGCGGTATGGCGAACAAGTGACAAGTTTGACGGGACTTGGACAGGAAAAATGTGGGAATAAAGTGAGAATGAAGTCCAAGGGTGGCTTAGCGGGCGAAGGCAGCACTTGAGCTATGTTGATTTGATGCGCGGGTAGGCGGTAAAGCGCTTCACAACAATCAAAGAGATCGAATATTCGGAATGATACTTGACTTATTATTAGTAGAGTGATTGTATAGTTTTATAAATACTTTACTATTTTCTGTACTTCTTGTACTACGGTCAAAATGCACTTAGATTCATTGGCCGACTCTGGTCTACACCGAATTGAGCTAAGAAATAGGGGTCTCTTGGCAGCCGGAAATATATTAACTGCTTTGTCTGAACGGAGTATGGAGTGCATATATACGATGCACAGTTCAACTGGTCCCACCTTAAAGAAAAAGATACATGTATGTCGGCTTGGGAAAGAAAAAATATCCAAGTACGTACTTTGAACGATTTCCATAAATCTGAGGTGCGTACATATGTAGTTCACATTTACAAGAGTTATTCAACTACTAGTTCATACCCATATGTCGCCCATCATGTGGCAGTCAAGTATCATTGATGTAAACGCCATGCGAAGCTCCAGTCCCCCAATCATGAAAGTAATGGTAGTACATGCTGTTTATTCGATTTGAACCAACCGGTCATTCTCTGCCCGAGACTCATCTGCCATGCCAATCTTTGCCCGCTTAGCCAGGTCGGCCTGGAGGACCTTCTCAACAGCAGCATTGATCTGCTTGACCTTTTCCCATGCCACGTTTGTCTTGTTCACAATTACCATGGCATCGGCGGGTGCACCTGCATACTTCGAGAGGTAGCAGACATCGCCGGCGCTATTAATGCCAATGACAAGATCGCCCTCAGCAGCCTGCTCCTCCTTGAGGGTAGCATCAACAATGACATGCTTGCTGTCATTGAAGGTGTGAAAAGTGACCGAGAGAGGCTTGTGTGTGATGTTAAGTGCGACAGGCACACGCTGCTCCACGCCGTAGACTATGACACGTCCGTCTCTCACCACAGCATCCGGCCGGCGGAAGTGTTGCAGTCCAGCCATGATCGCAATACAGGCCGCATCGGTGATGTTTCCATCGTAGTCGATAACGTGAACATCAGCCCGAATTGACCAGCAGCTCACACCCTTCAGAATGCACAAGGATTCGGTATCGAGAGCGTTGGAATGGCGGATGATACGGTCAAGGGTGTTAGTGGCGTAGGCCTCGATGTCGTTGGTTCTGTAGAGGCAATTGTGAGTATAAGTCAGTGTACAATGAAAAAGTTGGGTGGTATGTACCGTCCGTTTTCCCAAGCTGGTGAACCCATTGCAGTGAGCTCCAAGTTGATGTTGAAGAGACCGTCAAAGGGTCGGTCTTCACGCGGTTTAGTAACCTCAGCGGAGATGCGAACAATAATGCTAGTGAGCAAGTTAGTTATTGTGTTTATGGTAGACCAACAAAATATTTGGAGCTCACTTCGTCTTCCCAAGCTGCAGGTTCACATGCCCATATTCTTCACCAAAGGAGATATTCAAAGGACGATAGTCGTCAGGCTGGCGACCGTCGAGACGCACATTCTCACGGAGCGCCTCGAGAATAAAGTCGCGCTCTGCGATTGAGAGTTGCGCTTCTTTCGACATCGTTGAGGGAGGTCTAGCAGCCCCGGCGCGGGGATCAGAGATGCTTTCTTTTTTGGGCCATTTTGCCCGTGCAGGCCGCATTGTAGCGGTTCGGATTATTATTATTCCGGAAATTGTGCCAATAGTAGTGGGAGTCTGGAAGGGCGGTGAGAGGAAGGTGAGGAGAATCTTAGTGCCTGAGGCGACTACGTACAACGAAAGCTGGAAGCAGTCGACGTCCCAGAAATTGCAACTTTCACTTAGCAACCACATCACAAAATGACTACAGGTATGGTATTTGAAACAAATTTTGAGGATTTGAATAGTCATAGCTTACATTTGTTTAGCCCACAGACCTACTTTTGACCCGGTACGACAACTTTTCTCAATCCTACTCTTTGTGGACACTGACTGATCTCAACAGGCGCAAGGCAAAGAAGCCCTCCGTGGCCCGGCCTACCACCAGCGACTCCTCCTGCGCATACACACCTGAAAGTCCGGTATGTAGAACGATACTTGTCCAGACCGCACCGATCACTGACTTTATTGTAGCCAACCCGGACAAGGCGGCGAAGCCGACGCCCACCTATCGCCCCGTGACCTTCGCGCAGAGCTTCTCCAGGCCGAGGCAGCACACTTTGCCAAGAAGAATGGCGTTCCGGCCGAGCAACCAGCTATTGCTGAATCCTCAGTTCCCAAGCGACAACTCGAAGCTGCGCCTGAAGATGGAATCGATGGCGATATCAAGGAAGAGGACCCGGAGGCGAAACGCCGACGTATACTGGAGGAGACACGCGACATAGATGCCGATTCAGACGGGTCAGAAGAAGACAGCAGTGACGAGGATAGGTGGGTTGAACCCAGGGTCTCGTGTTAGGACGAATAAACTGACAAACCGCAGTGACGACGAAGATGAAGCAGCCGAGTTAATGCGGGAGCTTGAGAAGATCAAAAAGGAGCGGTTGGAGCAAAAGGAGAAAGAGGTACGTCGCTTTCTCACACCCTGGATTTGATAATGGTGGCTAATGCACAACAGGAGCGTGAACGCGCACTCGAGGAAGAAGAGCAGAGAGAGGTTGATATCGCGCGCGGTAATCCTCTGCTCAATGCCCAGGATTTCAACATGAAACGGCGCTGGGATGACGATGTTGTATTCAAGAACCAGGCTCGGGGAACAGAGAACAGAGATGGCAAGGAGTTTGTCAACGTATGCTTACTTTCCTTTGGCTTGTTCTTATGTCGTCGAACTAATTCGTTTTTAGGATCTTCTTCGTTCCGATTTCCACAAACGCTTCATGGTATGTATCTGTATTCCCGATTATCCTCATACATCCACTGACCAGGCTTCTAGGGCAAATACGTGCGGTAGAGTCTCCTGAGATACTTGGGTATCCATATGTCGGTTCTAGAGGGATTTCAGCTTAGCGAATGATATTATCTTATGTTATTTTCAACGTTGTATCAAAAGAATATCATAAACTGTCAAGGATCGTACCCGAAAGCGAAGCTCCCACCAAAGCCTCCACCGTGGTAATCTCAATGTTACTTCTACAATAACATTTGCACGCGATTCGTCTCTGCTAGATATTGCCGTGTGGTGGGGTATTTCCGAACAGCATGTACTCTGTACTCCTCGATTCCGTCTGCGAAAACATGCAATCTACTAGTAGTAGATTCCATATATGGAGTATCGCTTAAAACCTACTACATTGTATACCGGTACCTCTCAGGATAGCTCAGGTGAGAAGTGAGTCTCCTATATGTGTATTAAGCTACATGATATACCTAGGTACGCAACTTATTTCGGTGCGTCACCCCACGCGGGGAACACCATTGGAAGAATCTCCGGCGTCTGATCGGGCCAATTGGCCTGGATTGCCTTCATAATTTCATCGTAGACGATGCGGTTACCAGCGGGAGTCAGATGGAGACCTGTATGACGAGTGAGTACAAGAAAAGCCAAGGGAATATGCAATATCCACGCACCATCAGTAAGAAGACTTGCCAATTTGTCATTTCTCGGCACATCACGAGCCCCAATTAGAGGATCTCCCTCTTTCCAGCCAATGGTCTTCATGAAAGCGGACCATAAGTCCACCACCGGGACATTGAGCGATGCACCAACTTCGCAAGCAGCCACTGCGTATGACTTGGTGAGGCTGGCAGTTCTGCTTGGGAACGGGGTGTTCTTTGAAGCATCGAACTCCTCTATTTGATACTCGTTCACGGGAGGTGGGGTGATTAGAATGAGGTGCGGGTTCTGTGCGCGTGTTGCTGGGTGCTGAATGATCGTCTTCAGGTTCTCTTTATATTGATCCAGGGGCACATGCTGCTCGTGGGTTGGAACGCATGCGTCATTAGCACCGAAGAAGATGGTCTATCGGGTGTTAGTCAATTGGCGTTTTGAATACATTCGATTTTTCAAATAGGCTTGCGAATAAGGGCTTACCATGAACCGCACATTAGCCGTCTGCGGCGAAGGGAAGAACTTATCAAAGACTTTGACAGCATGGGCGGTTGTATATCCACTGTTGCTTGTTAGCTATCTCAGCTAGTATAGCCTTGGATGATCTTACGCCAGGCCGCGATTAATAACATCTAATCTGCGACTGTAGGCTATTTTTACTTTCGTTAGACTTTTGACCACATAATATCTGGGTCTATCAGTAGAATAACTCACATTCTTGGAGTGCAGCATGAAATGCGAAACCTAACTCTTGGTTGCAGCCCATCTGAGTGATGGAGTCTCCGAAGAGAAGGAACTGGTCATACGGTTTGAATGCATCCTCATTCCCCTTCTCAATGGCAGCCATAGTGAGGCAAGAATATAATTATATATATTGGATTATTTGGGAGTGTGAGATTGAAGTTATGGGGATTGGGGGCTTATAACAAGCAATGCGGACCAGAAAGGAAGTGGGGGAGGTCCGCGGACAAAAGGGAAATTGGTGGATCTTCGCTTGTGGTCAACTATGGTGCTATGGAATGAATATATTAAGTCTAGATCGTAACAACTAGTATAATATATCTAAACCTATATAATCTCAAAGTAATTTATCCACTAATCATTTCATTGAATTGGGTGATTGGAACCCCGCACTACATATATACTACACAGAGATATATAACTTAGCATAACATATATACATAGGTAGACCTTTATAATTCTTTAAATATGAAGGTAGCTACATGAATATAATCAAATTTGTAACGTACAGCATTACCAGCCTCGAATCCTCGTACACTTTAAGAATGCTCTTCTGGTCCTTCTCGTCCTTCTGCCTATAGTAATGGCGATCCATGTCCATCGCCACCCCATCCAATTCAACTTTTGACGGTGTTTCCCTCGTGCCGTACTTGACCGGCGGCGAAGGTCTCCGCACTGCCGATTATGTTCAACGGGATTATCAGCGAAAAATTTGCTGGAACCTGCGTATCCCCTGGAAACACAACTAGACCAACTGAGACAGAGGATTGCATCTTGGCATTTAGCATAGATTTCTTCTACGATAACGTCATCGTTAGACCAGGTATACCTAGGTAGTATATGGTGGGCTTCTCACTCTGAAGAATTCTGTAAAACTCGTCTTTATAAACTCATTGCAAGCATCCGTTGGGAAGAATCTTGCAGAAGTCGAGTTTTTTTGGCCTAGGCAAAGGCTCGGTGATTTTACACATTTCATTCTCCCAGACTTGTGAGATGTTGGCTTTCAGTCTTTCGGAGGCAGCTACTGAGTGATGATCGACAGCCATGGGTGGTCGGAGAGGTCACCGGGGGTAATATGAAGTCGTAGCAGTCTCGGGATAAGAAGGGGCCACGGTTCGAGATGGCCTTGGTGAAGAGATTTGGAATACTCGAAATTTCAGACTTAAGAGCACGGAAATCAAAGCTCTTCTGGGGTTAACATAAAGTGAAGGACTAAGAGGGAGGACAAACTGTAGGAAGAGGAAAACTGATCAGTTTTCCCCCGGCGCTTAAAAGTGACAGGGGTGAGTCTCGCACCTAAAGGTCAAGCGCGTGTGGTTACCCCACGATATTTAAATGAAAACCGGCAATTCTTTTGTTGCATATGACTGGAAAATAAAAGCTGATGTAAGATTTCCGCATATCTAGTTTGATGGGTGTAGATAATGTAGCACCTGCTTGTCTGCCTGATCTATTTCGCTCATGAGCCAAGTTGCCCGAGCCAGAGTGTAAAAGGATACGGTAGACGGGGATATCGAAGAGCTATGGGCTATAGGAGAAATGAGGTATAGGAGGGAGCAATTTCTCTTATGGCATCGCTATCTACAAGGGCCTTTTGATGCTCAGCATACTTCCACAAAGGGCAAGTAGCTCTAATTACATATGTAGTATGTGACTTCAAGCACACGTGCATGTTGTACTTGACACAAAAAGAGTAGTTACATCGCGACCTCGATAAAACAAGCTTTGAGACCATAGACCTACATGTAGTACCATTTCTAGGATGTGATCACTGCTCCGCTGTATACGCCTAGGTAAGCTTGACCGGATCTTGATTAATTTGTAGTTACCACCTGGTTAGACAGGCGTGGAACTTGCTGCTAGTCTTGCGAAAAGATAATACTAGAGATACTCGCTAGTTGCCGAAAATCATATGCCGAAAGAGTGGTAAAGGTGACTGTGTTGGAAAGCCTTATCAAAACTAATCTTAGCTAGAGAACCACTGTGGAATCGGAACATACCGAGCGATCTCTGCACGTCCTAATGTTAGACTGTCAAAAGCTTATACATACCCGAAAGTAGGCTGAATCTCAACTCACTGCTGTGCTAGAGTTGATATTTATATCTCAAGAGTCAGACAGCCGAGAGAGGCTAATGCTGCTAACGCTGCTTACCCTAATACGACATATTCCTTCGAGTCACACACCCGGCCCCTCACACGGTGGCAAAAGCTCATAAAGAATGCCAAGAGATCAGCATCCGATGACGATCGGATTGGACAGCGTCTAGTACAAGGAATCTCTTCAACCGGGGTAGATGCGCACCCAAATTCGAGATCTTGAGAATGTTAGACATCCTAACCTATGTTAATAACCCAAGGGGATGTTATCTAGGTACGCTCTTCAGTGGTTCGTTTTATCGTCAAGACCAGAGCGTTGCCACGAGTACGGGTTAGACAGGTATACTTATGTCCTGCCGTACAATATAGGCAGAAGGGCATGCCCCTCATCCTATCAAGCATGGACATTATTACCCGAGCGCAGGATGATCAAGATGAACAAGGTTGCTGCGCCTAGACTGGCTGCATCATGTCGAATCGCGAATGTACATTCCATACACCATTGAATCATTGCGCTTTGTTTCGGGGTGTTGATCGTCGGAAAAACGCGGGGGATGATCAGAGGAATGCGACACTCGAGATAAACCATCAAATCACTAGTACAGGATGCTGAGCATTGAACATATTCAAGTAGAATATATTAAAAGATAGGCACAATGACTCGAGTGGTGGGTCAGCACTGGACTTGCACCTGACGCGTCTCCACCGTTAAGTCGATCATCTGTGATGGTCACCTTTTTAAGACTCGGGCCCTCTTTTCTCACCGTCATCTCTTTGTGTCTTTTCTTTTTGTTTTTTATCTTTCCGAATATAACTCCGGGAAGAGGGATATGCTACCTAGTAAGTCAAGTTCATTGATTTCTTTGCTCTTGTGAGCTCTATTTCCCCGTGTTTACGTCTGGTGTGGATCTGCTCCGGTATATCTCCCAAGTGCCAAAACTGACCCTCGCCAGCCCCACTGCAGATAACTGAAGCATAAAGGCTTCTCGGCGACATGCCTCGGTCCCTTCCAAAGACCAGTTTTGCCTCGCGCGAACAAGAGGACACTGAAAACACGCGCAGTGCCCAAACAGCTCCCCCCCTCACCGAGTGCCTACAGACGGTCCCAAAGCTACCTTTCCGAAACACATACTGAATACCAGTCCCTCGATCCGCCCTTGGAGATTACAGAAGCAACAAGCCTCCTCGGGCCCCAAGCCTCCCGTCGACGAGGTCCGCGACGGTCTTACACCAGCACTTCCGGAGTGTCAGGCACCGGCCCGGACTCATTGAGACATGTTCTGGCAGCTGGCAGTCTGCGACGAACGCGGAATCATAGCCGTGCCAACTCCATGGGCAGGCGGGTCAGTCGCCGAGGGAGTATAGACGGCGATGGCGAACCCGCCAGCCTTCCTCCGTCCATGAAGGACAACCTTACTGCCTCTGCGTTTCTGGACGAGCGGACTTGGTACGACCAGTTCACTTCCACAGATTGGGTGCATGACAGTATCGCCGATGGAGCACGACTCCGCCTACTTCGGCAACGGAAAGACGTGCGAGGCCGATTGCTGGCGGCCTTCGACGGCGCGCAAGGATGGATCTTGGTCGCGCTCATTGGGTGCATCACGGCGTCCATTGCTTACTTCGTCGATGTCACTGAAGGATCGGTCTTTGATTTGAAGGAAGGCTTCTGCACGACCCAGTTTTTCCGTAATAAAAGGACATGCTGTGAAGGGCTGGCTGCTTGTGATGCATGGCGGCCCTGGTCCAGGATCTTCTCGCCATCGGGTACAGAGAGGCGGTGGGTTGACTTTGTCATTTTTGTCTTTTGGGTTGTGACGTTGGCCCTCATATCGTGTGCTTTGACTCTGCTCACAAAAACTGTCGTCCCTTCGTCCATTTCTCTTACCACGCTTGATGAAAACCTAGCCGCCGACTCCAATGGTACAAAATCTGGAAATGGACTCGGTACCTCGACTTCCCCTCTTTCAGAGACAGAAACGAGTCCACTGCACGGAACTTTGCCTAATTATCCGCCCCGTCCAGCTATGGTCTACTACTCTGCTGCTGGCAGTGGAGTGGCAGAAGTCAAAGTCATTAATAGTGGTTTTGTCCTTCACGGATACATGGGACTGAAGACGCTAGTCATTAAAACTATTGGTTTGATCTTTAGTGTTTCGTCTGGTTTAAGCTTGGGCAAAGAAGGCCCCTACGTTCATATTGCCACCTGCGTGGGAAATATCTCCTGTCGTCTGTTCGACAAGTATAATCAGAACGATGGAAAGAGACGAGAGGTTTTGAGTGCCAGTGCCGCTAGTGGTGTTGCTGTGGCCTTTGGCGCTCCGATTGGTGGTGTTCTCTTTAGCTTGGAAGAAGTCAGCTACTATTTCCCACCCAAGACCCTTTTCCGGACGTTCTTTTGTTGCATTGCGGCTACCTTGTCTCTCAAGTTCCTAAACCCCTATGGAACAGGTAAGATCGTCCTATTTGAGGTCCGGTACCTTTCCGACTGGCAGATCTTCGAGATTTTCATTTTTATCCTTCTCGGTATTATGGGAGGCGCCGCTGGTGCCCTCTTCATCAAAGCCTCAAGCCTATGGGCGCGATCCTTCCGCCGCATTCCAGCCATCAAGCGTTGGCCCATGTTTGAAGTTTTCCTCGTTGCGCTATTTACCGGCCTTGTCAGCTTCTGGAATCGATACACCAGCCTTCCCGTCACCGAGCTTCTATTTGAGCTAGCTTCTCCTTGTGAATCAGATGTGGAAAGTACGGGCCTGTGTCCTCGCACCGACGGCATTCTTGAAATTATCCAGGACCTTCTGGTGGCGTTTGTCATCAAGAGTTTCCTGACCATTATTACGTTCGGCATCAAAGTGCCTGCGGGCATCTATGTACCATCCATGGTTGTTGGTGGCTTGATGGGGCGAATTGTTGGGCATTTGATCCAGTACTGGGCTCTCAGACATCCCACCTTTTTCTTATTCGACTCTTGCCCTGCGGCTGCTGGAATTGAGTCGTGCGTGACTCCAGGGGGTCTATGCATTGATTGCCGCTGGAGCGACCATGTGCGGCGTGACACGACTGTCAGTCACTTTGCCTGTGATCCTGTTCGAACTGACAGGAAGTCTCAACCACGTGCTTCCGTTTTCTCTGTCGGTGCTCTGCGCAAAGTGGACTGCGGATGCCATAGAGCCTCGCAGTATTTATGTGAGTTTTACCTCCGCCGTGATCCAACCCCGACGTTATACTAATTGAACCCAGGACCTCTTGACCGATATGAACTCCTACCCCTTCCTTGATAGCAAACTCCAACCGACTACGGATGCCGTGCTGGGAGACATAGTCCGACCAGTGCGGAAGAATCGCATCATCGATATCTCTGCGTCGCCATTCTTACCAGCCACGGAACTTCGTTTGAAACTGGAACACCTGCTCATGGCAGGTGAGCTGGACAGCGGGCTTCCCATTCTATGTGACGGCGTCCTTGCTGGTCTGATCCCAGCACCGGATCTCGAGTACGCATTGGATACGCTAGGCGATGAAGAAGAAAATACGATATGTCTAATGACTATGGATGCTTCTACGGTCATCTATGACAGCGATAACGAGGATGCGGAACAAGTGGATTTCAGTCGATACATTGACCCTGTAAGCTTAGTTAACCTCTTCAATATCTCGGGCCATACTAATGTGTTTATGCATAGGCTCCAATCGCCCTTGATGTCCATTCCCCTATCGATTTGGTCTACCAGTGCTTCGCCAAGCTGGGTCTTCGTTACCTCTGCGTCACTCATAACGGGAAATATGCCGGCCTGGTACACAAGAAAGCGTTCGTGAAATTCATGAAGGAGAATAGCGACTAGGCCGTGAATAGTGCCCGACCATTACACTGTTTTTCATTTGCATTTTCGGGCGTCGTCAAGGCATTCTGATTTATTTGTTTGCATAGCCTTGCATATCCTCTCATTTCATGTCTATCTATTTTGTGCGCTCACTCAACCAACGTTGGCATTGTGCATAGTTTGGTTGTACATATTTGTTTTTCTTTCGACTTCGACATACACGCACAAAGTACAAATCTTGAACATATTCGACTAGTCAATGATCTACGGAGGACATATCCTACCCATGTCTAAGTCAACTTTTCATATCCAACCATCTGAACCTCGACATCCCCGTCCGTCTTCCACTCGCCATCAACCTCCTCCCCAACCCACTCAGAAACCTCCCCAGGGCTAACAGCCCGCCAACCATTCTTCTCATGAAGCCCATCCAGCGGGAAGAACGTATCACATTCAAACGAAGCAGACGCACCCACAGCCCCCTTCCGCACAACATTCGTCATAACGACCCTAACAGGCCGACCAGACAGCTCCTCAGCACCCATATTCAACGTAGCATTATAGATCTCCGCCCACCAATAACAAAAATCTTGCCCAGCTTCCCCTGCGCCCCATACACAGAGTCCAACGTCTCCAACGCCGCGCCCAAACTCGGCGTAACAATCGCATCCGTCATCGGGTCCGCCGGAGCAGCTTCCTTGGGCGGGTCAAAAGTCTCCTTTTCCGAATTCGTAGCCTGTGTCTGAGCGGCCTTGGCCGCAATCTTTCTCCTCATATTCCCCAATTCCGTAGTTACGCTCTCGCGGACAGACCCGGACGTGTCACGCGTGATCACGACGTTAATTCGCTTCGCGAGCGGGCGCAGTGAGGCCGGTACTGAGTCGTACGTCTTCCGGCCCATGATGATCGCGTTCGTCGTGCCTGGGCTTGGTGGGCGGGATGTCACGCGTGCGAAGAATGACATGTCTGTTTTTATGCGTGGCCATGGGAGCGTGCCGTTTAGGCCTATGCCTAGGCGCGTGATTTCTTCTTTTGTGGTTGTTGACGCGGTGCGGATCGGGGTCGTTGCCACGATTAGCGTGAGGGAGGGGAGGGGGTGGGGGTTGTGAGGTGGCATTTTGGTTGCGGGGTGATTTCAGCTTGCGGTTCGATTGAGAATGCTATATTCAGAATGGGATGTGATCTTGGGATTGTGAGAAGGATGTTGATGGTGGAGGTTCGCGTCGCGAGGGGAGAAATCGTTATCGGAATTGGGCTGGCTGCTTATCGCCCCGCACTATAGGTAAAGCCCTGGAGGTCCGGCCCTGTAGGTGGGCTTGACATGGTCCTTTATCTTTTTGGAGGGTATTATCGACACGATTTCGGTAGGGAGAATATTACGCTACTGCTCTAGTCTAGCTCAGAGGCGAAGCAGCAAGCAATGAAAATGGGGTTGGATTCAATGTAGATTCATAGGTAAATCGAATGCGCCACATAACACCAGTCGAACGCCAGACTCAAGGAACCAAGTGGGTATCACATGCAAAACAGCTCCAAGAGCCAACGACCAAAATGCTTTCAAGGAAATCCTCGGAAAATAACCATTACGTATCAGATTTCTCAGGCTTCTGGGACTGCAGGGTGCTTTTCAGTGTCCTCTGACTTCTCGGGCTTCTCGGGCTCCTCCGATGAAGGCATCAACAATCCTCCATCAAGGGCCTTCTGGATAGCCTTCACATCCTCCTCGAGCTTCTCACGACGCTGGATATCTCGCTCATCTTCGCCGAGGGTATCGAGCTTGCCGAAGAGCCAAAGCTCCTTCATGAGACGGTGCAAGGCGAGTAGGTCCTCCGCAGCACGGATCTAAGGTAGCAAAATGTCAGTCTCGTGCTTTGGTATGGATTTGAAAGCTCAATTGCATTCTTCTTATGGAGGCGAGAGGTAGCCGGGTAGGACTGAGGCGGTGCGTATCAACATACCAGCGCAGTAGATTCGACATCAATTTGGAATGCTTCAACAGCAGCATCAACGTGACTGGTGCCGTCGAACTTCTTGGCAGCAATAGCGATGATATTCTCGAACCGCTGCAGCAGCTGCGAGATGTCGTAGTCGACGCGATCTACCGTAATGCATCGTTAGCGGAAAGGCATTGAAGGGAATGTAGCTGTAGTGGCCCAAATCAAGTACGTACCAAGAAGCTCCTTGGCGGTTGGACGCGAATCCATGGTCGGAGCGTTCTTTTTATTGTCTTCGGATGATGAGGATAAATCCGAAGGAGGCCAATCCGAAGGAGTCGTCGGATCCATGATTACGATAAGGTGTGGGGCGAGTGGATGCGGGTAAATACGGGAGCAAAGCCGAGATTCCCCGAATTTATAGTACCTGCTTGACTGTCACTTAATTCGATCTGTTTGTCCCGTCAAGATAAGTGATTGTATGCTTTAAAGGTATGCTTCTCAATCTCAATGAATATGCGAACTAACTGCTACATAAGCTACATAACCTTCTCTTTCTGCTGGGCAGTTGTCGACTGCCAATCTGGAGACTTTCCATCTGACTAGCGTTTCTTCAAAAATATATAGTCAATTACAAGTGAGTTTCCTTGGTCGTATTCACATGCCCAATGGATTTAGGCATATGAATGCAAGTATCTGTTGGAGATAAGTCATAGTGGCAGCTATGTTTCAAAGCACTCAATCACAGACCTCCCGTGGCTGTAATGAGGTTCTTATAAGGCGAAAACGTGCGAGCTATTTAACATTATCATCAAAGATGAGCTCGGCATGACAGTTCCTGTTTCCTAGCATAACAGGCAAGCTCTCACGAACAAAGTGAACGGCGTACCTACCTAGGTACCTATATGAGAGATAGGCTCTCTAAGCATCAATTAGGGTTTGACAGCCAGTCCACGTTATGTTAAGCTTGCAGGCGGTGTGGAACTATAACCTTGTTTGATGCATTGAAATAGATATCATTATATACATAACTAACGAGCAGTACTTAATATGGTTGCCAAATGGAGACAAATTATTAAGTACATACCTAGGTACTCATAGATGAACCTATGGTCCTGTAGGTCGTGTCACACAGTGAGAGTGTGACTCTTGCAGTCAAATGGTAGATAGCAATGCATGAAATGGGTCCTACAGGAGGTAGCAGCGCTAATCCTTAAGATGGTATTCCTTATTCAAATCGGAGGGACCATACACTCCGCAGTCACTCTTTCAGCAACACAAGAAGATGTCGGCGTGGTATTGAACCGAGACAGCATGGAACCAACCAGGAGTGCTTGTTGAATACCAAACTTCCAAATGTCAAATCTAGTAGTCTAACTTGACAGCAATCTCATCTCTCCACCAACCAGACACTTCGAAGCCTCCCACAACAGTAGACTTATAGCAAAAACATTAGGCTCGCATGGGAGTGTGCAATAACTAGCGGTGCAAACTGGATGACATCGTTCTACTGAACATTATACATACATAATAAACATGTAGAAGTATGTAAGTATGGAAGTATGTGTACAACATAGACATGAAATAGTGGAGTTGACTTCAATGTTGGAATGATCAAGGCCTAGGCCTATGATCGTCCTTTTTGACCTCCATCCTCTCCGCCTTGCTCTCCGCCCAACAGTGCGTCACCGCCTACGGAGTACAACCTTGGACAATGTCTCTCCAGATTACAATTCTCACTCGCAATAATACTGCTTTCCTCCCGTTGCTAGGTTTGTCACTAGGAACCTTTTTCCTTCGTGTCTTTATTGTCCTGTCCAGGCCCCCATAATCACAATCCTGTGTTACTTTGCTCTCGATTTCTCATTACTTCGCTTGCACTTACCGGGGAAATCATCCGTAACGCAACCTGTGCCTGGCGCATCACATACTCTACGTCACCGAATACTTCGTCGCATCTTTCTGTGAACTTGGACTTGTCCGTGGATCACCTAAAGTTCAACAAGAATCCCTCATTACGATACCAACTATCTTGAAACGCGTCCTCTTCCTCTGTGCCAATACCATCGTTTATCTTCCTTAAACCCGCTGCTGGATGTTCTGATCAGGTCTCCAGATACTTGTCCCTCGAAGACAGGGTGGACGGCCGGTGGGCCGTCTCACAGATCGAAGGCGGCAGGAGATATTGGAGAAAAGGTGTCGAATTCAAGTGACGCCTTCGCGCCCCTGCTCTTAGGGCGGACTATTCCAACTACCCCGCGTCGCTTTTTCTGCTTTCTTATTCTTCTTCTTTTTTACCTTCAATTCTAAACACTAGACTGGCGATGGATGCGCAGTATCCCTTTGCTTCCCGCGACGACATTTGGCGTGTCTTTGACGAGTTGAAGGAGCTCCACATTGCCCAGTACGAGCAAGGAGAACGGCTCGCACAACTGGAGCGTCGCCGGGACGACGATGCTCGACTGAGGAGTCCTTGGTGTCCTGTGTCACCGTTTCCGCAATCGGTTGGGGCGATCGCTCCAGGTAGTCCACCTCTGCCCTCCGGTATCAGTTCACCACTTACCAAGACATCCCTTCCAGACCCCACCTTCCACTCCCCCCCGGATGCCTTTAAAGGATTCGATCAAGGTCACCATTCCGCAATGGCTAGTTCTGCTGTGGGATTTGACGCCGAGGACGAGCCTAGACGGGGTGCGTCGCGGGCCAACAGTGTCCGCTTTGACGAAAGTGCTATCCATGGGAACGGCCAGGCTAGCCGTTCCAGCAACGACCTTCCTTTGCGGACCGGCAGCGGCTTAAGTACCCACCCGCTCCTTGAACGGACATTTTCTCACCAGTCTGATGGAAGATTGAGTTCATCCGGCCACTCACACCATTCCGCTCGAACTAATAGCCTGCGCCTGAACACCACTCGGCTGCTTGGTACTACGCCTATCGAATCTCCTTTGATTCCCCCTCCTGGACTCTTCTTGCTGGGACCGGTCCCGTCCATTATTCGGTGCTGGTTGACAGATACTTTCACTAATGGCTCTCTCCTCTACGCAGCGGTTTGCTCGGGCTCTTACGTCTCAACTTTGGGTCTTTCCATGGTCCGCGAATTTGGGATGGAGAACATGATCGTGCGCGAGAGCGATGTCCAGTACATCAAACTGCCGCTGTATCTTCCCGAAGCACTTATTCACCCATCTTCGTCGCGCCCCGGAACCCCTACTCACCAAGTTCCTACCGTGACCATCCGCTTTGTGGTTCGCGAGATAGATGTCGGCGACGACCCAATTCAGATCATCATTGGAAGCGATGTGATGCGTGCACACAATGCTGATATTTTATTTTCGCAAGATAAACTGATCATGGTGGACGACGACCACAACCGTGTGTCTGTTCCCCTCGTGCGTCCCGAGAAGGACTCCGTGTTTAAGTCTCTTTGCACTTATCCTGGTACTCCAAATTCTGGAGACATACTGGGACCTCCTACTAACGGAAATCCATCCGTCGGTATCATTGGCCGGCCTGCCAATGTTCCACGAAAGCCGGCCTCTGCGCCCCCATCGGCTCGTCTGTCTGGCAGCGAGAATATCGATCCTCACAAGTCCCAGCTACAGAACTCCCAGGCTCATGCTCACATTTCAGCTGAAACTCGTCCGGCCTCTGCCCATCCACCGACTCCCGAGCCTACTAAAACCGAGGATATGTCTTGTTGGAGCTCATGGCGTCGCGATGCCAAGAAATCCACCACCACCCAGAAGCCGGCCGATAAACGCGAGATGAAGGTCTTCCGCACCGGAAAATCTGCCAGCCATGCGAACTCCACAACTTCGGTCTCGGCTCCTGGCAGTGCTACCACTGAGCAGGCCGACAAGTCGTCTCTGTCCATTACTTCTGCCCACCATCCAGCTACTCCTTCGGACAGATATGGTACACTGAATCCCGTGGGTGGTGCGTCGGCGTTTGGATGGCTCAACCCGCCCCATCATAATGCCTCGTCCTAGATGAAACATACTAGGCTTGGCTTTTATGTTTGTTTACATCCGAATCTGAAATGATCTCGGTTTTACGGCATGATACGGAAGGGTTGGGATCCCGAATGAATCAGAAAAAAGTGAGAAATGGGCCAGGCGCTGGATTCCAAGGCTGCCAACGGAGAAGGGAAACCACTTTTTCTTTTTTAGCTTGTAGTATTGCCGGAATGATAGCAAAGGACAGTCTACTAAGTAACCAAAAAAAAGAAAAAAAAAAAGATATGATTACTGCTTAAGTTCGAATGGCTATGGACGATATCAACTAGCATTCCATCTAGCTTAGTATATAACCCTCCTCATCTATTCATACGTACCTACCTAGGTAAGACTAGTATTCAATACAGCAAACCCTCCAGGGCCTGGAGGGCTCTCTGGAGGGCTACCCAGAAATATAAAGAATACCGGTTTTCAGTCTTCAAGTCCCCTTTGGTACATGTAGTCCTCAGATCACACGCACCTGTGGACTTCATACATACATACGTATGTAAGCAACAAGGAACATTGGAACCTTCCAAGTTTATCCCGGAACAAACAAGCTAAATAACAAAGCCCATGGTCACAGAAGTAAGGAAAACTTATCCTTTCCAACTCCTCATCCGTTTAACATCACTGCTAAATTGGCATCGATCTAGGTCTAGGACAAGTCCCTTCGCGAGCAATAACAATGGCACGTCTGCTGGATCTTCCAGCTGAACTCATTCTAGCCATTATTGACTACCTACAAGTGGACATGAAGCAGGAATCACTGCTATACGATGGACCTGGATATGACGAGGGCTGTGAGCTCGACCCTCCACTGAGCGTCAACCACCTGCATCCTCTCCTGCTCGCCAACTGTCGCCTGCACAGTCTTCTACAGCCCCTGTTATATCGTGATATCTTCGTTTACGGAAATGTTCACCTGAAGCAGCTCTCCCGGAGTCTTCAGAATAACCCGAGTCTCAAGGAACACATCATCTCGGCGACCCTCCTATGGCACCCCTCTATGCATGGCTCTCGCAATGATATATCTCATTTCTTTTGGTTCAACAACCTACGAACCCTTACTATTCACGGCTTCTGTGATTGGGATTCATTGGAATTTGACAATTCACTTATTGGCACCTCGCCTGTCGAATGTCTAAGACTGATTGCTTGTGGGGCGCACGAGGAGCCTTTGACGACTTTATTAAGTTGGCCGGTAGCGTTGAAAACGCTTCACTACGATGTTGAAAGACACGAGTGGGGACTCAATTATCAGTTCCCGTTAAAGCGCAGACACTGGACGTGTGCTGCTTTTATGCGCACGCTGCAACGGCAAAAACCAACACTGGTAGAACTGACACTGACAAGGCCATGGGATAATGGAGATTACCTGAACAATGGACCTCATCTTGACCTGAGCGAGTTCACGTCCCTCAAAACTCTGCGTATTTATCACGCCTTTCTCTGTGCAGATGGTCATGGTCCGTCCGAGGTCTGGGAGGGCTTACCCCACAGTCTGGAGGTGTTGGAGGTCTTCTACGACGATACAGACAACGATCCATTCGTATGGGATAACTATGAGTGCGATCCTTTTGTTCTTGATTTGATCAATCACAAGAGGGCACATCTTCCATATCTACACTCGGTGACCATCCACTCGACGGAAAAAGTCCGCGATTCCGAAACAGGGGGAGAACTGCCCGCGGGACTCTTGACACTGCCGTCGCTCGCACGTGAAGCCGAATCCGCTGGTATAGAGCTGAATATGTGGCTGGGATACGAAGATGCTCCAACCATGAGAGAACTGACGTTTCCAAGTCTCTGAAACTCAGTTAACCCAGACAGTCTATGCAATGAAGTGATGGTGAGATGCATCCATATACACAATGCATTCCTCCCTCCAATCTCTAGTTACGAAAAGTCAGATACTCAAGTCCTATAAAATCAAATCTTCGAAAAAACCCCCAAAGCCCCCTTCGTAGTCTCCTTCGTCTCCTTAACAAGCCCACTAACAGCCCGGAACGACTCATGCGCAGCATCACCAAGGATCTCAAAAAGCACACTCTCACTACTCGTAACAACAGCCCCAGCATCCCTCAACCTAGCAAGCGCAATCCCCCTCTCCTCGGGGTTAATACTGCTAACGCCATCGACGAGGATGTAAACGCGGTGACCGCGCTCGAGGAGATCGAGCGTCGTCTGCGTCACGCAGATATGCGTCTCGATCCCGACGATTATCACGTCGAGGGGCGCGGAATCTGGCGCTGGGAGCAACTTCTCGATCTCCGGGGTTATCATTGAGAAGAGGGTTTTGTCTACGTCGGCGCGGATGTGTGGGCCGCTGAGATGTTGTTGGAGTTCTGGTACGGTGTTGCCGAGTTTGGCGCGGTTTTGAGTTGTTATGAACACGGGGATTTGGAGGGTTGAGGCTGCGCGGAGCATTTTTTCTGTTGTCGAGACGCTGTTTGGTTGGTTGGCTTTTGGGTTCGATTAGTTTAGGATGTGGGATTCGTACAGTTTGGGGAATTCGTAGATTCCATTGCGGAATTTGTCTTGGATGTCGCAGATACTGTATTAGATGGCTGTCAGTTCTGGCCTTGAGAGGGTATCTTTAATGATACTGGATGTTTTGCATACAAGAGTGCGGGATTGCCTAGTCTAATGTTAGTGACTTGCATTGTGAAATTCGGGGATTTCTTACGAATTCGAGATGCGCGCGTGGGGACAGCCATGATTGCGACCGGTGGTAGTGTCTAGGGGATTCGTCTAGGAGTACGAGCAGAAAGATAGAAGAAGTAGAAGAGAAGAAATGGCGGGGACGGGAATCGGAGAAGTCGGAGATGCGGGGAAGCCGAGGGAAGATGGGCTGGTAGACTTGACATTGTGTTTTGATCATTTTTATTGTAGGTTTCAATCAATTATGATAACTTTTGTACTTGGTATGTACAGATCGTCCACTAATCTAGATATCTATAGCTTCACCTCGTGCACCTTGGCCCGGCCGGCGAACCAGCTATCGTCACCGTTTGCCGCCGCTGTGCGGATGGCGTAAAGTTCATCGACGAACGCCGGGACGAAGCTGCCCGGGCCGCGAACATACTCTTTGGCCGCGGTGTTCTCCGCCGCAATCTCATACATGAGAATTCCGGACAACACTGCGAGGAGTCTGTCGGAACGGTGGGCAGCCAAGAAGCAACCGGAGATTGTGCCGATGGCACAGCCAGTCTGTAAATTTACGTTAGCTATGTGCTAAAAAGAGGAATCAGTAGAGGTTGCATACTCCGGTCACTTGGCCCAGGTATGGGTGGCCATTCTCGACGGCAATGACCCGCTCGCCATCGCTGAGGTAGTCTGTTGCTCCGGTCAATAGCACAACGTTTCCTAGATGAAATTAGAAAGAAGAAATCACAGATAGAGATTCCGAGATTACTTACGCTCTCTGCGAGCCAGGTCCCGAGCCAACGTGGCTTTTTGATTGCCGTCAAGGGTACTCGGTCCGCTGTCGACACCGCGCTGCTGAACAGCACTGCTACCCCAAACCTGGCGAATCTCGCCCTCGTTACCCTTGATCAAATCAAAGTAACCCCCAGCCATAAGCTGAGTCACTGCGCTGCGGCGAATGTGTGTCGCAGCCGCACCGACTGGGTCGTAGACCACCGGGTTGCCCCGATCATTGTATGCCTTGATGGCTTTTAGGTAGTTTGAGACACTCTCGCTAGTCAATGTACCCATATTGATCAGTAGAGCGCCATCAAACTTGCACAAGTCCGTGGCTTCATCGCCATAAGGAGACATGATGGGAGATGCGCCACTATAGAACGGTTAGCATGGAAAATGGCTTGGCTAAGTACAATATACTGACATAGAAAGGGCAACGTTGGCCACAAAGTTCGACACAACGAAATTGATCATGTTGTGTACGAGAGGATGCACCTCTACCATCTTACGGATGATCTGGGGCACCTCATTCAACAAGGCCTCGGCCTCGTTAGCACGTGGAGGGTTGGCAATCTGCGCAAACCGGGGAGGGTTGCGGATGAGCTCGACGAAGTGCTCGGCAGATGCTTTAGGGTCGTCGGCTCCCACGATGGCGCTAACTATGGCCACTCCATCCAGTGCTTTCTTCGGTGACTGAGACTGATAGAGCACTCGTTGAACGTTGGAGTGGTTGATGCCACCGATGGAAACTGTGCCTATGGGGGAATCTTTAATGGCATCCAGGATGACTTGCGTACCTGCCGTCCCGATGACTGACTTGGTATTGGTTTTACTATGGGCAGTTAGCGCCTGTTGCTGGATCGTGGGATACTAGACATGCGAACTTACGTCGGGGTGGCAAACATGGTACCAATTCCGATATAGTCGGCGCCATCGGCGGTGGCTTTTCTTGCCTCCTCGACCGAGGATGTACTGATACCGATGATAGCATTCTCTGGAAGAAGCTTCTTTGCTTCGGTGAAGCCTGCATTTGACGTTAGTACATGTATCTTTGTAAAATCGTACATAGGTAGAAACGAACTCATATCATCTTGACCTAGATGCACACCCTCCGCACCAATGGCAAGGGCCACATCAACCCGGTCATTGATCAGAAGAGGCACATTGTATTTCTTGGTTACCTGGTGTAGTTTCCGGGCAGTTTCCACCTGGACACCAGTGTCGTTGGTCTTGTCCCGGTATTGCACCACCGTCACGCCTGCAGTTTGTGGGTTAGCTGTATAATTGGCGAGAACGCCGGAGTCCTACTCACCTCCTTGCAGAGCACTTTCTACCACTGTACATAAATCTCGCCCCTTGAGAATGGCCGGGGTCGAATCCGTGACCAAATAGAGCGACAGATCTACGGGCATGGTGTCTTGGCCTTGGGCCGGACAAAGGTGGGGAGTTTCGGAGTAATAGATTTGAGGCTGTTTTGACAAAGAGATTCAAACCGAAATGAAGAGCGGTTCGACAGGGCCAGCAGGCTATACTCGTACAACACAAAACACCGTACTTAAGTGACTGAAGGAGTCCTGGAGATTGCCGTTTATCGCTGTGTGGCCGTGGTGGGGTCTTGGAAGGTTCGGCCTGTACTGATCCGGTTTATACAACATTGTGAAATCCACTTATATCACCTATATATGCTTCAATATTGTTAAGAGTTTATTCCGAAGCATAAATAGTCTTAAAGTTAAGAAAGATCTCTTCAAAATAACCGTTCTGGAATACCAAGAACCTCCCATGTCCTATATTCGACTGTCAATGGTCCTTTATACTCCGAGTTATTCCCGGCACGTGCTCGCTGACATAACCGTGATTTGTCAAATTCTGCTATTTCTTTTTCTTCTTCTTCTTCTTCTCCCCCAACAACACACAAACACTTCACAGGCATCGAGTTATTTTCGAAGCCTTTATCTATCTACTGCGTGGACTTTCAGTTCTACGCTATTCATTCTTCATAACTGGTTAGTTCGGCCTCGCCATCATCACTTGCCACCATCCGCCAGGTCTCCGACCTCTGACTCGGATTCCCAAAGAACTTCAATCGTTCCCAGAAAGCAACACATTGAGAAGTTTCCCGCGAACTTGTCTATGTATTCGTCCTCCGTCCAAAATTTCGAACATCACCTGCCGCTCAAGCTGCAAACGTTTCGCGCGCCGAAACCTTGCAGCATACACCTTCAGATCCTGTGGCTGAATACCCCGGATCTTTCCTCGATTTCTTGTGACTTTTCCTAAAGGAATCACATTCTATACCCACTAAAAAAAAGGGAACTTGACACGCATGTCTTGCCTCATCAACAAAATCATCATCCAGAATCCTTCCAGCTTTCCCTTAAGCAATCCCACTGTTCCATTCTTGTGAACCAACCGCTCAATTAAACCGTCATCATGGCCACCGTCAACATTCGCCGGGATATCACCGATCCCTTCTATCGCTACAAGATGGAGAAGCTCCAGGCCAAGGTCGAGGGCAAGGGTAACGGTATCAAGACCGTTGTCGTCAACCTGAACTCGGTTGCCCAGTCCCTCAGTCGGCCTCCTGCTTATCTCATCAAGTACTTCGGATTTGAACTTGGTGCCCAGGCCAATGCTAAGCCCTCTGACGACCGTTGGATCATCAACGGTTCTCACGACGCCCCCAAGCTCCAGGATTACCTCGACGGTTTCATTTCCAAGTTTGTGCTATGCAAGAAGTGCAAGAACCCTGAGACCGATGTCATTATCAAGGATGAGAAGATCACCCTGGACTGCAAGGCCTGTGGTCAACGCTCTGATGTCGACCCTCGCCTCAAGCTGAGCACCTTCATTGTTCGCAACCAGCCCAAGGGTGGCAAGAAGGAGAAGAAGAAGTCCCGCCGCGAGCGAGAGAAGGAGAAGGCTGCCAATGGCGAGGAAGCCAGCCCTGGCGACAGCCAGAACTCCGAGAATGGCGAAGACGGAGATCTTGCCATCGAAGCTAACAGCGACGATGAAGTGACCCGTCAGGCCCAGGCCATCGAGGCTGAGACTGAGATTAAGGATGATGAGTGGGCCGTCGATGTTTCCGAGGAGGCTGTGAAGGCTCGTGCCAAAGATCTCCCTTCGGACCTGAAGCGTGCCCTTGTCATTGAGGATGGTGACGATGAGGGAGCTGATGGACCTTCGTCCTACGAGCAGCTGGGCAGCTGGATCGTTGACACCGCCGCTGAGAAGGGCGGTGTTACCAACGTCACCGATGTTGAGATCTACATGAAGGCCAAGGAATTCGGCATTGAGAGCAAGCACAAGACTGTTGCTGTCTTGGCACAGAGCATCTTCGACGAGAAGATTGCCAAGCAGATCGAAGGCCGCGCTGGTTTGCTCAAGAAGCTGATCACCTCCGATCGTCACGAGAAGGCTTTCCTCGGTGGTACCGAGCGCTTCGTCGGCCAGGACCACCCGGAGCTTGTCGCCCAGGTCCCTGCCATTCTGCTGGGCTACTACCAGAACGACCTTGTGTCTGAGGAAACCCTCAAGGCGTGGGGTGCCAAGACCAGCAAGAAGTACGTCGACATCTCGACCAGCAAGAAGATCCACAAGGCCGCCAAGCCCTTCATCGAGTGGCTCGAGAATGCCGAGAGCGATGAGGAGAGTGAAGAAGAGAGCGAGTAGACGGTAACCGTTGTGGACGCTGTTCTGTACCCTTGGTTATTTGCTATCTGCGTCCATTCTTATATTTGAACACAGACATTTTTGGACCTCTGTCTGACCTGGCCGTCTCTCTGACCTGGCCATCCCTCATGGACTGATCAGTTCGGTTGTTATGTTAGTTTAGCTCACCAATTGCCACTCCTTTACAATGAATATCAATACGGTATCAATATCCAATCCATCCAATTCATCCGTATCATCAGCACTAAGGTACCTGTACAAGTGAAGTAGCTCAAAATACAATAGTCATGTCTCATGCTATACAATGCTATCAACAGAAAGCGAGAACTAGAACACTAACTCAGCTAGTCTAACCGGCTCCCCATCGCCATTGAAAAGGAGATTAGTAGCACCACATTTCCTAGCATTGCCTGTAGTAACCACATCCGCTCCCAAGCGATGCCGCATAAAGACAAACCACGTCAAGTCCACATTCCAAGCCTCCATCGCCCGAATCGCATCCTCAACAGAAACCATACTTCCACCAGACGCAGAATCATCCACAGACATAGAAGTCCTCGAGGAAATGAAATAATACTCGGGCCCAACAAACAGCGCAATCCAGCCACAAAGCATCTCACATATCCTGTCACCCACTTCCAACGGTAACCGGACATGCGAGAGAACTGTGATAAACAGGGAGACCAACGCACGCCACAGACGGTGGTGCGACGTAAAGAATTTCGATCCCAGCGTCGACGGCGAGAGCGAAAGGGACGAAGAGAGGGCTAAGTGCAGAGTGGACGCCATATCTCCCGATTTAGCGACAGCCACAGACACGCTCGTAGCCTGGGACTTGGCACGGCGCTCGTTCGCAGCCTCGGCGTCGGCGCGCACCTTCTCCCACACCCGGCGGTATAGCCGGTCCCAGCGGGGGAATTCGGTTTCGACGCGCGTGGCCATGAAATCGCCTGCGCCTTTGCACATTGCTTCCATGGCCTCGCACGCTGTTACCGTGACGAAGATTTCTTCTTGGTGGTCTGGGGTTTCGGACTTCCGGGTTGGTTCTGTGGATGGGGTGGCGATGAGGGATTTGGATGTTTCGTTTGCTTGTGATGAGGGGAAGATTACTCGGCTTGCTACTGTGGGCCAGAGCTCGTTGATTAAAGGGAGGAAGCTGGTTTCGTTTTGGGATAGGGCGGGTAGGATATCGATGAGGATCGAGAGGAGGGAGCGTCGGAGGTAGGGAGATGGTGAGGTTAGGTGGGATGGGATGGATTTGACGATGTGAAGGAGGAGGGCATGCGTTTTGGTGAGCGGCTTCTCGGCGTCTTCTGGTTCTTTGGGAGGTGGAAGTGGTGGCTCCTCTGATTCGGCTTGGTCCAGAAGCTCTTCGATGGACGGCTCTGGAGGAGGTTTGTCGTATGTTTCTGACCATGGCTTTTTGGGATGGGGGATTTTGCCATCAGCATCTGCTAGTTCATCCTCAGCATGCTGTTTCGCTTTGCGGTTGGCAATATCTGCGGCGATGCATGAGATTGAGAGATTCTGATATTGAGACTTGCGGGTATCGTGGGAGCCATTCTCTTTGCCCTCGTCGATTGTGAGCAAAGATGGTTTCTTCGCTCCTTCCTCGACGACTGCAGCTAGCGTTTTGAACATCATCTCGACGAGTTTCGGATACCCGTGGTATAGATCCAGGATACCAAATACAGAATCAACCAGATCATCTAGATAAGGTATCAACCGGGCACCGCAAAGCTTGACCATCATAAACAGGACCTGTGGCGGATAAGGTGATACGTCGAAGGTATTAAGTTTCAAGGCCACCGAGTTCACCAAATAGTCCACGTTTTCAATGATCATAGTACTCGTGTCTGGGTAGTTGCAAGCATTGGTCAAGATATTCAGACATGTCATGGCGTGGCGTTGGAGGTTAGGGTTCTGTGATGCCAGCAACTGCAAAGTTGGGTAGAGCGCGTCCATGAGTTCAGGTCGGAAAGCCTCGCCAAGTTGTTGAGCTTGGAGAGCCACGGATTCCAGAGCAAGTGCTGATGTACGCCAGTCTCCTGTCCCATCAACTGACAGTTCGTTCAGTATATTTAATGAGATATAATACAACTCCTCAATCATTCCGCCACGGCCAGTGAATGAGATGGACCCCTCAACATGATCAAGAGAGATGAAATCGTCAAAGCTGGCTGTTGCCGTAGTGCTGTCCCGCAAGAAAGTCATCGCCAACCAGAAAGGTGCAATAGCGGAATCACTTGACGTTATGTGCATACGGTTGACAATCGATCGAGTGATCTCATTCCCAGACTCAGACAAGTTCAACCTAGTAATCATTGACCGTAGGTCTTTGAGAGTTTGTTGCTGGCTTTGATGTTCCAAAATAATGGGTGGAAACACCTTGGATCTGGCATCAGTGCTGAGCACCTCCCAGTTGAAGCCAGCATCCATCGAGGCCAACGGCTGGAGAGAATTGGTGTTCTGTTTGACAACAGCACCGACGCTATCGCATAGGCCGGATGCCAAACCGCTGGTAAGCAAATCTGATCCAGACTGAACTTGGGACAGGACCTGAAAGACGGTGGAGATCTGACGAAGCCCCCACTGCTTAGCAGTTTCATCGTTGCCTTGCATGATTCGAGGGAAAGAAGTGAGCCAAGTGTGCAGCGATTCTTTTAATGAATCCAACACTGTAGGGTATGTTGTAGCAAGATGAGTTACGTTTCTGTAGGCTTCATTCACTCCCTCGTCCTCTTTATCTGCTAGAACAACAACTGTTTCAACCATCATTGGGAGAGACTCTGACAGTGTGGTCTGGCACTCTTCGATTACCATCAGGCAGAGGTCTAGGACGGCAGACTGAACCTCTAGTCGCTGATGACGGCGAACCTGTATAACATTGGCCAGAGCAAGTTTAATCTGCGTTGTGGTGGCCTTCAACCAGGCTTCATCCAGAGCTATCTTATCGCTTCCCAGCTCGGGCGGGGAGACTTCTGAAGCGACACGGTCATTGAGAACAGCTTTTAGGAGCTCTGTGAGAATCTGCAAGGAGGTCTGGAGGAGCTTGTATGACCTGCGGGTCTGTGTCGATGGCTTTAAAATCTTAGCCAGTGCCGACACAGTTCGCGGCATGATGCTGGCAAGCACCACGCGGTCCGTGACTCGAGCATAAAGTGCTTGCAAAGCCTTTGCGGCTGCCAGGCAGAGCTCATCTGATCTATCATCGACAATTCCCTCAAGCAGAATATATACTGTTTGATCGACAACAGTTGCGGTGCCGATCTCGTGATAGATTGTCCGTTCTGGAACAGCTCCTTTTAAGACCGTGAATATAGCACTGAGGCAGTCAAACCCAGCAATACACAGTTCCTCAGAAACCTTAGGCTTCGGTAGTTGCTTCTCTTCCACCTTGTTTGGAGATCCTCCCACGATCAACGTCAACAGGATTATGAGTTGCTTTCCCATCGCAGGAGACAGCCGTTGCCGCCATCCATCGGCAACCAGTATCCGCAAACAGTGGACGGCCGACTCTAAACATCGTGCGGGTAGTCTTTGTGTTTCATTGAAGATATGCGACAATGGAAAGAAAGCGTATTCAGCTAGCTTCTCGTCGAGGGTGTTGTTCCTCGCAAGTTCCTTTAAACAGTTGTGTACTGGCTCAAGGACTCGGGATACATCGGCGGCGGAAGCTTGGTTTCCTCGAAAACGCAGGCCCACGGAGCTGAGTTCGACGCATGGCGCTCGGAGCTATTCAGAAATCAGCACTGTTCGTCCTAAGAGCCGAATGAAGCATATCATACCTGCTTGAAAGATTCCTGCCGGAGGTTGTCCATTGCAGCCAAACAAGGCTGGGTGGCGTTAGAGTGGCAAGATAGTAGCCAAGATGTTGAGTAGTATTAAATTAGTCAAACGTCAGAAGCCCCATTATAAACAGCGTCCAGCGGACCCATCGCGATCGAATACAGCGGGACTGCATCCCAAAACTGCACCGCTCTGTCATCATCTGCCGGCATAATCAAGCGGTGAACATAATCTATCCAAAACGGGCAAGATAACGCTGCACGTGATACGTTAGCGCGTCTCAACGCGTGGGAATCCCGACAGCTGCCTGCCACACGAGTGACAACCAGTGTTGCCTTGGCTGTTTCAATTGTGGTTCAGGTCTGCTCGGACTATATATTGGACCATATTCTGTGTCCATTTGACTCCGAGTCAAACGCCTATGCGGGTTTTGCGGATTCAAGAGCTTGCGCTTTTATCGCTCTCGCGCTCGAGATCTAGCTTCTGCATCCGATCTGCAGGACACCACAATTTCTTGACCACATCAATCTCGAAGCTATCTACGGGCTCGTTCTCTGCCAGTATTGCAGCCCAGCAAAAGAACAAGACAAATTTCTCATCGTCGCGAATCATGGCCGATGACAAGAGCAGGAAACAGGCTACACTGGGGTATGTACGGGATAGACAGCAGACGATTGGGTGCGTCGACAATATTCGATGGCGCATGCGCCCTTTCCCTCTGGCACCTCTCGGCTTTTCCTTTGGTTCACTCCGCTAATTCATTCTATCCGTCTTGTAGGAGGTTTTTCGGCTCGGGCGCCAACCAACCGCCGAAGAAGCAAACCACATTAGCCTTTGGTGGAAAGAGACAAGCAACAAGCAGCGATGCCGCTGATGCGGAGGCCAATGATAACACCGACGGAATTGAGGTGGAAGACGCTGCCGACTCAGCACCAACTGCTATCCCCAATGGAACGGAGCCAACGAAGGGTGTGAAGCGGGAAAAGAGCGCCGAGGCGGAAGAAAGCGATGGTTCAGATATCCAACCTGTCTCTAAGAGACGACGAAAGGCCTCGGTGAAGACCTCTCCAGCTGCCAAGAAGCAATCGGCATCCCCGAAGAAGCCTGAGTCTACAAAGCCAAAGGTTGAAGCGCCATCACCAAAACCAGCAGTGCCAAAGCCCTCCGATGTTACTCCTGAAGAGAAGTCACCGTCAGTAGAAGAAGACGAGGATCCATTGGAAAGCGAAGATGAAGATGACCTCAAGCCGGAACTCGCGAAGAAATCAATCGAAAAATTCCAAGCCAAATTGCAAGCCAGTGGTAAAGATCCATACCCGGATTGGAAGGCAGGCACTCCTGTCCCTTATGCTGCCTTGTGTACCACATTTTCTCTTGTAGAGATGACCAGAAAACGCTTGGAGATCACGGACCACTGTTCTCTTTTCCTTCGCCAGGTTCTTCGTCTGACCCCTGCCGATTTCCTACCCACTGTTCAGCTGATGATCAATAAACTGGCTGCCGATTACGCCGGAATTGAACTGGGCATTGGGGAGTCACTGATCATGAAAGCTATTGGTGAATGTACCGGCCGCAGCCTTGCCGTCATCAAAGCCGATCAACGGGAAATCGGAGACCTGGGACTGGTCGCTGCCAAAAGCAGGTCAAACCAGCCTACCATGTTCAAGCCCAAGCCCTTGACTGTACGAGGTGTACATGAAGGCCTTCTTGGAATTGCCAAGGTCCAAGGTCATGGATCACAGGATAAAAAGATTTCAGGCATCAAGAAACTGCTGTCTGCAGCCGATGCCGACACGGCTGGCAAAGGGGTGGATATCACCAAGGACAAGGGTGGTCCCAGCGAAGCTAAATACATCGTTCGCTTTTTGGAAGGTAAACTGAGACTTGGACTTGCGGAGAAGACGGTTCTTGTCGCTGTCTCTCGGGCAGTCCAGACTCACGAGGCTGAATTAGCCGGCAATAAGATCCCATCCGCTGAGGAAATGGCAGCGGGTGAAAACATCTTCAAGTCTGTTTACAGCGAGCTTCCTGCCTACGAAGTAATCATTCCTGCCGTTCTTGAGCATGGTCTCTCCAAGCTGCCTGAAGTGTGCAAGCTTTCTCCCGGAATTCCTATCAAGCCTATGCTTGCCAAACCGACCAAGTCTATCACCGAGGTTCTTGACCGGTTCGAAGGGAAGGAATTCACTTGTGAATATAAGTACGACGGAGAAAGAGCCCAGATCCATTTTGTGTCTCCGGATTCTATCCACCAATATCCTGGAGCTGTGAACACATTACAGAAGGACAGCAAGGGACTGTCCTCGATCTTTTCCCGCAACTCGGAAGATCTTTCGAAGAAGTATCCCGATGTTCTAGGCAAACTTGACACATGGGTCAAACCCGACGTTAAGAGCTTCGTTCTCGATTGCGAAACGGTCGCATGGGATACGGAGGCGAAAAAGGTTCTTCCCTTCCAGCAACTGATGACTCGCAAGCGCAAGGATGTCAAAGCGGAAGATGTCAAGGTCAAGGTCTGTGTGTACGCCTTTGACCTGCTTTTCTTCAATGGAGAGGTAAGATCATTTGTCTTTTTGGCGCATCTATAGCAGCGATTCGCTGGATCCCTCTTCTTGTCTTCTCCTTCCTAGATTTCCATGCTAACTTTTCAACAGCCTTGCGTGAAGAAATCTCTACGAGAACGGCGAGAGCTAATGCATAAATGCTTCCAACCGGTTGAGGGGGAGTTCCAGTTTGCCCAATATGGCAACTCTAGTGTCCTCGATGAGATCCAAGAATTGCTCGAGGCTAGTGTTAAGGCTTCTTGTGAGGGTCTTATGGTGAAAATGCTGGACACAGCAGAGAGTGGTTATGAACCAAGCATGCGGAGTCGCAACTGGCTGAAGGTATGGTGTCTCTTCTTGATTAGTCCAACCGTTGCTAACTTTTATACAGGTCAAAAAGGACTACCTCGCCGGTGTTGGTGACTCTCTTGATCTTGTCGTACTCGGGGCCTACTATGGTCGTGGAAAACGTACTTCGGTTTATGGTGCCTTCCTTCTCGCTGCCTACAACCCCAGTAACGACACATATGAGACCATATGTAACATCGGCACTGGCTTCTCTGAGGCGCTACTTGAAGAGCTACACCAGACGCTAGTTCCCTTGGTGATTGACCGCCCAAAGCCATTTTATACTCATTCAACCGTTCCCAAGGACCAACCGGATGTTTGGTTTGAGCCAAGACTGGTGTGGGAAGTCAAAACAGCCGATTTGACCCTCAGCCCACGCTATCAAGCCGCTGCTGATGAGTTCCAAGGTACAACCGGCGGTGGAAAAGGCGTGTCTTTGCGTTTCCCGCGGTATATTAAATCCCGCGACGATAAGAAGCCAGACGAGGCTACTACCACCCGTGCTGTTGCAGAGATGTATCGAAAACAAGAAGCAGTTACCAAGGATACTACTAGCAAGGGAGGTGTGGATGACGACTTTGAGTATTGAAGCGATTTTGTCAGGCGCACTATAGCGAGTGTAATTGAATTCATTGGATATCTATTACGGCCCCTCTCAGTCGTATGCATTTTCCAGAATGGCACCATTTCCCAGGTTGGGTGCATCATTAGGGCTTACCATAGTGCCACTTGTAGCCCCGGAGCCTTCCTTGGGCAGCTCTATGATCCCACGGCAATTATAACCTGTAGGCGTCAATTTAACTATTCATTTCTTTTTAATTCCACCACCCCTTTCTAAGACAAAGCCCCTGTTGATCAGTATCCAATATCGTGACCTTATTCTAATCCCGGCTATCAACGGAATATCTCCGGACTCCGGGGTGCTTGGCGCTGCAAGCCAAGCAGCCGGACCCTGCTCGGGCCCTAAGTCGGCCTGCGTCCGCCTTTCTTTGTTCGCAGCACGTCTCGCTAGCGTCTTTGAAATGGCCAACAGCACGAAATAACATCATGCATATCTCTCTTGGCACCGAGGAATGTAACATGCCCCCCTTCGACGGCAAAGTGCTATCTCCACTATGCCTACTAGCTCACTGTGCGTGTGGAGTCCCAGCACTTATATTTCGGTGACTGTCCGGAGTGCAGCCCGTCTGCTTTTCTGCACGTTTCTCTTTAGCTGCGTGGCTGCGTACTTGATTGACAATATGCGCGTGTTTCAATTGACAACAGCCCTCGGGTCGATCATCGTTTCTGCAACAGCTCTTACTCCCGAGTTAGTACTGATCTTCCCAAGCGATTAATCCGTTCTACTTCTTGATCGGTTGTTGATTTTCTTTGTAGGCAGCTTATCGCAGCTCCGAGACGGAGTGATGCTATTCCTAATCCATCAGGGGTAAGTCGCACAGTTAGATGCAGATATCGACAATGTTATTGACCTGACATAGGAAGTCGCCCTCTTTTCCACCTCTGAATACTCCTTCGAGACCCATGCTACATCATCATGGTGGAGTCTGCTGGATCTGGAGACTGGGAAAGTGACTCAACTTACCAACGACAGCAATGTCTCCGAATTGACTTGGCTAGGGTCTACTGACTCGGGCCTGTTGTATATCAATGGCACAAATGCCGAGATTCCCGGAGGTACCGAGATTTGGGTGTCAGATACCTCTGATTTCGCCAACTCGTAAGCTTATATGCATATTTTAAATGGACAGAACCTTACTAATTTCTGCACAGTGCCTACAAGGCAGCTTTATTGCCTGCGCCGCTTTCTGGCCTCAAGACGGCCATCACCGAGTCTGGAGACATTAACTTCTTGGTGTATGGAGAGTCCTGGCCCAATGGAACTGCGTACAATAAAGAGCTTGTTGCCGCGCCTTTAAGCTCGGCACGTATCCACGACAGTATCTACGTCCGCCACTGGGATACTTGGCTCACGACGAGATTCAATGCTATCTTCTCGGGGACTCTGAAGAAGAAGAGAGCCGGACCTGGAGCGACATCCGCCTACACTTCTAGTGGATCTCTCAAGAACCTCGTCGCAGGAGTCAAGAACCTGGAGTCACCTTACCCGCCATTCGGCGATGCGTCTGACTATGACATCTCCTCCAATGGAAAATTGGTGGCATTCAAGAGCAAGGCACCTGAATTGCCACGAGCAAACCACACTGCTTCGTATATTTATCTTGTGCCCCATGATGGATCCAAGAAGGCCGTGGCTATCAATGGCCCTGACAGTCCTGGCACACCGAAAGACATCAAGGGTGATTCGAGCAGTCCTGTCTTCTCTCCAGATGGCCGTCACATTGCATATCTCCAAATGGAAGATATCTCCTACGAGTCGGACCGTCGCACTGTCTACGTTTACACCATTGACTCCAAGGATACTATTCGTACATTGGCCAAGGACTGGGACCGGTCACCTGGTGCCATCAAGTGGACTGCTGACGGGAAGAACCTGGTTCTGAACACCGAGGATTCTGCGCGCTCTCGACTCTTCCTGCTGCCCGCTGATGCTGGTAATGATTTCACGCCTAAGAACTTCACCGACGGTGGCTCCGTGGCTGCTTACTACGGCCTGCCTAATGGAGAATACTTGGTTTCTAGTTCCGCTATCCATACCAGTCGTACAGTCTACACCGCGAAACCTGGCGAAGGCGTCACAGGCGTTATTTTCTCTGCGAGCGAAGTTGACCCCGCCTTGAAGAACCTTGGTCCATCAGACGTCGACGAGTTCTACTATAAGGGCAACTGGACAGATGTAAGTTTACCTTTTCTCATGGAACTGAAGAGACGTTAACGTTATAGATTCACTCATGGATTGTTTACCCTTCGGACTTTGACAAGTCAAAGACCTACCCGCTCCTATTCTATATCCACGGTGGTCCTCAAGGTTCCTGGGGTGACTCCTGGAGCACTCGGTGGAACTACAAGGTCTTTGCCGACCAAGGATACGTGGTTGTCGCGCCCAACCCAACAGGAAGCACTGGTTTCGGTGATAAACTCACGGACGAGATCGCGAACAACTGGGGTATGTCATTCCCATCACTCATGCCCATTCTTACCTTCTAATGATCAACAGGAAGCTACCCTTACGACGACTTGGTCAAATGTTGGGAGCATGTCCGGGACAACTTCGACTTCATTGATACCTCTCGCGGCGTGGCAGCTGGCGCCAGCTACGGTGGTTTCATGATCAACTGGATCCAGGGTAATCCTCTCGGCCGCGAGTTCAAGGCGCTAGCCAGTCACGATGGCACATTTGTGGCCGATGCAAAGGTCTCAACCGAGGAACTCTGGTTCATGCAGCATGAGGTATGTGTCTTGTTCGTGGCATTTCCTCTGTTTGTATATTGACTCTTCCAAAGTTCAACGGCACGTTCTGGGACAACCGAGAGAACTATCGTCGGTTCGATCCATCGGCCCCAGAACACATTAAGCAGTTCACCACTCCACAGCTCATTATCCACAGTGATTTGGACTATCGTCTTCCCATCTCTGAGGGTCTGGCGCTTTTCAATATCTTGCAAGAGCGAGGTGTTCCGAGTCGGCTGCTCAGCTTCCCTGATGAAAACCATTGGTACGTATAATGGAGCCTCTGAATGGGGATACACCATCAGAGAGTCAGTAAAGCTAACACGGCATTGAAATAGGGTCACCAACAAGGAAAACAGTCTTGTCTGGCACCAGCAAGTCTTAGGGTGGCTCAATAAGTACGCCGGCATTGACACCCCGGGCTCTGTCAGTTTGGATGACACTACAATTCCTGTTGTGGATTATAATCCTCAGTTCTAGTATGGCAGTGTATAGCCAATGCGCTATATCGTATTTGTCTATATCAAGTTTTGACCTTCCATACATACCAATTTACTTTTTTAGTGGTCTTAGGTCCTTTGATACAACCTTTGGTATCTCAACTTCTACAATACCTCAACTTCTATGCCAATTTCTATGTCAATTTCTACACTTGCAGCTATACGCTTCCGTAAGTTCTAAGTCTTCAATATTGTTGTAGAGGTGTTCTGCCTGTGTCTCGGATGAGTTGTTTCAGGATGTTTGTTTCATAAATGTTTCTCACTGTTTCTATGCTGTGTCCAATTTCTACACATGAACAATGGATCATAAATGTAAAGGCCTTTCTGATGTGGTTTGCGTAATATGTGCTACTCTGAGAGTATCTTATAGAATCTGGATCAACAGATATAAAAAGTCCCTGCCTACAAACGTTTTCCGCAGCAAACGAATTCTCAAACACATTCTCCTTCTCCCCTAAATTTGGTCTTCTCTGCCATCTCTGCCATCTCTCAGTTTCATCAACTTCTCACTCACCATCATGCCTCCCAAATCTCCTTCCCGTAAAGGTGGCAAGAAGGGTATGTCCCATACTCTGTCCCCTGATCCATCATCATCGCCCATCCGAAAGAAGCAAAAAGGTACACCATCGGCCATCCTAGACAGAGCTAACAGCAGCTCCCGGTCAGGAATTCCCAAGTTGGAATCCTCTTCCGGAACCCATCCCCCAAGTGAGTATTGGAATCAACTTACAGACTTTCAACGGGCTTTCCTCGATGGCGCTATGCAAGAGACAGTCTCTAACCTCTATGATTTTGGCGCAGAGATCAAAGCTGAGACGTCTTCTCCCGCTCCCTCTTCCATCATCAATGACGAGAACGAGAGTCAGTACAACCTTGGCACTCCTGTCCCATGCCCAATTTCAGCCCCATTTCCATGTACCGTGGACGATCTTACCTTATGTCACGCTCCCACCGCTGATCCCACTGGCTACCCTATTTTTGTTTCTCGAAATGGGCGCTGGGACTGGTATTATCTTCACTCTAACACCAAGACTACAGAGTCTTCCGCTACACCTGCCAATGGTACGAGCAACGGAAATACCAAGACAAAGAGTGAGTTTGCAAACGACCTCTGTCTTTGCCCGAACCAATTTCCCTGCACGAAGGACGACACTACTTTGTGTCCTTGTCCCAATCCTGGTCCCAATTCCGCCAACGGTCCCACCTTTTCTTCTCAAAACGGACGTTGGGAATGGATCTTTCTCCCCTCTAACACGGATACAGAGTCGTCTCCCCCAAGGTCAAGATGGAGGACATCCCCGAGGCCAATCCAAGGGTCCAGCGACCAAGCAACCCCCTCTCGACCACATTCACCGCTGCTGACCTGGATCACTTCGTCTTCCACGGCGTCCACGACAGCGATGACGACATCTCCCCAGTGCCCTCACTGGTCGAAAACACAAACAGGCAATCCAGGCCCGAAAACATAATCGAGCATGTCAGGGCCGAAAACATAGCTGAGCAAGCCAAGACTGTGAAGCATGTGAAGTTCTTCATGAACAATTCCCACGACAAGCACTTCGTTCCCTTCGAAGTTCCTGCTCTCATTGGCAATGAGAACTGGGAGCCCTGGTTGGCCGGCATGTACCTGCTCTTCCGCCAGCACTCGGTGTGGTCTGTTGTGACTGCAGAACTTCAGCCACTGCCTCCAGGTCACAATTTGCACCTGTGGTACAAGCGCATGCTCGATTGTGCAGTTGCCCTTATCTACGCCAACGTCTCTGATGTGGTCCGCAACACTCATTGTTTCATGCGTACCCTGCACGATGATGATCCTGACGAGTTGATGGCCCACCTGTACGCTCACTATGCCGAGCCTAATTTGACTCACCCGCATGAAGAGTCTGAGCTTGATTAGGTGAGTTTGGGGCTTGACAAAAATTTGCTTGCGGGGAGTGCACATTGCAACATGTACATTGTCCCTAGGTTCCCTGGTATCTAAGGGAATCATTTTCCCGTCTCACCCTGATTTTTCGATATCTGACCTTTGATACTCTTTTATCTGCATGTAATATGCAGTACAAGCTACTTTTCTTAAATCACAACAGATTGTTTAATGCTTTTCTCGTGTATTCTTACGTTGGTAGTTCAGTCTATGAACCGAATGCAATTCGGAAGTCTAGTTATTGCCTCAGTAATGACGTATAGTCCACTAGATGAAGCTCTCGGTAGAACACAGTTGGTCCGATGCTCAATGACATATAGACGGGATCTACGCGAATATAGCCCGAAAACACAGATTTTCGGATGATCTTCGGCCCAATTGTCAACTGGGCTCCAATGCAAGGACGCATCTTGGCATATTGAACATAGAAAGCCACCAGCTTTGCATTTATAACAAGCATCTATATCTTCTAATCTCAGCTGGAGGATCAAATTACCCAAACCATTCAGAGATACCACATCGCTACAAACCCACAGATCTTCGAAGGTTACGTTACACCAATGGCTCCCATACTTCCAAACACCCAAAACACGTTCGGCGAGAAAAGATCGAACGAAGCCTCAGTGAATATAGCAGACATAATTCCGACCACTGCTCAAGCGACAGAATCGGATAAAGTCGAGGATAATGCCATCGATACAGAATTCCTTATTGTTGGCGCAGGGCCTGCAGGTGCAGCCTTAGCTTGCTTTCTTGGCTCTCATGGTAAGCATCTGGGACAAAGCAACTCTGCATCTAACCACTAAAGCTCGAAGGGCTCAAGGGCATTATGATCAGCAGCGCGCCAGGGACAGCAAACACCCCTCGCGCACACATTACCAATATGGCAGCGCTTGGTAAGTCACGGGTATAATCTCACAGTTGCCGCTAAAATACTAACATACATACTCAGAATGTCTACGAGACATTGGTCTATATGAAGAGCTCCAGAAATTGGGATCTACGGGCGAAGACCATATGCAACACACCAGATGGTGCCACAGTATGGCGGGCGAAGAGTACGCGAGAATTCATTCCTGGGGTAATGATCCGAGACGGAAGGTAGGATTCAATTGCTCTTCCCACTTGACTTTACACTACCAGGAGATTGGCCCGGGTAGTTTGTGGAATAAATCCACTAACGGGGTTCTGCAGGGTGACTACGAACTGGCGAGTCCATGTGAACCATTCGACCTGCCACAGACAGTCATGGAACCGGTTCTAGTTCGCCACGCGGCTTTGAAAGGCTTCAAGTGTCGCTTCGATACGACGCTTGTTTCTTTCAATGAGGAGAAGACTGGGTTGATCACAGCAACCATCCGTGATGAGATCTCAAAGAACGAATACTATATCCGCACCAAGTATCTGTTAGGGGCCGATGGTGCCCGCAGCCAAGTGGTGAAGCAACTTAATTTGCCTCTCGCAGTCCTGCGAGGACAGGGTATGGCAATCAACGTGCTTGTCAGGACCGATCTCTCCCATCTCGTCAAGAATCGAACGGGTAATCTGCACTGGGTGATGCAGCCAGATCGCGAGCACCCTAGCTTTGGCTGGATGGGAATCGTTCGCATGGTAAAGCCTTGGAATGAATGGATGTTCATCTTATTCCCAGATCGCAGCTATGACCGTTCTCAAGGCCAACCGTCTATAGAGGAGTATCGAAAGAGGGTACAAGAGTTCATTGGCGATGACACACCGGCTGAAATCCTCGATATCTCTACCTGGTATATCAATGAGATTGTTGCAGAGAAGTACTCGGAAGGGAATATGTGAGTGATTCCCCGGTTAACTCGAGTAAATCCTTTCTAAACATAAATTGTGATTGCAGCTTCTGTCTCGGCGACGCCGTGCACCGCCACCCTCCATTAAACGGCCTGGGCTCCAACACGTGCATCCAAGACGCCTTCAACTTGGCCTGGAAGCTTGCATATGTCCACAAGGGCCTCGCATCCCCATCACTTCTATCCACCTATTCCAGCGAGAGACAGCCTGTTGGTCATTCGATCATCACCCGAGCAAACCAGGCATACCGCGACCACTTCCATGTGTGGGAAGCGCTTGGCATGCTGCCGACTGATCTGTCCGAACGGAAGCAGATATTGGAGGAGTTGAGAAGTGCAACTCCACAAGGATCAAATCGCCGCCGTGCCTTACGCGCCGCAATCAAACATACCTCTCATGAGTTCCACGGGCTGGGAATCGAAATGAACCAGCACTACGAGGGCCAAGGAGTCTATACAGCTGACGAACCGCATCCATCTGGTCAATCCGGGCGGGCAAGTGAGGATAAAGTACTGCATCATGAACCGAGTACATATCCGGGCTCACGTTTGCCGCATGTTTGGCTCAACAAGGCGACTCCGGAGGAGGCTATCTCAACAATCGATATTACTGGCCATGGCGTATTTACGCTTTTCACTGGAATTGGGGGTGGAGGTTGGAAGGAAGCGGCGGGGGCTGTTGCTGAGAAGCTCAATGTCCCAATCCGGGCGTGTTCAATTGGATTCAGGCAAGACTGGGAGGACGTGTATTTTGAGTGGGAAAGTGTTCGAGGTGTGGAAGAATCCGGGGCTGTGTTGGTGCGACCGGATCGATTCGTTGCATGGAGAGCATCGGAAGCTTTGCAGGACTGTGAGGCCTGTGAAGCAAAGCTTCTCATGGTTATGAGATCCATTCTGGGATTTTGAAAATCTGTAGCAATATGGAATATATTCCATGAATATGTACCCTACTGGAAATTATGGTATTAGTGGCATTCATTTACATACATATGGAACTCTCAACGGGAATATCTAAGAGGCATTCGCGTTGCTCTTGGATATCCCATTTGTACATAGCCTGTTTTATCCTTTAAAGTGTGAGATACTTCAACAAACCACAATTCTAAAGCGGAGAAAGGTCTGTATCAGTGTGTAATTACTGCGAAAAATCGATCTTCATCCATAGGTGATACAACTGGAGCATACAAAGGGGTTGGCCTTTTTCTGTGGAGCAGTCGCAGAAGCAGTGCGTATCATATCTTTCCCATATTAAACTTGGACTGCTTTCCACATCGTCAATTTATCATTACCTTATTATACGAATTCTCCAGGACTAGTAATTAATTCCTATATATCAAATTATAGCGTAACTCTCACTTTCTATAGACCAGAAAGTATCGAAAGTGAAGCATATAAAGGGCGTGAAATAAAGAAACTGCAGAAACTGTAGAAAATGAAGAAAGCAGAAATTATCGCTAGTAACTTTCTTCACTTTCTACAATTAGCTTTCTTTCACTCCTGGCCTCCTCTATAGTCCTTCTTACTATATATTCCCTTTTAATTAAATACAGATGCCATCAGGTAGTTCTTCTAATAAGTCCGTCTTTCTCTTGTGTCCTTCGCCTCCCCCTGTTCACTCACCATCACCAAAGACGTACGTACGTACCTTTGAGGCCCTACCTACCTCAAAATAAAGACTCATCGTTACGTTACATCTTAGACAGGTATCCTTGACATAAGATGGAATTTGGGCCAAAATCTCAAGCTGACGGGGACAAAAATATAGAAACAGATAGAAACGAGACGACGGCTGCATGATTCGAACATGCGCCCGCGAACGGAATTGATCACTGGAACACACTTTTAATTCCGTTCCCTCGAGAACAGAAATTTTCATGTCGTTCGTTCGAGTCAATCGCCTTAGACCACTCGGCCAAACCGCCGTTTGGAAATTCCGCAGAAAAATAAGGTAAAGGAAGGAAAATTCTTAGGAGTTCCATCTATTGCGAACAGGCCCTCTATATATTTTCCTGGATTACGAAACCTTCCGGTCTTCGCGTTCTCTAAGCTCCCTGAGCCCTGTGAAGGAAAGTTTCTAATAGTTAGGGGATCCATTCTGGGATTTGAAGACATGTAGTGATCTACGCTATATTTCGTGATAAATTAAATTAGTACGTCACTGCGGTAGGAAGCAGATGAGGATTATTAGGATTCACCTTGTTTACTTCGAGATGGAACTACCAAGGAGAATATCCAAGAGACATTCGCAGCAATTGAGCTTGGATAACGTATTCCACATGCGAGCTACGCACACAAGCGAGCCGCCCAGTTGAAAGACTATAGCAAATGCGATATATGCAACACAGTATCTCAACTCTCAACAACCAAACAATTTTTATATGTTTATATGTTTATCTACCGATAGTGATAACATTTTTAAACCCGAGATATCAGAAATTGAATCCATGGATACCTGTTTTCTATTACGCTACTTGAACCAAATAATATATATATCACGACCATACAATCGTATATATTTTCGAGGCACTATAGGAAAAGAAATATTATATACAAAGCACCAAACTACAAGAAAAAAATCCATGTAGACAAGTATTTTTGTTGTAAAGCGAGGACCTGTGAACTACTATATCGGGTTAGTTTGGCCTGTTTGGGTTTAGCGCCCCAACACGCCCGTCACGTAACCTCCCTTCAATGCTCCCAACATAAAAGACCGGGATAATATTTGACGAAGTCTCAAATGAAATATTCATGCCTGCTAACTGTCATCCTTACGAGCGGCGCAAAAAAGAGAGTTTGGATTCCACTTCTGTCGGATTGCCTCAATTTGCTGCGCAATTTGGCCGTTCCAATACCACTCATATGGCAACTTCAGGTCACACTCAGCCACATAGGATCCCACAGCATGTTCCCAGATTTTCGTCATTATTGTATCGACCCACTTCCTGGACAGAGCAGCAAGATTCTCACTCTCAGATATGGCATATACCGTGAAATAATTGTCCGACGGTACATTAAGTGCCATAACCGACATCACCCGTCGATTGCGTGGGTACATAGGATACCAAAATGCAAAGGACTTGCCACGCGGCAACCGAAGTTGAGTTCAGTGGAAGCAAAAGGCAATTCTGTACTCAAATTAAGGTACACTAAAATCTTTAACAAGTAAATGACATCTACAGGCTCAGTGCACATATTGTATATGATCTACTGGTGTATTTGGCGCGCAATAAGCCCAGAAACGATTCGTATGCTAAGTATTGTATTCATCACCATAGCATATTTGAATAGAAAGCAAATCATCAGTCCTGTCTGGCAGGGTCCTGAGTAGGCTTGTTAAGCAGGCACTCGTCAACCTCTGCCATGATTTCAGGAGTCAGCGTCGGCAAAAGCTTCAAGCTTTGTACATTGTCGACAATCTGCTCTGGCCTCGAAGCACCTGTGATCACCGACGCAACATTCTCATTCTTCAGACACCATGCCAGTGCCAGCTGGGAGAGTTTGACTCCCAGCCTATCCGCTAATTCCTATTGAACGGTCAGTCCCATCCTCCTTGATTCGAGTAATTTGACGATGGATATACCTTAAGCCCAGCAATCTTGCGAATGTTTCCAGCCCACTTCTCGTTCTCCCAGTCAGTCCGGACACTGTTTGCAAACTTGTCGTTGCTCTCGGCGAATCGTGAGCCTGCCGGAGGCCCTGATGTCGCATTGTTATACTTGCCGCTCAATAGACCCATCTTCAACGGAGAGAAAGTGGTGAGCCCAATTCCGCAGCGTGAGTATATCCGCTGGAACTGTCCTTCGACCCTGTCCCGATCCAACATGTTATACAGGGGCTGCTCAACAATGGGCGCGATAAGACCCAAGGACTTGGCTATTCCGCAAGCTTCGGTGATCTCATCTGCAGACCATTCCGAAGTTCCCCAGTAAAATGCCCAGCCCCTTTCAATAACGTAATTAAAGGCACGGACGGTCTCTTCCATGGGCGTCAGGCGATCCGGGCGATGCGCGTAAATGATGTCAACGTATTCGAGCTGCAGTCGCTCCAAAGAAGCCCGCGCACCCTCGACAATGTGTTTCCGTGAAAGGCCGTGGTTATTGATCAGGATTTCGCCATTTGCAAGACCCCAGTTTAGCTTGGTGGTGATAACCAGATCGCTGCGCTTCCAGCCAAACTTCTTGATGGCTTGTCCCATGACGACTTCGGATTGACCATTGGCATAACTGCAACTGTGAGCTAATGGCGTTTTTGTAAATGGGCCCAGCGCTTACCTCTCCGCTGTGTCAAAAAGATTGATACCGCAATCATAAGCCTGCTTCATGCAATCAAAAGCCGTCTCTATATCATCCAGTTAGTAATCTGTGGGGCCTTGGGACTGAATGCCGTACGGTTTTCCACATGGCCTCCAAACCTATACAATTTGCTTAGGTTAGCCAATTTTATCCTTCATATTGGGGGTCACATATGGAGGCTTCTCACGTTAACCATCCTCCTAATCCAAGGGCGGATACATGTAAGCCTGAATTTCCTACACGGCGATATTGCATGTCTTTGTTCTTGTTTGGCCACGCCATGGCTTCAAGGTGTCTAGCTTGTTGCTGAAAAGAAGATAAATCACAAATTGTTGTAGGTAGACAAATTCATTCGAAATAAGAAGGGGAGCACATCAATTTGTACTGCTGATGTTAGTTCTACTTTGCGAATTTGGTTGCACGATTTCGTTCATTGGCTGGATGAAGCGTAGCTGGAGCCAATCATCTTTTTGGACGTGGGGAAATCTCGGAGGAATTCTCGGGGCGATCCAGACCATGTGGGTCTTGGTCTCTATGGCGTGCCCCCTCGAGAGTATAACGCAATTCCAAGGTGAGTTCGGTCTCATTTCGGAGTTCAACAACTTAGGCATATCGGGGTCTATGAGGACACATTATTACGCACATAGCACATCAGCATGTCAGCCCGCTCACCGACCAAGATCGCCTGCGATGGTTGTAAGATTCGAAAGGTGAGGCTCGCAATGGAATCTGCCCTAGAATGTAGGATGCAGTGTTAATTGAGTCAAAGATAAGATGCAGGGACGGCCATCCATGCCAGGGTTGTCGGAATTCTCGCATCAAGTGTACATATCTGCGAGCCCAGCAGCCCCGCGGTCCGCAGCGTCTGCGTTCCACGACCCAGTATCTGATTGACCAAGTCCAGCGCGGAGCCGCAGCTCAGCCTAGCCAGGGTCCGACTCACTCCTGGAGACCACAGGTAGCGGAAAACACACATCAATTTCTAGCGAGTGGGTCATCCAGTGATCGGCAACCAGAGAGGTGCGTATTCGAAGCCCAGGCGCAAATATGTTCACTCCTTATTTTCGCCATTGTTGAGTAGCTTATCATTTATATGCCAAATCCCAACGGATATCGTTGCATACCCCCTATATATCTATTACGTGCGCATGTATCCCGTGTGGCCAATCGTCGATGCCAAGAATGTGATGTCAATTCTTCAACAAGACGGGGATGTCGATATTGAGACATACGCACTGGCGACAGCCGTTGCAGCCGCAACGGTCTCCCAATTGAGGCTCGACCAGACCTTCTGGTACGGTAAACCGATCACCGCCGATATACTCGCAGCTGAAAGCATGAGAGCCCGAAGGTTAAGTAAGCACGGGTCCGCAGTGAACTTGAATAATGTGCGGACGTCGTTCTTTTTCCATATCTACCATGAAAGCAAGCATGCAGGCGGGACCGAATCCCTGCTTTTTCTAAGAGAAGCAATATCCCTCGCCCAAATGATGTATTTGCATCGCGAAACCGCATATATCGGACTGCCACAACGCGAGCAGCAGATTCGCCGACGAGTGTTGTGGCTGCTGTTTATCACGGAGAGGTAAGGTCTTTCTCATGTACTCGCAAAAAGGTAGGCTCTAATATTGGAATAGGGGTGTCTGCATTCTTCACAAACTTCCTGCTGTGATTAAGACTAATATTTCAACACCCGAACTTCATCTCGACGGCGAACCCCAGGTTCTACCTGCCTTTTTAAAGCTTCTAAATTTGTTCCGCCTCTTTGAGCAGTCCAGGATGTTCGATTTCATAGAAGATGACAAACTTGGGATGTGTTCGCTTCCTGATGAGGCGAGGAAACTGGACCAGAGGACTCTTAAATTTCTGCATGATGGGCTACAAGATGGGTCGACTTTAATGAGCCACATCTCGGACGTGCAGAAAGCCGACCTGTGCGTCACTAGGCACTGGATGCGCATGATCCTATGGAAGGTCTCAACAAAAGACCAGTCCTTTTTATCTCCCGGGCCTGACTCACCGTCGTTTCCCATTACAGTTGCAAAAGAACTTCTGGACATCGTATCCAACCTACCTCAAGCTGCAATTACATCCCATGGGCTTGGCATGGTATGTACCTGGATGGTTCCTCATGGGTACATATTACTGACGAGGTACTGCAGGAGTTGAAATTGTATGGGATTGCCAATTCACTGGCTGACGCGGTGATGGATATGACCACGCTGCCAAGGGTTTCGTTGTGGAATGACGAAAGTAGTCCATGCAACATCTTGGCTCGACTTCATTCATTTCTATCTGCCTTCCGCGGCGGTGGGAATAAGGAACTAGTTGATGTGCTGCATAAGAAGATGGCCGAAGCGCAATACAGAGCTGATCGAGCAATGCCGTCTACAATACATGCGCCAATGGAAAGTGGACATTTGATTGAAGCAACTGCATCTGAATATCAACTAGGCGCCGATGAGCCTCTACTGCCAGGACCCGGTCACACCATTACGATTCCAGATTATTGGGGCGAGGACCTGTGTCCCCCCCGCTGATATGGATTGGTTAATGCAAGCTAATCTTACTTCAATGGAGCAAGCCGACCACCCGATTTGTCTAGATGACATGCTAGCCTGTGGGTCTGGGGAATCGTGTTTCTCTCCAGCGAATAATGAGTTTTCGTGGCAACTCTAGTTATCACAGTCCGTGCCTCCTTATTCTGTCAAGAATCTCATTGGATGTTCTATGATCCAGAGTGGACCTAGTTAGCTTCTATCTGCGACCCTTTCCATTGACGAGATGGCAATCCAGAACTACTTTAGGGGATCCAGTACTGAGAGTATTTAACAACGGCCTGCGCCTCTCGGGGTTGGATTTGGTCTTCCAGGCCTGCGTCGCATCCAAACGTACATCCTAAATATGTGATAATTTGATCTAAACTTAAAGTCGGACCACCTAGTACGAAAAGCGGAAGTCTAGCCGCCGGTTGCCCTCCTTTTCCCTGGCAACTTGATCGGCTTGGTAGTTCTCTTGCTCCTCCGGCAACATAGCATTCCACTTCTTCTCTTTTTGGCGGTTCAGATAGCGCAGGAACTCCCGCTGGAGGATGAACACGACTAGTGCTAAAGCGCATAGTGAGATGAGGACTTTGTTTCCGGTATGATAGTACGGAGAGTCGCCACTGCGGTAGATTTCTGTGATAGATTAGCAATGGCTCCGGTAAATTGAAAGCAGTAACGAAAGTCAAAAACTCACGGGATGAAATCACCGATCCAATCTGCACGATGACATTATACGTCGCTGCGGTGAGGGCTCTCTTCTTCACATCGAATGTGTTTTCAGAGATCCATGCCGACACGATCGGATGGAAGTACGGATATCCTGATATCAGGGTGCTAATCGTGAAGCGCGGCCAGTTGTAGCCGCCGTTAGGTAGGGCGATTAACGCTGCCAGCAGAGGCAGAGACCACAGCTCGCCAAAGAGGCAGTGGAAGGTACGCTCTTTGAAAATCTCGCTGCTCTTGCAGAGGATAAGCATGAGGATAATCTGTAGCGCGGCTGAAGGGATCGAAAGCATGTTCGCATCAAAGGTTGTGAATCCGAGGCGTTTGAGGGTCAGGGACAGATAGGATTGGACCGGGCTCTGCGGGATGTATGCAATGAGGCCGATCATGTAGAGACCCCACATCGACTTGTCGGACCAGGCGTCGAGGAGATCCTGGAAAGTGGCGTGTTCCTGAATATTAGTGAGCCCCTTTGAGGGGTCGTCGCGGAGAAGACGCTGTACGGAGTTAGAATATTCATAAGCTTTTAATGGTGAAATGCACGTACGTTAACCATAATCACCTCCTGGCGTTCCGTGTACCAGAGCCGGGGAATCAGAAAGCTTTTCGTGTTTGTTGGAGACTTAGGAAGATAGAGCAAGGCCTGTAATATGTCAGACTCCATGTTTTCAGGGAGGGTATAGAGTTAAATCGTACAACAACCCCAATCATGAAGGTGAGCAGTCCTTCAATCAGGAACAACCAGAACCATCCGGTCTTTCCCTGGACTCCTCGCATCTGGAGAATACCCGCTGCAAGAAGTGAGGAGATAATACGGGCAACCTATGGACAAAAATGTAATCAGATCTTGTAGGTTTGCAACCGCCACACGAACGTGCTGGGAACATACGTTGAGTGTCGACCAAAAAAATGCAAGGCGCACGGATAATTCGCGTGTTTTATAGAAATAAGTCGCGAATAAGATCGTTCCCGGGATGAAACCACCTTCAAAGGCGCCGATCAGAGCGCGAGTGATGTAAAATGAAGCACGACCTGTGATCCAGGCTTGCGTCCACGAAACCAAGCTCCAGCCGATCATCATGGCAGGAAGGATTTGATTGAACCCATAGCGCTTAATGAGGAGTTGCACCGGAATTTCTGTCGAAAGGAAGGCTATCAACTGGATAGTCGTGCCCTTTGAAAAACAAAAAAAAAATTAGTATTCCTCGTGCCCTTGTTCTTTACTTTATTTTTTTGTTAAAAAAAGAGATTCTCACATTGTTGTAATCGTTGGTTGTCAACCCCAAATCAACGAGGAAGTTGTCCGTTAGGGCATTCGATAGATTTCCACGGTCTAGTTGAAGACCAAAAAACTGTTTCTGCTTAGAATTGACCTTCATTGAACTGAGAAAGAAGGCATACCATGAGACAGATGAATGACAACAACATCAAGTCGGTCTTGAATACAACATTTCTTTCCTCTTGGGCGGTCCAAGTAGTGGAGGGGTCAAATCGATGGTATCCTTCATAGGACTCATGGGGAGGAATAACGCTGGCAAGGTTCCCCTGTGTGATGTTTGCTGGAATAAATTTGTTGTTTTCCTCATCGTAGGATTTGGATTTGCCCAAGCGGCCTGGCTCAATTTCGGCCATGCTTCTACAGGATTTGTAGCTTTTGTATATGCTTTGTGGTAATCGTAAAAAGACAAAAGGGATGTAGAATGAGAGCAGCTATGGCGAAGGACTTGAACAACATGGGGATCTCTATAGTTATATAGTTACACACTATTTATACCTTTCGTGTCCAGTGTTAGACGATGGCACATACAAGGGCATTAATCCGTCCTTGGCCTGAATGATTCAAATCTAGAGGGGATTGCACGACGAGGGGCGTAAAGCACATCATCGAGTGAGGAGTCGGAAAGTAAGAACGGTTATTCCCAGCCAATGGAGTTCGCTCTTTATTAAGGTCGATCGGGCACTACCTAGGTAATATATTGTTCCTGGGGTTCCTGATATTTCCCTACAACACAAAGCAATACAGTTTTGTTCGCTCCCTACAATCTCATCTACGAAATTCCAATGAACCTCCCCGCGATATTGAAAACACATATTATTCAGGTCTTGTTTTAAGAAAAAAAATGTTTCGAATCAGGGTTCGCACGCCATAGTAACAGCTCCGAAAGTGTCGCCGACGCCCCACCGAAGATAGCGTCATTAAACTATGGCCTAGCGTGATGCACTGAATACACGAAACGCCTCAACTTTAAAGTATGAAGCCGTGGTTTTATCCCTTCGATTTTTTCCCTGATGGATTTTTTTTTTTAAAAAAGGACATCCCAGTTGTCGCCAACGCCATGTCCACATATAGGGAAGATAACGAGGAACCCCAACCTCGCGACTCGATCAAATATTCAGGCAGCTTGGATTCGTATTCTCAGAACGACCTAACTCCTGTCATTGGCACAGAATATGAAGGACTGCAAGTCGCAGACATCCTAGAATCGGACCAATGCGACCGGCTGATTAAAGACCTTGCTGTGACCGGTGCGTTGCATCCCATGTTCCTATTGCACCTTTCTGACAATTCAACAGTATCGAGGCGAGGAGTGGTCTTTCTGCGCGACCAACACTTGACACCACAGCATATGCAAGTATTTGGAGAGAAATTGAGTGCACTAGCAGGATGCGTGGGTTCCTTTCCCGGCCAAGGGTTTCTTATTCAGGGCTTGCCAGACTAACATGATGATAGCCAGAATCATCGGGAATGCACGTTCATCCTTTGACTGAGAGCGGAAGTGAGCTTGGAGACCAAATCAGTGTCATTAGCAGCGAGAAGCAGAAGAAGGGCGGTGGTCTTACCCATCAACTCAGCGACAAAAGCCGATTTGCCTCGGTGGGATGGCATTCCGATATCAGCTTTGAACCTGTGCCCTCTGACTACGCTATGCTCAAGATCCACACTCTCCCGGAGACGGGAGGAGACACATTATGGGCATCTGGATACGAAGTGTACGACCGTCTGTCGCCGGAGATGGCAGGATTCTTAGAGGGCTTGACGGCAACACACGAAGCGAAATTCTTTCACGACGAGGCACGGCGGTTGGGAAACCCGTTGCGAAAAGGAATCCGTGGCTCGCCTCTCAACTATGGCGAAGAGCTTGAGGCAGTACATCCCGTTATCAGAACTAACCGTATGTGGCTGTCCATCCATTCTCTAGCTTAGGTTACTAACACTGAGGAACAGCGGTAACCGGTTGGAAATCCGTTTACGTGAACAGAGGATTTACCAAGCGTATTAACGGCGTGACCAAGGATGAGTCGGATCTATTGCTACAGTATTTGTTCAATGTAGGTTGCGAAGCATTGCTCTATGGCTCCACTATTCGGGATGGCTGACAGGAAGTAGTTGGTCACTCAAAATCACGACGCCCAGGTTCGTTTCAAGTGGAACCGGAATGATATGGCAATCTGGGATAACCGTTCTACTTGGCATTGCGCCACGTACGACTATGTCGACGCCCGAGCTGGTGACAGAGTGTGCAGTCTGGGAGAGGCACCTTATTTCGACCCTCAGTCAAAGTCTAGGAGACATGCTCTGAGAGAGCTTTGAGCAAATATTAAGAGTCATCTATACCTATTATTAGCCCACTCCTTTATTTTATATTCTTTACCTAGGGTGTACTACGTGGTCTAAAGCGACCCGTGGACAGCACTAGGGATTAGTCAGCTACCTCGCTCAATTAAAATGCCTCGCCGATCTATTGTCCACTAGCACCCCGTCACTTTCTAAAACTAGTACTTGAAGAGCTTATATATGGCACCTTGATTTAACGAAGACCTGGATATAACGAATTTTATACCATGTCTCCGTTGATTCGTTATAACCAGGTTACACAGTACATCCTAGGTACAACTGCCGATCATCCTCATGTGATTGGATAATACAACCAGTTGGAGTTCCGCACAAAGTGTGGGGTTCGGTCTATCTTCGGGGTGTTTTCCTGACTTCACCTTAGCAGGCTACCCACCTAGGTAAGACTCCCTTGCAGGGCCGGTGACCTGCCCAATCACCTACATCTGGAAGGACCTTCAAAATATATACGTGGAGGGTCTCATTTCAAATTTCAAATATTAACCCGATGATTCAGGTCAATACATAGAGAGCCTACAGACCCTCATTCAAGGATGCCAAGATCAAACTTGGCTTGTCATTCATGTCGCAAGCAAGTGCCACTCATTCCTCGAAACAAGGAAAGAATAATACCTTTCTAATCAGGCGTATTGATGGCTAGACGCAAGGTCAAATGGTATGTCAAGGATTCGATAAAGGAATTCCCGTCTACTCCAAAGCTCATGAAGTAACGTCTGGTTAGTGACCGGACAGTACCTCGATGTGAGGTCTGTATACAAACAGGCCAAACATGCAATTATCCGCTTGTGCCGATGAAGCCGGGGCCTAAAATCGGTGAGGAATACCCGTATCTGACCACAGGCAAAAAGGCAGTTGAAACTGCGCTGACAGAATCTCAGGCTCTCTCCAAAAGCGGAAAAAATGTCGCCGTTCGGACGACACAGCCCAAAGCCGCCACCTTAACTTTCAGTCAAACTCGTGCAACCCTAACCTACGTTCGGACAATAATGACCTCAACGTCCTCAATGATGAATCTGAGACAGAAGGGCTGGTCCCCACTGATTATGCGGAAACAGTGCATGGAACGAAGACAGATGAAGGTGGTAAAACACAAACTTCGCATCTGAATATGCACGATCTCTCTTACATACTCCACCCATCTCATGAATCGAGAATTCCCAATACCGATCAAAACCAGAGCGCGTGCTTTGATGATGAGGAAAAGGGCGGGGTTCGCCGTCAAGCTTGCGCAGAGCTAGGTGTGTCACAATTTGTGATGAATCAAATGTAAGTACCTCTGTGACCCCGAAGGTTTAATCAAAGCCAAATCTAAAGCAAGCTGGGTATAACCGACAGGATTCGAGCTTTTTTTGACAACATGGTCGCGATCAATATCTTTCATGAACCTTCATTTGCAGAAAAGCTTTCAAAGATTTCTTCTCTGTATCAACTGAGTGCCCTGCTCGCTGCCATAGCTGGGTATTCTTCACGTTTCATTGGCTCCAGGACAAATATCTCGCCTCTCGGTGAACATCGAACTGCAGGCAAAAGTCAGCAACAACCTGAATATTTCGTTGGCCTTGCCTTCAATTACGTGAACAAGGCTCTTGTGTCATGTGATGATGAGTCGCCATCTCTTTGCATTCTCCAAGCCCTCATTATTGCAACGCATTGCCAACTGACTCGAGGGGTTCGCGGCAAGGCATGGAGGTCACTGGGGCTGTGTGTTCGTTTGGCATACGAGATGAACTTGCACCATCTTGATTCTAGAACGGTTGCAAATCCCGACAATATCCACCAGTGGCAAGCGGACGAAGAAAAGCGCCGTGCCTTTTGGGCAGTCTGGGAGATGGATGTTTTCGCCAGTACTATTCGCCAGACACCAACCGCCATTGACTGGGGACACATGGAGATCCTCCTGCCTGTTGATAACGCCAATTGGTTCTTGGGCCACCCCAGTTCAAGCTGCTTCATGGATGCTGACCCAAACCAATCTTGGAAGGCGCTCCAGGATAGTGGCAATCAGTCCCCCAAAGCATGGTTTCTGGTAATAAACTCTTTCATGAAGATAGCGCATAGCACTTCTGACCCCCAACGGCTATCTGCTATGGACAATCCGGGCCACTACCAACCCGGTCACCCCACCCCAGGATTGGCCGAGGAGCGTTGTCGGAAATTGGAGAAACTGGGGAACGCAGTACGTTGCTTTAATATGGCTCTACCAAGCCATTTGCGTTATCACGATCAGTATCTGGCCTTCGGCGCGCCGGTACAATCGCGGCTGGAGTCTCAACGACAGCAGCACTGCTCTTTATACAACATATTCGTCATGACACAGCTGGTTTGGTTGATGATCCACAGGCATGACGCATTCAGACCTCAAACCCGTCAATCCGAAACCAACCATTTGTACCGTCCCGGGGATGGGGATGTGGCCGGTGGGGTTATATCCAGCCCACATGACACTGGATGTACTGCACAACGACAGTATTATGAAGCAGCCGATCGCATCTTAAGAATTGTGAGTCAAAGCTGCGAAGATCATATTCAGCACATCTCTCCGTTCCTTTCCAGCACCTTGTGGCTTGCCTCGGCGGTGCAGCTAGTCCGCAAATACTTTACTCGAGATCCTGCAAATCGAAGCTTGATCAAATCGCGGTTCGACGTTCTGTACATGACCTACAGGCGGTGCGTTGAGTTCTGGGGCACCCAAACCGCTATGCAGCGGAATCTGGAGTCGCTCGAGGAGCAATTAGAAGCTAGGAAAAGAAAGATGGATAGTCATGAGAGCCAAGCTTCGTCAGCCCACCAGGCGAGCCACATCGAGCGCCACACGAAGAGGAAACGAACGCACCAGACCGTGTCACGTACCACGGAGCAGGATAATGTCCCCCATCTTCCAAGCACGAGAAGCGTCAGAAACAACCCTCCTGAATATATACCGGAAACACCCATTCCTCTCGAAACCTCAGCATTGCCCGATGGCGACAACCAGAGCTATGTAAGACAGCACCCGGCTGCGGTAGATAGTATGGCGATGTTGGACATGATGCTTCCTCCGCAGTCCGATAGCGGCCAGAGTAGTGGGACGTGCATGATGCCTACTGGCTCCGATTATTTTGATCCAACGGTCCTAAATTTGGGTGACGCTCACCATGATCAGATTCTGGATTTGCGCGACTTTGATCTTTCTGGTGACATACAGGATTTGCTTGCTGAGTGGATCACATACTGACCTCAGTGTCTTCCGGTTCGAATTTTATTGTCGTTGACAGTGTTTTCTCTTCACATTCCAGTAGAATGGGTACTAGAGCTCAACGCATTTGAAATTACAAAAAAGGAGTTCTCGTATTTGGCTTACCTTTTCAAGAAACCGACCGAAGAAAGGCCGCACGGGGTAATTTCGCACGAATTTACCCCATTTCCACTGTAAGAGCGTCTATACATTGACCAAAGGCTTATTTAACAAGCCTTACGGATCTTTGAAGATAATCGTACAGTACATTTGAAAAGCCCTTCGTCCATTGTCGAAGATATTCCAGAACTACCAATATGGCCGTAAACAATACACGTCGGATCAACCTTGTTCGCATCGCCCATGTCTTTTACACCCATAAAGACCTCAACGAAGCCCATGAATTCTTGCTAAACTTTGGCTTCCAGGAAGTCAAACGTGTGGGCACGGATATCTATTATCGCGGCACTGGTTCCCAGCCATTTGTGTACTGTGCGCGACATGGTGAAGAAGACGTGTTCGGGGGCGCAGCTTTCGTCGTGGAATCTGAAGCTGATCTTGTCGCTGCGCAAGAGCTTCCTGGAGCTACAGAGATATACGAGTTGAGTGATGCGCCTGGCGGTGGTCGTTGTGTCACTTTCCACGACCCCATCGATGATTTCCCTTTCCACCTTATTTACGGACAAACACCCTGGGCCGATGAAAAAGCTCTCCCGCAACTCGATTTCAATTTCGTGAGTTATTCAGTTATTCTTGCATGGTTATTGTCTTTTTCTGTTAGATATTTTTCTGACTATCCCTCAGCCGACGGTGAAACACAGACCAGGTAATAAGGTGCAGCGATTCGACAAGGGTAAGTGGATGAAGCAACTCTACAATCTCATCCCTCATCCTAATACATTCGAATAAAAGGTCCTGCCCCAGTGCACAAGATAGGTCATTTTGGAATGTGTGTCACCGACTTCGCCAAGGCCTTTGACTTCTATACCACCCGATTCAACTTCAAGCCGAGTGATGTATGTATCCCCCTTCTCCTCAGAGTCTATGCATACTGACAAGCTGTCTTTTCTAAACATTAAAGCTCGTCCAAGACTCTACCGGAAGAGACATAACCACATTCCTCCATTTAGATCGTGGTTCTGAATTGGTCGATCATCATTGCTTTTTCTTCTTTGAAGGTCCCAAGCCGCATGTCCATCACTCGTCGTTCGAAACACATGATTTCGACACTCAGGTGTTGGGTCATGACTGGCTGCGCAGCAAGGGGTATGAGAACTGCTGGGGTGTAGGACGTCACATCATGGGAAGTCAGATCTTTGATTACTGGTATGTTTTGTTCTGCAGCATTCGTTTGGAAGTAAAGATGAACTGTTAACACTACGAAATTGAAGGTTCGATCCCTCTCGCTTCATCATCGAACATTATGTTGATGGTGATTTGGTTAATGATGAGTATCCCATCAATCGATCCCTTGCCTCGCCTGGCAATTTGCATGTATGGGGTAGGTCTTTGATCATGACATGCCATACTGGCTTATGAATACTAATCCGATGGTAGGCCCAGATCTTCCCCCCACCTTCCTGCAGTAACTTGGGGATATGTGTTTCTTTCTTTCTGGGATTTATCGTAGTGTTGAGTGCGGTATTACAGACGTCCAGTTCGCTACATTCTCAGGTTGGACAAGGAACGGGCTTCTGGCCTACTCTAGATCGTGTGTCACTTTCAATGTCACTTTCAATATCAAAGAAGCTGCTCTAAGGGACTTGATCCGTAAGCCCTCCGTTATGACGTAAGAGCCCAGAGATATAATAAAGTCCTCAATACATATCTAAAAAGGTGGAATCGGCTTGAGTTTGATGTTCCAGTCAGCCTAAACAATGTAGAAAGCTTGGACTGAGGCGCAAAATTGGGCCGAGAAACCCCCCGAAGATCGCCCGTTGTGATTCTTTCGGTCTGTACCATGTGAGCTCACTATATCTGTCATCATCTCTGCCAATATTGATAGAATGCATTCAAGATCGCATTTTGTTTGTGGTAAATTCTCCCGAGAAAATAGACCGAAGTTATCCACAGCCCCTTATAGAGATCTTATATCAGTCTATCTTCTGGCTCTATCTCGGATTACAAAAAGGCACGCTTTGCGCTTATGATCCCTGTGTTTCGTTATACTATTCCAATCTGATTCTGTTCATCATCTCAGATCCAACCACTTTCGCACAATGTCTTTCAATTGGACAAATCTTATCAGGTTCATAAGCGAGGAAGATGGACAGATACATCTTGGCGAAGTTGACACGAAGAAGTGTCCGGACATTGGACTCACTGTATTGAACGGCGAAAGAGTTGCAGTTAAACTGGTCAAGGGATCAATCTTCGATGGCGTTGTAACCGACACCACTATGCACGTTGGACGAGTACGTACCCTGGATCTTTGACTTACACTTCCTGTTATTGCAACTAACCATTGCTCCTGAAAATAGCTTTTGGCCCCCATTGGGATCGAAGATGTGCCTATCATCCGGTGCATGGGACTCAACTACCGCGACCATGCTAAAGAAGCAAACATGCCAATCCCAGATGTGCCGGTCCTCTTCATCAAACCCCGTACGGCACTCAACGGACCCTACCCGGCCAAGATCAACGTGCCGAAGGTCGCGCAGGACGGCTCCAGTGACTACGAGGCAGAGCTTTCCATCGTTCTGTCCAAGTCAGGCCGAGATATCCCCGAGTCGGAGGCAATGGACTATGTTTTGGGATACACCTGCAGCAACGATGTCAGTGCTCGGACGCAGCAGTTTAAGAATAGCCAATGGTGCTTCTCAAAAGGTAGGAAATAGCAGATGCTTCTGTTCCCAGCCGACCAACAAGTTCTGAGCCTCGATTTGACTTTCGATACGATGAAATAGGTCTTGACGGATCCTGCCCGATAGGCCCAGTTCTTGTTTCTCCCTCTGCCGTTGGAAACCCGCATAATCTTCGGATTAAAGCAATTCACAATGGCACGGTGGTACAGGATTCGAATACCCGGTGAGCTCTATTCAATATTCAAATAGCCAATTAGTGCGGCCTCCCTATGCTTGCAAAGTAACTAACCAGCTCGCTTGAAGGGAAATGATTTTCGATATTGCAAAGACAATCGCATTCTTATCCCAAGGTACTACTCTGGAAAGAGGCACTATTATCATGACTGGAACGGGTCCTGGCATTGGTGTTATGCGAAACCCTAAGGTCGTTTTGAATGATGATGATGATATGAGAGTGGAAATTGAGAATATTGGAACTTTGATCAACAAGGTTCACTATGAGTGAGGGTTAACAGACAGTGTATTACTGGACTTTGGCCACAACCAATATATACATACGCTACACGAACGTACTGTCCTGGACTCCGGATATAGAACACTAACTCTGCCCCGTTCAATGTTCCTTTCTCTTTGACTACTCTCATTTCCCTCTCCGTCCGCTCTAGTTATATTGCACTACTAGGTATATTGCACAATGCCTCTGGGGTTTCGCCCATCTGGACTTGTTGCCTGTTCTATGTTAGGTATACCCGCCACAGCGCTAAGCAGTAAGGGCACTCTATATATTAAGTGATCCAAAAATGGCAGGAGGAGAGCGCTAAAACGGAAGGGGGAAATGCTTCGAGTGCCTGGCACCATCCGGTAGATATGTATATTTATGGCTATAGCACGACATGACTCTAATACCCGGTCTACAACCCATTCAGATTCTTCTGCGCCGTAATAACATCCCCCTTATCTACAAAGTCCGCCAGCACCACATTCGGCGCACGCCCATACAGCCCGGCACATAGCGCCGCCTGGGCGCCAATACTACCAGGCCCCGTCGCAGCATTAGTATTGTCTGCCTCATGGCGGGCTGGAATCTTTATGCCTAGAACATCGACATTAAGGAAGTGGTTGACTATGCCCATACGGCCTGTCGCGGCAGCACCAGAGGGCCGGTCGATGCTGCAGTTCGGGAAAGAGGCGTCTGTGACGCCGTAGGCTGTCTCGAAGTAGTATGCGAACTCATCTTGGATGAAGTTCACTTTTGTAGTGTCGGCGCCGTAGTCTGGAAATTATCAGTCTCAATGTATGGCCTATGTCTTTGTGTCAGGTATTTTTTACCTAGGAATACGACCAATCGCTTTCCGCTGGAGATCATATCACCCAGTGTGGGCCAGTCTGTAATTGATAGCGGATTTTCGGAGGGAACGTAGGCATAGTTGGAAATCCCGCTGCTGGAGAAGGTGTCTCCAAACTCGGTGATTGGTACCGAGTCTCCGTTTGTTAAGAGGAGAGAGACAACTTCGTTCGGATTTGCATCCAACCAGTTTTTGATAGTCTCCAAATATTCTTTGAGAGGTCCTGCATCTTCGAGCAAGCATGATGTATGGCACAGCTCTATGACGTTCTCATCAATGACGGAGCGGTGTGTTTGCACTTGCAGGTACCGGATCCCCATGTCGAGTTGGGCTTCTATGTCGATATTTTGGTTCTGCTGGGGTAGGGGTCCGACAAAGGCGGAGTCGTGGGAGCCTATGAATGTAATATTTGAGTAGGACCGGGTGCAGTACTCTGAGTGGCCGTTGCATGTTGCGGCTCGAGTCGACATCGATGGAGAAGATATATGTGCTGAGGACTGAGATGCTCGCTGTACTAATGTGCCTGTCCCTGACACTGCCAGCACAGGCTGGAGAAATAGGAGAGCACCCAGCATTGCACGTGCCAGTCGTTGGTTGATTTTGGTCATTGCGCTCTGATTCGCTTTAGGCTATACTTTGTTCTGATCGAGAAGGCGCGAAGGGGCGCTGGTCCACCTTTTATGCTCGCAGGCATTTTTCTTTTTCCTATCCCGGTAGATACCGTGATAAACCGCAAGTGTCTCCGGTCACGCAGAAGAAACAGCTGCCCCGCAAGAGTCATATCAGCTGCCCCCGCGAGGGTGATACGCTCATGCCGATTCCTGTATACATTCCACACGTTGGTTCATGACCAAATCAGAAATCCCAAGCAAAGGAAACTGAAACTGACCATAATCACGTCAAATCTAACATATAGCGCTGGCGGGATTTCATGGATGATCGTGAATATCCAATCTCGTGACCGCAACCACGCACCAATAGCAGGCATCCCCGGTCTTTCCGGGGTGTTCCTCGGATAATTTGATTTTAAGAGTTCTCTATTCATTCAAGTGACTTAAGATAGGACATCTTTGGTGTTGCACGATCTCGCTAGTACCTCCTATGCAGGTAAAACGTGAATTGTTTGGAACCGAACAGAATGAACGCTTTTCATGATCTCCCTAATGGCAGCAATAAAGTATATCGCACTAGGAAATAATAGCCCTTTTATGTTCATTTCCGGCAAAAGCTTTTTGGCCCTACCAAATCGTCTGATCCCTTGATGTACTGCCCTGAGCCAGTTGCAGTCGCGGGCATGGATAATCGTTGCTTGAACGAGATTAGGCTCGTTGCATAACTGATGCGACCTCAATATGCATATCAAGGTAATATGGAGGTTGGTAGTCCTTGACATGATCAGTGACCGGTAGTTGATACAGTGTTACGATGAGCGAATATCTGCTTTATGTCCAGATAGTTGTATAGTACACCTACCCCACCACATTCAGGGTTGCTTAATTCATTCAGGATACCTTTCATGCTATCGAGTCTCTTTTATCGTCTTTATTTTTACTAGGCTTCTTGCATTTCCTGGAAAGGTACACATTAGAGGTCGAATTAAACAGTACCACGATATCTCGGACGCTACATTGCCACACAGGCTTACCTCTGAAGCTTCAAGTGTCCACTGGCAAGCTGAATCAAGTCCTGTGCCTTTCAAAGTTACATTATTTTATGCCGCATGTCTTTTTGGGCTCTTTATATTGTATCACTGCATTAGCAATGCTTGTTGGGAATCCTCGATCGAACTGGTGTCACAGAAAATCAGGGATGATCTTCATGCAGTACTTTGCATAATGTACCGATCAAGCTTGATTGTGATACAAGTTATCTCATCATGCCGATACAAACGTTTGTCTTCCTTTATATAGGAAAGCTAGAATGCACCAGCACAGAACTAGAAACCAAGTGCATTCCTTCGAAAAGCATATTCGGGTTAATGCTACAAGATTAATGGCTGTAACCTCAGCGCCTCAAAAGTAAAATCCTGTTCCTCAACCTTGGAGCGACGCAAAAAGTGCACTATAATTCACTTGCAGATACCCTGCATGAGAAGTGTAGTACGGAATAGAAAACATCCCTCAACTACATATGGGATGAGTTATTCCAGATTCACAGACAGAATTCGAGTCCTTGAAATCTATTTAAGGGTCCATACCAGTATCGAATAGGCGTCGCTTGCCCTACTCAACCAGTTCTATCTACATTCGCTATATACAGAGTTCCGCCATCCAACGGAGTCGACTTAGTCAAAGAACCCAACCTTCGAGAGATTTGAATTCTGCAAAGATGTTCCAACCCTACGATCTTACTCCGTTGGACCTGTTTTCGCCTCCAGGGCATTTCACTATGTCTCTCACGTTTAATTTGGTTGACAAGAACCGCGTGGAGGTCCTTCAGCGAATGGAGGATGCAGTATCTTGTGTATTCTCCAAATTTCCCTTCCTGAGTGGCATGGTAGTACCCTCTACCCAGCGAGATGGTAAAAGCAACGCACTTCAGGTGCGGCCTCCCACCGCTGCTGAGCTTGAAGAGTGCCCTATTGTAGTCACTCAACATCATACAGAGCCCACCTCTCTCTCCGTGGATGGGAAATTCAACACTTCCTTGATGCCGTTCCCAGTCCTCTCCCCACCACGTAACCCTTCTCCCGTGCTACGGTTGAAGGCTCATGTAATAGAACACAACGTGCACCTGGTCTTGTGTTTTGATCATCGAGTAATGGACGGGTCAGGCATCTTCGTTTTGTTCTATACTTTCGCCGCATTCTGCCGCAATTTAAATGCCACGGGTCCATTCACAACTTCACAAGCGCAAGAAGAAATAAGACAGCATATCGAGCACGTTGCATCTACAGCCACACCGCGGGATCTTCAATGGACGAGCTTGCCTACCCCTACAAGCGAAGACGAAGTACCCACAGATTATGGTCGGGTACCCATCGGTTCTAGCCATGTATTCGATGGCCAAAAGATAAACATGCTGCTCGACGCCTGCAATTCGGCTTTACAGTCTCTTCCTGAGAAACACAGGAAGGACCTTCCCGAGATGTCTCTTCGACCGGGTCTGCTCGTCAGCGCGTTACTGGGCATCTGTAGCAACCGCGCCCGCCTGAGGGCTTTCCCCGATGAGCCGCAACTCTCGTCCGATATGTTCATTGTGGAAAATCTTCGAAAGGCACTCAATTTACGTCGGGGATATCTTGGCAGTACTATCGGCGCCACCCAGACCAAGTGTGATGGCTCTGCGAATCCTCCGCCCGATGCCTTGCAAAATATTCATGTTCCAGAGGATCTCAGCCCTGTAGGACCAGAAGATATCTGGCGGATCTGCGATATTGCGCAGTCTCTTCAGGAAGCATCCGGACGCCTGGACAAGCAGTATACGGAGGGAATGATCGCAAAAATGTCCCGTGAACAAGATTGGAGTTCATTCCGACCCGGGTGGGGAGTGAATTTCCTCGTATCTGATATCAAGTCAGCGAAGCCTTACGGGAACTTTGGACCACTCGGAGACCTTGACTTGTTCGACATCCATTTCGATGCACAACCTGGCTATTGTTGGATACTGCCTAACCTTCCGTCTGACTCTGCGTTGCCGTATCCATGCTGGAGATTGCGATGGATTTTGGAAAGAGCGGCGATGGAGTGTCTGTCGAGCGATCCCCTCTTCCAGTGGGTTTCAACTCCTAGTACAGCCTCCACACATGCCGAAGTTTAGTCCAAACGACCTATTAATATTCGTGCATTATACTAGTAAGATTTTGACGAGCCACGTACTACGATATAGGGCGGGCTTTCCGGTTTTTGGTCGATGAATACTTTTCTCGAGAAAGCGTCTATGCATGTGCTGTGCCTGTGCCGTACATGGATTATAAGACATTAGGGGAAATATGAAATATCGAAAGTTGAAACAGAAGTATAGGACCTATAATATAGTACAGATGCTCTCACTATTGGAACCTGTTCGACCTTGAACCTTGGAACGTCAGCTCACTGCGGTCACATGGGCCAACCCACCTCATCCGTTTATGTTTACAATCTTGTCCATTTCCTCCTTTGTTGCGGTGCTCGGTGCTCGTGTCCTCAGTTCTTCGACATCGGTAGTCAATTGTTTCCTCTCAGAGTTGTTTTAATCTACCGTTACCCGGACCAGGTGAGAAGCCCGTATTTATCATATCTTAGATAATCTTGCCCTGGAACTCAACCTCTAACCGAATTTCCTCCTAAGTTAGATTTCAAAATGGCGCGGCCGGAGGAGTTCCTCCCTGCCTGCCCGATTCCCTTAGTTATCCAGCCCCATGAACGTGTTGAATGGCTCAAAGAACGCCTCAAAGAACCCGAAAACCAACGCCAAAAAGTCAACATCTTAGCACTCATATACAGATGTATGAAAGTGGAGAACTTGGGCCACTTACCCCAGTCATACAATCTACATCTACGATGGAAAGATTATGGATGATCCGCTCCACAGTGAGAACCCTCCTTCGAACAAATCGGTTATATGGGCTGAGGTTAGACTCTATCTTCATTTTACTTAGAAAATCTCTTACCATTCATCTAGGGAATTTCTGTGCAGATGATGCAGCAAAATTCTCCCTAGGCAACATGGGGGTATGCCGCAAAGCTTTGATTTCCTGAATTTTGTTATGTAACGAACAATCTGCAGTTTAATCGTGGCGCCACCGTACAAATCATAGAGGAAAAAAGTAACATTTACTACATTGTGATCGGGACGACGACGGAACTACCAGTATCAATATTTAGCAGACGAATGGAAAGGGGCTATGCGAGTGGTAGTATATTTACGGTTGAGAAAAATGAGTTAAAGCTTGCTTGAATGTGTAATTGTGTTAATATTGACAGGATCTAGAAAGGAAGAAAGATAGCTGTGGATTGGCAAGAGAGAAGTAGATCGCCGACATGTGGATGGTACCTGGCAGCCACCTGTGGCTGGTGTTCCGCCCCTAAAACGGCCCCGACCCAACGGAGCTCCGAACTCACATTCTCCACTGTGTTCATACCCCTCAAGCTCGACAAGTCCATTTGGTCTATATTGCAGTACCCCATAATCCCCCTCCTATTATCGGAACCTTCTAATCAAGTCAACAATCGCCCTCCCGCAACACGCCATCGCTGATCCGGCCCTGTCTCCACCCAAGCTACATAACGCGGAGCAATGGTCATTCGGAGATCTCGCTCATGAGCTCGATGGCTGAGGGCAGTGAGGGTTGGTCGCGCGAAGATGAGCTTGACCTAGGCCAGGAAGATGATCCCCGACAACCCGACCATGGCGCCCTCGATCAAACCTTACCTTCCCCGCAGGAGCCAGCGGAAGAGGAATTGGACACAATAGACGATGCGGAGGACCACGATTCCGAGAAGACAGCGCGACGAAATGATCTCAATTACCCAGAAACCCCTCCGCCGCGACATGCGGACTGGACCGCGACAGGGAGCGTGGATGGAACAGGGTCAAACCCCGACGATTCTCCATCGCTACATGTTAGTGGTACAATTGGCGCATAACCTAGCTAGCTAACTAACTGATTACAGGGCTCGATTCCGTCCTCCCTAAGTAGCAGCCCTCTCGCGCTCCGCGGATCTCCGCGAGTCAGTCCAAGCCCGGCCCGTCGCCCCTTTGATCTTCGCTTCCAGTCCCGGTTATCTTCATCGCCGCAAAGTGTGTCCAGGGCCGGCTCGCCATTCCTAGCTCATCTTCACTCCCGTCAGTCTTCAATTACCAGCCAGCTTTCCCCGACCCCGGAAACCGAAGCCGAACCGCTCCAGGGGCCCTGGGAAGTTGTGCGATGGACGAAGCTGCGGAAAATTACCGGGCAGGCGTTCTCGGAAATTGGGAAGCGCAATTTCGGACGGCCAACTTGCCTTGCAGTATCCACGTCTATTGTAATAGGTACATCCAAGGGTATTATTCTCGTGTTCGACTATCAGCAAAGCCTGAAGACTATTATTGGAACGGGTACACCAGGTTTGTCAAAAGAATTCTACGACCTCTGGCTCGTTGTACTGATGATCGCCTAGCCGTTGAGTGTGGTGCTGTTACATCTCTAGCACTTTCCGCAGACCATTCTACCGTTGCTGGGGGTCATGACTCGGGCGATATCTTTACCTGGGAAATTTCGCGCTCAGCGAAGCCTTTCCTTCATATCCCGCCAATCCCGGCCAATCAAGCCGAGACTAGAATATCTGATGGTCATCTTTCAGGATCCGCGGTCATTCATATCGGGTTTCTTGGCACCAGACGAACCGCGCTGGTCTCGGCTGACACACGGGGCATGTCGTTCTCACACCTGGCAACAAGAGGAATGGGTGCAGTAGGGCGAACAGTCAAGACGACTCGAATTCTAGGTCGATATCCCCAGGCAGCGGCAGAGGTCAAGCGGCGGAAACCTAGCTCTGTTCTTGCTTTCTCTCCTCTGCCACTCGGCAACGTAGAGCAATCCACCGATTCTCTGGGCCTCGTTGCTATGCTGACACCCTATCTTCTTGTTATTGTGTCCACCACGCCAGTGGCACGAACCCAGCACAAAGCACCGAGACCCAAAGAAGTTCCCGCTCACAGTGCCTTGACCGGCGCCTTGGCATGGTTCCCAGCTATTCGACTGAAGGGAAAAGACACCCAAACTTCAAACACGAAGCTTGTCTACTGCTGGTCAAATGTTTTGACTGTTCTCGACGTCTCAGAGGCCGAGTCGGACGAACCTGCAGACAAAGACAAGCCCCCCAGTCTTGTCTTCAGAGCGCGCAGCAGATGGAGAGCAGATGAAGCCATAGTGGCTGTTCAGTGGCTCAGTCGTTCAGTACTCGCGGTGTTCACAATAACCCAGCGGCTACTCATAATCGAGGATTATTCCATGCATGTTACAGACTCGGTCGATCTCGCCAACAGACACATATATCACACTGATCTCTTCTCGTCACAGCTTCATTCGCTAGTTGAACAGCTTGACGAGGAGGATGAGTCGATGCATGGAGTAGTAGCAGATGCATTCCATATGAGTTTCCGTTCTTATAAAGGGCGCTTGTTCTTGCTTGGTTATAACGAAGCCTTGGTAGGCAATCTCTCAAATTGGGCCGATCGCTTGCTGGCGCTTATGGAGGCCGGTGACTTCATTGGGGCCATTCGACTAGCAACTTCTTACTATACGGGCGAATCGGAGAAGCTGACGGTTGGGCTTCCGGAAGAGGATGTTTTAAGACAGCCCATTGTGCAAGAAAGGCTTTTGGAAATGATCTCCGCATCCCTCAAGTATGCTTTTGGTCGAAATTCCGAAGCAAACAATGGCCGACTAGAGAACCAGCAGCTGGAGGAGCTTGCAGAAGTTTCTATCGCGGCCTGTGTCTACATGGGCGACGAAGAGTTCCTATGGGAGGAAGTCTTCAACTGGTATGAGGAGCAAGATTCGGCGGGCATTTTCCTGGACGCCCTCGAACCACGCATCGTCGATGGAACTTTGCGATCACTACCTCCGATTGCGGTCAAGGCGTTGATTAACCATTTCATTGGAACTCACTCGGCCGGTCGTTTGGAGGAGATCATCTGTCTTCTTGATACTACCACAATGGACATCGATCAAGTCACAACGCTGTGTAAGCAGCACAATCTTTACGACGCCTTTATATATGTATGGAACCGCTGTTTGATGGATTATGTTGGACCACTGGAAGAGCTACTACATATGATTCCCTCCCAGCCTCAGGCCTTGGTCAACGGTGACTATGTGGTTGAAATGAGACGGCAGAACAATGCGATGAAGATGTTCCCCTATTTGTCATTTATCTTGACTGGTCGCATCTATCCCACTGGAGACGACATGGATGAGGTTGAAGCTACACGAGCCAAAACAGACTTGTACCAATTCCTCTTCTCTGGCCGTGGGTCCGGGACGGCACCTGGAGATACCGACGAGGCAGACTCCTTCTCTCAGCTTCGAGCCATGCTCAAGTTTGATGCTTCCAGCTTCATGAGCATGCTCAACGAGGCATTTGAGGACAGCTTCCTAAATGATCCTGAGAGCGAGGATATCTCGACTTCGGGCATGTTGATCAATCGGCAGTACCTCGTCAGCATTTTGCTGCAAGTCATGACCGGCGATCTTTTCACGCCTTTTGATACCATCTACCTGGATATGTTTGTTGCGCGCAATCTTCCCAAATATCCTCAGTATATTCTCCTTTCTGGCACAACTCTCCATCAGGTTTTGGTGCGTGTATGCCGATATCCCGAGCAGGAAATGGCAGAGGATTGCGAATTGAGTGCAGAGTATCTGCTGTCTTTTTTACCACCCACCAGACATCCAGAGCATGATCCCTCTATTTAAAGAGGCACGCTTTTTCCGGATTCTCAAGTCGACCTACCGCTCGGAGAAGCAATATCCCCTGTTGGTTATGACTTACCTGGAGGATCCGAGCGACCGCGACGCTATCTTCACCTGCCTACATGACTGCCTCCGTCCAAGCTCCGGGCTTGGCAAGAAACAGAGACGCGATATAGTGGATGTAGTCAAGGAGCATGCCCGGGAGATAGCTGCAATTGATGTGACGCACGCTGCACGGACGATGCAAGATCTGGCCCCTGACACACACTCTACATTTTTGCGGGTTCTAGAAGACGATCCCCAGGAACAGTATCAGTATTTGCTGGTCCTGGTCGAGCCGCAGGCTCAAACTGCAGACACCAAATATTCGCCCGGTGTTGAAAACTGGATGATCGAGCGCTACGTGCAGCTCTTGTGCAAATACAACCCGTCTCATGTCGCGGACTTCGTTGACGGATTGCGAGTCGGTGACATCCACCTGGAGGAACTTCTGCCATCCATCGAGGAAAGCGGAGCCATCGATGCTGCCGTTATCCTCCTCGCCCGACAGGGCCAAGTCCGCGAGGCCCTTGACCGTCTTGTGGCACACTTGAGCACCCTCGAATCCGGTCTGGTAGGCATCCTCCAGAGCGTGCGCGATAGCCCCGACTCAGCGACTACTGCCGAAGCAATCGACGACCTGATCGAGTCCCTGAACAAGTATGCTGGCGTCGGAACGTGGCTCTGCCAGGGCCAAACTAAGACAGCCAAACAGTCGGGCACAGGAAGCGTCAACGGCAAACGCAATGCGCCAACCCTTGACCAGCCTCTAGCCTTCGACGAACTCCTTTGGCTCGACCACATCGAAGCCGTGGTCCGCATCGCAAGCAATGTCTTCGCCTTCATACAAGGGAACAACGCCCAAATAAGCCTCCCCGCCCAACCAACAGCTTCCCTCGCCGGCGAAAGCGGCCGCCTAACAACAGCGTTCCGCGCCCTCGTCCAGCAAGTCTTCACAGCCCTCCTAGCAAGCACAGTAAAAAGCAGCCCAACCACAACCGAACGAACAGACATATCTTTCCTCCGCATTCTACGCGCATTCCTCACCCGCGCGGCAACCTGGTCCCCCTCCCTCCTTGAGCTGCGCGCCGTGCTAGCCTCCATATTCTCCGCCTACTCCTACGAAAAGTCTCTCCTAACCCTCGCAAACGGCATGCTTGACCGCGACCTCTTCGTCCACGTCGACGAAGTCTCCCGTGCTACGCCAGCAAGGCTGGCGGCCCCGCGGCCACGTCTGCGAGATCTGCCGCAGCCGCATATGGGGCCCCAGCGTTGGCGAAGCGCATTGGTCCGCATGGGAAGCGCGACGCGCCGAGGTCTACGCCCGTCGCATCGCGAGGCGCAATGAGGATGGCTATAACCCGTCCGACCGCGGGAAGGGCAAGGCTGCTGATCTCGGAGTCGGTCATATGTCCCATCTAGATGCGGGCGGTGCGCATGGACACGCACATGTCCTCGCTCATCGCGAGCATGGCGCTCGTGGTGGTATGTCCGATGCGAACGCTGACCATGATCACGAGCATGGCCACGCTGAGGCTGGGGCAGGATCTAGCACTGCGGCTACAGTCGCAGACAGCCCCCCAGAACCTGTTGTCGTTTTCGCCTGTCGACACCTCTACCACCGACGCTGCGTGCTGGACGCTATCAACGCCGGGGCCCGACCCGCTGAAACCGCGTTTCGGCGCGACCATTTGCGCGACTGGGCAGGGGCCGAGCTGTTCTGCCCGACCTGTACATAGTTTCTGAGGGACGGTGGGGATGATTATTTCCTTTGTGTCTAGGGATATTCTTTTGTTACTTTTTTCCTATCTCTTTGCTTTTTCCTATTATAGGCTGTTCGGGGGTATCCCTAGATGAGACACACGATCCTCTTGCATATAGCCATTCTCATTTTCTTCTTTTTTAACCCCGAACTTACTGTATCGTAATGTGATATTAGAGCCAGGTCTATCCCTGCTATAGGACATCTTTACTAAACCTTTCTACCTTCCACGGGAACAGGTGATAAGTTCTCCGCTTCCGCTGTTCAGCTCATTCTCCAAGGCACACGCTTGGCACAACCTGTACTCCCAATGTGATCGGATGAGGATTCCTACTCCGGATTATCATTCGGCCCTGTTGCAGGGTTCAGATATGGCACGATGTTGTTTTTTCCTTTTTGTGGTATGTCCAGGTCAGTTCTGGACTGTGTGATCGTGTTATTTCGATAGAGGGTCTGGTGTTCTTTACTTTTGGCAGTGATCTACGATAGATGGTGTATGGGTTTGGTGATTCTCAAGATGACACTGTCATTTCAGCATCTTCGGTATCAATTTTGGGTAGGATCTCCGTGCGAACTGATCATGTACGGAGGTACATGGGACTAAGTACTGGCTCGGGTATATCTGTATGCACGGCTACTTAAGTTTGAGTACCTTAAAATGGTCGAGAGACCTGGTGATCAGAACTGGATTCCACTAGTCCACTTCATATTTCTACTTCTTAGATTCTGGATCTGACTCTTCACTTGTCGAAGAATCGCCTGACAAGCCTTCGCAGTAACAAAGAAGGCGAAAAACGAAAAATAAAAATAAAATAAAATGAAAGCCTCAAAAAGCCCAAAAAAGCTTGTTGGCCGAGATCCTTCAAACAGCCGTTGGCCTATTATCGTCCTTCTTTTCCCTTTTGCTACTTTACAAACCTTAGATGTTGGCGGTAATCACTCTGATTGGTCTAGGATAGTTACAGCACTGGTTTGATCTTCTTTTTCTCTTGTGTTTGTGTTCTTTTTCTATAAATCTGAAACATTTAAGGTTGGTTTTAGCGCTTGAGATATCCATGGATCCGATATGGTTAAACCTGATTTAGACTACTATCTTGGATACCTAGGTACTCAGATACTGCCCAGATGTATAGACACAGAGTTATATTGCGGTGCAGTCTACTCTAAATGCTAATATGAATACATTTCAGACTAGACTAGTTCAATCAAAAAGATCTAAATGGTTTACTAAAAGCACCGATTCAGGGCTCGGAGATGTCAGACTGATATTTCGTAGGTGTTTCAACATCCCCCCTTTTGCCGCATGTCTTCGATTGTAGTGTCTGGTGGATGTATCACGTTGTTCCATTCTTTTTCTTTTTCTTTTTCTTTTTCTTTTTCTTTTTCTTTTTCTTTTTCTTTTTCTTTTTCTTTTTCCTTTTCTTATTTATTTAATTTAATTTAATTTATCTTCCGTTTGTCCTTTTTCCTGCGGGGAGTGGAGTCGTCTCAAATATAAAATCGATCACGGCTCCCCCGTTTGCGAGGCGTCAATATCTACCATTCATATATATTGTGCTTATACCTATTGTCCCTTTCTATTCATCTGTATCCATTCCTTTCGCCCTATTGTTCTTTACCATTTTGGTCAGTATCTGGAATACTTGACCTTCTCCAGTCTTTGACAGACTTCCTCTTTCCAATTTCTCTTTCTCCTTGCGAAGATCCTACAACGACCCTAGAACTTAGGCACAATGCGCGTTTTCTCGACCATCCTGCCCGCTTGGGCCCTGTTGACCCAGGTATCCTCCGCGGCATACACGCTGCGCGACGACTATGGTGCCTCCGACTCATTTTTTGACAAGTTCAACTTCTTCACGGTATGCTAATCCCAACCTCTGTTATACCTATAATTCTCATTCAATGTATAGGACACCGACCCCACCAATGGCTTTGTGAGCTACGTTGACCGTAGCACTGCCTCGCGCAACGGTCTCATCAACACGGGCAACGGCGTCTACATCGGCGTCGACCACTCCAACACCGCCACCAGACCTGGTCGCCAGAGCGTCCGCCTGGAGAGTACTGCCACCTACAAGCATGGTCTTGTTATTCTCGACCTGGCCCATATGCCCAGCAGCACATGCGGCACCTGGCCTGCCTTGTAAGAAGCCCACATCCCAATTCCTCTTTCCTGGGAATAGCAAAAAAGAAGAGGAACAGTCTAACTCGTGCAGCTGGATGCTCGGCCCCAACTGGCCCAACAACGGCGAAATCGACATAATCGAAGGCGTAAACGAGCAAACCCAGAACCAAGTGGCCTTGCACACCAGCGACGGCTGCACAATCAACAACAGCGGCTTCACAGGAAACCTCGAGACACCAAACTGCTACATCCAAGCCCCCGGCCAATCCCGCAAACAGCGGCTGCGTAATCCAAGATGGCAGCACGCAGTCCTACGGCACCGGTTTCAACAATGTCGGAGGCGGCGTCTACGCCACCGAATGGACCGGCTCCGCCATATCAGTCTGGTTCTTCCCATCCTACGCCGTGCCGGCCGATATCTCATCCGGAAACCCCAACCCGGCAGGCTGGGGCACACCCTCAGCACGGTTCGCCGGCGGCTGCAATATCGACTCGAAATTCAATGATCTGCAGATTGTCTTTGATATCACCTTCTGTGGAGACTGGGCAGGCTCGGTTTGGGGCTCGTCGAGTTGTGCCAGTCGCGCCGGGTCGTGTGTCGACTACGTGCAGAATAACCCCACGGCTTTCCAGGAGAGTTATTGGCGTGTTCGATCTCTTAAGGTTTATCAGGATGGGGCTAGTTCTATGGGTGGTGCTGAGGGTGAGGACGTGGGTGCTGGGGATGAGGTCGGTGTTGGTTGGGATCCCTCGACGTGGTATGGTCTCTCCGCTAGGGCTTCGATGAAGCATCGTCGGGAGCATTATCGTCACAAGCGTGGACATGGCCATTCTTAGGTGGTGATAGTGATGGTGCAGGATGGATGGATTGTTTTCTGCGTTGAGAGCGTTATGGGTTTGATCTGTTTTGCATTTCGATTACGATTTCGATCGTGATTGACCCTTTCTTTTCGGTATGCTTCTTCATTTTCGTTCGTTTAACGGTCTCTTTACTCGTCTGGTCTCCAATGGCCTGTGCTAGTCCACGGCTATGGGAGGACGAGCGCGTTTGATACGCTTTATGCTTTATGCTTTGACGATGACTTTGTGAATACCCCTTCCATCTCGATGATGAAATGAAAATGGCAATGATGATTATGAGCATGGTTCTTATTCTCTTCATTTAAGACATTTAGAGATCCCATCTGGACTGTAATCGCTGGGTAGGTCTACGGTGGCTATACAACGTCGGGCATAAGGTAAGATCTTCAGCATCTGTAGTCTAGCAAAGGTGATACATGGAATGAATCAGCCAAGACAAGATTAGATGTTTGAATATATGCATCTATTGACATTCATATTAACATTAACATTACTCTCAACCCCGAAACCTATGCAATCGCACCAAAATCAATGCCCAAACCCAAGAACATCGCGCTGATCATCCGTAAGCCGACCCCACTCCAAAAGCAATCGAAAGAAGTAAATCTCCATATCCTCCTTCCTCAACGCCGTGTTCGCCCACTTCCGTCCTTCCTCCGCAATCCACTTCCCCTGCCGATCATGCGCCTTCATACGCATCTTCGGGGCCTTAGGACCATTCTCCTCAGACGCGGGAGCAGGTACGCCCGCAAAGTACGCAAGCGTACTCCACAGCCCATGGAGACGGATATCGACAGGGACGAAATGCAGCCACGAGGTGACGCGGGAGTCGAACCACTGGCGGAAGAGACCTGTTTTGAGGGGCAGGCTGTGGCTGTGTAGGAAGGGAAGGAAGCGGCCGCTGAAGCCTGCGCCGTCAAGGTCGAAGAGGAAGCGGTGCGACCAGTGTGCTTGGAAATCTGCCCAGCCTGCGGTGCTCAATTCCGCCGCTTGTTCGTCACAGTCACCGCAGCGCACGATTGGGTCGGCGAGGTGAACGGCGGTTTGGAGATGTAGGTCTGAGGTTGGGGCGCTGCCGTCCATTATTTCGTAGCGGAAGGAGTTTTCGTTTGGGTCTGCTGGGAGGAGGACAGAGACTTGGTTGTTCGTGTTGTTGTTTATTAGGTGCGCGAAGCGCTGGCGTGGCATGCCTTTCCACTCGCCGAAGCGGCTGACGCCTTCTGACGTGCTGCCAAGCCAGTAGAGGGAGTTCTCTTTGTGGCCGTATTCTGGATCTGGGTGTTCCTTTGTAGGTTGGTATTTTACCTTCTCAATGTAGTTCCATGGACTTGGGAAGAGGATGTCGTTAAATCCAGTGAGAGCGCTCTGGCTGAATACTGGGATAAGTTCCTGCGACACCTTGAATGAAGCTGGGGAGATTAGGAGACCGTGGAGGAAGGCAAGGTCAGGTTGGTGGCAGATTTCGGAAGCGAGGTTGAAGTCCAGGGGGAATTGGCCCATGGAATGGGGAGCCACGCATGGCAGACAGACGTCATGGCGATTCCAGATTCGCTGAGAGCGCGCCTTTGATGAAGGCGGACAGACAGCGCTCACATAAGGGTCGAATACACCCCTCCACGCTCCATCAGTAAATACGGTGATGTTGGTTTGATCGGCCGGTTCAATCGGGGCCCAGCCCTCCTCTCGGTTGGTCGACCAAGTCTGCACCACGCGGTTTTCAGGGATCATTTCTTGCATCTCAGTCTGCCGGTTCAGCATTGATATTTTCTCCCAGGGGACTGCAACACGTGGTTCATCGTTCAGATTGAACACCAAGTCCATATCTGGGAGGTATTTGGCGAAGTCTTTCATCATGTCCGCAGCACCCGCCACCATCCATGCATGGGTCGGTTTGATGCCTTCTTGCACCATGGCCGTGCCATTGCGAATTCTGATCCCACCGAGATCGTTGAAAGGGTTGGTGGCCAGTTCGTGTGTCATTGCGCGGATGTGCTCCGGAGCCAGCGCTCGGAAGGGAAGTAGGTCATGGTAGATCTGATCGAAATCATCGATGATAGCTGACGATCGGCTAGTGGCATATCGATACCATTCGTCAAAGCCCCTAAACGAATATTAGTTGAGTTGTGCGACAAACATGGGTATCCAGAGCATACGGTGGTGGGTGCTGGTTATATCGCCTCCGGTATTCGGTGACAGCATCTCCAAGGGTCTTGCTCTTAGCCGCCTGGGCGACGTAGTTGTGATGTTGAATTTGGCCATTGCTGATCAGGAATTCAATCGGGTGCATATCCTCAAGACGATGCTTGCTCACTGCGAAAACAAGACTAATCCCAAATAACACGGCGAACAATATTTGGATCGCAACGTTGGTTCGGTATAATTTTGGCTCTTCGTCATGAACCACTCGCGCCAGTAGAAATAGAAGGGTGCCAGTCAAAGACGCAGCCAACGGGAGAACAGCATGAGTTAGGGAGATAAATGGGAAGGGTGATTGTTCGGTGAGGGCCGACAAAGAGGAGAAGTATACGATCATGAAACCGCCTATGATTGACAATCCAAGGATGTCGAAATGCGGCAACTAGAAGAATCAGTACTGATAGAGGAATAAGTATAGAGGACTGGGATGACCAACCATGTGCCAGGCCGACAAGACCAGTATTACAACCAGCACGGACTGGCTGAAAGCACCGCGCGAATACTCTAGATCCAACATGGGTTGACCGGCAAGTTCAGGAGAGCTATTTGGTACCCAGACTGATATAACACTCCAGACCAAAGAAAGACCCTAGAAATACCATCAGAACAAATAGTCCCAACACAATCGCAGTTATTCGCTTACCAAGAGACCAGTTCCAAGGAACGCCAGAGCTCGTTTTCTGCGCGCATCATCGAATTGAACACCAATCCGACATAGCTCGGTAATACCAATAAGTATGACGGAATCAGCAAACAGGTTGAACAGCCTGTATGACCGTAGGCGCGATGCGCTATGTAATACAATCGGACAGACATAGGTTGACCGAGTCCCAGCCGAGAACGATGAAGCGAAGAGACCACCAATCGACAAAAATGCGGCCGCAATCAAACCTCTGAAGCGACTTTGCGTAAGATAATAGAAGCTCCGGCGAGAAACAGAGTAGACTACCTGCAGCGGCAGCTTTTCGAATCGTTGGGTAGGGACATATCTGTCTACTTGTCGCGATCTATGGTTGCGCCAGTAGTCATAAAGCGAGATGACGAAAGGAATAGCGTACTGCCAAAGACACCGTGTTAGTCGCATGGAAATCAAAGGATAACCAAGGTATCCGGCAACTTACAGCGTATCCAGCGGGTGTGCATTCAGTATTCCGGGTTACTTGGCGGAACGACTCGATCCGCAAGCCACACAAGCCCAACAAAAGAGCGAGTTTTATCCACCAGGGTTGGAACCGTGGCCGAGGGCGAGTCTCGACATCGCCCAGTGCGAAAGAGGAGGTCGATGCGCGGGAAGGAAGCTCAAATTGCTCCGCGAGGGGGATAGCGGGCCGTTTACTTGTTGGCGACGATGGCGACGACCCCAATGAAACGAACCTACTCCATACCAAGAGAGTGATCCCCGTGAGGAAGCAGACCAGAACAGATGTACTGATGGGGCGGTCTATTGACGCAACAGTCAGATCAAGTCGGCGAACGACGTTGATACCCACGGCGACAACTCACCAAAAGCGTATGTGGTATTGTAGGAGGTAGTAAGGAATAGCGAGCTCAGAAGAAATATCCTGCTCATGGAATGCGATCGTGAGCTTAATTTTTCAATGATGTGAGATAGCTTGCTAGGTACTCACCCCACACAGAGCTTCAGCCCGAGATCAGAAGATAATTGGATCATACTGCGCCAGTCGTTTTATGGTCGTTCTAAAGCGTCCCAGTCCATCGCTGTGGTTTCAAGAATGAACGAACTGTTGAAAGGGTAACAAGACAAAAGACAGAGGATTTACCTGCTGTGGATCTTCAGGAGATTGACAGTGTTCGAAACATGGGAAAAAAAGCAGGGCCAGGGCCAGGAGGGCCCTTTGATCCACTTGCAGCTAATCAGAGGCAATCCGGAGTGCTGATCCATTAGGGTTGCGTCAACGGGCGGGTTATGATGTATTTCAAGATTGGGCTTTTTGCTGCCGCATGTAACGACATGCCCTGCCTTGATTGCTTGTATTTCTGATAGGTATCTTGCCAATGAGTGGCGGAAGATCTGCAGCCACCGTGCTCAACCCTGTTAGCTCCTGATAGTCAGCTGGTTTTGGCCCAGAGGTGTTATATTGCGAGCGCTCATCAGAAAGAAATGTCGAGCCGTTCAGTGGCCAGAATGGAGCCTTGGTCAACTTCATGACCCACTTGAGTCCTGGGCGTCATGTTTCTTGTGGGACCCTCCAATGCATCTGTAATGTTGTACTCCGTATATCATGGTCAGCCTTTTCAGGTAGACCCTGCGAGTGGTTCTCCATATTAATGTACTCAAAAAAAGTTCTCAGCTAAAGAACTCGAACACGCGTCATATCAACCAAGATCCTGTTGGCTGTATCCTGTCGGCTCCATTCGGCTGCATGTCGTGAAATAAAGATGGCCCGAGCGACCCATGGTTAGTGCCAAAAGGACACACTCAAATTGATTTCACTAAGCCCAAAACAGTTCGTGTATTTCCTAATTTGGCAGATCCACGTCATCTATAGTCATGTGATTTTATCAGGGTCTAGGCGGTGTCGACTATCTACCCAATAAGATGCGACCGCGGCTAGTCCATTTCGATCCTTTAACCGCAACATTGAACAACTCACGTGACTTATCAAAAGCGCAAGACCAATCACATATACTACACGGACCCACATCCATATACCTTCAAGAGAAAGACCTGGGATGGAGAAAAATAAAGGGCTTCTCTTTTGACTAAGAGTTGTCAACCTTAGTGCAGGGTCCATGCCAATTTGCTTGGAGATATATTC